AACTTTGTGTGATCAATCACCCTTAACCTCATCTTCTGATTTAATCTTATCTATCTGTCATATATTGTTTGTATGTGTGTGTGTCTGTGTTATAACTTTGTGTGATCATTTGAAGCATTAAATTGGTAGGAATTTTTGTCATGTACTTGCAGCATTAAGAGAGTTATTCAAAGCAAAACAAGGAAAATATCCTTCCGCTGATCTTTTGTTTGGAGAGTTTATACGGAGTGTAAGGTTGCATCAGAGTGAAGAGGACGGCATAGTTGATATGTGTACACAGATAGAGGCTGGGAAAATTAAGGAAAGTATGAGTGAAGGAATGGAAAGGGCACCTTCAGAACACTCGAGCCTGGTAGGTCTTAATGATGCTGCTGATGAATTTTTTGATGTTCCAGAACCAACAGACGATGATCAATCAGAAGATGGGTGGACTTCTGATTTTGGTCCTGAAGTATACTCTCAGGTACGTGTCAAAGTAGTTATCATTGTTTTTTACATGCAAATGACTTTGCAGGTAATGGTGCTTCATATCGCATAGAGGATGTGCCTCACTATAGAGTTTCTCCATTTTTGTATTTCATTTCTTGTGGCTGAATTACTGTTTCTGTAGCATTAAATGAGGCTATAAAAAGTTGTGTATATTGTTTTGCCCTGATTTTCTCACTTGACATCTGTATGACTGAAAATTTTGCAGGATACACACCATCCAAAGTTATCAACTGCTTCTGTTTTCGCGAAAAAGATACATGATCTTGCAGGTGGTTCCTTTTTGGATGATCAACATTCACCTTAACTTCTAAATTTATGGCAACAAAGATTTTTCTTTTTCAAAGGAAGTTGTAGAAAGATAAATCGCTTACAGCTTAAAATTTTTCTATGTTGCAGTCCAGAAGAGGGGCTATATGGACTTAAAAGACATGATGAGGGAAGATGGCATATGTTGCTTCTATGGAAACACTCTTCCCAAGGATCCAACATGTACATTGCCTTGCAGTTGGACAGCAGCAGAACCCTCCACATTTTTAATTCGTGGGGAGAATTATTTAGAAGACCGTAAGAAGGTATGAAGAACACTGTATCACTAAGGATAAAGCTAAAGTATATGAGAAAAGTTCAGCTGGTGTGTTCTATGATGGTTCATTGTATGTCTTATTGCATGATCTTGCAGTGAACTGGCATTTCTCTCTGATGATCTCTAAACTATGCATGTCTGTCCATGTTTGCCTCGCATGTTTTGGATATAGCCAATTATAGGGTCTTGTAGATATCATATGGTTATCAGCTGCTAGAATTTTGTAGTCCTGGATATCCCCATTGAATTCACTTTGGCTTTCTATCTGTGCAGGCCCATTTTTAGTTTTCCTAAATTAGATTTCGACTTCCAGTTGAAAGTTATATCCTTACTCTTGTTTTCTTCCAGTTTAAGGCAAAGGGCACATTGATGCAAATGGTTGCTGCAGATTGGCTAAGATCTGACAAACGAGAAGATGATCTAGGAGGGCGCCCTGGGGGCATTGTTCAGGTTTTTCTTTAATATATATATCAATTCTTTTTGTTAATTGAGATTTTGAGGTCATTGCTGATGAGTCACCTATAAGCTCAACTCTACTTGTTGCATTTGATATATGTTGCTTGTAAATTGAAAAAATATTTACACAAGGGTTAATCTGCAGAAATATGCTGCTCAGGGGGGGACACAGTTTTTCTTCATTGTAAACATACAGGTACTTTGCTCTTTTGCTTACACTTAATTCTGTCAAGCTGTATTTCTATCTACACTTTCATCTGTTCTTAAGCATTTAAAATAATCAATCATTTACTGTAAAACAGGTGCCAGGTTCAACAACATATACTCTAGCGCTATATTATATGATGAATACTCCTGTGGAAGATTCACCCTTGCTACAGAACTTCGTCAATGGTGATGATGCATATAGAAATTCAAGGTTTAAGCTCATTCCATACATATCAAAGGTTGGTGCATGCAGCATTTTGGAGTTGAGATTGAGAATCTTTTGATATTCTTGCATGGAAGTGAACTCACTAGTGCATTTAATAAGAAACTTAAAACCAAATGATCAAGCTTATATTTAACTCTGTTTAAGCAGAAGAGGAGAAACATTTATATTTGTACTTGGTGCTTTTAATGAATCAAGGTCTTACAACGAAATTACTTTTTCCAAATTATCTGTGCATGTCTTCTTTATCTAGAAAAACGAATTTTTCTCACTTAGGTTAGACTCCTTTTTTTTGTCGGATCACTTAGGTTATGACTTATTACTGCTTTGAAGATTTGCTTTGTAAGAAATCCGTAAAAAGTTTCTGAGCTGTCTTCCCAGGTCTTGTGACCTAGGAAGAAAAAAGTAATTGCATGCATTCTTTTACCATGAAGTTATGCTAGTTTTATGCTGTATAAAAACTCTATTTCACATCATATAAAGCAAAGGGTTCTGACATTTGGCTTTGGTTTGTTAGGGATCGTGGATAGTCAAACAGAGTGTTGGGAAGAAAGCTTGTCTCATTGGCCAAGCTCTGGAAATCAATTATTTCCATGGGAAGAACTACTTGGAGGTAAAATTATATGAACTATGCGTATATTTCTGTGGATCCATACACCCACATGCAAGTGTATATATATATAGACAATTTCTCTTCGGAAGCAAATGGGAGAGCCATATCACTTACTAATTGTAAAAGGCATGAGAAATTTTTTTAATGACATAGCATACTGAAATATTGCAATCGTCATTTCAGCTTGGGATTGACATTGGGTCATCGACAGTGGCAAGAGGTGTGGTTAGTCTTGTGCTTGGTTACCTCAACAATCTGGTTATCGAAATGGCATTTCTGATACAGGTAAAACAACACACTAACCAAAACTAGGACGGAAATGAAAATGCAAATATCTCGTAAACAATGTTTCAGCGGTCTAAATAAATGTGGATTTTCTTGTATACAGGCAAATACAGAAGAGGAGCTCCCGGAGTATCTTCTTGGGACTTGCCGCCTGAACCATCTGGATGCAGCAAAATCTGTTCCATTAAAAGTATGATTAATTCTCATTCTGATGTTTACTTGCTAGGCTGGCTGAGAAGCTTTGGTTGATGAAGAATAGCAAAATCATAGCATTGCATATGGCATTGCTGCTTGCAACAAAAAAAAGTTTCGATTCTTTTATTCAATCAAATGGGCATATCTACCTACAGCAGCAACATTTGGTGCTATAGACTGGAGATATGAATCATATCATTGAAATGGAAAACAACCTTTTGTATAGATGACACAATTAATTTGTGTATTCAAATTTCCAATTTATTAGATTTTTGTAATTTGTTGCTGTATTTTCTTTTTTAAATATAGTGCCGATGAGTTAGTTGAGTTAAATTTAAATTTTCATAAAATGTCTATGAGTCAGTGGATTTTTTTTTTAATTTTTTATATTTTAATTTAAAATTTAATTTAAATTTAATATATACATTTAATATCTAATATTGATCTACATCAAATAAAAAAAATCCGAATCGATCAAATATTATGATTTTATATTGATTTTTTTATTTCTTTTCACCCCTAAATTTGACTAATATCTTTGGCGTATTGATAGGGTCCCCCACCAAAGTGGGTAGGTTTTGGCACGATTTTGGCATTTCGTTTTTTACGAGGGGGCTGCTGCTAAAGGGGGAAGAATTGATAGATGCCATTAGCAAAGCTGGGTCAAAATTTAGTTCCATCAACACTTTGCATTTGGGATGGAACTTTGAAGTGCAACAAAATTTAAAGGTCCTCTTTGGATCTAATAGTTAGAGTTTGAGACTTTTGACCTAAAATTTTCGGCTTTCGAAAGCGAGTGAAAGGGTTCCCTTTCATTGTGGTCAAGGTCTAATGTAATAAGGTATAGTTGATGGTTAACCTATAATAATTTTGTGAAATTCAGAACCACTAGAATCCTGGCTTGCAAAGAGGCCCACCCCTGATTGGCAATTTGGCATGTGGTCGGTTTCAGAAAGATGGAATTTATATACAGATATGTGACCAAAAAACATTGGTATTTAAGTGCTAAACGTAATCAAATGAAGTTATGGGACCGTCAACGCTTATTTCACTTCATTTGGTAAACTTTTTCTTTCTTCATGATAAATGTTGATCACCATGCCAAAAGTTCATCCCTATCCGGATTACTATTGTAGGGGAACAAATGGCAACAATGAAGAAAAAGGATTCACTTACCTTTTGCAAATATACTAAACTTGCAAATGATATTGAAAAGCTTTAGTTGTTTTCAGCTACATAAAGAAGGTAAGTAACGCATCCCTTATTTCCTATTTTAGTAGATGTTTAATCCTCTTTGTTTTTCTCAAAACACCAAAATCTCTAATTGCAAGCCTATTCTAAAGGACAAATCATATCTTTCCTTTTGACGAAACACATTTTTTCTTCAATCCTTAGTCAAAGAAGTGCAAAAAAAAATGACAAAAACCTAAAAATTGTGCCTAACCCATCATTCTCAATCAAATACATTGACAATATCATCTACCACTCACATAAATATGGATAAATACAAAACAAAAACAGTAAGAAAATCAAAATCTTCAATTTAAAATAAAAAAAAACTTACATTATACCGTAAATTTATCAATTTAAAATACGATATAATTATACGATATAAAAATTATATAAATAAATAATACGAAAATAATATAATTTAAAATTTTTAAAAAAATTATAAATATATTTAATAAAATTAAAAAATTATATTTTATATTATATAAAATTTTTATATAAAACATAATATTAATATAATATTTTATATAATATGATAATATAAATTATCAAATCTATCAAAAATTTAAAAATCAAAAGTAAAATAAAAAAAAAAGAAAAGAAAGGCAAGAAAATGAAAGAAAATAACAGGAAGGGTGAGGGACCACAGCATGTGGGAAGCTTCAAAAAAATAATTGGGAGCCAAATTGCAATACCAAAAAGACAATGATTTCTCATTCTCCTCCTCCATCCCCTCAGTCATCTCTTCAATCTTTTAGATCTACCCCAACACCCGTCTTTCCTTTCAAATCCCCTAATTATTCCCACTTGAAATTTTCAATTTTAAAAACCCATTTAATCATTTTCTTTTTATTTTCCCTGCTTCCTTACTAAATGCTATTAATGTGAAATTTATTAAAAGAGTTGGTGTTAATAACATTTCCAAAATTTAATCTTTGCTGACAGATAGCGGTGATTAAAAGGGAAACCGCATAGCCACCTCCATGTGCGCCTCCTCATATTAACCTTTACTCTCCCTTTCTTTTCACAAAATCCCTAACACAAACAGACACTCTTTTCTCTCTTATTTATCTTCCTCATTTTCCTCTGATCCAAACAATGCCTCTCCTTCTATCTTCTCCTTGAACCCAGGTTTTCTCTCTTTGCATTATCCTATTTCTTTGTTAAAAAAATTTTATTTTAAATGTTGGCATTTATTGCATTTTTCACTTTCTCTTCTGCATTTATTTGCTTTCTGTTTGGTTACTCAGAAGTAAAGGGAGAAAACTGCACCAAGCACTTTTCTTTGTAATTATTCACTAATATTTAAACTTTCTTTTTCGTTACATTTCTATTTTCCTTGTACCCATACAAGCTCTTGAAAAAAAAAGTTCTTGAAACTTTTTGCCATTATTTTTGAGCTTCTATTACTAGTGTTAATATTTTTTTTTTTTAATAACTGGTATTTTTTGTTAATTTTTATGCTAAAATGATGAGCTAACTCATACTCCAAACCTACTAGGCTTTTTTTTTTTCCATTTATAAAATTCACCTAAATTGGACACTTTATTATTAATACTATTATTAATATTATTATTATTATTGCCTAAAATTTTAATTTAGTCATTAAGTGCTTCAATTTTTTATTTTTTTTTATAAGATAGAGAAGTTATTGCTCGATATATTACTACTTTGTAAAAAAAAAAATCATAATTTTAGCTAGATAAGGTAATTTCCAAATGGGATAATGAACTCTTTACTATTTTAATTGATTTTTCCACTTGGGTTTAATGCTATAAATGCGTAAATTAAAGGTGTGTTGTTATTGTATAATAGTAGTAATTGACTTTTTCTCTTCTATTTTGTGAACAGAAAGATTAAGAAAAGTGAAAAATAAGAAAAGAAAATATGAATAATTCTTGGTTTGACAAAAGCTTCGATGGGGTCAGCGATGATTTTTTTGATGACGTGATAAAGTACTTGGATTTCCCATTGGAAAGTGATGAAGGGACTGATGGTGGTGGTAGTGGCGGAGAAGGTGTTACAAAAGATTTTCATTTGCCTCTTGATGACGTGGAAGAGAACAATGGTGGTGGTGGTGGTGATGATGATGGTGATGGTGAAGAGTGGGATTGTAACTTCCAAAACTTAGAGCCACCGCCTGCTAATGTTTTGGCCGGTTTGTCTTCCGGATTTTATGGCGATTTTTTCAATGATAGTTTGGCCAAAAATCATACTGTTTCAGTGAGTTCCCCTTGTTTACCCTTACCCTAGTGATTACTAATATACATATTTATGAATTTAGTAGTTATTTGGAAGTGGGTGATTTTGATTCGTGTATAGTTGCCAATTTATCATTGGAATTCTTCTCGTGGTCCAAATAGTGTTCTATAGTTAAAGTCTTTAGAGTCAATATAAAGTATTATATTTAAAGGACTAATAGCCCATTGATTTTTATGTAAACACATAATTACAAAATAGTGGTTGAAAATTGGATATGCAAGCTCTTTATGTGTCTCTGTTGAATTAATAACCCATTCTACTTGCTGGAGAGCTTATTACTAGGAGACTCATTTCGTATCATTCATGGCATGGGAATATCCTGAAAATTTACTGTCCTTTGGATTAAAGTTCTATGGGTGTCTATTAAGTTTGGGCTAGAGTGTATAATCTACCTTGTGCGTGTTGACATGCCAAATACTTTGTTGAGCGAATGACTGCTTGTGCACTTTCAAAGTGTGCTTTTAAGAAAGCAACCATTATAGCAATATGATGGCCTTTCGTTCCTACTTCATTAAAAAGCAATGTTATGAAAGTGACTTTGTTTCTAAGATATGCGTTGTTTCTCAACCCCTGAGACTACTTGCACATTCTGTTCTTTATTGACCAAATTCTTCTTTGAAGGATGCTCTTGACAGAGCATTGGCGAAAGCTGGTTATTTAGTGTGGTAAAGAGCCATAAGTGGAAATGGTTCAAGAGATTGAGACAATAATCAGAGATTATACTTTTTATAAACCAATAGATTGCATTGTATTTTGTGCTGTTGATACCATAAGAACAGGGGGCATATTATGTGCACGCTTGCACCACATGCTGTTACACTGGTAAAGCTGTTGGTCCAAACAGGCCCAATCGGTGCTTGGTTTGCCTTGCCAATAAATGGGGACCGATGTGGATTATGACTCTCTGATTGATGTTCAATAGCAGAGTGGCTCTTTTTATGGTAACTTTTATAAGAGATTTATGCTATTGTTGTAGCTGATAATTCTGAATTGGATGCCGGTCTTCTTTGTTACCATTTTCAATTGAATCCTAATACGAGTACCATAAAGATGAATAACTAATCCTTAGGGAGGCTTTGTTTTTGTTATTTATTTTTATCTTTATTTTATTTTATAGGAGTCAAGGAGATAAGACTAAAGTCTTGCTTAACGTTGTATCTGACTTTTCGCTGAATTTTTCCCTTTTGTATCTAGTGTGATGGATCCTCTCAGCTAAACCAGCAGTCAAGCACTACCAAAGCATCCTCCAGCAGAAGCATTACCCTACACAGCGAGGCTGCCGATATCAAAGGTTCAATCCGGTTCCAGACCTCCAGTCCAGTATCTGTACTTGAAAGCAGTAGCTCTTGCTCAGCTGCAAATGCCACACCTGTTAACCCTAAACTCAGTTTCCTGGTGAAGCGCAGTCGAAGCAACCGCAGACGAGCATCTACCTTTAACCTGCAGTTTGCAGTGTCTTTCTTATCCTCCACCTCCTCTACCTCAAGAGGATCTAATTCTCTGGTTGGTTCTGAATCTGAATCAGAAAGCTTTCTTACCGACAAACCTGCAAAAAAGAGACAGAAGAAGAAAAAGAACCTGACATTGCTTTCAGGTTCCACTGAGATCAATAAATCCACCTCCCAACAGCCTATTATTGTTAGGAGATGTATGCACTGTGAAGTTACAAAAACTCCACAATGGAGAGCGGGGCCGATGGGACCAAAGACCCTCTGTAATGCATGTGGAGTTCGCTACCGGTCTGGCCGCCTCCTCCCAGAGTATCGTCCGGCTGCAAGTCCTACATTTGTTCCATCATTGCACTCCAACTCTCATAAGAAGGTTGTAGAGATGAGAAAAATAGGCAAGCTGCTGATGGCTGTGAGACCATCCATGTTGTCAAACCCACCAGAAAAGTCATTTGGATAGCAACTGCATTGATAATTATTAGTTCAGAAAGCTTCAATAGCCAGTAGGGAGTTTCCATGTTCTGTATCTTATATTAATTTTTCCCCCTTATTCTCAGTGTGTACATTGATGGAATGAGTAGGAACTTAGATGACATGTTTTGCAGGAAAGACAGGCAGGAAATAGGCAGAAAATATCTCAGTGAGTGAAGTAGAGCATGGAGGGTGGATTTTCAAATTAGGTTTAGTGATGCTTATGCCATTTAGAGTTGCTTAACATGTTTGACAGTATCAGGTCCCACCCGATTCATTTATTCTTCTTAAATGCAATTTTTTCTGGTGTCTCTCTCGAGATAATCATCTATTCTCTCACTTCTACCCTATTGTTTTTGAGTAGGGAAAGATAATATAAGATCAAACAAACCGATTGATTTAAGATCTTACTTCAACTCCAGTGTAATTGCATCTTCTTTCATGCTCTATAATGCAGATTCTGGCAGCTGGACAGCCTGTTATTGCAAGAGGCCCAGATTTGGCCAAGCCCATTTCTCTCTATAACTCAATCTATTGAACTTAAAAGTGAGGATTTGTTCAGAAAACACAGACAAAATAGGCTAACCCAATTTCTAAGCCCAGCCTATTTGAGACAGTTCTTTGGAATACCAATCTCAACACCCCAATTACGTGGCCTAGTAGTTTTTTATCATCGTTTGTTGTCAGTACCATAGAATAAGGAAAGCAATTACATGATTTTCACCTGACCAATTTCTTGTTCTTGTTTTGAATGATTATCAACACCAGTTTCATTGTACTTGTTTAAGTTTTCTCGGTCAATCTATAGGTTTTTACTGCCAATTCACACAACATATTCAAACAAAACTTGCCATACTTTCAATGACACATCATTGGAGACGAGAAAAATGTTCAGATGCATCGAATTACATCTTTTTTAATTTCACTCATTCATGAATTTTCGCTGGTTGTTCTTGCACGCCCATGTAAAATCATTTGATTAATATTCAACGAACTAACACGAAATACATGAATTACCTAATCAAACATGCTATATGAATTTTTTATTTACGCTCTAAATTTCAATAACCGTGTTATGTGTAATAAATTATCAATAGTAATTAAAATTTGTCAAATATTCCATATTTATTATAGGTGCGTTTCATACTCTTAATCGACATATATGTAATTTAAGAAATATTATTCTTAGTATACAATACTTAAATTCAAAAAATTCAAGATTTCATTTTAAAAATTATTAAACAAAAGATAATGAAACGATTCTTGAGAGATTAGACATAAAAATATATTAAAATCAACATTAATAAAAGTATTTATATATTTTAATCTGTGTTAGAGACACTTCTTCATGAATCATCATGTTTTAAGCAAATAATTATAATTTTGAAAATAAAATATTATATCAAACAAATAATTTTTTTAATTTTTAATAAAAATAAAAACCATGACATTCTACCTTACAAGCAAATGTTCATTCGAAATGTGAAATCATGCAAAGCTTTCTACAATCCATCTTCCGACCTTTGAATGTTCAAAGCAAATTTTCAAATAACTTACTCTTAAACATGATCATTCGAATTTTCTTTAAATAGCACTTGAATCACTTTACTTTTTTTTTTTTTTAATTCTAATGACTATTTATCAACATTTAAACATTATTTTTTCAACGCAAATAAAAATCACATGATTTCAAATTTTTTATATTTTATAAAAGACACTTAAAATACTTTGAAAATACATATAATTTGATAACAAACACAACAAATTTTCAATTCAATCAAAAATTGGGTTAGTAAAATTATGAAAATTTAGTAGATAAAAAAGGAAAATTGGACGGAAGGAAATTAGAGGATGCGTTTTGGCAGGGAAATTGAAAAAGGAAAATTTATTAAAACTAATTTTAAAAAAAATAGATATAATGAATCGTATATTAGTATTATATAAAATATTAAAATATTAAAATTTATATTTATTTTAAATAAAAATTATATATCATAGTTTATATTAATATAAAAATATAAAATATATTTTTAATTTTTTAAAAATATATATAATTATTATTAAAATTTTAAATTATATTTTTATATCATATTTAAAATTTTAAACCATATTTTAAAAAGCTGTCAAATGAAAAACCGAAGTTTTGTCACAGCCCATATCAGCACGTCTCTGCTTTGTGTCCTTTCTTTCCGCAGTAATGTAAATGTAAAGCTCATGATTTTATCTCGTACTAAAAGATCTCAACCGTACACTTGGCAAATTTCGCCAATCTACTGCCAAAAGCCATCTGTCATCAGTCTAAACACATTTACTGCTACTAACTCGGCTGAGTTCCGTTGAGATTGAAAACCAGTGGAAAGACAAAACGACAGAGATTCCTGGGCTGTCTCCCTTCGCCCATGGGGCCCACTATTTACCTCCGCTTGGAATGTAATGTCCCATCATTCTACAGTCCCCGAGAGGCCCACAGTCTTCGTCATCATGGGCTATACGCCTTCTGATCTTGCCACGTGGTTGAAACATGCTTGCCCACGTCACCCGGTTGTTCTTTAGCTGTCAGAAGAAGAAGCGTGGTTAAAAATTAAAATGCGCACGCGGTGCACGATAGGGAAGATTGCAAACCACGGACGATTAGATCGGCGAGTTGTTGGATTTTGTTTTTTTTTGGAAAAAGAACAAAAATAGAAAATAAAAAATGACATAACGGCCTGCTTTTTTTTTTTTATCAAGGGAATTAAAAGGGTTTCTATGTTTTTTTAGGACAAAAAATGTGATGTTTTATCTAATTTTTGAACCTTGCTTTGGTCTTTGGACTGTTTTCATGTGACATTTTCCTAGGTTTAGATCATAAATATGGTTTGTCTAAGAGTGTTCTGACTACCAATTTTACCTTCTTTTAGATGAAACAATTAAGATGGAGAATCTAAATTTTTACTTTTTATAATTGAAAATTTTATTTCAGATCCAAAAAAAAAAAAAATGCAGAAACAAAGTCTGCCTAAATTACAAATGGGCTATCGGTGGCTTATCCCTTAACTCGTGCAAAAGTTTTTTTTTTCTTTGATGATATTAGAATTTGAAGTTCAATATTTTATTAACAATTCACGTGCAATAGTTATCGCACAAAGCTTATTGTTTTAATAACATAAAAACCTTGAATGAACACTAGCATCAATATGTTGGAACACCATTTTAGTAAATTTTTTTTTTAGAGGTTAAAAATAAATTTAATAATCTAAAATATGATATGATAATATAATATAAATAAAATATAAAAATGAAATAATTTAAAATTTTAATAATTACTATATATAAGTTTAATAAAATTAAAAATATATATTTTATATTTTTATGTCAACATAAATTATAAAATATAATTTTTGTATAAAAAATATATAAATATATAAATTTTAATATTTTATATGATATAAATGCATAAATCAATAAATTTAATTAAAAAAAACACCCGATTAGGCAAGGGTAACAGAAGCCGACTTGTTAACCTTACAAGACCCTAAAAATGGATATTGATGGAGAAGAGGCAAGGCAAATAGGCAAGTGGGACTGTGGGAACATAGGACTAAGATATAGAGCCTAAGCATAAGATAAGAATAGGTTCAAAAATCCGACCTACATATTTGTAATGGTAACACAAAAAGGAAAAGTTAATTCTATCAATTAATTTGTCTGTCTATATCAATGTTGATTATTCACCAAACAACTCTTGATTTTCCTTCTCTTTAGGGCTTTCCTTTTTACCTTTTCCAGGGCATGTTTTCCTCTTGCTTTCTAACAATTTCATGTTCTCTGGATTTGTCTACTTGGATTCATGTCCCATTGTCGGTTTTGATGTTGTTTCGTCACCAACACCTTTCAATTTGTTCTTTTTTTCCAAAGGGTTTTCTCTTCTGTTTGAAATGCATGGCCTTCAGGCCATTTTCTTCCTTTTTTTTTTTTTTCCTTATATTTTGTCTGATTAAGGTTGGAGATTCTGCCGTCCCTTTAGAGCATTTATTCTTGGATAATGTTGACAAAAATTGTTTGTGAAACTTGACAAGCATTTTCCCAATTTGTTGTGTTTTATTTTCATGTCTGTAACCAAAGCTTTAGCTTTCAATTGAAGCCTTTGTAGAATTGAGAGTAGTTATCTTGAAGCAAGTACAAATACTATATCCTTATAAGGAATTCAAAGAATCCCATCAATATTGCATTTCAAAGATTGCTATATCTGAATTTTAGCCTGCAAATTTGAAGGTGGGATCAATTTTTTTTTTTTGGGTTACATTAACATTTATTTTTAATTTTTTCAAGTCTCAAAAATATAATAAATTAAGAAGATTATTTTTCTATGGTGTGTTTTCTAATTTGGTGATGAACAAATTATGCATTTTCTAATGGTTTAATCAAATAAAAAAAAAGAAAAAATTGTAATAAAAGGAAAGAAAATGAAATGAAAAGAAATCGAATTTGCAAGCAATACTTGACATGATGGGTGGAAGTTTTGTTGAATCAAGAGCAACTTGTTGGAACTTATTTCCAACAATTATAGATTGACATAAATAAGTAAATATTAGTTTTGTTGTCAAAGGGAGTTGTGGTGGCATTATTAGAATTACAATTTATATCGATGACATTTTATTGATAAAATTTTTTCATAAATAATTATTAACGAAATATAAAAAAAGTTAACATTTATTGACGGATTACCTATTTGCATTTGCATGCAATTTCTTTTTTTTTTGTATTTATTTCTTTTAATATTTAATATTATCATATATTGAATTCTAATAATTGAAATTATGAATCCTTTGAAAAAAAAAATTATGAATCCAAAGTTTTATCAATTAACCACAATTTTGTTCACATTATTTTTTTTCTTATCATTGTTATTCATACTATCATACAACTTCAATTTGAAAAAAAAAAGTTTTTTTTTTTTTTTGTAGTATAACTGAAATTACTCATTTCATGAATTTATTCCTCTATAGAATATAATAACTTTAGAATCAATTATTTCTTCAAATTTATGTAATATTCATCTTTTTTTCATGTTAGATAGTTCAAAATTTTATTAATTATCATTAAACTTACTTTAAATATTTTTAAAATCATATGTTCAAATCAAATTTAATTCAAATAATTTCAAATCTTAATAAGCATTTATCATAACTAAAATCTTAATATTTGAGACCAAAGTCAATAGCAAAAACTCTAAAACAGCTCATTTCTATAGTCTTAATATAATTACATAAGAAAATTAAAACTACTAATTGATTCAATCAATTAAGATTATTTTTTTCGACAAAAAAAATTATAAATTTAAATTTTATTAATAATTATTTATTAAAGTTATTTCGAATATATGATTTATAATTATTTATTTTAAATTATTAGATATAATATATTTTATTTTGATATAAAAAATTAAAAGATTGAACATCTATTCACCTCTAAATTTTTTTTTACAAAAAAAAAAAAAAATCGAAACTGAATCAAACTCATGATTCAGGAGCCGATTTCTTGCTCACTCACGACTCCTTGCATGACTAAGCCGTCTCAACAGTAACTATTGCCATAAATATTTTGTTAAAAAAATAGTCCAAACCTATTAATTACGTGGCATTTCCTAAATCGTTATTGTGTCAACACCATGGAACCATCGTCTTTTTCCTCGTCACCTCCGACCAAAAAAACGCAAAAGTCCCCACAAAAGAAAGTTCCCCACATCCGGTCACGAGCGTAGAAACCACCTCTCTACTGTATAGAGGTTTGAATTATAGAATGGATTGAATTAAATTTAAATTTAGACAAATAATATGAATTTTTATTCGGATAAATGCTGGAAACTCTACTTTGGTGATATTGTTGTTAAATCACGCGCCTGAAAGGAAAACAGACTGAGAGAACAGAGAATGGTCAGTCCAGTTCCAATCCAATGGGCAAAAGTTAACTATGGTTTAACCACAGTTAATCATGAATTAACTATAGTTAGTTTTGTCGATGTTGTTTCAGAACACTGTGGTATGATGACAGAACAAAACAGTATCTCTCCTGTTCTGTCGCGATATTTCACTTTCATATATCACCACATTATATTTTAACGCTTTAATCACGTTTTAATCCAAAAAAAATAAAGCATTTTGTTGGTATAAAAAAACTTTAACCTTTTTGTTTGATCTGGGATCTATTTGTTTGTTCTGTTCTTGTTTTAAGATCACATGAAGTCAGGTGGTGGAGAGAGAAAGTAGAGAAAGAACAAAGCTTTGGGTTTGGACAATGAGTTGAGATACAGATATAATGGTCGTTTCCGTACCTGATTTCTGAAACGAGATTAATGTCTTTTCCCATCTCTTTTCTCTCTAAAAAAAACCAAACCCAGTTTCAAAAACCTGCAAAATTTTCAAGTTATAAAGCATTGAAATTTTCATTTGTTTTAGTAGTATTTTTTTTTTTTACTGTAAATCAGTGGGGTTTTTCTTTTCTTTGAAAACTATCTTGTGTCTCATTTGCCAGTCTTTTTCTTATGCTGTTTAATCGTCACGCGAGAGAGAGAAAAGGAAAGGAAGCGTTGCATTAAAGGGTGTTTTTTTGGAAGACAAGAAAGTGTGACAAGAAGAGTTGTTTTTGCACAGTTTGTTTGGTTTTGAAGAAAAAGGTAAGATATTTTTAATTAATGTCCTAAAATTTAATGAACTGGTCTCACTTTTTCAGTTGTTGTTTCATTTCAAACTTTTTCATTCTTGTCTCAAACTTAATTTATAACCAATTCGTGGGTTGTTCACAGCATTGGAAGTTCTGGATTTCAAATCGTCACAAGTTTCTGCTTTTTTCTCCTAAAAAATCTCTACTTTGAAGGCTGATCAAAAGAGAGCCCAAAGAAATGAAGGAGCCAGAAAAGAGTTTGGATCCAGAGCTATGGCATGCCTGTGCTGGATCCATGGTTCAAATCCCACCAGTGAACTCCAAAGTCTTCTACTTTCCTCAAGGCCATGCTGAGCACTCTCTGTCTTCCGTGGATTTCTCATCTTCTCCTCAAATCCCGGCTCTTATTCTTTGCCGGGTGGCTTCTGTCAAATTCTTGGCTGATATTGAAACTGATGAAGTATATGCCAAGGTCAGGCTTATACCGTTGCCTAACAGTGAGCGTGATCTTGAAGACGATGCCGTCTTAGTTGGTGGTTTTAATGGGTCTGATAATGTGGAAAAGCCAGCTTCTTTTGCTAAGACATTGACTCAATCTGATGCAAACAATGGGGGAGGTTTTTCTGTTCCAAGATATTGTGCTGAAACCATTTTCCCAAGATTGGACTACAGTGCGGATCCTCCTGTTCAAACTGTTATTGCCAAGGATGTTCATGGTGAGGTTTGGAAGTTTAGGCATATTTATAGGGGGACTCCCAGGAGACATCTGTTGACTACTGGCTGGAGTAGTTTTGTGAACCAGAAAAAACTTGTTGCCGGAGACTCAATTGTGTTCTTGAGAGCTGAAAATGGTGATCTTTGTGTTGGGATTAGACGAGCAAAGCGTGGGATTGGAAATGGACCTGAGTCTGGTGCTCCAGCTTGGAACTCTGGTCTTGGAAATGGAAATAGTGTTGGTCCTTATGGAGGGTTTTCAGCTTTCCTGAGAGAGGATGAGAGTAAGATAATGCGAAATGGGAGTTTGGGTTTTGGTGGGAATTTGAGAGGAAAGGCAAAAGTGAGGCCAGAGGATATTTTGAAGGCTGTGGCGCTTGCTGCTGGTGGCCAGCCATTTGAGGTTTTTTATTACCCAAGAGCAAGCACACCAGAGTTTTGTGTTAAGTCATCTGCAGTAAAGGCGGCAATGAGGATTCCTTGGTGTTCTGGGATGAGGTTCAAGATGGCTTTTGAGACTGAGGATTCTTCCAGGATTAGCTGGTTCATGGGGACTGTATCTTCTGTTCAAGTTGCTGATCCCTTCCCATGGCCTAATTCCCCATGGCGGCTTCTCCAGGTTACCTATTTCTCTCTTATTCTTATGTATTTGTGCGAAATCTTGGTTTATTTCTTTTATGAGTTAGCACCTGTTAAGACTGCATCATATCTTTATAAATTATAACCTCTTAACCCTGGTATCTGTTAGTATAAATTGGATATTTCGGATGGATTAGGCGAATTAATGAGCTTTATCAAAATATGAATTAGCTTTTCAACCTCTTCGTTGCAGCACCATAATGATTCTTGGTATACCATGTTTTCAACTCTTCCTAGTCTCTTCAAGTCTGGATCTGCTTTGCTATTTCAAGTCTCTCATTCAATTTTTCTGTAACTGACTTTGTTCATCTATTGCACTATTTCTGATGGATTCAACTACTTTTTTGCCTGCAAACATTATGTTACCACAAATATTGTGTCTGGTTGTTAGGCAGGTGTCTGTCTGGCATGACCATTGTGGAATTCGCTTGTTAACACCATTGTAGGTGTTTCATGAAATTATTACATGGGAACATGCAATTGTATCCTTTTTTCTCCATTTAATTGATATCCCTGAATGTTCTTAGCAATTTGGTTGTTTCTGGTGCATTTGCTGATTTAACTTGAAGGACAATTGTAATCTGTATTCAGACTAAAGAAATTTACATGCATCAAATTGTTTCTATATTTTTTCATTTGGTTGTCCTTGTTGGTAATAAATGGCTTGATTTAGGAACTGAAAATTTTATTCATGGCCTTTACTCTTTTTGACAGATATAGTTCAATTTGGCTTTTGGTTATAAAGTGAATTGCTCATGAAAACAGATTTCTGACACAGCTTATTTATTTTTTGCTGTACAAATATGTTCTTAGTAATTTAAGCTTTTAGATTTTTAGAATTACATAACCGGTAATTTGCTGCTAAAAGAAAATCTTTCTGGAGCTTAGCTCAACAGATATATTGGTTAATCACAATAACTCTTTAGTGTTTAGATTGTTAACTTTAAATTCCCTAGAGAAGTTTTACTCTTTAGATTCGTTTTTGGTTCTTTGAAAGAAAATTTGACTTGCGGACTCATCCTAAAAGTGGATGTCTAAGCTTTCTCGGTCCATAAAGGCATTAAAATAGTTAGCTTGTTTAGTGTTTATCCGATGCTTTGATAATCAATTAGGTGATAATCACTATTGCAGGTGACATGGGATGAACCGGATTTGCTGCAAAATGTTAAACGTGTGAGTCCCTGGTTGGTTGAACTGGTATCAAACATGCCTGCTATCCACCTCTCACCCTTCTCACCACCGAGAAAGAAGCTGCGGCTCCCCCAACACCTTGACTTTCCCCTTGACGGGCAATTTCCGATGCCGTCATTTTCAGGCAATCCCCTTGGGCCCAGCAGCCCCTTGCGTTGTTTATCTGACAATGCTCCTGCAGGCATACAGGGAGCCAGGCATGCTCAATTTGGATTATCTTTATCAGATTTCCATCTTAATAATAAACTGCAGTCGGGACTGTTTCTGTCCAGTTTCCAGCGGTGTGATCCACATTCTAGAATTTCTGATGGCATCATGATGGCAAGGCGCACAAACAGTAATGACAATGTATCTTGCTTGTTAACAATGGGGAATTGTAGTCAGAAAGAAAAGTCTGATAAGGCAAAAAGGTACCAGTTTTTACTCTTTGGTCAGCCAATACTAACTGAGCAGCAGCTCTCTCGGAGCTGTTCAAGTGAAGCTGTCTCACAAGTTATTAATGGAAAGAGTTCATTAGATGGTAATGGAGACAAAACAAAAGATTCTGCTGATGGTTCAGGATCTTCTCTTGAGAATCTTTTTTCTACAAAGAAGTCATCTACTGCTGGATTTTTGTGGAAGCAGGACTATCGAACCACAGAACTTGGCCTGGATACTGGTCATTGCAAGGTATTCTTGGAGTCAGAGGATGTGGGACGAACTCTTGACCTGTCTGTTCTTGGTTCTTATGAAGAGCTATACAGGAGGTTGGCCAACATGTTTGGAATAGAAAGATCAGAGATTTTGGGCCATGTTCTGTATCGAGATGCAACTGGTGCTGTCAAGCATACTGGAGATGAACCATTCAGGTATCAACTGAAAAACTCCATTCATTGTGTTAAGTCATTTTTATCTTGCAGATACAGAAATAATGAACTATAAAACATCAAAATTTCTGATTTTAAACTGTAGTTAGCTTCTTCGAGTTTATATTTACACAAACTTTCCTTCTCCTCTTTGGGATTGTAGTGCTTTTATGAAGACAACCAAAAGATTGACAATAAGGATGGATTCAGGCAATGATACGGTTGGAAGGTCAGTCAAGCTTTTCTTAATTTTCCAATTTTTTCTCCTTTAATAAGTTTCAAACAATACCAACTTGCAATGCAATGTTCTAAACTTGTTGGATTGTTAACAACTTGTTCTTACTAAACTTGTTAAACCTGTTTTCAAGGTCATGGCTCACGGGAATGCGAACTGCTGAAAATGGTCCCTTGAGCATATTTGCATGATTTGGAGCCGATGTCATAGAACTTGCATGATTGATGCATGAAAGGATCTTTCAAGAAGTTGTAGAACAGTGTGAGGACTTTTTAGCTCCTCCTAGGGGGATGTCTGCATAGGTTTCTTGTCCAAGTATTTGTGTTAGAAAAGAACATTGATGTCTTATAATTTGCTGAATGTTTATCAGTTTATGTTGATATTTATCATGACTCCATGCATCCATGCAATTGCAAGTAATTCTGTTTGCGCCTGTTTCCACATTTGCTCCATAATGTAATCGAAAATTCCACGCTCTGTTACTTACAACAGATGTAAATTGTCTGAAAACAAATGTCTATAATTTTGCATGTTCTAACTGTTATCGTGTTTCCGTCCGACGATTCCACTGATAAATGTGAAAAGTAAGGATAAGATTAATTCATATTCATATTATTTTTAGATGGGCAGATAGTTGTTGTGAGGATATTATGACTTGCTTCACGTGTAATCTTATTTTTGGATTTAACTTCAAATTCACAAATCAAGGATCGGTGATTAATTACATTTAAAATAAAAAATTGATAGGACTTCTTATTTCTTGTGATTAACAATTGAGTCCTCCAACTAATATAATTACACGTGAAAAAAATAATAATATCCTCACAATATATATCCATTTATCTTAAAATAATAGGAATTTAATCTCATTTTTTTCATTAAGATCTTATTGTGAGGGTATTATTATTTTTTCACGTGTAATTATATTTTTAAATTTAATTTTAAATTTACAAATCAAATATTTGTGATCAATTACATTTAAAAAAAATTGATAATAATTTTTTATTTTTTATGTTTAACAATTGAATCCTCAAATTGATTCGTTATCATATTTATTATCATGATTAATTGAATAAAATCTTAGGATCTTAATTAAAGAAAAATGAGAGGTTGGGATCATAAACAAAGAAAATATGAAAGACATGACTGTTTCAACGACGGCGAAGGAGGGTGTGGTCCGGTTTGAGGTTTGAAAATCACTGAATTTTGTAAGCACTAAAAAAAAAAAAAATCATTAAAAATCTCAAAACCAAAGCTTAGAAAAAGAAAATGGGATTTTAATGTTTGATGGGGTCCAACTCCGAATCCAAATAAAACAAAAATTTTTACAAACAGGCACACGTGAGGGTGGGACCAATCATCGAACAGCAAGGTTTGGAAGTTGGAAGTGATCAAACAAATAAACGGTCCCACGTGTGGCCTCCTTGTTCTTCGCCGTTTTGATGGCCGAGCCTCTCGCTGGCCCTCCCCTCCTCTTTCGGTTATCCATTGTCACCCTTATCTTCTCCCCCACTTGAAACCAAATTTTCATTACTTTTCACGAAATTAAAAAAAAAAAAAAAGTTTTAGTTTTATTATATTTAATATTAAATTTTAATTTTTTATAAAATTAAAGTTTTATAACTTTTAATATCAAAAAAATTTTAAAAATCATAAAATTAATTTAAAAAAATAAAAAAATACGAGTTTAAATATTTAAAAATATATATAGCTTCAAAATTTTTTTCCTTTTCATTAGCTTTCTTTCTTTAATTTGCAAACTAAACTTTAAATCCTGCAATTTTCTATAATTATATGAAAAATAATACATTGTCTTTTATTTTATTCGAATCATTCGAATCATTCTACTTTCATAATTTTTACCATTTTTAATGAAAATTATGCTTTATTAATAACATCATTCCAGAATCTTTAAATTTTGTCTAAATCTAATTTTCTTCGTAAATGATCTTAAATACATACTCTTCCATAGCAATTTAGTGCATTTAAGAGCTTATTCTCAAAAGATTCTTAAAAAAATCAAATATAATAGAAAAAATTTTCAAACCTGCCATTAAAGAAATCAACAAATGCTGTTCCAAAAACATCATATGAATGACAAATTTGTTTAAAGGCAATGAACTTCAATGGTAATGAAAACCCCAAAAAAAAAAAAAAAAAACAAAAAAAACCGATACTGGGTGTTCAAGGCAAAATTAAGCATAGAGCACTGAATCCAACAAAGAGTTGTTGTTAGTGGTGTTCTAAATGTTGCATCACTGAGTTGAGCTTTCATCCACTTTGAACAATTAATCCTATTTTTTTATGAAAACAATTAATAATTAAATAAACACAACAATCACAAGATCCGAGAATATCACGAAAATGGTACTTTTGACGAACAATCCGTCAAATCCAACTTAATTTTCTTGATAATATATATTTTTTATTATATATATTTTTTATTTTAAAAATATATTTCAAAAATATGTCAATTTTTTAACTAATGAAATTAAAATAAATTTTCTTTACATAGAAACGACAGAGATATGATGACGTGGCTTGAAGGCCCCGTTCGTGCGGTGGACCCGAGTGGGGATTTTTCCTTTCGTCCCTTTCGAAGGTGAAAAGATCATGGACTTTGGAATACGTTGGGTACGGTTGAGATTAATTTCACTTGTGTCTGATGTACGATCATGATTTCATCCGTTTTTATCGCCGTCGCTGCAGATTACGGACGATATCATAAAACAATCTCATCTCATCTCCTCCCGGAATATTGATATTTTGACTTATCATGACATTTTCGACTCTCCAATCTCTTTCTATATTATCCTACTATGCATAGTAAAACATAAACATATATAAAGAAATGGTTCATTTTCTTTTCCTTTTCTTGCTAATATATTATTGTTATTATTAGTATTTTTATTTTGATTGGCTACTATTAAATATTAATATAATTTTTCTTGTTTTCTTATTTTTTGATTTTTGATAATGTGATCATTAATTTTTTAAAATTTTATTTAAATTTAATTTTTATTAAATTTAAAAACATATTTTTTAATATCATCTCGAGTTATATTTGTAGGTGTTCAAAAAAAATCCAACCTAATTGCATTTATAATTTTCGATTCTTGCTATTTATTTTTTCGTTCATTCTATTATTTGGTATGGAAAAGGATAAAACTTTAAAAAATTATATACATTATAATAAAATTCACATTGAACATATAGATATAGTAAGTAAAATATACTATAAGATAATATTGGGTCTTAGGTTCTTTTAGGATATATAAAAAAGCATATGCATTAATAATGTTGAGAACAGAACATCACATGTTTGTCTTGCAAAATGGTTAGTTAGGTATTCCGTTAGGTCACATTGTCCAAATTATTATAGTTGGAGATCATGACATGTTTGTTTGCTTTACAAAAATGTTGATACTATTTATTTATATATACATATGCTAATTTACTATGATTATTACTTGGATAGACTTGCCTCAACCTCTTTGTGAAGGTGAAGATCAAAAATTTGAAGATAAAAAAATTATAAATATTAAAATTTAAATTTCAAACATACAAAATGCCATATTTTAAGAATATTTACTTAAATTTAATGAAATAAATCTCGGATTCATGGATATATATTTTCGTATTATAAAGAGATTATTATGTGATTAATAATATGAAAACAAGTTGAAGATGGAATACAGAAAAATTACAGATTTTAAATGGGAAGTGAAAGGAGATAGATAGTTGTCAACAAGCATTATCCTTTTAAATTTTAGTGGAGGATTAATGACGAAAAGGGTGACTAATTAAAGGAAAAAATAAACACCATATCCTTTGAAAGGACACCCTAACACAAGTTGGCCATCAAATCAACTTGAACGGGAAGATGACAAAGGATAAAAGGAACTCAAAAACAAATTAAGCTAAGATTGCGTGACAAAAACTATTCAAGAAAAGAAAAAAAAAATGTGGAGGGCCACTGACCGGAGATAAAGATTCTTATGTTGTTTAGTGGATTTTGGAGGTTGATCAATGTCAGAAACAGGGAAAACCCATTGATCAAAAAAATGATGTAGAGAACTAATAAATTTGATTCACTTTATGGGCATGGAGATAGTCAAAATACATGATGATAAAGAAGAGGAGCAAGAAAAAGATAATGGTGCGTTCACAATCAATCAAGTCAAATATTCAAACAGAAGAAGAAAAGCAAGAAAAAGTTAATGGGGCTTTCACAATCAACCAAGACAAATATTCAAACATGCAATGAAGCTTTGGTGATAATGCAGTGCAGACCTTACACAGAATTTAGATGATTTCTGGAATTGGTCGAATCTTGGATATGTGAATGATGATATTCACAAGGTTGTAGAGTGAAACTGAAGAGAAGTAAATTATATAACTAAACATGAATGAAGTAAGATTTTGAGGCTTCAATTTAAGCTCAAATTATAAAGACAAGAAACGTACAAAAAGTCTTCATATGAGTCAAAGCCATCCCCATCCCATGCATGTTAATGCATTGTTAGGTATTTATGCATGTTAATACATAGATTTATGCTGTAAAAATATATATATATATATATATTTTAACATGGATAAGTTATATAACTAAATTTCCCAGCAATAATCATCTCGTTAATTTTGCATTTGATCCTATTAAGGGCTTAGCCTGAAGCCTAGCCTGACAATAAGGTTAATACCAGGTAAAACCCACCATTAAACTCTGTTTCAAAAGTAAGAAATGCAAATGCTGGGATGAGAAAACAACCATCATAGGAAGGAGAAAGAGGTACAAGAATGAGAAAGAACTTGCCAAATAACAAGAAAGCACCGTCACCATGTTTGTTAACAATGGATGCATTGACAGATATGAATAAGCCTCTTAAAATGCCAGTTTTATAACGGAACGAGACAACCTTTGCACGTCTACGGAAAGCTCTGTTCTGACTACATTGATTCAGCGCTGCAAGGGAAGAAGCTCTATGTAAGTCGAATATTTATAAATTCCAACCAAACAATCGGTATGACAATGTGGTTGCGATTATCCCGTGAGCCTAAGACATGACAGTCAGCCGGGAACTTAAAACCTACATCCTTCATGTCAGAATGTATGATATTAAAAGAAACACTCTGGTTGGAGAGCCACAGTGGGGTTGTTCTTCAAGTTGAACAACAACCCGTATAGCTACGGCTTCATCGTACCAATTATATCTTTTAACGGTATGACAATAACTTGGCCAGCTTATATTATTTAATGGATCTGCACTACAGATAAGCAAAGGTGGTTTTAGAACAACAGATATTATCTAATATAAAGCACACAACAAATAACACTTATTCCTTATAGCAGGCAATGACGTACTAGATATGCATATTCAGCAACTTGACACCGTATGTTTTTGGTACTTCACTATTTGTTTGGATTAGCTAAAGTATGGGTCCATTAACGGATTACAAAATATTATTACTATCTAGATATCAACACTCAAGGGCATGCCAATCATCTCTCCCAATTGTTGAAAGCATCTTTACCATTTTATATGGGCATCAAACCTGCAAAAGGAATATGGAAATGTCAGAATCTATTTTGAAGAAACTGTTAATTGTTACTACTGAATTGCAAATGCTTCGTAATGTTCAAGCTATTAAATGTCCATGACATCTCATAAGATCCAGGGCTTAACACATTGTCAAACTGATAAGTATACAGCACACATACGCATGCACCAAACAAGGTTTAAAATCTACACATGATCAAGAATAAATACTGGTAAAACAGATAAATACACCATCTTAACTCGTAAGCTGCATGATATTGGATACAACAGCAGCAAACCAGAAGAAAACTGGACTGGAACACTGAAGAAAGTTTCTCCCACCAATAAAACGATCACTGCTCTCCATAGACGAATCCAATTTTGAAACAACATTTAATAGACTGTCCTTTGCAAAGTTTAGCAAACAAACGATGAACATGAAGAGGTTTGGTTCAATCTACTTACATTACATTGCGTTTGAACAAGAGAAAAAGGGTTGGGAGATTTTTTTTCTATCCTTCTTTTAAGGGATCCTAGTCATACATTTCCCCATACCACAAAAAGGGAGACCTAGAGAGAAAGGTGAAGAGATTTAAACTTGTCTTGTCAAATTTTTCGCTCTGCTACTAAAGCAGTCCAAAAGATAAAGGCTTTGCTTGGTAAGAAGGATGGAAACAGGTGAAGATGAGAAACTTGTTAATAATGGTTAAAATTCATAGCAACTTTCCTACTTTATAGCTTAACCATTAGATTAATAATTTTTCCATCCTACCAAGCAAAGCCAGAAGGTAGTAGAAAGGTGAAAACAACGACTTTGCAACCCACAACAAGAAGCACATTTCCCTGAAACATACAAATCAATAGAGTATAGCCTAGAGTTATCTGTTACTACTTCAGTACTTCCCCTTTCTCCCCCGCAACCAAACGAGACAGAAGAATCATCTTTGCACCCTCCTTGGTCCTCTCTTGCTAGTTGCTACACCATTAAACTTCTCAACAAGAGAAATTAAGGGTAAACCTCCTCTACCCTGCAATTCTCCCTATATGTCATATATCCTGTTTCTATCATCTTTCTCCAAACTCCACAAGATAGAAGCTATGTAAAATTATATGAAATGATAGCAATTTATCCTACTAAGCCACCCTAAAACATAGCCTAACTAGTTTGGCCCAGGGAACAACATATGAATGAACAATAATATAAACAACAAATAACAAATAAGAGTTAATAATATTAGAAAAAGTACCAGAATTTAGAGGGAAGGGGGGGGGGGATTAGTTGTAGTAGAGCTCGAGGCCCATGCCATCGTGAATCTCGTAGTCTTTGAGGGTGATGTGATCCTTGTAGATGGTGTACCACTTCTGGATTCGAATCTTGTCAGCTCTGGTTCCGTTCTGAGCTGCGACCAGCTTCTTAAGGTCGCCGATGGTGTCGTCCTCGTTGCACTTCACCCGCACCTTCTTCCCCAGCCTGTCGTTCAGCACCACCTGTATTAACTTCAAGCAAAACACTATTTCCTCCAAAGAAAACCAAAATTTTTCAAAGATTGCGTAATAGTATAAGGCTGCGATTGATTTATCCGCCTCGATCACACCATTGCCGTTGGTTGTCGACGCGGCTTGTTATGTGCCGTAGGATTCGAGAAATATCCTTTCAGAGTAATTTAGTACTTTTCATCGACGTAAAGATTTGCATGACCGGCAATGCTTCACACGTGTCATTAGGTCGGTGGTCATGCAAATTACCGGTCCTTTTTGAAATTTCTTTTTTTTTTTCCTTTCCCCTCTGAATAAATTGTTTTTCAGGTTCTAATCCTTTCGTAGTTGGCAGTATTATTAGTCATTGGTCTTGGAATAAATCGGACCGTTCGTATGTTTATATCTCGTAAGAAAATAAAGTTTATAAAAAAAAATCTAACGCTTTATATATTCATAAAATATAAAATATTAAAATTTATATATTTTATACATATTTTACATAAAAATTGTAATCATAATTTGTAATAATTCAAAAACATAAAATATAATTTTTTAATTTAATTTAATATATAAAATTATTATTAAAATTTTAAATTATATTATTTTTATATTTTATTTTCATATTATGTTCATCATGCCTAGTTTAGAGGGATACCTAGAAAAAAGAAAGTAATAGCAATCAACTTGCTATTCAAAGTGTCATTCATTGATTCTGAAGTCTTCATAGCCGCCAATGATGTCAAGTTAGAAGATCGAAAAAACTGCAAGAACGCCAAAATCAAGAAACTAAGCCAATGGAAAACTGAAAAAAGGGCGGAAGAGAAGTGAAGAACACAACACCGTCCAGGAGTATTCCAGCCATTGATCAGCAACAGGAAGAAACAAAACCTTGATTGATAGAACAATAATAAGAGTAACAATAACTAATGAACAGTAACAGTAATTAACCATAGCACAGACTACCGTTTTCAACCCCATCTGGGAACAAAATTATAATGTACATGTGAATTTGGTGCCTCAGGCCTCGCCAACCAAAAACACTGATGTCGCTCTTGGATCCAACTTTCCAGGTTCAGCCACAAACTTATGTTTGGCCGGTGTTACTCCAAAACAGCAACCTCTTTATCAACCCTCCAATAGTTTGCATCATTGTACTCCTGCAGCGCAGCTCCACCGTCATCAGAATTCTCCTTTCCTGGTACCTTGGGAACAATGTTCCTCTTCAGTGGCCCTGCTTCCCCAACTATTCCTTCTTTCATAGCTTGTTCAATTGCCTTCTCTGTACCTTCTAATTCCACACCTACAAATTCAACATCCTCTTCAAACAAAGAGGGAACTGGAGGATATTTTGGACTTGTATCACTGCTCACTGATCCATCACTCAAATCCATTGAGTCTGAGGAACCATTTGGAAGTATGAATTCTGCATTTGAGGGGGGCCCAACATCGGTATTACTGGGTAGGTTGACATCTGAGCTGTCATCGTCGAGAAATGGATTCTTGCTTGAGCCACCTACTTGCAAATCTGAAGATTCTCCCCACCCCACCCACTCAGGTAAAGGCCCATCTCCAAATAAGTCCTCACTTCCTGGTGTGTCAAACCTGAAGAATCCCATATCTTTTGAAGCATTTGCTTTCTCCCTTTGTGGATTCAAGTCTCCACCGCTCATGGAATTGTTAAATCCATTCATCACATAGGAAGTAGATGTGCCATTCACCGACTGTTTGCTTCCAGTCAACTCATCCTCCTCTCCAACTACTACCTCGTCATCACTACCGCTGTTACCACTATTTCCAGTGCCATTCAAGTTAATCTCATCCATCACCTCTGTGGGGGATATATCCACAGGTGCATGTCCGATTCTGTCATCTTGGAATGCAAACCAGTTGGAATTTGTGAACAGACTGCTGCATTTGAAAAACATGGGTTCCATTAATATGGCTACTTTAAGAAAAGAACCTAAACCGTACATTTATAAAAGCCAAGGCAATTGCAGGTTCTTAAACAACATTCACCCATCCAGAGTGTAGCCCTTTACTCCATTACCAGGGAACATTTCAACTACCATTTTTACTACAACGCTACAATTGTCCAACCACGATCAAGAATTATGAGAAGGTCCACCACTTATAAGAGTGGACTCCATATGATATTTTGGTAGACCTTACATAACTCTAAAATTTGATTGGTTAATTGTACCACAATTATTGTAGGTGATATGCTCCCCCATTACTACGAGTAATGCAAGAAAGCTCACCTCCCTTGGTCATCACCAAGCCTCAAGGATGAAATGACAACCTCAGCAGATTCATCATCAAAGTATACATCCTGCAAATAAAAAAAATACATTTACTATAAAATTAGACATTAAAAAAGTGAAAAAAATTTCCTATCTGTTTGGTTTCTCCATCACTCATGGTGATCTTAATATGTTAAGATTGATGTCTTTAATAGGGAAATAGAGAAGCCATTGGAAAAACAACCTATTGGCCTTACAAAACACCCACAGAGAGAATTTTAATTAATTAAAAGGCATGAGAGTCAGTCACCTCATCATCTCGATCAAGTGCACCATGGTCCTGAAAGCAGTGAAATAAAAACAATAAGTATAGCAAACAGGTCGAATTTAAGAAATTATTATGATATGCGGAACTACATACTTCATTATCATCATTCCCATATATTTTGTAGCTGAAAGCCTGGCTTAGGTTATTCGTTAAAGCTGCAGCATCATAGTCTCTATCACGAAGATCATCCTCATCACTATCCCTTGTTCTGTCTTGCAATGCTGTTGGGCGGCTGCACATGAGAAGGAAAATACATGAAACTCTTTCAATGATTTTTATGTTAGCTCTCACAACTAGGTGGTTGCTGCAAACATCAATAATGTGCTATAACAGGACATGGATTCAAAAATTGGAATATAATTAGAACCTTCACATTAGTAGGCATTATTTAACAGAAGAAAGCCATAAATAAAATAAAAGTGAGAACTATAAGTCAGGATTTATATGTCATTTATAAGTTACACAAAATCTGCCACAAGACCATAGAGAGTCCATGAGTGCATGCACTCTCACAAATGCCACATCAATCACATAAAGAATCTAGAGATAATGGACCTCCAAATGCCAAATCCTACTAATCTGACTGCAATAACTATCAGAAGTGAAGCAAGGGCATACCCACAAGCCCATCGAAATACATTTTCAACTGTATTACGTTCTTGCAGAACATTAGCTTGCCACTCATTCCATTCACTGTTTACCTATAAAGATATGAACTTATGTCAGCAAATTCACAAAAGCATTAGTCATCTAAAGAATCCCAGTAAAATTGCCTAATTCAACATACAGATCCAACCATGCAATTCCAGCCTATGAAGGATACCACCAACATGCCAAAAACAATTATTAATTGTGACAACCTTAATTCAGATTTACCATGCCACATAAAACGATTTATACACTAATTTTAATTATAAATAAGTTGTTAGCTTAAAATAAAAAAGTGCGACTACAACCTGTAAGATCCTGACAGAATCACTCATACAGCATTAACAAGCAGCCAATTCCCCACCTGTAGACATGCCTGAATGTGGCTGTTGCTGCTTCCCAACTGTACCAGTTTATTTGAAATACGTGTAATGTGTCCAATGTTCCCTGCCCGTTGTGCACGTTTTCCAGCAGCAGGTAAAGTTGGCTGTTTGACCAAAAAAGGGGTTAAACAGACCGCATAATCAGGTAGCACTTATAACAGCTTCTAATTATATATAATGACCATTAGCAAAACAGGACAAATGGCAATATGATTAACATCCACCTGATTACTGTCATTAGAAAGAATTGGATGTTTGTCAGTTTGGAGAAATTTCCCTATCAAATCACATTCTTGAAGAAGATGATCAACTATTGCGTCATTCTTGCTTTCCAGACATGATAATATTATACTCTCCACATGATGATGCAATGCATTGTTGAATGGATACCTGCATTATTTGAAACAAAGCGATGATGAATCTTAGCCTGCTAAGAGAAATGATCCAACACCTTCCTCAGACATCAACCACTTTCTACTAGTTTCAAACTTTCAACAAGTTGCTTTCACTTCGTTCAACATGTCAGTTTTAAGTAAGAGCTTACTCAAAGAAAAGATTAAGAACTTGTTGAATGGTTCCTGAGCTGACCAATTCCTTCTCCGCAGCTTCATTTCCAGTTTTCAACAGCACAGCAATGAACTCCACAACCTGAAATAAATAGCAAAATAATTCAGAAATAATACAATAAATATGCCTTGGGCTCGCACAAAGTCTGATATACATTGCACAAACACCAAATAAATCAAACAGGTATCAAGTTGAATATTCCACGTTGGTTGACACATAAAACTTATGATGAGAATATAAAATGAACCTTTAAACGATGCTTCCCAACAGGTGGCCTCAATTCTCCATATGTGGTAGGCAAAATTTTCTCATCGGATGACACATTCAAAAGCATGAGTAAGTCGCCTGCACAACAAGATGCAGTCTTGAACACCATGGCTAGGAATATGTGAAAACTATTACATACAACTTTCAGCAAAAGAAATCCACTCACCAAGCTTAGGCAGCATCGCATTGATAGTCTCCAAATTTACAGGGATTGGGAGCTCATACATATGTTGATTTCGGAAAGAATGCATCAAGGGAGAAGTTATTGCTGATCTTTTTGGATCCAACAATGAGATACAAACTGAGAGTGAGTGTACAAGGCTAGCTTTTGAATGTGAATCTTCCAATGCATGACCAAATATCCTTGCAACAAAGCTGTACATGAATATATTCAAAATTACAGGTCGAACCACATACATATACACAATAGAGAATGGAGATGGTGATGCAGGCAGCGTGGAGACAAGAAGGAACTAGATCTCACAAACCTTGGACTAGAGAGTTTAGTGGCTAAAGCTGATGGGGCATTCTGTGTTATTGCACATAATGTTTCTGCCGCATTAGCTTGAACTTCAGGAGGACACTGGTCATCATAAAAAACAGGTAATGAGATGCTAATTACAAAGTTTGCTATGCCATGAAAATATTAAAACAATATTACATCATGGAAATTATAAAACAGAAAATTCTCACTTACTGATGGACTCAATTTATCCACAATCATTTCCAGCAAATTGATATCAGCTAACCATTGCATTACATCCAAAAAATTTGGATATACATGATCATCAGCACCTACTAACCGAACCAAAACCTGTGAAAAGGCACATCTCATAGCAATGTTCAATTCAAACATATTAAATGCCAAATGGTATAAATCCACAATTGCAATAAAACAACACAGAGAAAATCTCAGGTACCTCCATTATGGATCTAATTCCTATCAAATCAACCAGTTGGCAAAACACATCTTGATGTACCTGTGAATAATCATTCTCAGTAAATTCATGTAAATAAATAGATAAACAAAAACATGATATCCTTTGTAGTTCAGAGAACATAAACCAATAACAAGCCTGATTATGTTTACAATACACCAGACAAAATGGATTTATATTCCACAAAATTGTTTACAGAACTAATTCAGTATGCTTAACTATAGCTTACAGGTGACACTTTTTAAAGGTGCATCATGCATGTCCATCTCACATAAATCAGCTCACATTCATGCACCAAGCCTCAATTACAATTGCTATCCAGATTTCCAGGTTATTGAATGCATCTCCAACGACATAGAAGAAACAAATCAAGAAATTTCCAAGAAGTCTAAGAATATAATAGTAAACACAAGCTTTACTTACTTGAACGTAGTTCATAAGTGGAACAGTCTTCCGTAGCATAAGGCATGCAACAACCTAAAATTATCAAAGCAAATGAAACTTATCAAGTGGCAATCACCAAAGCAGTAGTCAAAGAAAACATGACATGAAACAGCACGGAAGCTAATCAGAACATGAACAAGCACACCTTACTGAAATAACCAGCTAGCAAGGCACTATGAGGACGGTTCAGTTCCAAGAAGGAGAAAAGAAAGTTCATCAACTGCATCAAAGAGAAAAAAGTTGAAACAAAATCATAGCAATTTCCATAACTAAAGATGCATAATCAAGAACAAAATGAAACCCATACCTCTTCATCCTCCACTAAGGTCTTCAAGATAACATCAATCCCACATGTAAATATCTCACAGGCAACGAATGGGAACCTAGACATAGAAGTGAACATATCATTACGAAAAAGAATAATCCACATCAGAAAAGTTACAAGACAAGGAAACAGAAAGTCTAGTTCCTGATCCCTGATTTAACGAAAATGACACACTTAAAGGCCTGTTTTCTGTCAGCATCCTCTGGAGGTTCTTCAACAACATAACGCAATAACTGCATAACTTGGGTTCGATCTCGCAGACTGCACATAAAAAGTTAAGCACATGATGAGCATCAAGCAAGACTGATTATCTATAAGATTCTACAGACACTTCGCCATTTTAATTATAGCAAATCAACTTCCAAATTCCAACAGCTGCAACGGACTAGAAACTGACATAAAAGAAAAACATAATGAAAAATAAGGAAAGGCACAATTTGATATAGTGGCAGAAATTACAAATTGATGAGTCGACTATTTAAAGCATTGCACTCTTGGATTATTTCTTCCTCATCCAGTAACTCTTCCAAAGTAAAGTTTTCCTTGTCTAATATCGACTCCACCTACAAAAGAATATCACAGTCAATGAAACTAACTAGAATTACAGTTTTAGAACAATTTGCTAGAAATGGTGAATGAACAAGCAACCATATATAGCTTAACAGATTTTCGCGAATTAGATTCGATAGATGTTAACACTAAATAAGATAGTTGAGATTCAAATAAAAAGAACTCCAGCCATTTCCAACTCAAAAATTAGCTTAAAAATCAAAGTGAATACATCGAATTGAACAATGAAGTTTCACAACGGCGTAGACAAATCTAAGTTACTGAAACTACTTTGCTACGGCATCGATGAATCCAAAGTAAATTAACAAGTTCATTACATCCAATAAAAATTACTCCCAAGAAAAGAAACTCAAAGTTGCAAGAAAAGATTAATGAAATCAAGATTTAAATTTTTAAAAGAAATAAAAAAAGAAAAGGAGTAATTAATTTAATTAATTAGTATAAATTACTCACGGGAGAAAAGTCTGTGAGCTTCCAAAACATGGTGAAGAAGAGGAAAAGATTAAAGATCTTTAAACCCTAAATATAACCAGTGAATATAGGAATTGTCGAAAGAGGGGAAAAAGCGCGAGATTCAAAGAATAAAGAAAAGGGGAAGAAAATATAAAAACCCTAATTTTTGCTGTAGAGGGGAAACATAAAAAAGAATTATTAATTTTATGTTTATGGCCGTGGGGAATTGGTATCAAATCATGGTATGATGATGGTGACTTAATGTATGTATGGATGGATGATTATGGTATGATGGTGACGTGGCATGGACTTGGGAGAAACTGATCCACAAGTTTTAAAAGAGGAGAGTCTAAAGTCACACAGCTAAATGCAAGTTTTCAAGGTCACTACTTCAACTCATGAATTTAAATCGAAAATCTATTAATTAATACATTGTTTTTATCATAATTTATTATAAAATAGTATGAACAAGGATTTTTAATAATTTAGAAACATTGAAAAAAATATTCAAAAATTGGCGATGATGAAGCGATGTTGGTGAGCACTGAGCACTGAGCCTGAGCTTGTGGTCTCCACAAATGATTGTGTACCTTTTATTCTTGTGAGGATAAAAATTAATTTTTGTAATTACTTTAATTAATTCGTCCACGTATTTTTTAAAATTTAAATTTAATAGCAAAACAACGATGATAATAAAATAAAAATAAAAATGATCATTAAGATTATTATATTAAAGTTGATAAATTATACAATTTATAATGTATTTAATATTTACAAAACTTATTAAGATTAATAAAATATTTTTATATAATGATTTTTTAACAATGTTAATGAAAGTAATTTATAAATATTTAAAATGAAAAACATATTAATTTTTTATTTGTTGTTATCAAAAAATAATACTTATTTATTTAATATATGTACAAATATGTGTTATTTTATTATATTCTTAGTTAATTAATTAATTACTGTATATGTTTAAGATTATGGTCGGCATGGATTCATCTTTTTGCGGCACTAAAATTGAATACATATGACATATACAAGCAGAGTTAATATCCAACTCGAATCTGATGAATTTTGATTTGATTTAATTTTTAAATTTTTTTTTAAATTAAATTTCAGATAAAGTTTGATATTATTAAAAAAAAAATAAAATCGAGTCGGATGCGAGTTTTAAACAGATTGGATCCAATTCGATTTAATATTATATTAAAATTTATTTTTAATTTTTTATTATATAATTATATTTTAAAAATAATATTTTATTAATTTTAGATCAGATTCGAATATAAAAAAAAATTAGATTAAATTAAGTTCGAATTTTATGATTATAAATTTAGATCAAGTTCGAGACGAATAAAAATTTATTTCAATCTAATCCGTTACTAATCTTACATGTAAGTCGATATTATTTATTTTGGATTTCCAATGTACCCCTGTAATTTGATAAATTATTATTTTTATTTGAACAATTTTTTAAATTTTATTTTTTATAAATAAATAAATCTTATAGTAAAATGTTTTCGATGTATTTTTTATTTTAAAAAATCAGAGAGTTAACAAGTAAACGTGAAAATAGTCGGTTGGCAAAGTAGAAGATAAATTTTGTATTTGACACGTGTCTGATACAAAATTGACTTTGAATTTTGGAGGTTAAGCACTAATTAGTGGCCACCCATTAAGCTTAATAAAAAAGCTTAGAAAGAAATGAGTAAAATAATTAAAAATAATTTAATCATAATTAATAAAGTTAAAGTTGGTAATAATTAGTACTATCTCTTTCCCCACATGATTATTTAAATTCTTTATTATTTGCGTTATATACTTATTTATACACACAAATATTTATAAAAAATTATACAAAATATAATCAATAAAATTAAATTTTTTTGTTGTTGAAATTAAAAAATTGTTGCATATCCAATTATATTTAAAAAAATTAATAAATTTATATAATAAATAAATAAATGCATAAAGAAAATTTAACATGATTTATAAAATTTAAAAACTTTACAATAATACATGATTAGCCTATATTTATGTATATTAATCACTATTGCATGTGATAAAAGATTAAAAAAGTTAGAAAGTTGACAAATTTTTTAAAAAATAAAATTAAAGACATTTTTAAATATTAATAATCACTTGAATAATTAATTATTTTATAAAATGGATCATAATATAAAAATAAAAAATTTATATATATTTAAATTTAAACTTCAAATTATGTTAGATATTATTAGGGTTGGCATCGGGTCAGGTTCGGGAAGGGTTTTACTTGGCCCGAACCCGACCCGATTTAATACTTTATTAAATTCGAACCCGATCCGACCCAGATACCATGTAAATCGTACCTGACCCGATCCGACCTAAAATTAATAAAATATTATTTTTTAAAATATAAATATTTAAAAATATTATTATATAAATATATATAATTAAATAATTAATTAAAAAAATTTTTATATAATATCGGGTCGGGTTTTAGGCAAACCCGACCTCAACCCAACTCCGAATGTTTCCTTATTTTACCCGACCCGACCCGATCCCGAAACCCGAATTAAAAAAAAAATCGACCCCGTGAGATCGGGTCGGATCAAAACCTGTCGAGAACGAGTTAACTCGTCATCCTTATATATTATCTCTTAAAAATAATTATATAATTTAATTAAATTAATCTTTTAATTCATTAATGATATTCTCTTCATTCCAATTTATTTTGACAGTTATTAATTTTTACGAAATTTAAGAAAATTTTAATTTTAATATATTTAATATTAAAATTAAAAAAAATTATAAATTAAAGTTTTATTATTTTTAATATCAAAAAATAAAATATTAAAAATAAATATTTTAGATATTAAAAAAATATAATTTTAAGACATTCTTAAAAAAAAAAAAAGGACATAGTCGATATTTTTTTTATCCTTATAATGTATCGATTACATTTTCTTCTTACGTTTCATTTGACAAGAAACAAAAATAATAAAAATTTTAATTTGATAGTGAATTACATAATAACATGTGTTCTTAATCACTAAATTAAAATAAATTTTTAATTCGAAGATTTTCAAATAAAAAATTATATATGTATTAAGATTAGATGTTGACAAAAGAATATTTTCTTGCAACCAATGAAACGGAACACCGCAGCTTCTTAAAATAGAATGGAAATGCTTGCAAATATACAAACAATAATATTGCAAAGCGGTCAAATAATCCAAACAATCGTTTTCCAAATCAGGTTAACAATTGACAACGAGAGTTCCTTTAAGCCGTTTCCCAAACAGACCCCATCCTCCAAACTCCTTCCCAGCCAATCCCATCGCGAGTAGGCCCAAACCCGACCAAAACTGGAAAGTTGACCGTTCTGCAACTCAAAGCAACAAACAAAAACAAATAAAAAGAAAAGCCCTCACTCCTCCATTAATTCTGCGCTCTCTTCTTTTTTTCTTTTTATTTTCACTTCATTTTCCTCTTTTACTTTCTTAAATCTGAAGCCATCACCGAAATAATTGCTTTCTTAATCCCTGATTTCTCGCCTAATTCTTCGGGATTCCTTATTTCGGGTAATCGTATACTTGTGTTATTTTATTTTGTCGAATCTCTGCTTTTATTACGAAACTCTGTTGTAATTTTTTTTCGTCGATCCATTTGTAGTAAATAAGATTCGATTCATTGAATTTTGTTCTGTTTTAAGGAAATATTTAAATAAAGTTTGGTTAATTAGTTTCAATTTAATTCCAGTGAAAATCAGAGGAAAATAAGAGGAATTTTGGTTGTTTGGTGGGTTTTGGTAGCTGTGAGTATGAATTGAAGAAGATTTAGTGGAAGAGATGAATGTGAGCCATGCCTCGGTTCACCCATTGGACGATCCACCGACCACGGACGGCGGCGGAGGCGGAGGAGGCAACAACGAGGTTCCAAGAGTGAGGATGAAGGATATTCAGGGGATGCCTGGTACTCCTGGAGGGCTTGCGTTGCGGATATGTCAGTTTGTTTTTGCTGTTGTGGGACTTTGTGTTATGGCAACCACTAGTGATTTTCCATCAGTTACAGCCTTTTGGTAGTACTTTTGATTACTGTAATGTGTTTTGTGTTCTGCTTAATTTTAGTTTAGATTCACTAGCGATGATGGGTATCAATGTTTGATTTCTTTCTTATTATGGAAATGATGCTATAAATTGAATGTCAGAACCTTATTTTGTGTATATATATGTGAATAGGATTTTAACGTTTAAGAATTGAATATAGGAGGCTGCTTAATTGGTTGCTGCATGCATTGCCATTATTAGTTTGTCAATTCACAACTGGTTGAGACATAGTATGTCTTGTAAAATCATGAATATCTTAGTTCATTTATTAACTCAAAGTGTGATTAGCTAGTATATTTAGTGGAGGGAAGGTTAATTTTATGGAGTACAACGTTAAAAACCAACTTGAACAACACATTAAAGTTGAACAATTCTGGGCTCACTATGGAGGTGGTTTTTTTGCTTAAGAAAGGTAAAGAAACAAATTTCACATATTTCATATCTGTCAGCTGCTGTCTTATATCAAACCCTCTAAGAGATGTCAAAAAGTAGAGCTTGAGTGCTTAGAAAATGGCGAGTGCCAATACTCCCTAGGTGCTCTATTATCTGGGGTTTTGTATCATCATAAAAAGAGGTGTGAAAGAGATAAGCTCTCATACTCTAACTCTTCAACGAGGAGTACCTAATTTGGTTTAGACTTCTTTTTACATGAATCTTTTTATTCAGCTCTTCCATCTTCCTCAACATCTTTTTAGATGCAATCTTTCTGCTGACTTTGGAATTCGCATATGATTTAAGAAAGTGAAGCAACTAGTTTTGTTTTACAGTATGCATTTGATGTTATAATGATTCTTTCATAACATGGATATTTTTTATTGTTTGCTGCATCAGCTATCTTGTTGCTGCCACTGGCTTGCAGAGTTTGTGGAGCTTATCGCTAGCTGTTATTGACATTTATGCCCTTTTAGTGAGGCGTACTTTGCAGAATTATCGTGTTGTTAGTTTGTTTACCATTGGTGATGGGGTAAGATATTTTAATTTTCGCTGTGAAGCTGAAAGGCTGGAAGCCTGGAATACATGTGATGTCCTATTTGTTTTTATTGAACCACACAAAAATCTTTAATTTGCATGTCTGGCTTTCTCAGAAAAGTGTACTGTTTTCTGCTAGATTTGTCACATCTGCTAGGGCCTCACCTTTTGAGTGAAGTTTGCTAGGATGTAGTGTTTGAGTTGAGACATCAAAATTCTTTCTCTACCTTGTGACTCCTGGAAAAAGCTTCATTCTTCTTTTTGAAAAGTGCAGTTAATCATTACACATTCCAATATTTTTCGACTTTCTTTCCTCGTTGATAAATGTGGCTTTTAAAGTGTTAAATTTGTATTAACCTTCTTCAAAGTGATTTTCCAATCAAAATTGACTTGCCATGGGTCTGATGTATGCTGCTATAAGGCAGTGGTGTTTGCATTGGCAAGCAACTGTTAGAAGACTGGTGGTAGTCACTAAGAACTCAGTTGGAACTGGATTTGAATTTTGGCTGGCACTTTTGTTAGATTTTTTACTCAAACTGAAAAAAATGGTTCCTACATTTTACCAGTTTTTGTTTGAAGCAGCCTCAGGGTTGCCATGATTTTCTTGCACTACTCATATAGCTATTCCCAAGATTTCTGTAGAACTAATTGCTATTGCGTCTACAGTTGAAGATAATTATTTACAGTAAATTTGTTTAAAAAGACAACTTTGAATTATGCGGAACCTTTCACCATGTCCTGCATTCTGGCATTAGTTAATAGCTGAAATAGTTTAGTTTTTTCCACCTCTTGTTTACATCTCATCATTGTTTTATGCTGTACACATGTTAGATACGTAGCTCCTGACATTTCGAATGCTTATGTCTGCACCTTCTTCTGTAGTTTTTTTTTTTTTTGATCATATGTTATTGTCCCTGCAGATCACATCCACTCTGACATTTGCTGCAGCTTGTGCTTCCGCTGGCATCACTGTTCTTATTGACAATGATCTCGATGGCTGTGTGCAAAACCATTGTGCACAGTTTGAAACTGCTACTGCAATGGCGTTCATTAGCTGGTTTACTGCATTACCTTCATTTCTCTTGAACTTTTGGTCACTGGCATCCCGATAAAAGGTAACACAGAAAAATTGAGGTAGGGAGTAACCAGACCATTTTAGAATGCTATCTGAAGCATTTTCTTATTCCAAGCATCTTTCCTTGTAATGTTCCTGGTGCCTAAAAAAAAAAACCTTGGTTGTGTGATTTTAAAATTGTATAGTTTGTGAACTATCCGGGCATTATGAATGCCAGTTGCTTAAATATACACTTTTTGAGATGGAATGATTGGATCACATTAATGTAAACATGTAATTTCTAATACTAGTGGTGTGTTTGTGGGTCAAGTTAATGTACTATCGATCGAGCTTCGCCTTGTTCTTCCGGCTGTCAATTGCAGGATTCCAGACTGGAATATGAAAAAAGAAAGATTAGAAGTTATATATGAAAAACCCATCCCTGTAGTTTTTTTTTGACCTTTTAAAAAAATTTTATTCTGGTTTCGTAACATAGTTAGATTATATTTTACATTGATTGACAATTTATCACAACTCTCTTCATTTTATCCGGATTTGAAACCGGCAGAGTTAAAAGAGGGAGCAACATGTAACCTTCTTAGGAGGTCATTCATTCCGGTATTATTTTCGTCGAAGCACATCTAGCTGTAAAATTTTTATTATAATCTAGCATGATTTTTTTATCTTTTATTAATCTAATTACGAGATATAAAATTGTTGATGTTACTTTTTTAAAATGTTTAACAGAAAGCTTTTTCCCTGCCAATCAAAACTTTTAACTGAGGAGTAAAGCCAAATGCCATTGGCTCAGTTTATTTTCCAACATACAAGGAATAAACACTAAGATCATCAAACCAAGAAAAAGAAAAAGAAAATCAAATTATTAATATTATTTATGTACAATAAAAATAAATTAATACGGTCAAGGAAGATAACCACATCTCATCTTTAAATGATCTGCCAACTTCTGAACTATTGGTACAGAAATAGCTGGAACTGGGTGAATACAAGTTAAATCCACAGAAAATTTAAAACTTCATAGTGCTTTAAATCAGACAGGAAGTGAAGGTTAACTCAGCCACCTGGTGTCAAAATCTCCGCTGCTGCTCAGTGCTGCCCTTCACACACAGTAGTACTACTAGCCACTAGGTCAGGTCTATAACCAATATTCACTTAGCAGAAACCCTGTGGATCCAATGTCAGTTCTAATACAAACAAGAAACATCAATGCCTAGAAAAAGGCTTGAACTTTGGTTAGAATCCCAACATTTACAGAATCGATATAACTTGCAACTGAATGTCGGGTTGGTGCCTCTTTTCCGATCATCATTTTTTAAATATTTAGCCAATGTTAGGGCCTTGTGGATGCAGAATTTTCTAGCGGGAATTTAATATGGTTTGACTGGGATGCCAGGAAATGCTGCCATGGACTTGGCAGGAAAATGTTAAGATTACTTACTGTTACCAAATCAGTTTTTCACACAAAAATACTGCACATTGTTTAAACAAAATTTGGTTGCACTAAAAAAATTTAATTAAATTAATAAAATGCAAACCTGAGCTGGGTGCTTAAATATTACAAAACTTTTTTTTTCTGGTTTTTGGGCATTTCATTTTACATTTCCCGTTTCCTGAATGTTATTTCCACGTTCGCATGCAATGGGGAAAAGCTGGGGTGTCAGACAAATAAATTACAGTAAAATCTTTTCACACAAAAGACCAGTTTACAAAAGAGAAGGCCAGGCAATGGACAGTGCTGTCATCAGCTGCATGAACTTTCCATGCAACAGCTTGTTCATACGAGACATGGCGTCCCATCGTTGACATGCAGATTCCAGCCGGCAAGTAAGCAAATCCCTGTTCAGGAAGCAGAAAATTTAAGCCAATCATGTATTGCACCACAAAATTCCTGTATCCTTTTTTCCCTCGGACAAATATTTAACTCGGGAAGTTGGGGAGACAAGTGCATGCGGCTAATAGGCTAAATATCTATCATTGAAACAAAACAATGCCATTTTAACAGCAAGAGGATGTACTATTTTTATTTATGACTAACCTCCTGCATCAACTTGGCAAAATCGGAGCACAATGCCTTGCGTCCGGACTCATCAAATATTTTTTCCAATGTGATGTCTTGCAGTGCCACTAGAGTTGTCTCAAGCATGTCGAGCCCTGCTTGATTTGCAAAGATGAAAACTGGTAGCGACTGCAAAACACAAACAGAAGCATTACTTGAGATATATCTATCTTCAAGTAAGATGATTTGAAGTTATGAAATCGGCATCTGTGGAACCTGATATACAAGGTTTTGAATATAAGCTTCTAGTATTTTAGATTTTTGGATGGAATTGTTATACCTTTAACGAACAACACAATACCGCATCCTGATGTTGCCAGAGATTCTTTAATACTGAGTCACCAAGTGATTCAGATCTCAACAATTCTGCCCCTAAATGGTAACTGAGGAAAACAGATATGACAAAGACACATTAGCAACTACAACATAAAAAAAAGGATGGAATGAGATGACTCTGCATACCATTGGAAAATGTTCATTCAAAAGCACATCAAACTCCCAGGGTGGCCTGTTAGCAGAAACTCCTAATGTTTAAAAATTGAAGCAACTCACCTATAGCTCTGGCAGATCCAGTGAGCCAGTGTAAGTGCTTCTGGAGAGCCTGGAGATAGCTTTGGTCCAACAGCTGGGCTCAATCCTGAAGGAGATATGGCCATGGCAACCCTCTGGACAGAAGAGATGACGCTGCGGACATACTGGCGTGCCATGGTTGCAACATGATCCTGAAGATTGATATCAAAGGGAAACTGGAAGGCAATTGTCAACACTGATCGCGTGTTCTGACATGATGTAGCATCTCCTGCAGCATGGTTTGTTGCAGGCCCCACTTCAAGACTGGAAGTCAGATCCAAAGTCCGATTTGTAGTCAATGAATCCTGTGCATCAGACTGAATAACACCCATCAGCATAAAGATTGATCTTCAATATCACTTCAAATAAGATTAAAAGCTGAAATAGAAACTAGATAAATGTTTAAAGTATTTATTATTCATTTCAAAATAATTAAGCAATTTTGTTGTGTCCTATTATAGCACTCATTATGTCATAATTCTATGGCATTAGCATCTTTTATAGGAGTTCACTACGTGGTCTCAGACATACTATTAGCTCTTTTGTTTCCACTATTCTATGTTGACAGGTTTTTTATGTTTTTCACATGATGGTCACACATTGTTATAAAAATGGTAAAAAGGGAAAAATTCAGGTGAAGTGCAGTGAAACCTAACTGGTTTTGAATCCAACGGGATAACCCGGAATCCAGAAGGTAGCAATGGAGCATCATCTGGAAACATCTCATCAATTGGAGCAAAGACAAGTTCTGAACAGGCTCCCACAGCATTCTCATCAATTCCACTGCATATCTGCAAAGATGATAATACAGATAAAGTAAATACATATTCAACGAAGCAAATTTTGGACATGCCATACAGCTGTAAAATGTGAAGGCAGTCTAAATAAACTGAGATCATGATTTCATAATTAGCTGGAAGACCATAAATCTAGCTTCATAAATCTGACTCTCCCATATAAGTTCAATCCATGTTAAACGGCATGTCAAATGTTGCAAGTACAATAGCAACAAGGATTACTTAATGTGATTAATCAAGATACAATTTATGGTAAACATGTCAAAGGTGTCAAACGAAAGATCAGGAGGTTTAAAAATTTTAACTGCAAATGCACTTACAGATGATTTCAAATAATAATAACATTTTGATTTCACATTAAACATGTACCAAAGTAAAATGACAGAAAGTGTCAAGTTTTATACTCCAATTTAACATGCACTTGTGTAAATAAAATCAACATTGAACCCGGAATTGTGTGAAAAACACCTGCAATAGATGAATATCCCTTGATAAGAAGGCATCTTCTTGTGCAAGAGAATGGCCTTCAAGTCTTATAACTTCAAGTAACTGATACATGATAAACACAAAATCAGCAAAGTTTATCGGACAGATGAGTAAAGTTGCCACTTTCAATTGAAAACAAGAGAAAGGTAAGTGAATATACATTTGAAAGAAGCAATAGCAATTAATGGTCAAATTAAGAGTTTCGTCCCTTTACTCACCCAAAAATGAAAATTTAGTCACTTCATAATAATTTGAACAAAGTTTGAAATGTTCAGAGACTAAATTTGTTCAAATTATCGTACAGGGATTAAATTCTCATTTTTGGATGAGCACATAGGCCAACCTCATTTGACTGTTATTAATCATTTGAAAACTATTAAAGAGAAAAAAAAAAAAAGATTAATCATTTGAAAGAAGCTTAATTGATTGCTTATAATCACAGCCTACTAGGTCCTTAAAACTTGTAAGTAAATGGTTAAGAAAAAGCAAAAAGAAGGGCGTTTCAAGGGACTCCAGTAAACCCTGCAGAAATGTAAATTATATAGTGTATAATTTGAAACATATCTTAAATTTGTAGAGCTCTATTTGCTTATACATCAAGCAATAAACCATCTAGCATACCACAACAAAGGAACAGAATGAACACATATAAGATAAACCTCTTCATGTTCAATCGTGTGGCCAAGCGGCATGATGGTCTGACTCCCGGTAAACCTTGTAGGTCTCATTCCAGGATAAGCATATGTTCCAGCCTTCAATGATGCAGCAGAATAAGCATCGACATTGAAATCAGCCCACTCCGAGCGATGCTCCCTAAGGAAACGAACAAGCACGGCAGGAGGAACATTCTGACAAAAATAAACAAGGCATATGGTCCCATTAGTATCAAAAGTCAAAGACATGATGTGTGGGAAAGGCTTGAACTCTAGAGTGCAAGAAGAAAAGGTTCCAATTTTCCATCGAACAATTTACCTAATTGTCCCTTATAGAATAAGAAAATGGGTTCCCATTTTCAGGGGCTTTCTAAAACTTACTTGAAGCAGCATGGATGCCTTTGCACACAGAACACCCCCAAGAAATGAAAAAGCACTGGCAGGATTTGACGTGCTGCTCAAGCTCTTGCTCAAATTAATTGCAATTATCACATCCTCAGTGCCATCACAATTCATTATTGACCATCCATCATCATTGAATCCATTTATTGCATCATTGAAGCCTCTACAAGTAAATGATTGACACAATATTTTAATGAAACTATGGAACACAATGGATTCCTAAACACACAATGTGTGTTTCTTTTGCACAATTGAATTCATAATTTAAATACAGACAAGGATTTTATATAAGCTTGAAGATACCTGCTTAATCTTTGGCTAAAAGTTCTCAGGACAGCTGGCTGCCTGCCCAGACCATAAACCACCTCACCACTTGTCTCCTGAGCAATCTGCCTGATGTACCGCAGTGCCTTCGCAGAGATAAATTAATCAGTACCTCTAGAAAATGCCTTTTGAGGCAATAAAAAGAAAATCAAAGAAACTTTTCATGTTTTGTTTTGTTTTTTTGCATGTTTATAGGACAACCAAACCCAATATGATATATGCCAACAAAGTGAATAAGCAACATTATCATATAACAGAATTTATAAAACATGAATCTTCACTGACAAACAAATGTTTGAGGTGCACATTTCAAGGCCTGCAAAAATCAAAGCACCATGAAAGATTTATAGGCAAACATTTATCTTCCAAATTTTATATCGGGTAATAAATCTGTCTGACCCTGGTTGATTAAACAACCAAAGCTTTAGAGTTGCAGCAGTACATTATCACCTTACGCTAAGGAATCTACTCACCGCAATTGTCATTTTCTGAGCAATTACTTTTGATGATTCATAAAGTGGGCGCAGCACCTCTGGCACACTCCATGCCTGCAATGAGGTGTTCAGAAATTAGGTCTTGCTGCAAAAGAGACATCTGAAGATGTCTGAAAAGCACCTACTTATCAGGAAGTCCTACCTCAAGATTCAGGTGGTCAACAATATGGATGATTGACCCTCCACCCTCACAAGGCCTAATCAAATAGCCACTAGGAAGCACTTCAGCTCTCACAAATTGAGCTGCAGCAGCTGTACTTGGGCCAGCACCAGAACCAGAAAGAGACCTCTCACAGACCTTGGAAAAGAGAGCAAAAACCAAAAATCATATCAGCACCTCTAATCATGTAACTCTCAAGAAGCCTGTATATCAAATCACATGGACCTTCAAGGAGGAAAAGACAATCATAGGACATACAATGAGCAATGGAAATGCTCAGGAAGTATCACAAGATGTAATACTTCAACCTCGACTTTCTCAGGTACTCATACAAAGCACTGATTTACATTATTTAATAAAAAACACAAGACATGCATACCACAAGACTGCCATTCTCTAAAGTTGTAGTGTATCTTAGAGTCCAAAAGTCCCTTGCAGGAGCCAGCGTAGTTGGAGCAAACGTCTAAAACAGTTCTCACTTTAGTTATTCCTCATGACAAGAGGGTAAACATTCATTTATTTATAAATAGAAGAATAAATAAATCAGGCAATAATTCTTCACCTGTGTGTAGACAAGCTCAATTGTTCCACCATTTCCAGCTGGAAACATGGTGAAAACTTCAAGGTTCCGGCAGTCACAGAACCAAGATGGACGATCTTTAAGAATCTCTGCAATCTATTAACAATGATCTTATTGTTTTGTTCAAAACAAATAGGCCACGTATAATAATAAAAATAAGTGCCTCGATTATTTATAGTGACATTAGAATTCATACCTTTGTAGGTTCTAAACTTACAAGACCGCATGCTCGAGCAGCTACTCCACTACAACTTTGGGAAATGGCAAATATCCCAACCGAATCCGGACCAGGCTGACAACATATTTAAACAAATGGGCTTAGAGACACTTCTCATTTGAGACACAAGAAAATTAATATCACCAGATGCATATACAAACCTTCATCCCAGGCATCTGGACCCAATCGACAGCAGTTCCCGTAGCCTTGGAAAGGAACTCTGCCAAGGTCTCCTCTGCAATGGAGAGGAGTCTGCCAAGTGCATAAAGGAATCACAACATTTATTTTATATATATATATATATAGAAAGAGAGATAGATTGGTGGTTCATTGCAGTTAATAATTGAACTTACCCAGCAGGGTTATTGGCATCCCTCAGTGAATGCTGCTGAGGAGTGGTAACTACAGAGTCACAGCTTGCATCAGTTGCTGATGCCTGCAAAGCAAACCAAAAATAAAAAGCAATAATGTCAAAACACCTAGAAAGGGAACAGATAGAAAATTTATATCTTTGTCTATAGCAATTGGCCAAAAACATCCTAAGCAGCAATTGGAATAATTAAGAAAGAAGTGTGATACAAGTGGAATTTTGCATATATATAGAAAGAACCAAGAACAAAAAAACAAAGATGCACAATTTGAGGCAAACACCACATGGGGGGCATAAGACACAAAATTTGCATATAACCATGATGGCAAATTAAGACAATTCAATTCTAAAAAATTGGCATGCCATAAAGATCCAGCTAATGCTTAAGACCAAAAGAAGGCATAAGACAAACTAAATTACCATATCCAGTACTAAAATTCAACTTAAAATGTAAACAAGGGGCATAAATTATCACATTATACATTTTGATACAGTTCATTAGCATGAATTGTAGAAGATCAAAGAGCAAGAGACTAAAAGAAGATACATTTACAGTATGCAGTTGTTGCCTCATATGCCCATTCTCGCAAACCAGCTGAGACACCTGTTTTTGCAACCGGTCATTCTCCTCCATCAACAGCTTGTTCATTGCTGTTAATTTTCTATTCACAGTCTGCAACCCTGAAGCCTCTTTTCTTTGCTTCTCTCTACACCTGCACACCTCAATGACAATCCCATAATTATAATTTTCTAACTCAAAAAAAAAAAAAAAAAAAAAACTACTCATCTAAAAAGGAACCAATTTTTCTATTAGTTTATAACAACTACAATAAAAAAACGAAAACCAAGATCAAGTTTTCCTACCTGCGATTTTGAAACCAAACTTTGATCTGTTTAGGTTCAATGTTGGAAAGAATGGGGCACTCCCTAATCAACTGTTGCCTACGCAAAGAACTTGGTTTGGGGCACTCAGCATAGACTCGTTCCAAAGCTTCAACTTGCTCAGCTGTGTACCTAACATACTTGCCAGCATCAAGATGTTTGCTTATGCTACTGCCACTGCCACTGCTGCTCTCCCTGTGTTGGGCCACCGCCATAGCCATTTCTTGCTAGAACAAGATTGCAAAACCCAGTCTTTCTTTATAATTGAAAGTGATTAGACAGAAGCTGTGAGCTGAGTGATAAAAGAGCTGCTTGTTTTGGAGGATTTGGCTTCAGCACTAAGATTCCTTTGTTTCCTAGTAAAATCCGTCCTTTTTTATGAAACAAAAGAGAGAGAAGGAGAAAGAGGAAGCAAAAATGAGGGGTTTTTATTTGAGACAGCTTCAAGTAAAAGCCAAGTGGGTGGTTTTTTTTGGGTTTTTCCTCTTTTATTTTTTTAGTTGATGATAATCAAGCTGGTGAAATGACCAAAACAATGGCTCTCAAAATCTGCCCCAAAGATCCCACTTTCAAAACGTTTTTTCAAAAGTACACACCAAGAAATATTGACCCCAATACCAAAGGAAAAACACTGCCACCAACCAAGCTCGATATCACTGAAAAAAGCTTCTCATGCGAGCCTCAACTGCTTCCTACTCTAACTACCCAGAAAAGAAAAGAGCTTGGAAAGGCTCTCTCAAGAAAGAGAGCCCAGAAACAGTTGCATCACACAAAAGCTGGTGTTTTGCAGGGACCAACCACACAAATGTGAAGAGAAACCGAAACCTTAACCATGTTGAGAAGAAGAGTTTCAAAGGGTTTTACAAAGAACAAAGAAAAACCCAACAGAACATAAAAAATTTTGTCAAAAGAGAACTGAAGAGAGAGAGAGTGAAAAAAAAAAAGTTGTGACAGTGAGTGATCAAAGTCTGAGCTTAGAACAGTGGAGGGAATAAAAGAGAGAGAAAGAGAGTTCATTTGCACGCAAGCCGACAAACTTGCCAGAGATTTTTTTATTATTATTATTGCTTTTTTTGCATTACATTTCACTTGTTCACCTCATTTACTTTACTGTCCCTATTGTCTATTGCAATGACATGTTATCCCCAACTCTGACAATATAAATTTATTTATAACAAAAAGCTGATCAAACGTTAATATTAAGATTAAAAATAATTTAATATTAATGAAAATTTTTATTACATAAATCTTCATAATTTTGAGCATGATAAAATAAGATAATACGAAAATTATATAAAAAGAGCATAAAAAGATAAATTTTTAATAAAATAAAAAATATTTTTTATTTTTAATATATCAACATAAATTATAATTTAGTAATTTTATTATTTTACACTTATTTAATATTAAATAAATATAACACAAATTCACAAATAATCATATTCAAATCATAAAAAAAAAAATTTGAAAGTAGATAAACTACTCAATCCTTCAAGTTAGGGTAAGATGTGTCTGTACCTGATAGCTTCCCTAATAAGTGACTATCAGCGGAGGTCATGCATTCGAGATAACTCCAATAAATGATCATCAACAAAATTCAAACTTAAAATATTTTTATTAAAAAATATAAATCTAATCGATTGAATCAATCAAATTTAAATATTTGATTTGATAGATAAACGTAAGAACTTAACTTTAGACATTAATTTAGACATTAAGTTCAACAAATATAAAACCAATAATTTGATGTATATTAGTATAAATATTACTCTTTTTGTTAAAATTTAAAATTTTTATTTTTATTCAATTTTAAAATTTAAAAAATATAACACTTACACTAATTTAATTAGATACCTCATTACATATTTAACTTGATTAAGTAACAAAATATAACCAAATTGTGTTTAAGATTATGGATTTGTATGCCATTGTCTTGTAGGGTTAGGTGTTTGGTTATCAATACATCACCTGATTATAAATGGGATTAGTTGAAGCATCTCTCTTTCCTTTTGTAACTTTCTATTCTTAACATACTTCTTAAGTTCATAATTGAAATTCATGCAACCTTCCTTTTTTTTTTTTTTTAAGTTCTGCTTTTTTATCAAAGTTTTTTTTTTTTTTTTATTTTTCCAATCCACCTTAACTAAATCTTATCTTAACTTTCCTTTAAAAACAAATCTTTAAATTAGAATTAATTATTTATATTATAATAATTACAACTGATATTTTGATAAAATAAACTTATGAGAAGAATATAAATTATAAGATATCTCAATCTATTTCGAGTTTTGTTAATGCATATTTTTAAGCATATACATAAAAAATAATTTTATTTCGAGATTTTATAATAACTTAACTTTGGTTAGCTCAATGTTGGGATTAAAGTTTGATAAGTTAGTGGATATCAATTGAATTAATCTATGATAGATTAAATCCAACTGATCTCACTATATATGTATATTTTTTGCTATGCTAAAGTGTAACAACAATATCTTTTTTTTTATTATTATTATTGAATTGAGAATCCAAAAGAAGAAACATTTAAATGAAGCCAAAACTAGAAAAAGACAATTGGTTTTACAGTGTCAATGCTCTCAATTTTGTTTGTTCAGACATTATCAAATCTCAATTACTAAGTACAATTGTTGACAATAGAATAAGCAAAGGGCATCTATCATAAAAAGTAGTGTATATTATTTTTATTCAACAAAAACATGAAAGTAATCATTAAATTTTGTATATTTTCAATTAAATTTAAAATGAAAATCAAGAATCCAAAGATTAAACCCATATTGCAAATGTTAAGTTCTAGATGATCTTTTTTTTTTCTATTAATTTCCCTTAACTAATTTTTTTTATGCAATAAAACAAAAGATAAGAATATTTTTCAATTAAAAAAATTAGAAAAATGAAATAAAAAATAATATTGTTCTAATGGAATAAGGAAAATTTCTAAAAGTAAACTCACTCCCAAAAAAAATAGAGGGACCATTGGCTTTTAATAATATGTTTCTTAATTCCACACCAATAATTACATAAAGTGAAAATGCACATGAATTAAAAAAAATAGTGTCAACAAAATTAAATATTTTTTGTATTATATATATATATATATATATATATATATATATACCCACAAGTAACACAAATACATCATTTCACAAACAGTTAAATCATTTGAAGACCTCAATTAATATTAATAATTGTGTGCTCCATGAAATGATACAACTGTTGTATTTCAATTATTATAACTTGAGACTTTAATTTTTAAAAAAACTATAAGGTTATAATTTGTAAGTATAGAAGGCTGTAATTTAATAAAAAAAATTATAAATGTTAAAATTTTAATTTCAAATTTATTAGATGATATTTTTAAAAATAATTATATGAACTAATTGAATTAAGTATCAAGTTCATTAATTAGTTAGTTTAATTATTTTGTAAATAAAAATAAAATTAATAGCACTATTTCTCAAAAATATTAAATTAAAATTTCATCTCAATTATGATGATGGTTCTAAATTATTCATTTTATTTCTATTTTATTTTATTCTAAAGTAAAATACAAGCAATAGACTACTATATTATAAAAAATTGTTGGGTTTTTCCTTTGGTATTCATGGATAAATTTTAATTGAGTTAATAAAAATTAAATACTTCATTTATAATATTTAGATTCGGTTTTCACTACTAATAATCTTTGATGAGCGATCTACAATTACAATGTTTTTTTTTTTTTTTTTTGAAATTCGACATGTCATGATCTTAAAATGAGATAATCCTCCTTTAAAAAAAAAAAAAAACCTATAGCACCCATTTGGCATGAGAGAAAATTAGCTTCATCAAGTGCAACCCACGATTAATCCTCATGCTTTCGAAGTATCTTAAGAATATTAATTAGTATTATTGTTTCTTCATGGGAAATTATAATCAATTTGACTTGATTGATTATATATGTGTTTTTTTAACATTGAAGAAAGAACATCATGTCTTATGTATTTTAAGAATCATAATAAAGAGGAGGGCTGCAGCCAAGAAGCTAAAATTTATTGTTTACAAGTCAGGTTGAAATCAATCTTTTTATACCTATGATTATGTATTTTAGTAAGATTTTAAAATACTAATACTAAATAAATAAACTGTTGTTGGATTTTCTATACTCGATCTCAATTTAAGCTGGTTATTTTCTTTAATTATATTTTCAAGAGACATTTTTTAATTTTAGTATTTGAAATTTTAACAATTAAATTATGATCATTAAAATTAAAATTAATAATCTAATTAATAAATCATGTGATTGTTGATTCAAATTTGAACATACATTTTACATAAATGAGAAGCATAGTTAATTTAAATACATTTATCTCGAACAACTGCACTAATTACTAAAGTTTGATTAATGCACATATTAAAGTTTTGGAATACCCTCAACATCATGTGTTATGAAAATTAAAAGCTTATTAATTTGTGTCCTAATATCACATCAAATGTTTTTAAAAAATAGGTATGATACTTCAATCTTACATAATATAGAAAAGAGAACGTTGTACATCCTAATAAGCCGGTTTTAAGGAGAAAAAATAATGGCTGCGTGACCCTAATATATGGTTCATCCAAGGCATGAAGTCTTAAAGGAGTAAAACAATCCAATTAATCCATATCATAAAGATGGGGAATTCTACGATTCTAATCCCTTGATTGTTTCTCCTTCATAGTTTTCATAATAATAATGATTAATACGGTCAGTCGTTCCATCAAAACTCAAATGAAAAAGAACATAACAAAAATGGAAAATATTGTTTTCAAAACCAAACCACGTGAAACCACAGTAAAAACTACGAAGATTAAATTCAAAGCAGAAGGTAACCCTAGTGCAGAAAATTACAATAAAAAAAACCCAGTTTTTTTTTCCTCATAAAATCATTTATATGATCATTTTCTTGCATGCATGGTGAAAGTTATAGTTTTTTCCTGATGAAAACTGTGTTATTTCATGACTTGTATAAGGAGATATAAACTGGAAGCGACGGGCAGACATGATTGAAAACACAGATCTTTGTTTTGATATGATAATGGAAAAGCTTTAGGTTCAAACCCCACCCATCCCCTCTGATGACTTTGCATTGCTTTGCTCTAATTCTCTCTCTCTCGGGGGTGTCGCTGTTTGGCTGTTGCAGCCCAAAAACAAAGCGCATGAAGAAGCATGCCAAATGCCAATGGGTTAAAACCATTAGGATAAATCTATGCAAATATTATTGCAGAAAACAAAAGCAAACGAAATTGACTTTCAAACACTGAAAAAAAGCTAACCCCTTTCATTGCTCCATCTTTGATGCTGTCGGTACTATTATGCTTCTTTGTTGTGTGTTTTATCATCTCAGACAACAAAAAAAAAAAAAAATCCTCTCTTTCAAACAACATTACAATTTTATAACATAATTCTAGTTTGTAATGATAAAGATGAAGCTGATTCCTGATGTCTACACCAAACATTTTGGTGTGTTTCATATAGCTTCATATTTGCCATTTGATGGATGTTATTCCGACATAATAATAAGTCTTGCAATGGAAAACATACAATTCCATCATCCATCCTCCTTTGTCCAAGACTTTGTTGCAGATCCTTCCCTTTTTCTTTTGAATTTCAAATGTTTATCATGATAGCGCTTCCTTTCTTTGGTAACAAAATGAAGTCAAAAGTTGGATCAACTATATATATATATACGATCTCATGAATATATATCCAAAGTCTCATTCATAACAAAGTTTGGGTTTATGGTGTTGTATGTCAAAAGATTTTAATAATTAAATTAGAATTTAATTCGATTTATTCATATAATAATTTTTAAAGATTTGACATTCAACACATTTAAAGTTCAAATTTCAATACATGTAATTTTTCTTATTTTAGTACTATAGTTTCATTGATAATAATTCAATGACCATTTTATCTTTAATTTCCATGTGATTTTCTTAATCAAGTTGTGATGTACATTGATAGATGCAAAAGAAGAAGACGATTAGATATATTTTACAAAATTCCTCCCCCCAACAGATATTGTGTAAATGATGAGCAATAACAAAGTCAAATGGGTATAATTTTTGTTCTCACTTTTTTGAACTTTAGGTGATGGGATTAACATTCTTCCACTTTGTCCCCATCTTCCCCCATATATATATATATATATATATATTTGTTTTGCTTTCTTCTTGGCTATTGATGGAGGGATCCCATCTCCTTTTGCCATGAGCCATTGCTTTTATCACAGGAAAGGAATAATGCCAGTGCTTCCTTAACCCCTTTTGGGCCATATCAGTCCAATCATGTGGACCCATCCTGTCTGGCCCGGCTCCTCACACCCTCCATAAAACCAAAAACCCATCGTAAAAGATAAAAACAAATTTACATAAATCAATAGAATGATGATGTGCCATTGCTTTGAAGTAAATATGATAATTCATAATTTCATGTCATACAAAATATTAAAATTCATATATTTATATTATAATTTATATATAAATTATATGTTATAATTTATATCTGTATGAAAATATAAAATATAATTTTTTTATTTTATTAAATTTATATATAATTATTATTACAATTATTATATTATTTTTATATTTTATTTTCATATTATATTTTAAATTACTAAATCTAACGTGAAAATTTTGGTGTCGTTGAAGTGGAGACTTGGTCCCACCCAAGCTCAGCCACTTTGTCAATCTCTCTTGCTTTGCTTGTTTGGCAAACTTATTATTGAATTTTGTAGTACTCTTTAATTCTTCTTTCCTTTCTCTTTTCTTTTTCTTTTTTTTTTGTTCTCAAACATCATTTCATTGCATCTCTCTTCTTCATGTTCTGTTATTTTCACCATAAAGTTTTAACCACAAAGGGATAAAAGATGGCATTGTTTTGTTCGTGGGTGGTTGGGGTTCATCTCAAGCAAAGATAGTCAATGGGGGAGGTGGGGGTCACCCCTCCTTTTATCTTGCTTGCCTTGTATGTATATATATATATATAGTAAGAAAAATTCAAGCTAAAGATGTTACTTAATTCTTAAATAAAATATAGATATGTCATATCTAACCGTTTTTTTAAATTAAATATTAGAAATAATTTTAACAAAAAATTATTAATTAAACTCGAACCTAAAACCATTCGTATCTAAAAAAACAATCTTACCAATTGAGCCAACCTCTTGTTAATCTTGCTTGCCCTATCTAATATAGGTGAAACAAACCCCTTTTTTCATAATGGTGATTTCTTTGTTAAAGTTTTCTTAATTTATTAACCATTTGATGTAAAAGTGGTTGAATGATGGTATATTACATGCCCAAGATGAGTGCATATATATATATATATTATATAAATGTTGGTAACTTCACATGAAATAATGAAGAAAAGATAGGTAAGTGGAGGACCCCAAAGGCGACATTAAATATTGAGTAGCCCTTAAGAGCTAGGTGGTCAAAGATGCACTTGATTTTGGACCATTCCAATTAAATTTGTTGTCACATAAATGTGTAGGCTGCATATTTTTCTCAAATGATTTTCTGTCCTCTTCCCCTTTCCTCATGAAACTTCATGGCTTCTAATCAAAGCTTGAAATAAGCACCATGTATCTCGCATCATTTGAAATGAAACTTCACCTTACGATATCCTGGAATCATGATCTTATGCAAGAAAAAAAACATTATTCTGATTGCTAATGACAACAAGAAATATTACGATAATATAAAAGAATGTCAAATGAGAAATTAATTGAAAAAAATAAAATTGATTAATGAACTATAATTAACTTAACAATATCGAAACTAACTTGAAAACTAAAAGTCTCGAGTTCGAACCTGAAGTATAATCTAAAAAAAAATTAAAATGCATTGATAAATTGAAATTATATCTCTGTCTTGATCAAATTGAGTAAATGACATCAAACCCATTTTTTAGTGAAGAAATTAATGGCTAATTAAGAGGTTGGCTAGCTATCAATGGGAAAGAAAACATAGGAGATGTATTGAAGGCAGAATAATTGATAATGGGGGCATTAAATGAACAAAAATGACAATATACATGTAAAGCAGCCGCCATGCTCAATGATGTTATTCACCATTGCCTGTCTGGTTTCTCTATCTGTAGAAACTTCATCATTCTCGTTTAGGTCTTGGCGTCCATATTCAAAACTTTGTATAGAGTTTCTTGAATGAGTTGAAGCAAGAAAAATGAGGGAGGAAGAAAGAAGCCAGACTATATTATTATGTTAAGCTAAGCCTGTAACTAACTAGCAAATAAACAATAGAAACAAAAGGGTCTTCGAGTTTAGACTTAGATCATTAAAGGTTCAAAATGGGGCAGTGAAGCAAACCCTTTGTATAATTACGCCTCTGCTTATAAATTACAGTCAAATTATTGACTATTTAGAGATCCTCTAATCATGCTACTAAGGGGAAAATAGGAGTGGTCAAGTAGTCAAGCACTTCAAAGTAGAATATGCTAAGTAGAAATTGAGCATTGAAAAAAAATGGGCTGTGGTTGGACTGGAAAAGGTGGGTTGAGTTGGGCTTGGAATGAGGAATATATCTTGCATTGAAGTAGAATAATGGCACTAGAAATTTGTGGATTTAATTTTGACAATTAAGTCAAAGAAACTCTGACATTGTAATCAAACGATTATTCAACTCATTAACCACTGTTTAACAGTTGAAAGATGGTTTTACTTTTACATGTAAGTTTTCAAGTAATGAAAAAAGTCGCCTATAGAAATTGGTGCAGGTGGTTAAAATTTAAAGTTTAGATGTAAAATACTCAAGTTCAAACTCTATAGTGTTTACCATTGTTGATAAATAATCTGTAAATCTAAAAAATCTATAAAAAAAATTTGTAAATTTCCTTGTAGGTTAATGATGCCTAAATTAAGATTTCATTGTATTGTGTTCACCATTTCCTGGCCTCATTGCCTCTTGTCTAAACTCATACTCTACCCATTCAATGGTAGTATTTTATTCTTGCACCAGGCTGAAATAAACATTTACTTCACAGCACAATTTGACCCTTTGTCTGCAACAATGGTTTCTTTGGGATGGGTACGGGGCTCCAAGATTATCAGTTAATGAGATAGGATAATCTATGGCTGCTAGGATTTGTTCTTTTGTTAGCAATTGATTCTGAATAAGAAAGACGGGGCAACCAAAGCCCTGTTAGAACTGCTACTCAGCCCCGGTTTGGCTCCATGATTTGTCCTGTTCTTGGCCTAAGCAACAAAAAGGCCTATAGTCCAGACAGACAGACATTGCATTTAGGTGAGTAAAGATCTCAGTTCCTATTTCAACAGTGAAAATTTTTTCTAACATAAAGAAGCCTGAAAGTTTACAAACTACTAGGGGATACTCCTTTCAGATGAAAAAAAAAAAAAAAAACCCTTTTTGTTTGGCTAGGCATTCTAAAAGAATTGCCCTTGCAACATCAATCTAAGCATTGTATAACTTTAACAGCAATGATATGGGGACTACTGATTCTAACTTAACCTGCAGAAACTGTAGCTTCTAAGAAAACAAAAAAGATGGTAAAGAAAAAGGAAGGATAGGATAAAAACACTCAAATGATGAGATCACAAAAACTAACAAAACAGACTTGATACCAACACAAAACCATAGCTCTTGTCCCATTGCCTCAAATTTGCTCCTTCACTACCATATCAGATTTATAGTTGCTCTAAACGCTGGGCTGTCTCAAATTCTTGCAGGTTCTTTCCTGTTGTGCTTGCAGCTTCCTCTATTTGAGCAGGTGATTTGTTAGGCAGGGCAGAAACAGTAACAGTTGGAACATCTTTATTTGTAACAGATGGAATATCTTCTTGTCGTACTGGTGGAGCAGCAAATACTGGAACCACTTGCCTAATGGTGACAGGCGGAGCAATACATACAGAAGGAGCTCGCAGCACTTGGGTGGGGAGTCTGGATGGTGATTGCTGAGGGGGAACAGCAGCGTTTGGAGGCTGAGCAGGAACAACAGGTGCTGCTGGATGAGAAGGAACTGCGGATGCTGGTGGCTGGGGGGATACTGCAGATGGAGCCGGACATGGTGGTGCAGAAAAAACAGGCACTGCAGTTCTTATTGTCACTGGCGGAGCAATGCCATGGCAAGGTGCCCTAAATTGTCGGATGGGAACATAAGGAGCAGCTCCAGCTGCAGGGAATCTCTGCAGACGAGTCCCACGGCTTTCAGGTGTAGTTGCCTGCAATGATGGCAGTATGTTCTTGTCATTTGCTGTTGCCGACATAGATCTGTTTCGAGGAAACACCTTTGGGCAGATTAAGGGAAGTATTTTTGAGGTGGTAGTAGGAGGCTGTGGACTTGTTGGTCTAGGATTCTGAATAGGAAACTTCTTTGTAAATGGTATTGGGGCATTGGAGGAGTTTGCTACAGCCATCTTTTCCTTTATTCGGTAATGCAACAATGCCCGAGCTATTGTGATCTGTTCAAGCTCATCATTGTTCTCCGGCTCTGAGGAAGAACTTGCAGTCTCTTTCGCCACTGGAAATAAAAGATGTTTTTCAGTTTAGGTACAAAGATTCTAATTGAGATAAGAAGTTTCAGGAAAGCTGCTATAACCAAGGAGTTAGCTTGAGACAGCCAAGAAGACAGGTCTAACAAAAGTAATATACAGCAATTAATCTCTTATGTCTTAAGAAATATAAGGACATGAAAATTTTCGGAGAAGGGAAATATTTCAATAAAATATTGCAACGGCTTAGATAATCTATACAACCTCCCACAGCTACAAGAGAGGAGATAATTAAAAATGAGGGCGACAGAAGCAACTGTTAAGTATCAAATCAATATAATGTAATGGTTTAGTCCAAATATTCCTTGGTGTGTATGGTCTATAGTAGAAGTGTATATAATACAAAGTGCTGAAAAGATAGGCATGCATACCATCTTTCAGTAAAGTCACACTACTTAACAGACACAGCATCCTTTGGTCAGCTCAAAACATGAGGAGATTGAGAATTCCTCTAACCACACAAGAAACTGCAACTTATATTTTATCATTCCAACAATTTATCCACGAGAAACCTGAAACATGGACTCACATTGTTTTAGAGATGTCCAAGCTGCCATGGCTGCATTTTTTTCTGCTTGTTTCTTGTTCTTAGCGGGTTCCCCTGTGAATGTGATTCCAGCCAATTCAACTGTTCCTGTAAAAACAGGTAGGTGTCCAAGGCCTGATCTAAATGTTGTATACTGTGGCAATGGAGCTCCAACTCTTTGTGCAATTTCCTGTAAAAGGTTCTTATAAACCCCTGTCTCATCCTAACAAAAAGAAGCCTGATCAGTATCAACACAACAAAGCTAGCTACAACTATGAAGGACATATACAAGAAAGTTTAGAATAAAAATAGCAAGTTCAACCAGAATCTATCATTCTTTCAAATTTGAAAGTTTATTATAAAGCAGGTAATTACATCAATGAACTGGATGAGAATGACAACATTTTACCAAAGGTGCAAAGCTTCTCTTAAGCTTACAAATGCATAAGCAACCTAACAAGTCAAAACATGAACAAAAAGGTAGCAGCTAATAACTCAAGTATCAACCACTATCACAACACAGAAGGCTGGGCCCCCATTTTAATTGGCTTGATCATATTAAAATACTTTTCATTCTGTAAATACAATTCATATTGTTAATGCACCAAAACCAAAGTCTCAAGAAGGCTGAGTCTGATTGTATTAGCACAAGGTGCAAATTATAAAATTATAGTATCTTAATCCCATATCTATATTTGCTAGATTAAACCTATAAATAATCCAAAACACCACATTTTATCAAAGAAGAAAATCAAATATAAAAATCTACAAAAAATTTGCATCTCACACTTATTTCTCTCATCTGAGGTTAATTCATTTATTTAGGTGGCATCTACAAATCCTCATACACCTACTTGAATGAATTAAAGTCCGTATTTATTCCTCAGACAGTCAACTGAGAAGGCCTGAAAGAAAACATTTTTGTGACCGAAATGCCCCTGATTAAGGGATTAATTGCACCAACAAAACCCAGTTATCAAAGTACAGCTGTTTCCTGAGAAAAAAAATTAAAAATCAAAGATTTAATTAATTAAGGCATTCAATGTCACATGCTATTATCCTTAAAAATTAATTAAATTTCGTTTTCATCACCTAAAAAAGTCAAGAAATCCAACTGCGTTCTGCTAATCTATTAACCCATGAAGGGCAGTCCAGTAATTTCCCCTCCCCTCCCCTCCCTACAACCACCTGAACTGAAACTCCGGCGACCACGGCCACTGCTAAGGTTAACACCGGTCACTCCCCATGGCGCAACTTAGCGAAAAAAAGAAAGGAGCTTTGGAAAAAAGAGCCAAATTTGAGCTTTAAACAAAGGCGCAAATTAGCAACAGCTTTGAGAAACTTACTAGGATTCTGGCGGCGAGAGAGTGAGAAGGGCCACGATGAGAGAGGGATTGGAGGGCGACTTCGGCGGCGGAGTGTTCGGCTTGACGGAGAGTAGAACAATAGTGAGGACTCTCAAAGGTTTCGCCGTTAAAGTTAACGGTGGCTTTGAACCTCGGCGCGTGGTCTGGACCTTCCCTAATGCACGTGTACGAAGGAAGATTAAAGCAGCTCCTCTGCGCCAGCTCCTGCAGCTGGTTCTTATACATTTCTCTCCTCTATTTCACTCCCTCAAAAGACAAAAATTTTCTCTTTTTTCACTCTCCTTTTTAGTTCTTTTCAGTTTTTGCTTGAACACTTCATCTGGGTTCTTCTTTTTCCCGTTGAAGAGGATGGAGAAATGGGATCAGACCCAGAACGGGTCGGGTTGAGATAGGAAATGGGTCATGGAAGATCAAGGTTTTAAGGCTTTTTGAATTGGAGAAAAACAGAGAAGAAAATGAAAGAACAAGTGGAAGAGGTTGAGGAGCAAAAAAACAAAAAGAAAGAGTGTATTTTCATGGAAATTTATTTATTTATTTATTTATTATATTGCGTTTTGTTGCTGGGAGTCAACCGAACGTTGGGCTGCATGGATGTGATCATTTTCTCTTACATTTTCTACACATTTTCATTTTCTTTTCCAGATTTTTTTATGGATCTTTTTCAATTTTATTAATTAATTTATTTAAATCCTGGTTTTGTTTATACTAGTTTACATGTGAAAACAAAATTTTTTTGGTAAATAAAAATTTTAAATTAAAAAACATTATTTCATCTTCAAAATGAAAACAAATCATCAACTCAATTAAAATTTATAAATTTATTAAAAATCTTAAAAACACAAAAATCATCTTTCAAAATCTTAAAATCGTCAAAATCTCAAAAATTATTAAAAATTCTAAAATCCCAAAAACTATCACTTTGCAAATTTTGGAGGTACCTGTAAAAAACAACAAAGGGAAAATAATAAGAGTGCTAAAAATCTGTGGAAAATTAATTCCAAGAACGTGATGACTTGAATGTGTGAAAATCACAGCTCAAATAAAAGATAATTCAAACTAGTATTGAGGCTATTTAAATCTTGCCATGCTAGGTCTGGCTAGACTGTCCAAAGCCAATCAATCACCGTAGGGACAATTATTATTAATATTGCTAGTATAATCCAACTAGACTTTGGGTCAATAAAATTTATGATTAATTAAAATAAAAACATTGTAAAAAATGGGTTTTCTCTACAAATAAAAAAATATTCATTTTATTGGAACTGAGTGTGAAGGGTAGATTGCAGGTTTATTTGGTAATTCTTATATTTAAATAGTATAAAATATTAAAATTTATGTATTTATAATAAATTTTATGTAAAAATTATATTTAATAATTTATATAGATATAAAATCATAATATATATATTTTTAAATTCATATATAATTATCATTAAATTTTTTTTATTATGCTATTATATCATATTTTAAATTATCAAATTTAATTATAAGTAAAAACTAATTACGTCTTCATTAATGGTATCATAAAGTGGATCATAAATTTTGTTTAATGAGTAGAATGATTTAATTTATGAATTTTTACTTTATTTTAAAATATCACACAAAACAAAATTATTTTTAAAAACAATAAAAAAAATTTTAGATTCAAATTATATTTTCCTATTCTAAAATTATAATATATTTTATTAAAAAAATTTACTAGGCATGAGAGGGAAGGAGGATGCACTACTAAAGATTCCATCATAAACCAATGAAATTTTTTATGCAAGAGAAACCTAGATAAAAACTTTTAAAAGCTAACCTAAAAATTACTTTTCCATCAATGAAAATGTGGTGGCCTCACCACCATATGCACTCTTTTTATAAATGATGATGCTCAAAGTCAGAGGAACCGGAAATTTCCGACATCGGTGATGTAAAATTATAAATCTATCCTTTCGTGTTTGACAAAAATAAGAAGCGGTATGAATTTATGAGGGAGTTTTTTGTCATTACATCAAATAGATTAAGGTACTAAGACTTCATTATTATCATGGACAAGGTAAGTGGGGAACAAACTTTAATAATAATCTCCGAAATTGATGAAATTTGACTAATTCGAAATAATGAAAATGCCACTAAAGAGTTTTTAATAAGGAATTTTTTTTTTAATGGATTTTGACGAATCTATGATGGAGAAATAAATGAACAATGGGCACTGGTTAAATGAATAAGTAGTGCATTCTGCTTGAAAAAGTCTTCGGTTCTATTAATTTTTGCATTAAATGGAAACCAAACACGGTCTTCCACGTTTCTTTTTTGTTGGACAGAAGAAAAGAGATGAGATTTATCATCATTGTTGATGTGTCATATGTGATTTGGTCTAATTACACTATCATTTTATATGATTATTATTATTATTATTATATGATAAGAGCATTAAGAAACTATGTTTTTTTATCTGATACAATCAAGGAAACCAGGAATTTTTCATTTTTAACAAGCAAAAAGAAAATTTTTTTTGGGTATATTCAACGGCAATTGGCAAGTATATATGGCAAAATCCCATCAAGGACTCGTACTGGTAAAGTCAATTGCTACAGAAAAGATCTTTTTTTAATAAGGTTAAACTTGGTAAGAAAAATTTCGAGAATAAAATTATGAATATATTAAATAGATATAAAATATCGTGCCCTTCAAATCGTTTGAAGATAAAAAACTAAAAATATCGTTGATCTGTTGATCATATTATATAGAAAAAACCCATCAAGGAAACAGAAAAGCCCATTTTAGAAAGGCAAAAAGTTGGAAGTGTCAGAATGTCATGACCACCAAACAGGTCCTATGCAAAATGAACAACATTAATAAACCGGGAGAAATGAAGATAATAGTAAAAAATTAAATATTTTTTTTGAAATAAAATTGTAAAAACTAATAAGATAAATCGAATAATATCTTACAAGTTGATGGAGATAATTTGGATACTTTATTGCAAAATTTACTACCACTTCATCGTCAAGAAAAGTTTGAAGTTTGGTGAATCATACAATTGGCCAGCTAACTATGCGTATCATGAAACGTGTATGATGGGGAAAAAAAAAATTACTATGATGAGTGTGAATAAACAAAAGTAGAGTACATTCTGTAATACATGAACATGATTGAGTTATCACCATGAAAAGGGGCTTGCTCCCTGCAAAAAAATCTCATTTTCCACATCTTTTACCCATTGACAAACCTGATTGCAAGTTTTTATGGCTAGAGCCTGCACATAACATAAATGAAACTCTAAAGCTTCTTGTACAGAAAAGTATTCATTATGTATTTAAGACAGGATTTGAACTTTGAACACGCTAAATGATTTTTAAGATATATCTGTATGCAAAAGCAAACCTTGTCTGCAAGGGGATCAAACGCCGCATATAGCTCAAAATCCTGTGTGACCCAGCAGAGTAAAACTGACACAAAAATATAATCACATTAAATATGTGAAGGCTGTAAAAAAAAAAGACTGTTGTTATAATTTATAAGCAAATGTTGTGCATTAACCAGAGAAGACTTAGAAAGCGAAAACATTGATAGCAGAAAAAGACATTTAAACAGCTAAACAAAAACAAAATGTAGTGAAGTTAACTTTTAGCTATTCGGTAATAGTTTAGATGTCAGCAAAATTTATGAGAGAAAGATTACCACAGATTTCATCTCTTCTAAACTGAGTTTTATGGGGCCCAATTCCTTTAACATGCATGGAAGCATACAGTCTCTGGTAAGCTCTATACAATCTGCATAAGAAAAAAACAGTTATCCTACTAACCACCGTGGAGCAAAATACAATATGAAACAAGTTCTAGTTGAAGCGGTACAAGGTAAAGAGTTTTACCTTTTCTGTTGCTGAGGATTGTTAAGTGGTGGTGAGAACTCAGAGGATACATATTGATCCAGATATATACTACGATAAATGAAATGCCAAAGTCCAGCAGGACCACCAATGCCAATAAATGGTTCCCTTGGCCTCTCAGGAGAATCTGTTGGAAGTCTTTGCTGGCCTAGATGAGGAGATGATCCAGATTGAGGCAGTGGGTCAACAGGCAAATCCTCAACGTGCATTCCACCATCTATCATTGATCTCTGAACTTCACTAAGAACATTGGACTTCAAGACGACCATTTCTATGCGAATCCTATAAAATTTCAGTCAAATTTCTCAACAGTCTACAGGAGAAGAAAATAAACATTTTATATTTCCACCAAGAGAGCCACATGTACTTTTCCCTGTAAGGCATAGAGACAACTAAATCTGGCTATATATCCATCCTGTCAGATGGACATAGGTTAGCCTCAAAATATGCAGTCAATTGATGTAGAAAGTGGGGAGGTACCCTAAGTTCACAAACATCATGATTAAATTAAGAAAATCCAGTTTACCTGCAATCTTTAAGATGATGGAAGGCATCTGAACTGGTAGTAAGCAACATCAAGTATGTATCAACCTGCCACAAGAATGTAGATTTGTTATCTTGTGCCGTAGGAATGACTACCATAGGGCAAATACATCAAAGCATTGTATGTAGTAGAAGTTGCATAAAATTAAAATATTGTGAACCAAGTGTCACTCACATCAAGAAAATGCACATAAGCATACAAAAATGCCATAGGATTATATCTTGGTAAACAAATTGGTGAGAATGATTCTGATGTCCTGCATAAATCATGAAGATCTCATAAGAACAAAAAGCCACTACATCATTAGCATAAATACAACATTAAGTCAGCTAGATCTTTAAGGAAGAAGAGGAAAGACATTTTAAAAAAAAAAAAGAGAGAGAGAGAAAAAATGAAGAGGAGAAGACTGCACAAAGATTTATTTAGGTTATGCATTATCAAGATATCAACTTCCGCCAATCAAATGTAATAATAAGCTGTTAAGAAGAACCTTTTTATATGAAATAAACAAGGTCAGAAAACAACAAAAGAGCTAGTAAACATGTTATTTGCTTATAGTGTGCAATAAGTTTCTGGAATTTCAATTTAGAGTTCAACAGATACGTTAGGAAGACCTTTCAGATAAGACACAACGGGATTGAGGTTGTTCACTAAACAAAAAAAAAAATGTTTAGCTAGAAATCCACATAAAACCCACTGACTATCCAAGCAAAAAGTCAACATTACTGCTTTCCACTACCCTGCTAAGAAGGATTATCTAAGAGATGGTTTTGACACAGAACAATGATATTCCATGTGCTTCTGAGGGCATATGCATTCAAATTCTCTAGAGTTGACAGATAAAAGGGAACTAAAGACCTATTAAAGTTTATTCTATTTACCTAAATGACTCTGATGACATCACAAAGTTCGAAAGAAGCAACATATCATCAGGATGAAGAGAGGCTTTTTGTGCACCAACAAGACTGATAACCTGAAATTGACCTTCAGGTCAATAAGTACTCCAAACAGTAAAATATTGTTTTAAGGAGTTAAACCGGAAAGTAATAATAACAAAAACATTGCAAAAGAAGAAAAAAGAGGATGCGGGAGTTTTACCTTGTGTTTACACATTAGTATTGCAAAAAGTACCCCTGAATCAGCAACATCTTGCAATATAGCACCTGCAGACTGCCTTGTTGCATAAGCAAGGGGAAGACAAGTGTATGCATGAAGAAATGTAGCTGGGTTCCTGAAAAAGAAAAAAAAAAGTTTAGAAGCTACTATTCATGTCAAATATGAAAGAAAATGAATATTATAACTTACATCTCATCAATAACACAAGTAACATAAATGTGTAAACACACACATATTATCCTTTTCAGAATGCATAAACAATATTTTCAACCAGGGATAGCATGTGGCAAATTTTGAACAACCAGAGCCAACAATCTTGCAATTGACTTAAACTAAGTCAAGACTCAAGGTGGTTTGTATTCATGGATTGAGCAAGAAAGCACAAGTAGGGGCTTAGCAGGGTGGGGAGAGAAGAGGAGAGCTCCAAAATTATTAGACGTGAAAGGAAAACCCAAAGAAACATACCAACTAAAGGAGTGGATGAGGGAAGAGAAAACAACATCTGTTCCTCCAAGCAAAGGTGTCATATCAAACTTAGGATTCTTCTCAAAGCACCTATTTATCGACTTTGTTAAGATAAGTATCATCTGCACCCATATCATAACCAATCAAAAGTGAGAATGCAAAGTACTTTTGGGTGCCTGTCATAAGCAAATAATGTAAAAGGTGACCAAATAAAATGACCATGGGAAATTAGCAAGCCTTGAATAGGCAATGGCAACCAATTCATCAGTCTGGAAGCAAAGATTTGCAAGGGATACTGTAAGAGCTACCTGACCGTAAATAAGCTCCAATTGTCCTTTTAATGATTCAAAGGGCTCCTCTGTGCAGCTAATGCAAACTAAATAAATTGGTCCCTTCACAAGAAAGACTACCTGAACAAACAAATATGTCATCCATATTTTATTCAGTATATCAAAAAATAAGGATTGATTATGTAGGCTTTAAAGTAGGTCATTCAATGTTTAGGCATTCTATACCCAAAAAACAAGAAACAGTGACAGTTTTTAAGCAAGGTGTGCTATGTTGACGAAGTCAACAGTGACACTTTTCATTTAAATGTGTCTATTTTCAACTACTATTGGACATTATCTATTATGTCACTCACTTTCTTTCTGAAAACAATGAACTTGCAGTAACATGCCTTTCGAAATATAACAAGAATTATTTTGAGGCTTAAAGTTCAACCATATCTAATGAATTTATTAAAAAAATAATTAGATTAATGTCAGATAGAAATTAAATTGCAGCTTCTCACTGTTTATTTCTAACTGTACAATACGTGAAAGAAACTTTAAAAGGACTACTTAAAAAGCTTAACCAATAAGTAGATGAGAAAGTAGATTAAATGCAAATAATCTAATAACAATTGATATTAGAGCTAGAAGATTCTTTTCAAACATAAAACATAAATTTCAAGCCAGAAATAGCAAAGATAACAATACCTGGTGTTTCCCAGCCTTCACCAATTTGACACGATCTCCCCTGAGAAGCAATGAATGAAAAGTTAAAATTCCTTCAAAGAACTAACATAGCCCAAATAATTGCATTTGATAAAGCACAAGAATCATTACTAAAAACCAAGTAAGCTAGATCCAGCCAAGTACCCATTCTCCACGAAGGAAATAATGGCTTGAAGTGTTGCTGAAAAACCAGCTAGCTTGTGTTCATCACCATATCTGGAAGTCAAATATACATAAGCAAGTAGTCCAATTAATTGCACACATTATGCACCTTCCAATGCTAGCACTTTTAGGGACTAGTGACAAACCTGGAATATATTGGTTTGCCAGAATTACTCAAAATAAAGAAGTGCTTCTTCCGCTTCCTCCATGATATCGAAGCATCATCCTGCACTTCACTTATAAATCAAACATGACATAATATAGCAAGGACTCTTTAATTTATTTTTTTTTCAATGAGTGCCGCTCATGAAAGGCAAAAAGTACTAATTCAACAATAAGATCGTTATTGAATAATCCAAAACTTCATAAGCATTCCCAATTCTAAAAGTCAGTTTAGAAATCTGTACGACAGCGAAAGTTGAATTTCGGATAAGAACAAGCTGAACCAAAAGCTTTTCTTCATATTAAGAAGGAAAAAAATGAAATGGTTTACCTCATCGACGTGGCGTTTACCGGGCACCCAAGAGGAAGCCTGAGAATCAGTGATTTCGTCGAGTGACCCATCGTTTCTCACTACCTGAATCTCACTATCGTCAATCTCACTCGCTTCGTCGATCCTGGACGCGCTTGTGGCGCTGCTGCTCCCTCTCTCAGCGGCGTATCCGCTACTGCTGGGACTCAAAGGCCCTTCATCGCCAAACATTTCCTCATTCTCCACTCGCAATCGATCATCGTCTTCGTCGCCGTCATTGATTCTCTCCTGATTCAACGATCCATTGTCGATTCCATCGCCATTTTCACGATGATTATGTTCCAATCCGACCGGTTCAGTCAATGTCAAGAAACCAAACCGTTCATCCACCAGTTTGGGATCGGAATTAGGGTTTACATCGGTGGGGTCATCACCGGAAGCCGAAGATGAGCTGGAATCCGACGACATTCTCTTTTCACCTATCAGGAAATCGAATTAAACATCTAAAAAAAAGGCGTCTAGGGTTTTGAATTAGGGGTAAGATTTTGAGAGAAGGAATTGATTTTACTGCTATTACTACTTTCTCAGCTTCGCTGCCTACCAGTCGTCGTGTTGCTGTTTTCTGTTGGTTGGTTTCGCTTTGGCTCGTTTCCGTTGCTTTGTTGCGCTTTTTTTTTTTTTTTTTTTATTGACTATTAGGTGTCTCCAGTGAATCAATGGGCCGGGAGACCGGGTAATTTGGGCCCCAGCCATGGCAGGGTTCGGGCATGGGTTGGGTTTGAGATTCTGCCCACATGCTCTCCCGGCTTTTGTTGCAAACAATATTAATATTCATCAATATATTTATGATTATAAAGATTAAATTCTAATTATGAAAATTAAAAATTCGTCCCTTTGATTCTCATCATGTCGTGGTGTCATTTTTTAAATGAATTTTTAAAAATTTAATTACAAAACGACATCATGATTAAGTGAGAATCCCTTTCTCTATCAAAGGGTACCTAAAAATAAAATAAATAATTTTATTAATTTATTGACAGGTCAAATTCATTAGTGTATATTGGATTTTGGATGTGTAAGTTCAAAAAAATGAGTTTGGATGAGTAAATAAGTGAGAAAATTTGGCCTTCAATGATTAAAATATTATTTTTTGAAATAAGATTATAGTTTTTGAAAATTGAAAGTACATATATAAATATATAAAAAATTAAATATATTTTTAATATAATTTTGTAATTTTATAAATAAAATTAATAGAATGATATAATTTTTTAAAATATATTAAAAAAATAAAATATGTATCACCATTAAATCACACTTGTAAAATTAAAAAAGTTCTATTAACATTATAGCGAATAATTTCTCTAAATACAATATGTACAAACTAATTCATGAAATTTGACTATTTGAAAAAAAAAAAAGCAAATATTAAGGCCGAAAAGGATATCCTTTAATGCTTAAGTATGAAGAAAATAGCCTTTTAATGATCAATTATTGGGGTCAAGTAAACTAATAATAAAAAGAATACTTTTTTGGGTCCAATAACTTGTTATCTTTTTCAAACTTTAGTCCATCATGGGATTGGGTCCATCTTGATGGAGTTGCAAAGGGCCCCAACTTTGCTCCTGGGCTTCATTTTTATCAGCTTTCAAGTTTTAACCATGGACATGCCGATTTTTATATTATAATTCATGTCAAATATGTATTAAATATAAATTTTATTATATTATAATTTATATATTATGTTAAATATAATTTTTTTTATTTTGTTAATTTTATATGAATTTTTATTAAAATTTTAAACTATCATTTCATTTTTTTAAATCGAATTATTATTCAAAATTATTAAATCTAATTGTAAATGAAAAAAAGTAATTGTATTCATTTTCTTTATAAATTTGGTTTAGAAACTCTTTTGTGATATCACTTTCCATTTGTTAGAAGGTGATAACAGTTTAGATATGATCGAATTTAATTTTAATTTTTTAAGTAATACATAAAATTATAAATTTTTTAAATTCGATTTGAATCTAAATCAATTTTTTATATGATCCATTCAAATTAAATCAAATTTTATTGGTTCAATTTGTTTTAACAACTTTTTATTTTTATTTTTGTTTCTTATATATTATATTAATCTTATTTTTAATATATTTAAATAGATTTAGATATAAAATATTTATTTTTATTTCAAAATTTTTAAATATATATAAACTATTAAAAATATATAATTTAATTTGATTCAATTTTTTTTAATTTTTATTTTTTGATTTAAAATTTAATTCAAACTTAATATATATATATTTAATATTTGAATTTAATTTAAATTAAATAAAAAATTAATTCAATTTTCTCCTTTTTTTTCCCTACCATTTGCTGTATGGAGAAAAAGGCACCAACTATCAATGAAAACAAAAGCACAGTACACTTTCAACCAATTAGGAAGAAGAAAAGAAAGAAAATCGAACTTCATATTGAGAAGGCTTGTGGAAACAAAGCACTAACAAAGAAAAAGAAAAACAAAGATCTATCTGATTCATATTTGATATTGCTGTAATTTGTCAGCTTTTCCTTGTCAACAAGAAAAAAGAAAAACTAATCGATTAGAGTTTGGCCAAATAGGTGTTTCTTTTTTTGAAAATTAGCTTTCATTTTCAATATATACATAGGTATTGGTTCACACAGCACATGCAGCCCTGACATCGATTTTAAAATTGACAGAATCTGATTTTTCAGATAAAAATTATTTCTCACATATATTATTTTATAAACATATCATAAAGTTTTTGTTGCCACGAGTCATTAAGATGATTTGTTCACCTTAATAATCCAAGGGATGCACACGAGAGTTTCATGTGAAGTATACTTAAATTTAATTTATTTATTATTAAATAGAGCTCGAATTTTTTAATAACAAAAGATTTATGCTGCTAATGAAATTTTTTCTTTAAACACATTTTAGTATATTTAATTTATAGATAAATAATAAAAATATTAAATTTAATGTTTATATTTATGATTTTACTAAATTTATCTATATGAACTATTTAAGTAAGTTACAAATCAAACTTGATTATGAAAAAACAAAATTTAACATAATTCAAATCAAAATTTGAATCAAAATTTTTAAATAAAATAAAATTTAAATTTAATATTAAATCGATTCGATTTAATTTAATTAAGTAAAAATATTTTAGAAGGTAATATCTTTAAATCAGTCTTTTAAGGAAACTAAGAGCCACCTTTCCTCTAAAGCATAAATAATCATAGTATAGTCTTTTATTTTTTATTGTTATGATTAAAAATATTTTTAAAATTTACTTGAATCTTTGTTTTTTCTTGAAAATTTTAAGGGCAGACTCTCCATATATATATATATATATATATATATAATTCAACTATTTTTAACTTTAAAATGTTTTGCCTTATTTATAAATTCAAAAAATAAAAAGAAAAATGAAAAGTCAAGTTAGGCCTCTAATTTATTCTACAATGAGCCGACAACACTCTCCTTTTAGGGCTGCTCCCACGGACTTCACCTACACGTCATCGCTATAGGACGAAAATACTGTCGACTAATGGTGACAATAGTGTGACTAAACCTACAAAAGGAAAACAGTTTTATATTCCCATGACGCCATAAATGGGGAAAAAGACAAAGCCATGAAAACAACGGGCGGGCATACACAAAGCGCTACAAGTTTATACGCTACAAATGGTGACGTAACCGTCACTATATTTGTCCCCACTGTAAAAGTTGATCTGACGGTTGATGATTTCCCAATCTGACAACAAAGAAAACCGTCGTTTAATCTTTAGCTTTTTTCAACAACGACCGCCATCACCCCTTTTTTTCCCTTCTTTTTTTGGTGACAAATGTTGCTTTTATTCTGCCTTTCCTTTTTTTATTATGATTTAGTGGTTTGGCATGTTTCCTAGCCCAAAGATAAAATTCAACAAATTTTGTCCGGACCACTTTCGTCAGTAAAGATGGGAGGTGTGGGGATGTTTGTGTCCTAAATTGTCTTTTTCTTTTTTAATAAAAAAAAGTGAATTTTTATGGAACCAATTTTATTAACCAATTAGGCAATAAGAGTTGTCTTCTCTCAATTTGTCTATATGTGTTTTCATCTTTTTGCATTGTGAATTGCATTGTGAATCACTCACTAACACATAATGTGATTTGTTAACATGTATTTGTGTTTAAATTAGTTAAAGTGCACCATCTATTTTATTTTAATTGGGGTTTGGGGTCCCAACGGTGTATGAATTAGTGAAATATTGGAGAAAAAGTTTTAGCAACGAATGTTTCAAGTACACTTTTTTTAATTATCATATTAAGTAATATTTTCTTTTAATTTACCAAAATTCATTATATAAATTATATATTATTGCATTTAATATAAAAATATTACTATAAAATAATAATTTACTAAATTTAAAAAGTATCTTTAGACACTCAATAGCAAAATACTAAAACAAAGAAAGTGGAATTACCTCTAATTTATCATTTTTTTTCTATTTCCTATATGATATTGAGAAGAATGGTCATTATCGATAGGTTTCATTTGGGGCCCTATTAGTTGAGAGTTTTAAATTCAGTTTGTTGGAAATTAATTGTTGAGTACATATGAAGATGAGATTTCATCCTATTTTTAAAGTTGACAAACAATAAATACTATTTATAATTGAAATATTTACTAGCTATGTGCCAAAAAGTTGATATACTTAAATGATTTATAAAAGCATAAGTTGAAAGTTCTATTGAAGTTTAAAAAAAAAACATCAATATTTTTTTGTTTGTCATTTGTATTGATAGGGATAGAAAATGGCATAATTTTATTTTTAATTGATGCCTCTTTTTAGTAACATTTTGTTGAGAAATTGGGGTGAAAGTTAATATAATTATTTTAAAAGATAAATGCTAATGGCCCTTGGGAATGGATTTTTTTATATGTATTTAAAAGCATTACTACCTTTAATCAAAGTTTTGATTATTTTATAATGCAATACATCTATAGATTAAATAAAAATATATATTAAATGAAAATTAATATCACATTTATTTCTTGGAGAGGAATATATATATAATTATAATCCTTAATAAAAAGAAAAAAAGAAGCTCTCTACATGAACCATGACTTTTTTTTTTTTTTTAATATGATGAAGAGTTTTTAAGTTTTGATTGGATATAATTTTCTTATCGTATGATTATAGGCACATTACCCGCATTAATCTGTTGCATTCAAGATTTCATTATAGAATGCTTTCCGTAAGGATCGAACCCACATGAACCTCTTGTAGGCAATTGAAATAAATTACATTAATTATGTCATAATACAACTTAATTTATTAGGTAAAGATTCACTAAGGTAAATAAATGGTTAAAACATGCATACATATCCTACATAAACTAAAATATATGCCTTCGTAAAGATCAAATCATTAGCTTGACATCATGTCAAAAAGACGTTTAATTTTAAGTATAAATTAAAATATCTTAATTATACGTCTAAATTATGAATTATTACGTTTAATATTATTTTAGTGTAAGTAATCTATCAATGATTAAAATATTTTGCATTTCTTGAAAAAAAAAATACAAATAATATTAAAATATTATAAAAATTAAAAAAAATTACAAAATTTAAATTTTACAAATGATAATAAAATATTATCATACTAATTTTTTAGATATATTTTAATAAGATATGTTACAACTCTCCAATCCTATTAATAGAATATCTGAATTTGACTTGCAATATATTGGATAATTTACGTAAAGATAAATTAAAAATTCCTCAACAAAATTAGTTGCATCCAAATCTCCAATTAAAAAAGAATTTAGTTTGCTTTTAGATCAAACTATTAATATCAGATACAAAATTTTATTACAGTTCCGAAGCTCGAGGTTTAGATTAAATGCTAATTAAATCCAATTTCATCCCTAACCACATAATTAATTAATTATTACAAACAATTTTTTAAATATTTATTTTAATTACCGCATCCGAGGTTTATAAGTGACCAAACTTATCTCCTTATCCAAATTGGATATCATCAAAATTAAGGTTCTTCGGTTCCATGAAAATTAAAATAAAATAAAATAGTTTTAATTTTGTCCGCATAATCTCATAAAAATCTCGAGGTTAGAATTACACGAAGGAAAATGATCCTCTTAATCAAACATATTGGCAAAAAAGTAATAATTATAAGAAGAGAGACAAAAAAGGGCTAAAATTTTCTAATGAAATTAAAAATTATAATGATTTTCAAAATTCTCACTCTTTTATTTTAGTTTAATCTTGGAACCCAGTTTTTTCAAAAATTGCATTTCTGACCATCCTCAGATCTCTTCCTTTCAAAGTCCTCCCTATCCCTTCATGAACTGAGAACGATGCGATCCTTGTCCTCGCCAAAAACTCGTGAGGCGGAATCCTAACTCCTCCTTCCGACCAATCATCTCCTTCCACGTCATCATCGTCGCTCTCTGATCTCCTCCGGTTATCGCTGTACTCTTCCCTCAAAATTTTTGACCAGTCCGGTATGTTGACAGGCAGCGAAACTGGTGTCCCTCCCACTCCAGTATCCCCTCTACCGCCGCGCTTTGACGACGGTTTTTTTGCCACTCGAATGCTCCGTAACTCAGGCGAGTCAGAGCGAGTCAAGACCGAGTTGCTATAAATATCTGACTCGTCTAACTCGAATGCCGCCGAGTCATGACTCATCGTTGCTTGCAGTTGTTGATCGCTCGACAGATATCGGTAGTTCGTTCTCGAGTAATAGCTTTTGCTGCTTGCCATCAAAAACTTCAAATAAATAAAGCAAATAAAATATATCTAATATTTTTTCCAATCTTCTCGTTTCTTCCTCCCTTTGGTTATCGTTCCTGAATTCGATCTGCTTTTATAAACGTTCGCTTCCGAGAAGGATAAGGCCAGCTCGCTTAATTAAAAATTAGAAAAAATAATGCAACTCAATAAAATTACAGAACCACCCCGCCGCGATTTTCAAGAAATTGCCAGGTGGAATTCCTGGTTACTCACCAAGAAACTTCAAAAAAAATTCAAAATACGGTTCGGGAGGTTTTGATCCAGTGTTTTAACTTTCATTTATTTGGCCGTTGAAAGTGGATAGACTTCGTTTGATTCGTTGAAGTTTTTGTCATCAACTGTTTTATCCAAAGTAACTGAAAAGCTAGATTATTTCCCTAACATCCGGAGTTCTAACGCGACGACGATGATAAGGACACGTGGATAGAAAACCATAGATAAACGCCACGTTGAATGTTAAGTTGTTAATGCAACTTAATAAAAAATTTATTAATTTAATTAATAAATTTTAAAATATCATTTTTAATATTTTATATTTACTAAAATTTGACTTTTTAAATATTTTAATCGTTTTTGTTTTGATTTATTTATCCGAAGTCATATTATTCATTTAAATTTAAAAATTTATTCAAAATTTAAAAAAATTTAAATAAAAATTTAAAATTTTTTAAAATAATTAAACTTAATTTTTAAGTCTCTTTAAGTTTTAATTCGAATCTTAAATAAAAAAATTAAAATCTCAATATGATTTAACACAATCTTATTAAATTATATATAATTAAAATATTATAATTTTTAAGTATATATATAATTTTTTTTAAACATGAATTTTTATAAAATTTTATTACATAAATTAAATTTAATTGTTGAATTTAAAATTTATTTTTTAATTTAAGATAAATTTAAAAATATTTTAAAATTAAAATATCAAATAAAATTAAATTTAATTAAATAAATAAACTATTAATATTAAATATAAACTCCTCCGAATTCAACTTAATTCGATATTTGATTACCTTTTACTCCTACGGGTAAAGTTGGGAAAACAAATTTTATCTCTTACTAAAAACAAAAGTTTCGTACCATTTTGTCGTGACGTGAAAAATGTTAAGATGGGGTTCACCTGACCTGGTTCTCGGAAGGAGGACAAAGAGTGGTCCCTGTTTAGACAATCGAGGATTTAGACAACTGTTGTAATGGCAAAGCTTACACGTGGCTCCATCCGTTTCGTGTAGGGTATCGAGCGTGATCGCACGTGAACTGGGGCCCCCAATTTTCTCTCTCCCGTTTGGATCTAGCGCGCTTTGGCTTCCAGCTGGCTGGTTCCTGGACATCTCCTAGTGTCTTCGTACATACGAGATGAGGTGAAGTTCAGTATAAAATTTTCAACCCTTAGCTCGAGGCTTTTGGCTAATGGCTAATGGCTAATCCCCAAAAGCTATGGATGTTGACATTATAGGCTAATGCCTTGTTTGGATTGGAATCCAACTAGGAAACAAAATTAGTGCCAGTCAGTCTTATTCTGCATTAAGGATTTCCAACCATACAAAACACTCCCACTCTGCAAATACGAACCTAATTTATTACAACAAATAAATGATTTGTGTGTGTTTTCTTAATTATATATTTACGTATTGTATTAGGTAAAATATTAATAATTTATATATAAAAATATATATTGTATTACGTAGAATATTATTAATATATATGTAAATTATGTGTTATAAACTTATAATTTATATTTATATAAAAAATATATAATTTATATTAAATTTATAAATAATTTTATTAAAATTTTAAATTATATTATTTATATATAATTTTTAATTATATTAAAAGAGGTTGATGTGCAAGCAAGCCATGCATGGGCCATAGCATGTTTAATTGAGTTGCCAAGTCCTATGGCTAACAATCGTTGATAATGAGTCTGAGGAGGGTCCAAAGCAGAGCACTCGCTTTTTTCTTCCTATGGCTTTCAAGCGTTTGTAACTTGCTACTTCGAAGCTCCTCCCCTGCTGCATTATTTGCCTTGATGAAAGTTTCACATTTTTGCTACAAGAAATGAACCCAATGATATGCTCATCCCCATGCTTGGTTATTGGTTTAATTTGATCCTTCTCAGCTCATCGCTGTCATTTGCAGCACCCACTCAGCTCGACATTTAAAACATTGATCGAGAGGTCAAATCAAGATCTTATCTACAGATTCAATTAATTTTGAATTAAATTATTTAAAATTAAATTAATCAAATTATATTATTATATTTTTATTAATCTAATCAAATTTATTAATTTTAAAAATTAAATTAAATTTTAAATTTTAAATTTTTATATAGTAAACAAATTAAATAAAATTGTTTAATAAAATATTAAAATATCAAAATATTATATTAAAAATTTTAATAATTTATGAAATAAAATGATTAATTTAATATATTTTTTATATTTTAATAAAAATTTTAATTAATTTAACTTTCAAACCAAATTAACTTAAAATTAAAATTTTTAAAAATTATTTTCGTTAACTAATTAAAATTAATTTGATAACCTATAAATTAATGGAATTAAATAGATTAAATCAGTTAATTCAATTAAAATTAAATTATAAATACTCATAATCTTGAATGAAATCCGTTGATTAAATCAATTAAAATAATTTTTTTTTATATATTTTTTTTTTCAAACACTCCGATCATATTTATTAAGCCCAATTTAGAATAATATCAAGACTTACCAAAAATGCTAAGTCTGATAAAAAATGTTTTCCTACAACCCATTAATGTGCTAGAAGCCCACCCAAAACTGCCCCATTTGCTCAGCCCAATGCAGTAGCTTAAAGTATTAAAATTACAAAATCACCCATCTTCATTTCTCATGTTTCCCAGCTTCCTTAGAGGTTAAATCGGGGATTAAGCTGAAAAAACCCTAGCTATATTATCTGCACTCTTTATGCTTTCGACTTTTGAAACCCTAGCCCCCCTCGTCTTCTCCATCAAAGAGCAAGCCGAATAATGCCGCCCAAGTTCGATCCATCGCAAGTCGTCGACGTCTTCGTCCGCGTCACCGGCGGCGAAGTCGGCGCAGCCAGTTCCCTCGCTCCGAAGATCGGTCCACTCGGTCTTTCTCCCAAAAAGATCGGTGAAGACATCGCCAAAGAAACCGCCAAGGACTGGAAGGGTCTCCGTGTCACCGTCAAGCTCACTGTCCAGAACCGTCAGGCGAAAGTCACGGTGGTTCCTTCGGCGGCTGCGCTGGTAATCAAGGCGTTGAAGGAGCCCGAGAGGGATAGGAAGAAGACCAAGAACATCAAACATAACGGGAACATCGGCCTTGATGACGTCATCGAGATTGCCAAGGTAATGAGGCCGAGGTCGATGGCTAAGGATTTGAAAGGGACGGTCAAGGAGATCTTGGGCACGTGCGTTTCTGTTGGTTGTACGGTTGACGGGGAAGACCCTAAGGATTTGCAGCAGGAGATCGATGATGGCGATGTTGATGTTCCTTTGGAGTGATAAAGCTTTTTTAAAAATTTTTTTTAAAGATTATTACCATGTTTGTCCTTTTTAAATTTTTGTTTAATTTTAAGTTTTTGGACAATTTGCGGATATTTTTATCAGATGTTTTTGAGTTTAAAATCTAGACGATTTTACCATTTATGAATCTTTTCACGTAGATTTGCAAATCTAAAAACATTATATGAAAATAGGAGACAATGATGATATGGTTTAAAATTTTAGCAATAATTATATTTGAGATTAATAAAATTAATAAAATATATTTTATGATTATGTATCGATACAAATATGAGACATAATTTTTGAATAAAATATAATATAAATGCACGAATTTTACACTTTGATTTACTTGAATGGATATAAATGTGAATTTATTTATATTCTTTTAGTTTTCTTTTCCTTCTATTAACTATTTGAAATGCTAGTCTTTTGCTATGCTTCTGCTTGGTAAGTAAGAAATGAATGGAAAATGCAATTCTTGGTAGCGCTTCTGCATGGTAAGTAACAAATAAATGGAAAATGGAAGTTTTGGTAAGTAATAATTTTGAGCTTATGTTTGAAGATTGAGATATCTTTGAATGGTTGTTTTTGGATACTGAGGCAAATAATTTTGTGTTGCATGATCTGTTGGAGGTTTGTTTTATGATGAATGCTGAACTTAATGGATTCTGTTGGATAATTTTGATTGTAGAACATAGAATAAGTATGTTGTGATGATGCCAAAGAATCACATATTTATTCAGTTGTAGCATTCAGGCTTATTTTCTTCATAGAAGTCTGTGAGTAGTTCATTCTTTATTTTTAAAAGCAGGCAGATCTTCTTGACGTGCTTAACTCATGTTTTAGCTGTCTAGCTTAAGTTTTGCTACATTGCTAAACGTTTGAGTCGTGATCGCTGAGGTTATTGGTTTTCCCCTTTCTTTAATTTTTCATATGCATAACAATGTTTTTCTTGATTCATGATGCATCCTGAGGTGCACATTATACACTGACTTATGGTTACATGTGGAAACCTTTCTAGTGTTTAAACCTGACGGTTTGTATTTTCGTGTCGTGTCAAATATTAAAATTCGTGTATTCGTGTTATATTTTATACGAAAATTACATGTTATAGTTTAATTCGACACGAAAACATGAAATGTGCTTTTGTGGTTTTGTTAAATCCATAGTTATTACTAAAATTTTAAATTGTGTCATTTTTGTGTTTTTTATTCGTGTTATATTCGTGTCACCGAATTGTATTTTAGATTACCAGTTTTTTTACTCTTGTGATTGTTCTAATGAGATTTAGGTCTTATCTTCAAGTCATTTCCATGCTTTCTATTTATGCTGTTACCTTTAAAATGATATTGCTGCACCGTGCAAAAGGTGTTTTCTGCCCCAAAGTCCAAACTATCATGTAACCAATAACAAGGTACTGATATTTGCAGTTTCATGTTTTTCATTGTTGCATGATATTATGGTGTGAACGTTAGAACTCTTTGTTGATTAGATTATAACGAGATAGGATTGTCAACGATCCAAACATAAATGAACGAATGTATACGTGCGATTTGTTCGATTATTTTTAGAGGTGTTTGGGTTTGGTTTGTGTTTGGTAAGAAAATTGTTCTGATTGTTTCAGCTTTGGTTTGTTTAAATGGTAAAATGTTTGCGTTCCGTTTCTGTTTGGTTTGATTAAATTAAAAAATTTGTTGATAAATATTATACGAATATATCCACAAATATTTATTAACGAATATGTTTATGAACAATAAATAAATTATAATCAAACAAATTTAAACAAATAAACTTTGAATATTTTGAGCAAACAAACCCTAGATGAGTATGATTGAACTCAACCAAATATAAACAAAATAAACTTTAAATGTATATAAACAAACTCAAACAAAATTTTTCGAATCAATTTGATTTTTGTTTGTATTCGATTTGTTTAATAAATAAATATAAAAATGTTATTTAAGATTATTTATTAAATTTAATAAATAAACAGAAATCGAAAACATCTACAAATGGATCATTAAAATTTCTAATCATTTACACCAATAAATTGAGACAGATTTTGAGGATCTTATTGAACAATTTAGATTCTAATTATGTAATGTTCCTACCCAATTTAAGATACGTTCCAACTGTCTGCTATTTTCAGTCATAATTCGTTGAATTGCTATTTTATCATCGTCCATGTGAATTAGCTCCCATAATCTTCTCCTGCGTTTCTTCATCTTAGCCATCATCGATCTGTATATAAAACTCCATAATGTGATTCTTTTTGCTCAATCACATTCCACAAATCTTGTGGAATACCCCCTACAAAATCTGCATTTCCCATCTATTCCACTCCCTCTCTTTCTCAGCCGAAGCCATAAGAGAAAAGAGAGAGAGAAATAGAATTGCCATCCATTCTTTGTTCATTTCATATTTGATTGATCACCAACAATGGAAAGAGAGCTCAGGCATATGATGAAGCCTTGGATTGAGGCTGCTCCATCTGTCATCAGCTTCCCGTTGAGGACTTCCAATTCTCCGAAACTAGAGACCATAAGAGAAGAGCGAGCAGAGGAATACGAGGACGATGAAGATGACTATGCTGACATCAGTGACTAGCGTTTTGGTCAATGGCAAGTTTTAGTGGTTGGATTGGCGTCCTGGTTCTGGAATTGAACTAACAGAGACGAAAAATGAAGTACTCAAATCTCAAAGATTTCTAGTTGCACTTGTGTTTATTGATGTTGTGATTACGTCATATTGTATCTTTTTCAATAACAACTATCAAACAAATTGTTCATCATATTCTTTACTGTGATTACATCTGATAGAAATCTTTATGCAGAACGTGGGGACAACCTCCAAATTGTTTGTTTCCATGATCCACATGCATCTTCTCAATACTAGAAAATCACATGAGAAGTAGAAAATTAAACTGAAGTTCAGAACATGATTTTAATGTTTAGTAATATTTTCCAATGTTACTTACAAAATGTGGTCTGATCAGCTGATTTATGTCCGGAATTTTGAACATCTTTATTTTCTTACTTTTTATATTAAAAGAATTTTATACAATTAGTTTTGCCAGCATTCATGCATGAAGCAGCAAAATATGCAAAATTCTCCGGCTAATGCTGTCCATGATTCATGATTTTCTCTTCACCTACAATATTTCCTTTTAAAGCAAATTTATAGATATGATAATTTATGTATTTATATCGAAACCAAAATATTAAAATTCATATATTCACATTTTATTTTTCACGAAAATTACGTATTATAATTTATGTCGAAACCAAAATATAAAAAATATATTTTTTAATTTTTTAAAATTTATATATAATTATTATTAAAATTTTAAATTGCATCACTTTCGTATTTTTTTTGTATCATATTTATGCAATGCCATCGCATCATATTTTAAATTATCAAAATAAAATTTTTTTTAACATATATTAACCATTTCCACTAATATACTATTGGCGGTAAAAAAAAAAAAAAAAACTAAGACATCACGCAAAAATATATTCCAGTTTCTTCTACTATATATTCCAAAAGGCCTCTTCAAGCTTTTGGAATGGGAGAAAATTTTTGTTTTTTATTTTCCAAGTCAATCATCTTCAATCTATCATTAATTAACAATGTGACCTAAAATTTCCTGTTAAAAGAAGAAGAAAAATGCCACCGTCCATCTACGTGTGTCACTATTAACCATACAAATCCATGAAATAAAAGAAAAATTAATTAGAATTTGACTTTCAAAGTTTCGAAGTTTGAACACCGGTGTCTTCCTAGCCACAACTCAAGCTCAAGAAATCAACAACAAAGATTAGCCACCAGAAAGATCAAAAGCAATGGGAAAAAAAAAGAGAGAGGGGGTAGGTGGGGAGAATGTAGTATTATTATTTTTTTTTTTAAAGAGAGAATATATTTTTAATTTAAAATCGATTGATTCGAGTAAACATGAAATTTTATATAAATTATATATTTAAATTTTTTGATGTAATAAATCAATACAATACGAGACGTGACCTCATTTACTTGAGATGTTCATATATTATTTTTAATGGATTTATTATTAGAGGCTTGCAGAAACACGATTACACTTAATTTATTCTTTTGATTTAAAAATAAAACACATTATTAACCTAAACTTGGTTAATTTAAATTAATATAAAATTTTATATAAATCACACATCCAAATTGTTTGATGTAAAAAGCCTTCCAAATATTGATGAGGCGGATTTGTGGTTGTGTGGTCGGTCCATTTATACATTAATGTCATCACTTTGTAAAATCTAATAAATATTATTGTCCCTCATTGTGAGGCTGGTCGGTTTTATTAAATTTTATACAACTATTTTTTGACATTTAATACTTTTATTATGAGGAGAAACTATAGGGTTGTTAACTACTAAATGACCCTTTTGATGATGTTCAAGTTATTTAATTAATAATATCATATTCAAGAAACCCCAAATAAATAGTGAAAACATCAATTAATCTAGCTAGCATATATAATTAGGTTAAAGATTGTAATTTTTTTTTTTTGGTATTTGAAAATTTAGGTGAGGAAAAATTATTTTATGTCAAGATTAAAATATATTATTGTCAATGAGAATCGAACTTAAACTTTGAAAAATTTTAATATTTTATTTTGATCAATTAAACTTTTTAATTTTTAATTTTAATTTAATTAAATTTTTATCTATTTTATTGATGTTACATAAAATTTTATCTTAATTGACAAAAAAATCAATGACGTTAATTTTTTTTATTCAAATAAAAACTTAATTAAATATAAATAAATATTAAATGGTTGATTAATTATAATAAAAAAATTAAATAATATTTTAATGATACTTCAAGGATTGTTTATATCCTTCAGTCTTTTTATTAATTAATCTAATCTATATTTTCTTGGTTTAGGAGTATTGAAAAACTAGTCAAATGAAAATGACTGATTAAAAACAAGAGAGATTAGATAGGTGAAAGCATGTTCTACAAAGTATATGTATTCAACATATAATCCAATATTTCCAATTTGTATGGCAGACAACTTTCCAATATATTCTTTGAAGTGGTCCAATGTTTGGTAAATGCATGCTTTCATATAGACTTGAAAATGTTGAATTTTTTACATAAAAAAAAAAGAGTTGAAAGTTAAACCTATATGTATGGCAAGTCTACAAATTTAAAATTGTTCTATGGTCATTTAAAATATTAAATCAAATTAATGTAGAACTTTCAAGAGAGGTAATTAAATTATTTTTTAATATATAAAAATTCAATGGTTCTGCTACAAATTTTTTTTAGAATGACTTAAAACCAAAAATATTAATGATGTTTATCACACTAATTAAGGTTAGGTTTAGATTTAATTGCATTAAAGATGTGGTACGATTAAACATATCGCATTACTAGTTAAATTTAAATGTTAATTCTAGTGAGATTTACTTAGTATGAATTTTTTATTGAATTTTTTTAATTATAATTATAATAATTTTTATTACTATTTTTAATTTAATCATAATTAATCTCATCGCCTATTGTCTATTTAAATGGGGCCTAATTCTTCTTTCAAGTCATTAAAAGAAAAAAGAAAAGGATTCATTCATTTCCTAGTGATGTCTGCTCAATTTGGTCTGTTTTTCATTTTATAAAGCAACCTAATCTGTTTGACTGCCAAGAAAATGAGCAAATTAAACAGTGCATGAAGAAAAAAAAACTAATAAAATAAAAGATTTGCAATTTCCTTTATTTATGAATTTCAGCTGCTTTATGATCATCACAACCATGGACGTCCTTATGATTGAAGAAACCACAAAACAGCAAACCCTAATATGTTGCAAATTTTAATTGGCTTTTAGGTGCGTCCAGATAAGTTCATCTGGCAAAGCCCTCACCAGCCCACCAATATGACAACAGTTTTGCTAATTTAATAATCAATTAGGAATCAAACCTTTCTCTTCACATAGGATAATGATTTTTGAAATGATTGAATTTACGAGCAAGAAATTTAATTAATTTATATAATTATAAATAAATTTGACATTCAAATTTTGATATTTGTAATTTATTTATAATCTTTTTTCATATTCAATTGAATTGGAAATTCAAAGTGTCAAAATAATAGAAATCATTACTAAAAAAGAAAAAAAAATGAAATAGCTAGCAAGAGAAGAAAATCATAGGGAAATTATTAGGAAAAAAAAAAGAAGCTAATGGTGGGTCCATGCAGACAAAGAAAATTGAAATTAAAGGTGGATTGACGGTTAAAAATTAATCTTGAAATAATGTGATTACACATACATAATCACTCTCTTTAATCATTATCATCCTCTCTCGATCCCTCCCTCTCCTCCCTTATATAACCTGTTTCTCCCACTCAACTCTCTTCATCCACAGCTTAATCCCAAACTCCCCAACTCTCACAAATTTTTTCCTAGTTTTAGCAAAGAGAAAAAAAGAGAAATTATGGCTAAGGATGTTGAGAGTGCAGAGCAAGGAAGGGGGTTCTCAGCCAAGGACTACCATGATCCACCACCAGCACCATTGATTGATGCTGAAGAGCTGACCAAATGGTCGTTTTACAGGGCACTGATTGCTGAGTTCATTGCTACCCTTCTCTTTTTGTACGTCACAGTGTTGACTGTGATTGGTTATAGAGTCCAAACCGACCCTGAAAAGAACACTGTTGACCCTAACTGTGGTGGTGTTGGCATTCTTGGTATTGCTTGGGCCTTCGGTGGCATGATCTTTGTTCTTGTTTACTGCACAGCTGGTATCTCTGGTGAGTCTTAACTTCTCCTTTTAATCATCTTTTCTTGTTGTTGTGGTGGTTGTTGTTGTTGTTTCTACTGTCTCTTGTGATTGTTCAATGCAAATTACTTTTAACTTTGGGTGATGGAAATTTCCAGGAGGACACATCAACCCGGCTGTGACCTTCGGACTGTTCTTAGCACGCAAGGTGTCATTCATCCGAGCCATCATGTACATGGTAGCTCAGTGCTTGGGTGGCATCTGCGGCTGTGGGTTGGTCAAGGCTTTCCAGAAAACATACTATAACGAATATGGAGGTGGTGCCAACATGCTCCAACATGGCTACAACAAGGGCACTGGTTTGGGTGCTGAGATCATTGGTACCTTTGTTCTTGTCTACACTGTCTTCTCAGCCACTGATCCCAAGAGGAATGCAAGGGATTCCCATGTGCCTGTATGTACTTTATTATTCCTCTTTAATCCACTGTCCTTGTTTAAGAGTAGTAATAATTTTGAATAACCAACTTTGCTAGACCCAAGTGGATTTATAGCCACTTGATGATTTAATTCAATTCCTTGAAAGAGATCAGGCAATCATATAGGACTTCTACAAGAAAAAGTGGTGCCTTATCTTGTAGATAGATTCTATTACTATTAAAAATTTTCCACTTTTCATAGTGGGAGCTATCATGGTTAAGCATACGAGGGTTGGGTCCCTCTTAATTTTTTTTCTTTCAATTTGTAAAATTGTGACCAATGGATTTTCCTTGCTTAAAAAATTCAAGGTGTTGGCACCACTCCCCATTGGATTTGCTGTGTTCATGGTTCACCTGGCCACAATTCCAATCACTGGCACTGGTATCAACCCTGCTAGGAGTTTTGGAGCAGCTGTGATTTACAACAAAGATGAGGCCTGGGATGACCAAGTAAACTAATCATTTCCGTTTTTATATGTTTTCTATTTCAATAAGTTTTTCAATTGAAAAGGAATCTAATGAGTAAATATTCATGTGTTCTTCTTTGGTCAGTGGATCTTCTGGGTTGGACCCTTCATTGGAGCTTTCATTGCTGCATTCTACCACCAATATATCCTAAGAGCAGCAGCCATCAAGGCCCTTGGATCTTTCAGGAGCAATGCTTAAATTCAGCTTTTGTTTCATAGATAATTCAAGAAAAATGGTCATGAATTAAGATGGAGATGTTTTCCAAAAGAATAACAAATGAAGAATAGTCCCAGTCTGTCTGAAAGGGTTCCCTTTTGCATTTTCTTTCTGTCTCTTACATGGGGGATTTGAAAGAAAAACCTTGAGAAGGAGCCATTGAACTGTAAATAAAAATATTAATGACAAGAGTGTCCTTTCAGTCCATGTTGTTTTTGCCTTGCTTTGAATGTATTTAAGTTGCATTTATCCTTATCACCTTATCATCTCTTTTTTTTTTTTTTTTCAATGTTGTGTATGCATATTTCTTCTAGGAAAAGGTATTGTCTTTCTTATGCTATCATTTGTTAAAGTTATGAGTTTGAAAGAATTTAAGTTTATAAACTCATAATATCTTTAAATAAGTTAATTAAATAAGAATTAGAGAGTCTTTAAAATAAAAATTAAAAAATATATATTATTTTCCTTAGTCTGAACCACCATCTTTACCCCCTTTATCATCAAGTTAACACAAGCTTGACCAGAAAAAGAATAAATTGTGAAGGAATCCCTCAAGGCTAGTGATCATCCACTTGGGCCAGGGATGTACCAATTCTAGGATAATAGGTTTTTCTGCTCCAATTTATTAAACAACTCTATTTCAACCCCAACTTCTAATTTTTCTTTGCAAAAATTTGTTTGGGTTTTTTCTTATAGGTAGTGGGAAACCTTTTCCTCCTTCTTTAGTGTTTGGGCAAGTGTTTTCCTCCCTTCCCTTGTTGCATTTCTCTTTGGGCACCATATACTTTAAATGAAAATATTTTATTAAAATGTGACTTTGGTATAAGCATCCTTGTCCCCAAACTCTTAAATTATTATCTTTTTATAAAAAAATTTATATAAATCAATTAAATTAAATATCGAGTTCAAATTAATAAAAGAGCTTAAATATTAATATTTTTGCACAATAAAAAAGAAGCAAAATTACTTACCCTAAAACCAATTAGTACGAGACAATAATATCCCAAAGAGATTAGAAGTAGGGGATGAGAAAATAAGTCAAGAAATCTGAAAAGCAATTTAAAATTGTAGTATTCGATTGGATTTAGATCAATTTTTTTTATTCAATTTGGATCAAATTTAGATATTAAATGTACATATTAAATTTGGTTTGAATTTTGGATCAAGAGATGAAAAATGAAAAAAAAAATCAAATCCAACCAAATTATATATTTTTCTTAGTTTTTATATATTTTTAAATTTTTATAAAATAAAAATAATAATTTTATATCAAAATTTACTTAAATATATTAAAATTTTATATAAAAAAAACATATAAAAATTAAAAAAATTAAAAATTAAAAATCAATAAATCAAATTAAATCGAACCAATAAAATTCAATTCAATTTTATCAATTCAATTCTATTTAAATTCAGATCAAATTTTAAAATTTTATAATATTATATAACATTTGCAAAAGTTGAATCAAATCATTATCACCCCTAATTAGAAGGGTTGGATTTTGTAGTGGTGGCTTTTGAAAATGAGATGATGCATAGGATTCTTTATGTATTAAGTATCATATGTGGTTGCTAAAGACAAATATTATAAGAAAAAAGTAAGAAAAAGAAATGGGTTGGGTCAGTAAGGCTTTGGGATTCTTTTGCTTTTTTAAAGGTTGGATGTTTCTCATCCTCTCCATATAAGATTATAGTTAATGAGTCAGCTTACCTTGTCCTTATTTTATGGTCCTTTGGTCATTTTCTAGGGCAAAGTAGGTGAGACTTTAGGTCTTTGATGATGAACAATTTGGCTTTAAATTACAAAGAAGGTGGGTTTTTACCGTTGAAGATGCATATGAAAGAGAGATGTTGATTTGTATATTATTATTGATGTCACTCTTTCCTTTGTTTTGGAATGCAAAGTATTCAAATTTAAGAGTGATGAACTCATCAAATTGAAGCAAAATCTTATATAATTGAATGTAATCAAGCAAATAAAATAGATTTCTTTCAATGTTGATAAGCAATGAATAGATATGGGGTTTTTTTTTTCAAAATAAAATTATTAATAACTAGAGCCCCTATCTCCTTATTCAAATAATAAAGAAATAATAATATTTCAAAACACGAAAAACTTATTTAAAATTTTAGATTTTAAAATTTAAATCTTAACTCAATTAATTAATATAATTATTTTTAAAATATGATATTCAATAAATTTAAAATTAAAATTTTGATATTTATAATATTTTCCTTATCTCATACTTTAACATTTCTTATAAAAAATAAGTTGGATTTTATAATTCTTAAAAAGAGAAAGCAGACATATCTTATAATTTATGTGTATAGAGGTGGGTTGCTATGGTCCAAAATATGGATACAATGGGGCTTTTTTTTTTTGCCTCGTTCTATGATCCAATCCAATTACCTTAACAGCCCATTTTGGACTAAATCTATCCTTTTTTCCAAAGGAGATCTTCAATACATTATGACGTGATTTCAGAGGTGCACATGTGAAGCCCTTAAAAGGCCATTGACTCAAAAACGAGAATCTTGTTGAAGTGTTAAATGGGCCACAGCTGAAATAAAGCATGAAAACTGAACAGATTTAAATATTCCAAATGGGAAATGGGGAAGATAAATTATAATTAAGTTATAATAATCTTTTGTTCTCAATCCCTTGTCTACAAAACTGTTTGAGATCGGCACTCAAGCAGATAGAAACTTGGCTTTGAGACAAAGTTTAATGAAGACAAGAACAATGATAATAGGGATAGCAACGGATAGGTCGGGGTGGATTTTTCAGAATTCGATTCGATATTTTTTTTATATTCAAATTTAATTATATTTGATATTATATAAAATTATATCTTATCTAATTCAATCTAAAATTAATAAAATATTATTTTTAAATATAAAAAATTAATTTTAATGTAAATATAAAATTAAATAAATAATTAAAAATAATTATATATATATTGAATCGTGTTATGATTAATTTATTTAAAATTTAACTTTGATTTCTTTTTATTTTTACTTAATCTGATCCGACCTTACTCAAAACTTGATTTTTCAACAACAAAAAAATGACTCTAAGAGATTGGTCATATCAAAATCCATCAAAATAAATAAAACTACCATCTCTAAATGATAAGTCAATGGAGATTAAAACACAGAACAGTTTATTATAACCCACCCAGTTACTCCATTGAACTTTTGCCATGTTTAGGCCATTGGCTATATTCTACAATGATGGGAAAAGGGGCAGAAAACTGATAGCACGAGGCATTTAGAAGAGCAAACTTGCAATATTGGACGTTTTCTCAAGGGCTGATCTCAATTTGGACTACAATGATTAAAATTAAATTCATAACTCACTTGATTTATGCGATTACCTTTAAAAATATCTTCCAACATATTTAAAATTCAAATAACAAGTACTTACAACAATTTTCTTTATTTCTAGATTACAGTCTTCTTTATTAAAAAAACAGAGCTAAAAATGAAAATTACTTGTAACTAACATATTGTTTCACTGATATTCCAAGGTTGACATCAAAGGGAAATTTGGGAGACCAGCTGTTCAGGAATAATTATTCTCATCATTTTGTTCCCTTCTGAACCATCATTCACCTTACCAAAATTAAATGCTAGTGGTTATGGAGTTATGATAACGTAGAGGTGTTCGTGTTGAACCAAGATCTCCTCACTTTCCGTATAGATTATACCCATACTATATACCCAAAAAAAAAAATTTTTGAGCAACAACCACTTTACAGGGCCTTATAAAAGCCATTGTAAAGGCACCCAAAGTATTTAACTCAAAGGCCATTGCTGCTTTTGCCTCCTCTCACTCAAGAAAAGCAAGGAGTGAAAACTGAAAAGAATGAGTCCATTTGCTACTTTCTTGCTTCTCGTATCTTCTCTAGCTCTTCTGTCTATCGCTAGGGGTCAAGACAGAGCTCCCCATGGCATTGCCTACAAGAATCCTATGGCCATCTCGCCATCAGCCTATGAATTCTTCCATTCGAAAACTGAAGAGCCAGACACCAAAAGCCACTGTGCAGCTTCCAATTGCTCACCATTGCCTGTTGCAGCTCAAGCGGATGCTACTAAAGCACTTGAAACCCAGGTATCAACACAACAGAATTCTGGGTATCGACTGGGAGCTGGTGGAATTGCTGTCATTGTTCTTGGTTTGGCATTTGCAGTACTTTTGGTAATGGGTGTTTAACCCGTCAAGCCAATGCTTATTGAGCAAACTGTGTTCAACCTGATGCCTGATCACGTGCTCTCCAATCTCCAATTCTCCATGTATAATATTGGCTAAGGCTTGATAGCAGTTAGAATTAAGCTGTCTTTATTTCTCTTCTCTCGCTGGTTTTTCCTCCCAATGTACCTGTCATGGAGTGTAATTGTTTTATGATTCAGTTTGTTATATAATTGCATGAAAGTGTTTCACACATTTAGTCTCTGTCTGAGATTATGTTATCAATCGCAATCATTCAAGGCAATGGCAGACACAAAACTGTAGGTGCTGAAAGTCAAGAAAGATCATTGAGATATGCCCATAATCATTGGATGCTTTAGCGAAATGAGATATAAATTGGATAAAATCATAAAAAGCATCCAAAATCATAAATTGGATAGCAGTTGTAGCTACCACAATCATGTAATCCATTGATAAAGAGCTAAACTTTTAGTTTCATTGAACAGAACTACAGAAACTGAGTTAAAAAAAAAATGTAGTTGTAACAACCACTTTTCATTCATTTCTAACTCTATTGTATCAATAATGACACATTTAATATTTTGATTTTAAGAGCTAAGCCACTAAATAATCCAGTGTGGATTAGATGTTTGATACAAACAAAACCGCTAATGTTAGGTTTAGATACATGAATTTAGGAGAGGGAATTTGGATTAATTCTGTTGCATAAATAATAAATTAATTGTGGGCATAATTGCAAATAGTATCACTTAACAACTTAATAAAGATTCATATTTCAAAATACATAAGATTAGAAACTAACTTGAGTATCTTACAAAAAAATATATATATATATACTTTCATGAATTTTTTTTATGGTATGTTTGGAAAGATGAATGTGACTGAGTGAACTTGAATTTGATTTGCTATACAAATTGTGAGAATGAAATACACAAACTATGCACAAATTAATTAAGTTTCAATATGCCTGTATATTTGAAAAATATAAAAAAGATAGAATTTCAAATTCCCAAATGCCCAAAGGTACTTCAAATTTAACCCTAAATGAAAATCTAACAAATCCATGAATTTAAAAATAATTGTGAAAATTGTACTTATGTGTGCTTTATCACATTAAAGTCTTAAGGAAGAAGAAGAAGAAATGAAATATACCAGGAAATCTTCTAAAAACCATAGATCAAGAAAACTGAATTTACCATTATTATATGTTATGTATTAGAACATAGCATAGCTGCAAGATGCATGCCTCCTTTAGGTTCAAAAAATTTAGAGAGATACAACTGAGTGCAGGCCATTGTATGCAATAATATGAAAGTAATGGACACATTAAAAGAGTTGATAGTAAAATTACCCCAAATCTTCTACCATCTACGTGAACTAATGGACTCAATTACTGGCACAAATATCTGGTCCACATCTTTGTGCCATAGAAGTGCAAACTCAGAGTGGGACTTCTTACCAAATATGGAATCTTTCATCTGGAAGAAGTTAAAAGTAAAACTATGAGAATTTAATCCCCACAAACTGCAAATGACAAAACATAATTTTACTTGTGAAAGCCAAATCTGCTTGTATATCAATTTCTAGATAACAATAGGTTCATCGTTTTGGCAGGGTTAACCATTTCTTTCAAATAAATATATTCCTCTTCCCTATAATCCCACTTGAGATATACTGCAAAACCACAAGAATTGGTCTCATATTTGTCCCAAGTCACAAGGCATATGGCCTTAAACATTAGAGGTAGCATAAATTATCTACAAGAGTAGAAGAAAATGATTCTTCAATAGGGTGATAATGTTGCCAAAAATATTTGACCGTTTCCACAATAAAAAAAAAAAAAGTGTATAAGAAATATTTAAAGACTAAGGAAGCAATCAAATATCTCTGACAATTACATTCCCCTTCTAATTAAACCATTAACAAGATTGTTACTAACATCCTAGATGTGACACTAGAAACTTACATGATTAGACCTGTTAATAAATTATATCTAAACAGTTTAATTTCCTTTATTTCTTAGGTAAAGCTAGGGAGTCTAATCACCAAGTTCAATCATTAATTTTTGAAGCATTGGCAGATACTAAGAGGTAGATTTTAACTTAAATTTTAAAGAATGCAAACATATGTCCCAGTCTCCTAAATCAAAGAAACTCTGTATTCCTCAAAAGTTTTCTACTGATCAACCTCAATTCTTAGAAAGAACAAGATAAAGGAGAAAGCAAAAAAGAAGCTAAGAATTCCCAAATTGAATGAGGAGAAAGCCATTTCTCCACTGTTCCTTCCAAGAACAAAATATAAAACCAAAAATCTACATTACTCATTACACATTTGACTTTTGCATTTTCACTCCTCCCCCCCCCCCCCCAAAATCAAATTCCCATCTTTTATCACTTGAACTAAAGTACTAGGGTTTCAACAGAAAACTATGCACCCGCATTAACTAGGACATAGTTGTTCTACAGAAACCATTTGCATTAGCTTAAGAAGTATGTAGAACTTCAATCCATTACTTTTTCTAGCGTTTCAAATAGCAAATATAAAAGAAAATTGGCGTAAGCGTCAAAAAAAGTCCTCAAACAAAAATTCAATAATCATTTAAGTCCCTAACATTTAATTACAATCAATTAAACCGTAAGTCTTCTATTTCAAATCAATTGAACCCTTAAACATCTATTTTCATTTCCAATTGATCCTTATACGTCTATTTTCAGTCAATGAAGGATTGGAACGAAAGGGCTCAATTGATGAAAATAAATGTTTAAGGATTAAAATGATTGAAAAAAACAATAAGGGCTTGGATGATTATTGAATTTTAGTGAAGTACCTTTTTGACGCTTTAGCCAAGAAAATTCAACCCTGGAAATGGAAAAGGGGACCTGAGATTGGGAAGCGAGTCGAGATTGATGATTTGAAATGGATTTATGGATGCGTTTTCGTTGCTCGAATACAACAATCCCCGTTAAAGCACATCCTAGTGCAGCACCAATCAAACGCTCCTACATTTTCATCAAATACCAAAAATTCAAAAAGAAAGAAGAACTAGGAAAGCAAAGAGATTAAGCGTTTTGGACTTGATTTGAATGGGAACCTAAGACAGAACGCTGATCATGATCAGAATTTTGGTGTCGGGTTTGCGGAAATTTCTCTACTTTTTTGGTTCAACTTAAAAATAATTGGAAAGAGGAAGAAGATGATACTCTTTTTGTTACTGATGTCCAAAGCCCGAAACAAAAAGCAGCCCATTTAGATTCATTCACTTTCTTTTGTCAAAAGCCCAAAATGAAATGGATTGAGGCTCGTTTTAGTTTTTCAGCCGACAAGTTTTGTTTTTGTTTTAGAAAGTAAAATAAAAAATTGGTGTAATATTCAAATAAGTACTCAAACTTTACTTTAAATTGCAAATATGCCCCCAATATTTTATTGCATGAAATTAAGATTATGAATTTTTATTTTATTATTATTATACTCATTCCAAATGAATTTAAGTAAGCATTTTTTGCAATTTTGCAGCTTAAGATTTAGGGTTTCGAATTTTAAGAGTTAGGAAATCTATATATATATTAAAGTAATTTTTAAGCTTAATATATAAATAAATTCTCGAATTTTACTTTCAAATGCAAACAAGTCCTTATTGTTACCATGCTAAGCGTTGATAGATTATAATATATAAGTTCTATTAATATTTAGAATCGCCTTACAACAACTAAAGTTTGTGGTAGTTGAAGAATGGGATTTGAAGTTTGAACTTGTAACTTTTCATTTTGAATAGATAATGTGATTACTACAATATTTAGATAATGCCTTTGATCATAGTTAGTTAACCAAGTGTTGGGTAATAAACATTTGTATCTTTGATTTGTCTTGACTCTTCTTATCCATGATTCAAGTGTAGAAGAACAACATGGCAACATTAATTACTTTGAATATTTCTTAAACTAATTACTAGCTGATTCATCCAAATAACTATGGATCAATCAATTTTGATCCATTTCTTTGGAAGGAATCAGGGTTCAATTTGGATCATTTTCATTAACTAAAATGATAGTCACTGCACTGCTACAATGAATCCATGGCCAAGTGGCTGATGGGTCCATGTTTGGAATTGGAGTTGTGGAGTTTATATGGACAATGGAGGGAGTGATGCCATGATGGACCCCCCCATAAAAAGAAATGTAATGGCAAGGAAGGTGTGCTTGCATGTGAGCGGATGTCAGCGCCCCCATCACATTTTCTCTCATGTGATTGTCTCGTTGCTATACCTGCAATGCAATGCACGCTGCAACTATTGAAAATGGTCCCTCTCTCATTGCCTGCTCGTTACAGCTATGTCTCCCCAAACCCTCTCTGATTAGGACTGACCATCTAAACCTGGAGGGGCAACAATTCGTTTTCCATTTTCGTAACCAGTGTAACTGTAGAGTGTAGGGTACCCTACCCCTTCCAACAACTGGACAACTTTTACAACATCTTTCCCATGTTCCTTCCACAGACACAAAGACAACATATACTCTCTAGTCTGAACTCTGAAGTCTCTATTCTGCTGATCATTTCAAGTGTTAAAAGAATTGAGGGAAAAAAATAACTTGAAGTGAAATGTTGACTAGTGATTACTTGTCTTTATAAGTTTAAATCTGGGAAGCTAATGCGATTGACTATTTCTATGGGAGAAGCCAAGAAAATCAACTGCCTTTGGAAGTATACCAACTGTTTTTTTGCCTCGTAGGAACATCCGGTCCTAATACTTGGAAAGATTTGTTGTGCGCGAAAATTAATTATATGGTCAGCTTCGGTCCTTTGCTGCTTATTTGAAGTCTTCCATTCTTCAATGCATAGTTGCATACCTACAAAAGGAGGCCTCTGGGAACCGTAAAAAGTTGGCTCTACACTACTAAGCCAACGAAAAAGCAGCTTTAATGGTACGTATTCTATAATTGTCTTTGCTTCTGATATTGCAGGCTACTTTGCGTTTGTGGTATAGACAATCTGTCAGTGGTGACTTTACCTTGGAACAGTTGTTATGTCACTGTAATTAATCAATTTTTTTAGTTGCTCTTGCTTTATCCTGAATCAGTTCCTGGGATTCTAAATTCCCTGATATTTCGTTTCTTTATCCACATAATCTTGAGAATCATACGTGTAAGTTTATGTATTGTTTTCAAACAAAACCCATAAATTTTTTGAGATTTTGCTGGAGCCTGGAACTGGAAGTTATTAGATTATTTAGCTTAGGAGAACAGTATACGGGATAATGGTTATATATCATTTCTGTGGATCGTCTGGCAAGCATTTTTCATGGCTGACCACTTTATTAGATTCTCTCTTAGGGAATCTTTCGGGTTTGGGATTTGACATGCCAAATGTAGATTTACAGGCATGAACATTGTTGGCCGGTTAGGAAAAACCAGAGATAACTCTATCTGTCCACTTCAATGAAGACAACTTTTTAACTGTTCTTTTTACTGGCTTAGCTGGAATCTTCAGTAAAGAGCAGCATTATTGTTCAATCAGACATTTTTGCTGCAAAATTCTCAAATGAGTAGCTTTTCTAGTACCCATCCAGCTCACTGATATACTAACTATTATTACTTAGTTTGAATTACCAGAAAGAAACATAGAAATTTGTGCTACATGTGTAACCATTCCTCCTGTCACCAGGCAGATAAGCCGTTCCTTTATCTATTTACTCTTGCTGAAGCTTTCTCCCTTCCTTTCCAACAAGCCTGTTCATTTTCTTGTGAATGGCATTTTATCTACTATTTGGTTGAATTTGATGAAGGTTTATCTGTCTTTTATGTATTTGGCTTATTGTTGGTGAACTATACAAGAGATGAGGGATGGTTTCTGAGAATTTGATGTGATTCTCTTTAGAGAGCCCAGAAAATGTCTGGTCACTGGAGGCTTCAATGGATTGAAGCTTATTGACAATGCGCTTGTTCTGGTGGCAGCGGCTGCCACTGCTTTTACTGATTCAACTATTGCAACCCAACTGTCTAAGTCACAAGCTCTACAGTAAGCTTTCTTTGTTTTATTTCAGATAAGCAATTTTTTACTTACCAGGAATTTGAAACTGTAGCAAAGATATCAGGATCCCCAAATCTTCATTTGCAAGAATTTGAAACCATAATGAAACGCTATTAAGACTGAGATTGAACGACACTTCATTGTTTGTTTGTTGCAGCTGAAGCTTTCCTGATTTGCAAGAGCACAGTTTGCACTCCTCAACAAACCAGCAGTGGATTTGGGAAGTTCCCCTGCCTGAGGCAATGGGCATATGTCAATTGTTATCTGCCAGAAGATGTGGATGTTGTTTCTTTGTAAGCTCCCTCTTTCAATGCCTGCTTAGACTTACCAGTGCCCCTCTCCCACATGAATGGTTGCTTTTCTGCATTTTCTTTAAATTTATATCACTTTGATGATGATAATTGATATCATAATATATCAGACAGTTAGAATACAGCACTTAATGTGACACTTTCTTACCATGTGTATTGTGCAAACAAGCACAAGTAATGCAAATAACAAGAACCAACCGGCATGTATATGACCATAGGCTTAGGCTCCGGTATCAAGCAAGCACAGAACTTTAGTTACTGGAGAAAATATTCTCCATGTGTTGTTTGGCTGTCCACAATAGTTGTGTTTATTTATATGGAAATGCTTTCATGTCTGCATGCATGTAAATTAACGATACATATTGATGCAAACATTCTAATAAAAGACATGGCAATCTCAACGTGTAACTAGCATCGCCACTGGGGGAATCATATCACTTGTGTCTTCCATTGGTTCAGACTTCGGACATCTCTTTTAGGTCTCAATAAAGAGCAGTAAACTAATGTTTGGAAACGAGCTATTTTCAGCCTTCTCAAGGTGAAACATTAGTTCTCCTGACAGACACATAGCACACGGGGATGATTTCTGAGTCCTAGTTGGTGCCTGCATTCGTCTCATAGCTATATAAATTATTTTGTTTGGTGCCTCCTGTTTGAACACCTGAGTCCATTTTGAAGGTGGTAGCCATGTTTCAAGTTTCAACTCTTTGTTCTTTCATCCATGATCTGATACAATTATAAGAAATATTAAATTTAAGATTTCTGTCTTTTCTTGCTCCATTGACAGACATTTAGTTTCATCTTAGACTCTAATGACTGTTTTGAGTTATAACAAGCTGTTTCCTCGTATCTTTGCCACTTAACAAAAAAATTACTTATAATAATATCCTGGGATCCTATTCTTGCACAGGATTCCTGGAATCTATCACATATCTCTTCCAAGTAGATTAATTGAATTGTTCTCTTTTGCTCCAAATTTCATCCCTTCAAACTCTCCAATTCAATTTCAAGAGAAGCCTTCAAAATCAAGACACAGAAGGGTAGCAGCAGCTTCTGTTGATGGGGAAAACGGTGTTCCAACACTCACACCTTTGCAAACAGGTGATAAGAAACCAAGAAAACAGACACTTGCTGCCATAATTGGCGGTGCCAGTGCAGCTCTGCTTGTGCTGATCATTTTGGTGCTTGTGTATATCTGCATGATGCGTGTTAAAAGATTCATGAGGAGAACATCTGAGACAGCATCTGCCATGCCATCTCCTAATAGTAAGTCAATCTTCTTAACATTAATGCAGAAATTTATGAGGCTTAGAAGTTTCTGAACCTTTATTCAATTAATATTATAAGAGAAAGAACTTTCTGTGCTTTGGAATGATTCTAATCAATCTCTCTACATATACTTGTACACACCTCAAGGATTATAGTGACATCTTCAGATCTACAAATACTTTGTTTATTTCTTGGGCACCGGAATCTGAAAGACTGATTGCATCATAGAAAATATACTCACAGTTACCAAACTGTAGAAACAGAAGCATTCCCTCTTTTACCAGGCAAATCTTTTGAAATTGTTCTGAAATGTTTCTAAGTATAAGATGGTCCAAATTTATGTTACCATAGATAGTTGTCTTTAAGAATCTTTGCAGTCAGGTCAAGTGGTGTTGGATCTTAAACTAGCAAGCTTTTGCAAAGTGATGACTGTGAATGAATTATCCAGGTTAACAGGCCTGGATACAATTTGACATGCTCTTTTTCTGAAAGGCATACATTATAATAACAATGGTTCCCCCCTTTCTCTCTGTCTGAACAGTTGAGTTGGAAAGAGTTAACACTTCCAAATATGTTGGTGCTCCATCTCCAGAAGATGCACAGAATATAAGGCAACTAACAATGTCAGAACTGGAACATGCTACACACAACTTCAGTCAAAGCAATATCATTAGTGAAGGTCGATTTGGTTTAGTCTATAAAGGACTACTTCGAGATGGAGCTATTGTGGCAATCAAAAGATGCTTAAATACCCGTGTTCATTTGTTTCATCATGAGGTAAAATATCTATGCCATACCAATGCTGGAGAGCCTTAAAGATGTTCAGTTTCGAGCATCATAGAGATATGAATGCGAATTGATGAAAGAATAGGGATGGTGTTAAGATTTATTGTCTTGATTTGAATCTTATTTTGTACCTGAATTAGTTCAACAGAAACTGCCCCTGACATATTCATGAACTCCGAACCAACAAGACAACATAAAATATATGAAATACTAGAAATGACCATTCTTAGTATCTAAGAAACTAGTTCAGTTGCAGAACTAGTGATTATGTTTTGTCTGGGTGCAATGCAGGTAAAGCAAATAGCTCAAGTCAGCCACAAGCATCTTGTCAAGCTAGTTGGTTATTGTGAAGATAGCCACCATCAGTTTCTGGTCTATGATTATATCCCTAATGGAAACGTTGGAAATCACCTATACGGTAATATTCTTTCATATATATTTACAAATTATGAATGTCCCAGTGCAAATCAACGCAAAGATTCTTTTGCACTGCTCCTTTTTCCAGATAGCCAAGGTTCACCTGCTGGAAAACTAAACATGAGGCAAAGGTTGTTAATTGCTCTAGGTGCAGCCAAAGGTACATTCACTGATTTTAATGCTCCAACCCCACTTTCTTCTCTCGTGCAAAAGAATTACTATTAGCTCTCTCAACCTTGCTTTACATTTGGACCAGGACTTGAATATCTTCACAGTTTGGCTTCTCCTCTCCTGCACATGCATTTCAGAACTAGCAATGTTCTTATAGATGAAACTTTTACAGCCAAGGTTTCTGATTATGGATTGTCCAAATTGGTGTCTGAGGATCAATTTTACGCATCATCTTCTGCCATTGACTGCTTTCTTGACCCAGAGTATGTAAATCAATTCCTCTTTGAAACCCATTGCACACTTGATCAAATAGTGCAAAGACTTAGCTTCTTATGTCTAAATTCGTCCTCTTTTTTCTTTCTGAAGGTTGTATTCATCAAAGAAATTTTCAGTTCAAAGTGATGTGTATAGCTTTGGGGTCTTCCTACTGGAGTTGACTAGTGGACGTGAAGCACTTTGCAGAGATCAATCAAACTCAGAACCAACGTTAATACTGCAGGTTTGCAAAGTTTTATCTTCTTCCAATACATCTTTCTGTTTCTTTCAGCTCACCACCATGATTATCACAGCATCATTTTCATGCAATAACAATGAAGAAGTAACCTTCCATTCTTACAAAAACCTCTTCTTTTGTTTTGAAGGCCAAGGATTCCAACAATCTCGTCAATTTTGTCGATAAATCCTTAAGGGACAAGTCAATGAATGGAACAAAACAGGTAGTGGAGTTGGCATTGCAATGTGTGGAAATTAGTCATAGAAGACCATCCATGAAAAGCATCGTTGAAGAGCTAGAACGAATTCAAGAGAAGGAAATTGGTCGTTTGCATTTTGAATCAGGTGAGGAGATTGGTGTTGTCAAACTGGGGAGTGAGCTCTTCAAATGAGCTTTGCCTGTCATCGGATGTTGCCTTTGGAGTAATCATTCTTTTATTGAATTTATTAATTGTAATTTCCACACTCTCACAAGCAAATTCATTTTTGTAAAACAACTGTTCCAAAAAAAGTAAGCAAATCAAAGTGGTATACATTTTTACCTTATTTACTTTTTTGCAACTCGTTTGCTTTTTTTAACTCAAAACTTAACTCAATTAATTCATAAAACTATCTTAAAAGATGATAAACAGATTTAAAATTTAAATCTCAACACGTATAATCTTTTCTTTGAACCCAAATTGCCCTTTTTTTGTAAAAAAAAAAAAAACTCTTTGAAAGTTTTTTTCTTTCTAATTTGAATTTAAAAATACCTTTTTTTAAGGCCCTTGTGAATCCAAAGATTTGGCAACCAAAAAGTTTTAAAAGGTTGAGAAATATCTATTTCCTCACTTTCTCAAGCATGAAGTGTCAATGTTTCAAACTTTCTAATTCAACTGAGCTTTAATGTCATCTCAAGTTCTCTCTGATTCAGTTGAGCTATAATATTCAAATTTTGAGAAAAGGCTAAAGTTACAGCAACCTCAAAACATACACCCAAGAAAGCCTTATTATCTGTATTCCTCCGGCAAACTATAACCGGTCATGACTATTTTGTCAGCAAACATCTTTCCGGTCTTAGGCATGACATGCCAATGCAACGTTAAGTTGAATTCTTTGCCACGGAGATTGTTTCCCTAGATAAGGAAAGATTAAAGAAAAGTGAATTGATTCTCAATTGCAGGAAAGCCCTAATTAATTAGGGTAAATCCAATGAACAATAATAAGCTACTTCATCTTAAATTCTTATTCGGCATACCTGATCAACAAATCGATACTTGTTTGAGGTGTGGATCCAAAACTTTGCATGCTCTTTGGCAGGTATTATAGCATCCCAAAGTGAGACCTGTAGAAGACCATGTCAAAAAGAACCAATTAGTGGACAGATTTTCTACCAAGATAAATGAAAAATTATCTTATATACCAACAATGGAGTTTTTAGATTTCATAGGTAAGGTTACAGGGTTGACAAGTGTCCCATTAGAGAATATTTATGAAAGCATAAAAAGCCTCAACTTCAGAAATTGTGATTTGGATCAAAGAAAGCTCAAACAGGTAATAACCAGAGGCATTTAACCTTACCTGATTCAAGGAGTTCTTTGGGGTTTCGTACTCAGCTGCTACAAAAATGAAAACCTGTGATGATCAACAAGGTGATGATATCTTAAATCAGCTTCAAAATGATGAATGATTACGACAAAAGAACAACTGATTGCACAAGGGAACCCTAATCGTATCACCACCCATCAAGAATGGAATTGTTTAATTGAAAATATGGATTTTTGAGATACATAAAATTGAAAAGAAATGAAAAAGAAGAAAGCATTGAAATAGAACTAGAATAAAAAAACCTATCTCATGCACTGATAATATATACTACAATTGGAAGAACCAAACAACATAAAGTTCTAACAAAAGAAACTATAAAGATCTATGAAGTAGCAAACCTGTTTCGTATTCCATGTAAACAATGACTGCAAATCAGCTGATATATTCATCGTTAGGCTGACCTATATAAGTCAAAAGCATTTACTTAGGATTGACCAAAAACTAACGGTAGTTAAGTAATATGGGTTCAGGATAAAAGCCAAACTACGGCTCAAAATAAGAGAATATTAACTTAACAAACATATTAACAAGAGGTCTCTGCAGTCCATTTTGCATAACAGACTGTCAAATCAAGTCCTAAAGAGACTTCATGAATTAGCCACCAAAATAAACAATGAACAACACAAAAGAACAGAAAAGGTGTATTACCTCATCATTCCCCTGCGGCTGCTTCTGGAACCAATTAATGTTCGTAATCTACAGGCACACCCAACAAAACAAGATAAGCAATAAAAAAACATGAAATAATCCAAAAACGAATCATTGATATAAAAACGTGAGCAAAGATGCACCTGGATTTCTGCAGAGGGAGAGGGAGTGTTGAAGTTGTCTGAGAGAGACGCTATGGCACACATTAGTGCCAGAATCGTCACGGCAAATGTTAGAAGAGCATTTAATCTATACCCAAAAGAATGCATCTTTTCCTCGTCCTTTTTCCTTTGTTTAATCCTACTGCACCTTAGCTTTCAGTTCAGTTCCTCTGCTTACTAGGGTTTCAAGTATAATTAGCCCAAATGTGAGATAAAAATATAGCAAATCTTTCCCTAATACTACCAAACATTCCCCAAAGACCTAATTATAATTATTTCAAATTAATCATTCATAAATCTACATTAAAAAAAAAAAGATAATTCAGCAAAGATCATCAACAAAACAAAAACACCCAACACTAAATCAATCTTCTGTAAAATCACCCACAGTCAAGATCAAAGAATATGCCCAGGAAATATTGATGAATAGAAACGATATTTTCCTTAAAAAAAACATAAAATTAAATAAATTAAATAAGAGCATGCGATTATGAATCTGAACTCTAATTGAACAGAAAACAAATTGAATTTATTCAAGTAAAAAAATTAAACACAGGGAAGAAAATTTCACCTCAAGTGAAGAGAGAGGAGAGGGAAGATGCAGAGAAAGCGAGACAGACGGTTTGGGAACGAGTTTTATAATATATATATATTTTTTTTTACATTTTAATTTTGTTGGGAAAAAAAGGGGAACAATTGGGTAATTCTGAGACTTGGAGTTTTGTTGGCAGTTCGGGGAAAAAAATAAATAAAGTGGGTCAAATTTGAAATAATGAAAAAATAGGGGTGAGCCGTGAGCTAGTGTCGCGGGTCACCTAAGAAACCGATTTAAGACCGTCGGTTTATATGGTAAATTTTTTGCTAGTTTTTTTTTCCTTAAATAAATAAAAATGTGATTTATTAAAAATTAAATAAAAATATTAAAAATAGACTTGTTTATTAGTTATGAACTTCCCCAAATCTATAAGTTTTACTTACCTTGAATTAGATATTTAAATCCAAGCTCAACTTTTGTTCCATATGCTTCACTATTTAATTATATATATTTTGGTATTAATTTGATTAAAAACTTATTTATAATATTTGAATGTCATATGTAGGAAAACTATTATATTGATTATCTTAATTGAAACTCTAATAAAACAAAAAAAAATAAAATTATATTATAAGTCCAAAATCTAAGTCTAAATTAAGACCTTAACCTCTAATAAAACAAAAAAATAATAAAAATATATTGTAAGTCCAAAATCTAAGTCTAAATTAAGACCTTAACCTAATTCTAACACCAAATTCATAGACACTTTTTATTTAATTATCCACCTAGATGTTTGAAAATGAATAATGATACATCTTGAAACTAAATCATTAAATCATGAAATTGGGTTTTTTTTTAAATTTTATTTAATATAATTTTTCCTCTAATAATTTAAAAAATATATATTTATATACATTTAAAATTTTACTCTATTTGTTTTTTTTTTTTTTTAATTTCAAAACTCATATAAAGAAAAATAATTCCTCTCTCTACTAATCGAATTAATTCTTTAAAAGTAAATTTTAACAAATTAATCAAATATCAATTCTTTTAAATTTATTAGAATTTCATAAATTTAAGTTGACTAATCCTTAAATTAATTAACATGTTATTAAAGTTGATATTTGAAATTTATAGATTTAAGAAAGTTTATATGCATAATATATTTTTTAATCAAATAAATAATAAAATAAAAAATTTTAATGATATATTAAAAATAAAAAATTTTCACAAACTTAAATGTTGCATTTTCATATTATATCTAATAACTATGGAAGCAAGATCTTATTGAGCTTCATCCAAAATTACATTATTGTTTTAATCTAATGTAATTTTTAAAATTTGTACACTATTGTTTCAAATATATCACTAGATATTTGAAATGTGTCATCAAAGCCAAAAATGGAAGGAGACACTTGGTTACTCTAACTAAATTAAAGCAAAATAATGTCAACTTGGAAATGTATATCAATATGTATAGAATAGAAACTACTCAGATTTATTAATTTTGATATTAAAAATGTGACTAACTAGTATAGTATGAGTGAATTTAATTATACTTTGATTCTATCATATTATTGGCTGGATGATATAATACTCTCTCGGTTCTATTTTTTTTGTCTTTTTTTTTTTAAGTATCTCAAAATTATTTTTTGTAAACATCTAAAACTCTTTTTATATATATATTTTTTAAAATTATATTTTATGATTTTTTTTTAATTTTTTGACATTAAAAGTTATAAAACTTTAATTTTATAAAAAAATTTTAAAATTTGATATTAAATATATTAAAATGAATTTTTTAAATTTTATAAAAATCAATAATACCCAAATAATTTAAAATAAAAAGAATAATTATTTCTCTATCCTGATTTGAATTTTCATAATAAAAATTTAAATCCACAACTTCTTTCCTTTTTGTGACTTCTTTTATAAAAATATATATATATATATTTTTGTCACAACGATTTAATTATTGTAAAAGTCAGAACCAGAGAAATCCATTTAATAACCGACTTGATCCAGATTTTGCACAAAGCTTAATATTGTCAGAACAAGTTGTTAACTTCTTGCTGGGTTTGACTTCCTTTCCATTTCCTCCCACACTATAATCGTTGGATCTCTCACCCCTCGTCAATTTATCGACTACAATTGCCGCATAAAAAAGACGTCGTTTCGGTGGTTTTTAATTGTCTCATTCATTTTTCTCTACTCTTTTTTCGACTCTCCCTCCTTCCATCTCCAAAATTATGAATGTTTACGATTTAATTTTAAATTAAATTTAAAATCAAATTAAATTAAATTATTTTTATTAATCAAATTGAATTTATAAATTTTAAAAATTAATTGATCGGATTTAATTCAATTAATTTAATTATTTAATCGATTAATTAAAAAATAAATATATTTAATTTAAATTATATTTTAAATTAAATTTTAAATAAATTAAATAAGATTATTTAATTAAATATTTAAATATCAAAATATTTTATTAAAACTCTAACAATTTATAAAATTAAATGATCTATTTCATATTTTTTTATTTTATATTTAAATTATATTATTCAAAAATTGAGTTTTTTAAAATTAATTTAATTAAATAAGTTAAAACCAAATTATAAATTTATCTATCAAGACCATTAAAAATGATGACATTGTAGACGACGAGGATTTCCATTTTCTAGAAGAAACAGAGGGCAAAAACGACGCCGCTTCACACTCTCATTTCAGCAAAAAAGACGACGCCCAATCCCCCGACTAAGACGACTCAGACTTCGGAAGCTACCATGATTTCGATGACTCCGATTCGGATCCGTACAAAGAACCCGAAGTTGACGACAAGGACGTCGTCGTTTTAGAGGAAGGAAACTTCAGTGATTTCATCGAGAAGAACAAGTTCCTGATGGTTGAGTTTTACGCGCCTTGGTGTGGGCATTGGCAGTTAACTGTTGACACTGATCGCACTGTAGTGGCATTGTACAAGCTCCTAAAAAAAAATTGCCTCAATCCCTTTTAAGCTCCAAAAACCAGTTTCAACTCCAAAAGATGAACCAGCTTCAACTCTTGAAACCAAGTCTTCTGACTCCAAGGAGAGCGACAGGAGCGGCAGTGCAGACTTGAAGGATGAATTGTAACCTGATCAGAAAGATTAATATGTCGAATTAATCTAAAAATCATAAATATCTCTTATTGTTTGTTGATAATCTTTAATGTAAAAAAAGATTATTTATTTTTTGAACCTAAAAATGCTCCAAACAAAAACAAAAATGTATTTGTTTTCAAGTTTTTAACCATAGTTTCTTCTGTGTACCTCTGAATCATAAACTGAAGAATAAGTGGCTCCTTTGTCCCCGTATCTGATAGTATATATCTCTTATATTGTCATGGCAATCTCACCCTTGTTCATTTTCCTTATGTTGGGTTTTAGATCCCTTTAAAAACCATTTTCTCCCATTAGTTTTGACTTACATAAAGTAGATCTCAAGCAAATTAATTACAAATGGGTGTTTGATCATTCATGAATTCGTATCTGTTTATTTTGTCTAATACATATAAAATATAAAAAATATTTTATTTTTAAATATATATATATTTTTGTTAAAATTTTAAATTATATTATTTTATGTTATTTTTTAATATATCATCGAATCTTAGTTAAAATTGTTTGGTTGACAGGCATAGAAATTTTAATTCTTTTTGGCTCACGAGAGCATGGCCATATTGAATTATTGATTAAAAACAATTTCTCCAAGTCATTTTCTAATGGCATTTTTAATTCAAACACAATCAAAATCAAAGAAAAGGATACTCATCTACCCTTTTTCTACTCATGGCTTAATAACATTTTCAATCCCTTTCCTTTCCTTTAATTTCTTATTAAATTCCCACTCTCTTTACTTAATTGTTAAGTCCCTTAAATCACTCATCAAATTTTCTCCTTATATATATTAAACATTTTTTCTGCATTTTTCTTCATTTTCGGTTTAACTTCCAAACTACAAAAATTACATAAGTTCCCCCCTAAATTTCCGTTCCGTTGGATCTACCCCCGTTTTTATGGTTTTTTCTTAAATTCCTTCTTCCAAAGTCTTCTTAACTTTGAAACTTCCTTTACTTCGCCAATTTTCAACTGATTTGTTTGAAATTTTTTCAGATCTACTGAAATGGAAGGACTCGGATTTCTTTCCATTGCATTGTTATTAGTTCTTGAACTCACCTTCGCTGCCGATTCGCGAGCGCCTTCGCTCGTTGCAGACTCGCCACCGCAACTCGTCGCCCCAACCCCGTACTCTGGATTTCCTGATTCTGCACCACCAATCTCACCGGTGACGGTTGCCTCGCCTCCGGCTCCATATCCGTCAAATCTGGACCAAGGAAAGTCACCGGCGAGTTCTCTGGCTCCTTCAGCGAACGATGCGAGCAATATCAACAACAGCGACATAAATGCAGACGGAAATGAAGAGATAACTGTTGGTGACGGAGGAGTGACCGGCGGGAAAAAAGCAGGAATCGTGGTGGCAGTGGTGGTAGCTGCGTGTTTGGTGGGCTTTGGCGGATTAGTTTACAAGAAAAGACGAGATAACATCAGGAGATCCCAGTACGGATACACAGCAAGGACAGAAATTCTGTGAAGAATAAGACTCGTTCGAGATTATACAGATTTAAAAAAAAAAATGATTAGAAGAGGTTAGATTCAAATTTATTATTTTTATTCTTTATAAGGATTTTTTCGACTATTTTTGTTATTATTATTATTATTATTATTTGCTTTGTTGATTGTTTCTTTGATTGGTTGGTCTATAAAAAATAGTAAACGAAATAAAAAAAATTTCATGTTTGGATCGTAGGAATTTCTTTTCCTTTCCAATTTCGTTTATTGGTGTTTCTTCGATGGAATTTTCATGGCATATATGAATTAAGATAAACTTTTCCATTCGTAGAACAGATTTTGAACACTGAGGTGCCATTTTGGCACTGAATCCATATAATAGGCCTGTACTAGAGTGTAAATAATTTGTTAATGCTGGTAGATTATTTAAGTTTCACTGAAATAAAATGCGAATTCATTTAAATTATTTTTAAATCAAGTTTTAATAGCTTGATTTATTTAATAAATTAAATTTGAGTGTTTTAATATTTGATTAAATAGTATATTAATCTTATAATATTTTTAAATTTTAATATATTTTTATAATTTAATTAAAAATTATTATTTTACTTATATATATATATATATATGTCAATTCAAATTCGAGTTTGATTATGAATACATAATCAAGTTTAAGTTCAATTTTGAATATATAATCGAGTTTGAAAGTAAACATAAAAATTAAACTTATTTTTATTAAATAAATTTAACTAAGTAAATTTAAATGATTCAATTTTTATCTTAAATGAATTCGAATTGAATTTTAAGTAATAAATTTTAAATCAAATTTGAGCTGTAATAATTCGGTTAAACTTAATTAAACCTACGAGGAATTCAATGTAAAACTAACTTTCAACATTTCACAACATTTAAACCGTCATACAATATTGGATACATAATGCAATTCTCTGCAGCCTACAGCCAGGTATTGATCTTACCAATATGATCTTCTACTGCTGTGACTTACTGTACGTGGATTGGTATATTGAGAAAAGCTGCATGCAAGGATGGGGAAGGAGATTCCCGTCGACCGATGATCCCCCAATCTGCAACCTAGAGCCTCCTGAACTTATTCTTCGGCAGGAGGCTCTACCCAGCGTCCGTGATCTTTTATTAATTGGATCAGAGAATCGGTTGCATGCTCCATTGCAATTCCACGCTTCACAACAGTCTGAAAGAGAATCCGAATACCGGTTAGTTTCACGGTATGTTTAGCTTGGAAAACAGTTAGTTTTTCTAGAAGTATTCCTAAATTCGGTTTTAACTGAATTACTTAATCGAATCAATTTTAGTCGGTTAATTATCAAATTAATTTTAATTAATTAATAAAAATAATTTAAAAATAAATTTAATTTTTAATTAATTTAGTTAAAAATCAAATTAACTGAAATTTTAATTAAAATATACTATAATACAAATATAAAATGACAAATACATGAAATTGATCATTTTATTTTATAAATTATTAGAATTTTTATCATAATATTTTGATATTTTAATATTTTATTGAATAATTTTATTTAATTTATATAAAATATGAGAAATTAATAATTTAAAATTTAATTTAATTTAAATATATTTATTATTTTTTAATCAAAAAAACTGATTAAATTGATTGAATTAAATTTGATTAGTTAATTTTTGAAATTAATAAATTTAATTTTAAATAATTCGGGATTGAGTGAACATGCCTAATTATTTTCGAGGATTAGTAAGCAAAAAATTGCTATAGTACCTTGCCAACATAGAGGTCAGTTTCTCCTGGAGCGTCACCTAGTCAATTCTCTTCAAATCTCAAACTCTCACAAAATCCATACTTTTTGCAAATCCTAAGCTTGGGTCCCTGCTCTTCAAACCTGGAAAAGAAGCTGGTACGCACAGCTCCAGTCGCCATTTCTACGCAACACAAAACCTTCACCCTAACTGTCCAAGGACACAAAACTCCATTAATCAAACCACCACCCAATTTTATGGCTGAAAAAAGGACAGAATTAAGAATTTTTTTTTCGAATTCTTTTAACCAACAATTGAAAATTTAAAAACATGCAAGATTGTTTGGCTCAAAAGAATCAAAGTTTCCTTATATTACCAGCAAACACAAATGAAAATTACTTTAAAAAACTCTCATTTCTCACCAACCGTACAGTACCAGCTCTGTAATTAGCATGATCGTCAACTCAACATACAAAAATATATTGAAAGAGCAAATATCTACCTTAAAAACAACAACTTTGTAACTGTATCAACCTTTGAAGAAGTGGGTTTTTTTTTTTTTTTTCTAAAAGCAAAATTTTTGCATAAAAGGAAGAGCATTTTAGATAGAGCTGAAAAATGGAACTGATTGAACTGGAAGCTAGGCTTATGGTTACCTTAAGCAGTGATTTGGACTTAAAAAAGAGGGAATTGAAAATTGATTAATGGAAAGGTCTGGACAAGGAAAAAATTGGTGGGTGGGAGCTGTTTGCAAGGATTTTCATAATAAATAGGTGAATTATGGATTACCTGAGAAATTTTATAGAAGGGAAAATAAAATATGGGAAGTGAGAACAGGACAGAAACATGTTTTGAGCATCTGGTTATGGTTCGATATAAAAAAATGCACTGTTGAAAAAGAAATGGTTTATTTGTCTCTCCTACTCTTTATGTTTTTAAATGTTCCTCCGAAATTTTTTTTTTATCTTTTCAAAATTTTGAGTTTTAAAAAAGGGTTTTACATTTTTTGGCTGATAGGATTTCAGTTTTCTGTCCAATTAAATTAATTAAAAATTATGGAAAGAATTAAATTCCTATTTGGCCTATCATTTTTTGTAAAAAAAAAAATTCGAAGGGCAAATCTAGAGTTAGGAAAAATAAATTTACTTTTAAAAGTCAAAATTAAGTTTCTAAAATACAAATCAAAAACCCTAAAAGCATTTTTATCTTTAGTTAGTGTATAATTTAATAAATTTTGGATAAACCAAAAAAATAAAATAATTTTAATTTGATAACCTTATTTTACATTTTCAAGTAAACACTTAAAAAAACTCGTTGTGAAATGATATAAATAAAAAAAAGCAAACTTGAATATTCAATAATTACAGTCCAACTTCACAATTAGGCCATAGTATAAGGACTTAACTGCAAAATACCAACGGACGCGATCGAACAGCCAATAAATTAGGTTTCTTTCGGTAGTTCTGAGACATTTCGTCGAGGGAAAACCAACCAAAAATTAATACAGTTAGGTTCCAACGACATTCACGATCCAATGTTTCCCAAGGACAAAGCGAATCTTAACTAGTTGACCCTTCAACTTATCCATCCATTTCTCTTCCTATTTCGTTACGACAATGATATGTTTTAGTACGTTTTTCACTTTTCACCCTCGAAAAACAATTTATGACTTTGAGAATTTCAGTTTTATTTTATTGGTGAGATTAATTTTGATAAAATTAAAAAAAAATAAAAATTATCATAATTATAATTAAAAAAAATTTTACTAAAGGTTTAGTAAAAATTTTATATTGTGTTTGAAAAACTCAATTCACTAATTTTAAAATTTAGATTCCATTAGAGATTTTTAAAACTTAATTACATTTCACTATAGATAGATTCAAATTCATCCTTAGCTTGTGAGAATAGCACGATCAAAGATTGATTTCTTTAGTAATGTTTAGTATTAAGTATCTAAATTATAATTTTGAACAAACTCAAAATATAATTCAATTTATTTATATAATTATCCTCTGAATATAAAATTTAAATCTCGCTGTTTTTAACCTCTTTCCCTGTCACCAAGTCCCTTTGTAATGAAAAAGAATTATAGTTCAAATAGGTGTTGTCCATGGAGAATTATAGATCAATTTGAATACATTGCCAGTCATCCAGTCAACATAACTAAATGTTTTCCATGTTTTTGTTGCTTTGGGTTTGGGGAGTACAAACAAAGATGTTTGCCAATTCCTCATTTGCATGATAAGCTTTAGAGATATTGAATTGATGTAAGTGGTAGGAGGAGGATTTTGAAAGTTGAAGCAAGGTAAACAATGTAATTTACAAGGATAATAAACAGGGTTTGAAATGTTGAATTGAAGTCAAGAAAACCACACAGTGTCATTTCATGAGTTACTGTAAATCTGCAATAACAATCCTTTTAACCATCTACTCAATTTCATATCCAGGATTGGTTCTAGTAGAATCTCAGAACACACTGAAGAATATATTCCGATGACAGAAAAACAATGACCCCAGAGAAGCTTCTCTCCTGTGCCTTGAACTAAAAGAATCATGTTTTTGTTCCTGGAAGATGTTACATCAATCAAATTTCCTCTTCAACCACTTGCACCTTCAAACACCATCCTAAACATGTGCACAGTGATCCCACAGGTTCTCAAAATCATTGATGCCCACACTACGAGGCTGTCCGCTTAGGTTAGCACTTGTACGAGCCAGTGCACTTTCTGCCCCACGGGTAATGATCCTAATGAAGTCAGAGTCAGGCACTCTCACTCCTATACTATCTAACCCTGGGTTCAAGGACTTCTCAAGGATGCTTGATTCACCTGAAAATATTCACATAAACCACAATAATATTTTAGCCATCTTATGTTTGAGTCTGACAATTAAGGTGACAAAAACTAGTAGGTTTTAGCAACTTCTTCCTTCGTTGTTTTTTTTTTCTTTTCCTCAGCAAAACACAACAAATCACAAACCTCGCCCTAGTATAACAGTAACAGGCCCTGGCAGGAGAGAATCGAGTAAACCACCAGGTAAATGGTCTGTGACATAAAAGCACTTTATGTCAGGTACATCCCCAACACAGATGGCGAGAGGACTGGTATGCTTGCGTCCTTTGATCTCATAAATCCTATTTACGGCTTCTGCAGAACTGCATTTGTGTTCCCATTAAAGGAAAATATAAATCTCTAGATGAAGCAAAATGAAGTTTGTTGATGTCAGAGGCTGAGTAATTATTTTAACATAAGGATAAGATAATGGAAACCAAAGGCATTCAATGGAAATTCTTGAAGTAGTTGGAATGCAAATTTGACGAAAAGCTAAAAGCACAAAAAGTGGAAGTGTAGCTCACTATTCACATTTTGCAGATTTTTGACATCTAACAAACAAGGAACATTAGCTAAAGCAGAAAGATACCAAGCATCACAAGCAAATCTGTAGATAACTTTCCCAGCTTTGCATAGAGTTTTGTTGCAGGTCGAACCAACCCCAACTTGCTTTCAACACCCACCTCGCATCTTTCCACATTCCAAGCCATTTTCTTCAGAAAAACCACCTTGGAATCTCCTCTTCTGTTGCAAAAATGGCACAAACCCCAACTTGGGCACCCTAAAACATATCACCCACACTTAAAAATGCCTTCGTGAGCTTAAAATTAAACACGAACAGGAACAAAAAAAGGATACTAAAAATTTTATAAGAAACACTAAAAACCTAGACGAGTTCAACTGTGGTGTCATATTCAGCCTACATTCAGCAAAAACCCAATAATTTAAACAAAAAAAAGTCGAAGTTTCAATTCCAAAACCATCATTTAAAAAAAATCATCAACGGTTCCATTTATAGAAGCTTATTAATTAAAAAGAAAATCAATCAAAAACTTGGTCACTAAATAGAGGAACACGACTGCTAAAAAGAGGCAGTTTTCCTCCAAATCTTGTGGAAAGATTCATACTTTCGGTGGGGGAGTTGTTCTGCTTGGAGCTCTTTCAGTGCTTTGGAAATATAAAGTGTTTCAGTTCCGTTACGTAGTCTATGTCTTGACTCTGCAGTTTCTGTTATGTCTAACCGTTTGTCCCACCAACATGCCTTGTCAACGTAATGACATCACGTGCTTATCACGTGACTGGAACTGCCTCAATATGTACCTACTCATTACTAAATACGAGTAATTATAACAAATTAAATCAGTACATTAATAATATAATTTTTTTGTTGATACAAGGGTCAGCTGTTAAAGTTATTTTGATATTCAATTTCAGTTTTCCAAATATTAAATTTTAATTTATTAATAAATTTTTTAAAATTATCTGTGATTCATCTCTATGAATTTTGTTACTTTCACACTTATAATTTAATCATTAATCACAATATTTGAATAATCTAAGATCTTTTATGATGTAACTAAGAAGCAAACTACTTGAATATTGCATCTTTTCATATACTATTAACCCAATATTTCTTGCATTCTTCACTGTTTTGTTGATGTAAAATACACTTAATAGTGCATTTCATAACCTTGGAAAAGAAGAAACTCCATTAAAACAATGCGAAATTGAACAATTGTATTCCTAATATACCCTTTTGAAAGCACACTACAACCTAATTCATGGTAGTCTCTCTAGGAGATCAACCTCAAAGACTTAACATAAATCCATAGGGGTAATTGGTCTATGGTTTTTGAACCAATCTTTTCCAATTGGCCTTAATGATGGAGAAAAGTATGAGAGCCTTTGGATTCATATTACAGAAGTAACGATCCTTCATCTTCAGATAAGTTACATAATGTAGTGTGAGAAACTGCATGATGGGGTCCCAAAGTATGAAAGCAATTCAGCTCCCACCAAAAGTTTCTGCATTTTGCTGGTTTAGATTAGGACCTCGCCGAGGTGAATTAACAGCTCTAGGGGATTGGACTGGTGGTCGAGCCATCACTTGGGAACTATGCTGCTGCATGGACCGAGCTTGCCATCGTCTTCTCCATCTCAGGATCTCGACAATGATAGAACTCCCACTCATTGCAACACCAAATCCAGCAAATGTTCCCAGGAGAACCGATGCAACTACCTGAACTTTAACCTGCAGGCCACAAAACATTAAAAGTTCCAATGGAATTATCACACTGAATATAATAACATATAATCATTGGTCTAGGACTCAAAAATTCCTTCAACCTTACTGAAAAAAATCAAGGAGTTTCAAATCAGATCTACGAGGAAAAGGGTTCTAAAAGGTTGAGAGAATCAACTTACCAACGAGTAAAATATATGAGCAAAGAAAACCACCAAAGCAAATTGAATTGATGCGTAAACCCAGACTAATCTTTGCTTCACTGAAATACAAACATTCAAGAGGTTTAAGTCGGAAAATCTTAGAGAATAGTTTGCTGGAATTTCTTATCAACATTTGAATTTCCTGTAAACTTCAAAGCTGTGACTGTCAACATTGAACCAGCATTTCCTAGCCTAGCTAGTCTACTACGGTTTCCCCTTATCCACTGCAAGTGAGTGTATGCTGTGTGTGCAAGAATACATGTGGATGAAATTAGAGTCTGGCTTCTGACCTAAAAAATATAATTGTGAAACCAAAGATGATGGTTGTAAACAAGAATTTAGACCAATTGGTGGTGACCACATTCCTGTTTCATGTGGACAAACATATTGTATTCCCATCACCCCCACGAGAAAAAGAAAGATGGAGTAATAGAAAATGATTTGAAAACATGTCATTCAAAATCTTAATTATATAGCTCAAAGATGTTTGTCAGCCTACCCATTGTTGATGAAGTCATGGATGCAAGGAGGCCTTGCACACAAGAGAATGGAATAGACATAGCAATTGCACCGGCACCCATTTTTTCAACCTGCAGTCAAACAATTATAAATATATATATATATATATATCATGTATATAAAGTAGTAAAACAGGGCAAATCTGAATGAGAAACAGCTCATCCTACCAGAAGCTGCTCAAGAAAACAAAAATATGCAAGCACGCTGACAATAACGAGAACAGGGAGCTCCTGGCAAACCCTGCAAACATCCAACCAATAATGTAAACATCAACCAATGGCACATGAAACCTCCAGCTCTGAAATAAACAAGTTGCAACAATGGAACAGGCAAGGGGCATATTGAATAGAGAAAGCATGGCAAGTCCATAAACATCCTTCCTCATTTCAAATTTTACAATGATGTAGTGTAGGACATTCTAGATGTGATCATTGCATTATTCATGTGTGTTGCATCTCCTTTTTTTCCCATTAAAAATAACTTTAAACAAATGATCCAATCAATAGCTTTTTTTTTTAGTCCAAATGTAATCAATAGTTGAGACAACATAGCAGAAGCAAGCACACAGAATCTTGCAGGTTGGAGACAAACAGCTACCACATGATACCATATTTTATTTTTATCCTAGAAGCTGTATGCATGTAATTTCATCCATAAGGCGAAAATCTAGTGAGTCAATATCAAGGGATTATTTACCCATATCCATTAACATCAGCCTGAAGAGCTCTACTTGTTCCAGCATTTTGAGCAGTGCTTTGGATTCGTAAAAGAGTGACAGGTAGGTTCTGAACCTCTTGCTTGCACACATCACAGGTCTTGTTGCCTTTGATGGTAAACCATTTTATGGCACAGTCTTTGTGGGCCAAAGCAAGTTCACCTTTGCAGCTGCATTCCATCTTAAGTGTTTCACCGCCTTCACATAGTTCAACCAGACAAATTCTACAAACAGCCTCTTCTGCTGGAATGTCCGCGCCATCAAGGTCACTGTTTTCTGAATAATGAGACTTTGATAAGACATTGGCCGGTAATGATAATTAACAGATCCCACAAGTGCAGAGTGCAATTATCTTAGAAAGGAAAAGGATTACTGACAAATGTTCAAGTTTGAATGCCTTTATAGGCTTTATTTCCTTGCCAAATGCATTGATAGATGAAAGCTTTTAGTCTAATGGTAAAGTGTTGATCTCAGGTTTAAGATTTCATTTTTGATACCTATCTCATCTTGGAAACCAAAAGAACATTTCAGAAAAAAGTGGTTCACCTTTCTTGACAACAAACTTTCAGATGCTAACAAGTTTGTATGGATTAAAGTAGAGGAGTAAGTACTTCAAAACCTATGGTCTGTCTTATAATTGAGTGAATAAACCGAGGGCCTAAGGCAACTTAACAAACTTGAACATACACAAGTGTACATAAATGCATAGATAAAGACGTTGAAATACCAGCATCAGGTCTCACAGATGCATTCGAACTTATTTCTCTTTCCTTTACTCGTGGAGTTGAGGAAACCACTCGGAAAAATGAATCCATCCTCCTTAAGTTTCCTTCTTTGTTGTTTACAGGACCTGAAAGTGAGCGAGATATCTGCCGCATGCTTCCCTTTCTCTGCAAAGGAACTAACAACTTGAAACAACAAATACTCAAAATCCTTGTACAGAAATGACTAACTTAAGAAAGGCCAAATCTGGGAGATATTTATAAACAAGTTCCACTCTACATTAATGTGGGCAGTTTCAGATGCTATTCATTCAACATTAAGACATTACTTGGCAGGTCAATAGATATGTTGCATAATATACAATAATTCTAGCAACCAACTACCATTCCCTATGCATTAAAGAGAGAACTAACAACCCAACTAGATCAATCCAAGAAGATACACTCCAAATTTTCACCATGCTCATGTCTATAAAAGACAATTTGGATCCAATAAAATATAGTCGCAATCATGACCAAATATCACAAAACTTACCCTAGAATTTACAGAGCCACCTAGGCTTCCACCGCTTGCAGATTCAGGCTTTGAATTTGCCACATGAGTCACAGGAAATGATGATGTCCTTTTTATCCGAGGAGTAAATATCTTTGTAAGTGACAATGTCCTTGAGATGGAGGGCTTCTCTCTTAGTGAAGTAGAAGAAGATTCTGGAGCAAAGTTTGCAGGCTTTTCAATATCCGAATTAATACTTCTATGCTTGAAGCTTAGTTTTGGTAAGAGACTTTTGAAGGATGATATGCCGCTAGATGAGGGACCAGGGGATCCACTAATTCTTGCATCAGATGGACTAGGTGTCAAGAGAAAATTCACTTTCCTGGGAGTCAGACTAGCTGTTGGGGGCATCTTTATTACAACAGACTCTTGAGGGGAGTCCTCCAAAGTTCTTGAGGGTATCTCTAGAAAGAGATTGCTTCGCTTCCAATGATCACCATGAGTTGTTTCCTCAGTTATTCCCGTTGAATCTTCAGCCTGAAAACAAACAATAACAATTTATCATTATGCAAGAAAATATACAAAGATGAATTGCACTTGGCAGTTGCTTTTAGCATTTTAATGCAATGCAGGGCCGACAAATACTTTGCAGTTTGCACATAGTCTTTATTTATAGCTTCCCTGACTTAGAGAAATAAAATGTAGAATTCTTTGAAAATAACTCATCTGATTTTTGGTACCTGAACCTAAAATCTCTATACAAACTTTCATCCAACAACACAAGCTATGATCCAGGGGGATCATGTACCAAGAGAAACCACCTCCAAACCAAATATGACTGGGTGATTCAGCCCATATTTAACTGCTTTTCTGGGATAAACTGTGAAATTCCAAATTCGCGAGTACAGTTATTCCTCTCAAACCTTAAAAGGATCAGTAATACAGTTAATGGCCCGAATCGTAATCTTAAGTCAAGTAAACATGCATCATCTGCATCTTAGCTGAATTAGACCAGTTGATTTATACCACTATACCTCATTTCCAGCCAATTCCAGCTATGAATTCTCAAGGTAAATGCATACAGCGGGTCTGAACTTATTACTTTATGAAATTAGACTGTATTCAGAGAAAAAATACAAATAAAGCATTCACCATAGCTCGGCTGGCATATATAGAGCCAAAACTTCAATCCAAAACATCCAAAAACAAAATTAGAAAGTAGTCTGAAGCGATGCAAAGACTTTTTAGAAAGAACTGAAGAGTTACCATCGTCAGTTGCATCAACCCCTTTTGTTCAAAAAGACAAGAATTTAAAATTAAAAAATAATCATTTTGTAATGAAACTAAATTATCTACAGTAACAATACTCAACAGAAAAAAAATTAAAATTTAAACAATACAGGACCCAAAGGCAGAGACAAGAAGCAAGAAAATACCTCTTGAACAGGAACAGCAACCCTTCCTTGGCTTGCAGCAGCTCCAACATCATGTTCCTCTGCCACAGGTTTCTCTTCAGTCCCCATTTTCATCAACAAAATTAAAGAAATCCCCACCAAAGCTAGTAATAGCCCAAATTAAAATCTCAAAAAAAAAAAAAATTGCAGCCTAAAAGATACAAACAAAGGACAGAGATGAATATTATTAAAAAAAAAAAAGGAGGTATTGTAGGCTTATGGGTTTTATCTTGAGAAGTGTGGGAGATGAAGAAGCCGTTTCTCATTTAAAGCGAGACATGGAGGGATACATGGCCTACTTACTAACAACACTATCTCCTCACTGACAAAAGTCACAAAAAGACAAACTTTCACTTCAATTACTTGTATAAATTCAAAGACCCTTTTTTTCTTTCTTGGCTTCAATCAAAACCCTTGTTTTATATCTCCAATTCCATTGCTGTATGTTACTGCCTTCTCTTTCCATTTCTTTTTTCTTCTTCTTCTTTAGTTAAAGCCTCCTCAATAGTCAAATAAATGTTACGTGTTGTTGTTGGTTTGTGAGGTTTTCTTATATATATATGATGGAGTCTCTCAAGCTTACTTTCAATTTCTCAGACCAAACATCCAAGTAGAAGTAGAAACTTTGTTGAAGGTTCATGGTTAACGCAATCTGTTAGCCTATTCGTCAGTCCATAAAAATCTTTAAGAATATCAATTTTTTTTTTAATTCTTAATCTAATTTGAACACTGCCTTTATATTTTTAAATTCATCTGAATTCGCAATCTTTTAGATTTTGCATGATATGTAAAATAAAAAAACTTAAAAATCAAAATATTCTAATATAATAATAAAAATAAAAAATAAAAAATAATTATAAATATTAACCATTTATCCTCATTTATTTTCATTCTTTGTATCAAATAAAATCTAAATGTCAACTCTAATATTATGCTAAACAATTCAAAATTTAATAAATAAAAATATGAAAAAAAAATCTTAAACTCATAAGTGTAATTTTTTTTATAGTAAAGTAGGCAATTTCTAATTAATTTTTTAAAATAAAGAAAAACATGTATATTACATAAATGATAATTTTTAAATTTATACAATAATTTAAGAAATTCACAAGGATTAGTTCAATTGGTACAAAATTTTTTTTTTTCAATTAAGATTCCAATATTGTCAAGTGTTTCAAGGACAAAATCACCAAGCTATAATGGAGTATTTTTTGAAAGAAAATTAAATCTGGCAAAATTTAAGAATATCTTTTATAGTGAAAAAATAATTAAAAAAATTTTATATTATCAAGTTTACACATTAACAAAATATTTTATTTAAATTTCAAAATTTAATTGTCGATTGACATTTTGATTAATTAGCATAAAAATTCTGTTGATATTTGCAAATTACGTATTTAAAAAAAATTATGTACATAATATTTTTTTCAAGTAAATAAATATAAAAAGCAGGGAGTTAGGGATTGATTATAAAATTTTACTGTATATTTGAAGTTAATTTCAGGTTGAATTCTAAACTTCATTATTATAAGACTTGCCATTAATATTTTTTTTCTATAGATAATATTTTTAATTTTGTTGGAAAATTTTTTTAAATTCTATGATAATATATTAAATAATTTTCTTAAAAAAAAAGCATTATTTACTTCTCATGTCATTATTTATTTCCCCAATTTCAGATTTTTTTTTAACAAAACAACCTAAAAAATAAGTAAAATAATGTGAGTATATATACATTTGATTACTTAATCCTAAGAAAGGGATCTTTAATAGTAACTTAGTGCATGCCACTTTCTCAGATGGCATTTGACTTTCTTTTTTTTTTTACTAAAGTATTTGCCCAATTGATTGAGTGGTTTAAAGTAATTATCAAGTATAGAAAAAATATGGACGGCAAAATGTTAGGAGATTGTTGGTCAGGACGTTAATCTTACTTAAATTTGATGGGAACTCAATTTTTATCTTAATGAAATTGAAAATAGATGTTAAATTTTAAGAATAGAAATGAACTTGATATAATTTTAAATTTTTTATTAAATATTGATACGAAGAGATATAATATAACACTTATTTTGCACTTATATCTTATATATTTATATATATATTTAATTAATTAATTTTTTATTTAATAATATGAATTTATTTTAGATTAATTAGAATTTGTATTTAAATATATATTTATAAAAAATATATAAATATATAAAATAAATAAAAAAATAAATTAGATTTTTGTTATTTTTATAAAAATTTAAAGATACCAAAATTATTTATACCTATTAAATATTTATAAAAATAAATTTAAAATATTTATTAAATATAAATATAAAAATAACTATAATATAAAAAATACAAATAAAAATATTTTACTTATCTCATATCTTATTTGTTGACATCTTCTTATTGGGTTACTTCAAAGATAAAAGCAAAGTATTTTTTTTTTTTTTTTAATGTTGGGATGGGATTTTTGTTTGAACTTGAGCTCAAATCAAAATCTTTCAATATCATAATTTTGATACTTTTAAAATCCTGATCAAGTTGCTGGTGGTGATGTAATTGAACATGCTGACCCTCATTTATTGGGACAGGTAAAATTTTTTATATAATATATTAAAATATATTAAAATATTATTTTGACTTTTTTATAATTATTTTAATGACTCATTTTTTATATTAATTTGATACAATCAAGAAATCATTCAAAATAGTATAACATATCATTTTTTTTTCTTTTTTTTATTCTTCTTTAATGATTATCTAATGATTTATTTATTTTGTTTGGTTAATAATGGCAAATTAAAAAAAAAAAGAACAGTAAGATACTTGGAAGATCTTCATTATTCATCCTTGAGAACAATAGTACCCCATGCATCTTATTTAATAAATACATACTAATATTTGATTATTAATATTAATTAAAGAAATTAAAGTTACAATTTTTCAAGAAATTATTTTCTAAAAAAAAAAAAACCAAAAGCAAAAGCAATCATTTGCAGAATCGAAGGGGATCCATTTTTTTTTCTCTTCTTTCTCAAGGAGATTTTTTTTATACTAAACATTTATTAGTGGTTTAGATTGAATAATATTAGTGGAGCCAATGGTTAGACACGATAATCTAAATAAATATGATATAATTTAAAATTATAATAATATCATATATATAAATTTAATAAAATAAAAATTATATTTAATATTTTTATATCTATATAAATTATTATATATAAATTTTAATATTTAATATAATATAAATGTATAAATCATCGTATCAACGAATGATCTTGCGTAAAAAAGCAGCAAAGTAAGATTTGGTCCGGTTTTTCCTTTTTTCTTTCCTTAATTTTTTCCATTGCAGCAGCTTTTATTGGATCTTTTAATCTCATTTATAAAATAAAATTTTTATTACAAAAAATAATTAAAAAATTATTTAAAAAATTAAGTCTTAAGAGACGATCTTCATCAATAAAAGCGTGTCCTACTCCCCCCTCTATAATTTTATATATAAAGGTAAAATCAAATTATATAAAAAAAATTTATATTTTTCAATCATTAATTTTAATAAATTTTAAAAATAAAAAAGATAATATTTTGATCTCACCTCTTAAATTTATTGAAATTTATAATTTAAAAAATATATAAAACTATATATAATATATATAATATTAGGGCCGACAAACAAGCAAAATGTTGAGTAGATCATGAAAGATGTTCATGGTTTTGTTTATATTTCATTTTTTGAGAAATAAAAATAGGATAGCCTAGTACATTTCTCATTGTTTAATTTCTACAGTTAAATGATATTAATAAACAGAAGATTGATCTAATATTAAATCGTCATCCCTTTGGTAGGGAGGCAAAACAATTAATATATTAGTTTCATATTTAAATGTGAAGGGTTTTTTTCTTTTCAACCCAAGTTAGAAAAGAGAAAAGGTTAGCTGTCCTATTATAATTCTGTCAAGATTCTGGTAAGAACATCTCAAAATCTGAATGGTTTAAGATTATCTGCAGATTTATTACTCAAGGTGGTCTGAAAATGAATCTTGGCCACGACTTGTTCTTCTGTTTTTGACAGAAAACGGCAGCCTTTCCTTTGTTTGAGGTCACTCTTTGCTTATTTTATTCAAGAAGACGTTTATTTTAGTTTCTTTTTCAACTCAAGAGTATCAGTGGAGCTGATCAGGATGACTAGTGGAAGCATAGGAGGAGAAAGACTGTTGTTCCAAAAATGGTGGGGGGTGGGGGGAAGATATATAATTGGATAAAATAATTGATGTTGCAATGAAGATTATCAGAATCCTGGGGTAGGAAATGGAGGGACCGCAAAAGGGTGGAAATTGAAGTGGACCACCTTTTTTAAGGCTTTCAGTCATGGCTGCTAAGTGCTTAAAAAGGAAAACCCACGTCAACTTACAGTTTTATAATCATTTATTCGTTGAGCTTATATGTATGGCGAATGACGATGAAAACATTGGCTATGGCTAGAACCCAACAGGACGACGTGAATCATGCAATATCTAATGCATTCAAGTAAATCCCTGGTGATGAAGAGAGGGATTTTAAAGTTATAATGAAAAGATAGACCTGCCAGCCAGTGAGAGGGGGAGCTGAAAAGAAGCGAAAGCAAAAGAAGAAGGTTTTCTCTGTTGCGTTAGGCGTGCCATGAAGATTTTTATGGTAACAATGAACCTACCAAAACCAGTTCTTTGCATTAGGCATATGCGTGAAATGACAAATGAGATTCACACTGTAACAAAGGAGAGTGGTTTTTTTCCTGTCTGTTTAGGGTGAAAACTACGAAACAAAAGTAGACATATATACGATCGTACGGACATGCGGACACAAGGAAGTACTTGAAGATTAAGGCAAGAAAGTGTTGTTGGGTGGGATAGGATGGGACATGCATGGGAGGGAAGAAATTATGGGAAAAGAAAGCCAGGGCAAGTCTCAACAAATAAGAATGGGGCGTCTGTGCTGCTAATGTATCCCACGAGATCGACCGTCCAAGCAATTCTTACTGCTCAGTGGAGACAAATTTCATCTTAGTTACCCTCTTGAGGTCCACTAACTCCATTACTGTGGCTTTCGGATTTATTTTCAAGCTCGAGATGACAAGGAAGTGGACGAATCACCCGTTTGTGATAATCACTTAGAAGAAACGAAGAGTTTGTCTTTTTGATAGATTTAATCATGGGCTTGTACTTCAAAGTTTGCAGAATGGTCAGCCAATCTAAAAGAGCCCAAAGCAGGATAGCCCAGGAAGGCAGGAAGCTTTCACCGGAATCGCTGCCCCCAGCTGGTTGACATGCAAAAAACTTGGTTGTATTGTTTTATGTTCTTCACTGATGAATGATTTCTAAAATGCTCCAATCTCCATTAGTCATTAGAGTCGTTCCCTCAATGCCAAAGAAAAATAATCAATCATGTAGGTCTGAGCTGGTCAGGTTAAAAGAGAGAGAAAAAGTGGATGGAAGTTCACCCTTGCCAACGAATTTTCATTAAGGAATCTAAAATATAAATACAACAAATGTTAACAAGAAACGAAAAATGCTGAAGCTACTTTCAAACTTTCTTTTGGTAGATTAATCTTCCACATTATATCTGAGTTTGACTTGATATAAAGTTATACATATAATCACCAGTGAAATTAGGTCATACCATCTCTCCAAGAGCATCACCATTTCACAGTGTGGAGTATGCAGGAAAAGATCAACAGCCATGGCTTTTACAGGTCGAAAAGGCGGTGAAACAGGCATAGATTTGGCTAGGTGCCATGCTAAAACAGCACTACTCATGTTCCTCCAACCTCGGTTATCTTTCTTCCCTTTCTCAACTCCCCCGGGAGAGGGTGTGCAGAGCTCAATAGCATTTGCCACTAAGCTTTCAGGATTGCAGGAAATATACCTAGGAAACAGACAGAGGGTTGAATTCAGGTTCAAGAGAGAGGGGATGGAACGATCAAAGCAAGAACACTAAAAGCTCATAATGGAAAGTCACACAAGATGCATAGATGTGAATGAGTTCATAAAGCTTTGATCACCTGCATTTTCAGAAAACAATAAAATGGTAAGCAGCTTTTGTTTTGTAGAGTACATAGACGAAGTCCAAGGTTCTAAGACAATACAGATCGCATTTAGATAAAACCGTTAATTTTCTTAAAGCATATAGGTTTTGCACAATAAACGGCAGATAAAAGAACAATGTCTAAAATTAAAGTCAACTATTTGGAAGAAGAATTAGGTGAATGTTGAATTTCAGTAAACTGTAGTTCCAGAGAGAATTTCTGTACGTATAGGTCCAGAATCGTTGAAATAAATGCTACTTGATAGGGATCAAATTTAAACAAGGCAACAATGAACTGCACGACATAATCATAGAGCTTAAAGGAATTGGAATGTAGACAACTGTTGGTATATCAAGAGTATAATAATACTTACAGTGGGATGGGGTACCATACATGGAGGATCAACAATAGCAACGACATTTTTGAATTGCTGCACTGAAGAGTTTCCATCTTTTGAAGTGGAACTCCCCCGAAGTTGATTTTGGAGCTCTTTTCCATCATTTTCTGAAGAAAAGTTTTCAGGCTCTTGGCATGAGCTCTCTCGATCATTATGTGCATTGGTTTTGTGTGAATCTTTCTCTTCACAGGTAACCATTCCTTTGTCACTACTTTCTAAGGCACTTGAAAGTCGACCTTGTCTTTCAGACAAGTTTAGCTACTCCTTCAACAGAGACCCTATTACATCCTCAGCCTGTTCCTCATAGACAGCACAGAGGAAAATAACCAAATAATGAAATGCAGGTTGTAAGTACAACAACTGAACCCTGCCCCCACCCCAAAACCCGAAATAAATCAACCAAGGAGGCAAGCAAACAAATCAACCTTTGAACAGATGAATCTAATATTTTTTATCCTATTAACCTCGGCATTCTTATGAGCATCTTGAACTGCAGAAGCATTCATTTCAATGCCAATTACCTGCAGATTTTAATGCCAAGACAAGGATCAATCATTAAAACGGGAAGAATCTGCTATTTCATAAACAAATTAACTGAAAGCATTATCAATTGGTTTAATACTTCAAAATATCAACATTAAAGAGCCTCCAGCATTGTCATTTTTTACACTTTTATCCAATATGGCGCTCAATCTATGTCATATGACTCAGACTACGGTCTCAATCATGTATGTGACTATAAACAACAGGAAGGATGGGCATCGGATAGTGTTATTACCATACCAACACACTATGTGCTAACGTGAGCCCAATTGTTCCAGTCCCACAGCATATGTCAAACAGCAAGGTATCAGGACCCAAGCAAATTATCCAGAATTACCATAAAAAATGTTTCAACTGAAAGATATCTATAGAGGCTCAAGGTCCTAACCTGAAAAAATGCTGCTGGAGATCCCTTATACAATCATGAATTCTTGCTTCTACAACATTATTGGTTGTATCCAGCTGAAGACCACCTTCTCCCTTCAGGTTGGGTATTGAATACAATGGAGCATCAGCCGGTGCCACGTTTGATATTCCTTTGATGATCCTGGATGAAAACAATGACCACAGAGACAATGAGAAAAAGAACAATTAGATGAAGAGACAACATATGTCGGCCGTTGATTAGGGATTGGACGGCGGGATTGCTTCGGGTAGGGGTAGGGGAACTTCTGGGGTTAAATCTCGGCCATTGGTTTTGGGGTTTTGGGTGGCGGAATCTAGGGTTTTAGTTTCAGAAAGTTCTATTTGGAGAAGCCGCCATTTCAGTTTCAGTTTATTTTAGTTCACTTCTGGATATTCTTTAAATTTGTATAATTATTTAAAAAAAAAGTAAATAATTTTACTTAATTTTAATAGATTTTTGCAACTTGTATTTAACAAAAACTCTAACACATAATAATTCTATTAATTTAAAAGAAAATAGAAGTGTGGAATGAGATTTTTGGAAATCTTTTATTCTAGTTTTATTTGTAAAAAAAATTAATTTTTTAATTAAGATTTAAATGAATATTTAAAATTAATTTAAAAAAAAACTACATATCTTATATGTTTAAAATTATTTTTCTCTTTCACTTTTTCATTTCTTTAAGATATATATAATTTTAGTAAATATATATATAATTTTTCATCATAAAAATGTTGAAAAAAAAAGCTAAAAAAATGGTACAAATATGAGTTAAATATTTATTATGTAGATTTTCCATCATGATAATAACATTATCATATATGTCTTATCAAGTAAAAAGAAATTTTGGGGACCACAAAAAGAATTAAATAATTTTTTTATTTGCAAAGTTAAAACTTAGAATAAATCCATTTAAGCGAAAAAAAAGAAAAGAAATGTATTGGACAAGATTTTTTTTTCCCCAAAAATTCTAAGCTACTTAAAATTAGAAAAAAAAAATGTATAGTATTTCTCTTTTTATCAGAAATAAAAATGTTTACTTGCCATTGAGGAAGTATTTTTACTTTGGAGGACTATATAAATTAGGGCACGTTAGGCAAGCAAAAGGGAAAAGCTTTCGCTCAACCCTCCCTGGTTTCCTTTTCCGGGCTCAACGGAAAGTCGCCGGAAAATCGTTTTGGAAAAGCCGGAGACCGGTTTCAAATTGCGCCAATAGCTTTGGGAAAAGAATGGGTGACCGCCTCTCGAATGTGTTTTCGGTGCTGGAGATTGACGTCGAGGACGATCATCCCGCGTCCGCATCTTCTTCTTCCTCTTCCAAAGCTTCAGGTCAGGCGATTTACTTTCGTCTTTCAATCATGCAGTTACTGCCTCTGGGTTAGGGTTTGTTTAAACACTTCAAAAGAAATTTATTTCTTTGAATCATTTGGACTTTGGGGTTTGCTTTTATCTACTAAACCTGACAATCTAAAACATGATACAGTGTCATCCAACACTATGTTAGCACACGAAAATGACATTGCATAAAATTTTAGCAACAACTATATATAGGTTTAACAAAATTAAAAAATATATTTTATATTTTCTAGTAAAATTCAATACAAATACATGAATTTTAGTATTTTACATGATATGAATACACGAATTGTAAAGTCTAATTTTATGGAAACTTGTAATGCTGGTATGGATTATGGAAGCTTTTAATATCTAAGTTAGGGCTTTTTATTAAAAAAAATGGTGATGAACTGAAAGGTTTTATGCTAAAGCCTTTAATTTGGAGTTTGTGATTGTTGAATGATGTTTGCCTTTGATACAGGTAAAAGCAAAAGCAATGGAAAGGGCTCAACTGATGTGGTTGTTGTCAAACAAGAGAAACAGAGTAAACTGAATTCAGCATTGCTTTCGGAGAACTACAAGTTACCCCTTGTGTGGATTGACTTGGAAATGACTGGTTAGCATAGCAAAAAAGGCCTATTTATAACTAATTTAGTTAGTCCAATGGTGGATTATGCGACATAAAAATGGAATTCATTTCATCTATGCAGGTTTGGATATTGGGGTTGATAGAATTTTGGAGATAGCTTGTATAATTACAGATGGCAGTCTCACCAAATCAGTGGAGGTTTTTTATTTCTTTTCTTTTCAATTTTTATGTCCTTGATTTAGGATAATCTCTTAAGTATTTTGTTAAAAAATAGCAATGTTGTCAACAAAGCATGATTTTGATAATTATTAAGTGATCAAAACATTTCAGTTTTTAATGTCATTTTAACCTACTAATGCACATGCATTTTGTTGAAGTAAAAGATATCATTCCAAATGTGGTATTCCTAAGTTCTAATTCAGAATATTTTCTCCTTCAGGGTCCTGATCTGGTTATCCATCAATCTAAAGAGTGTTTAGATAGAATGGGTGAATGGTGTCAAAATCATCATGCAGCTAGTGGTATGTGGCTCAAGACAAATTGTGTTCTGATATGTAAATTTCCATTATCATCAGCGTCTTTCTGCATTTTTATGGAATAATAGATCAGGAATCATAACTAACAACCTTCAATTATTTTAGGATTGACAAAGAAAGTGCTCCAAAGTACCATTACTGAAAGAGAAGCTGAAAAGCAGGTCAGTAAAAATATCATCAAAATTAAGTTCTGTAAGAATCTCACTAACTGGTATTTTTTAACTATAGGTTATAGAATTCTAGTAGGATGCAAATTTTTCTTTTTTTTATTTTTCAAAATTTTGCAGTTATGTTCTTTGATAGTGCAGGTCATAGAATTTGTGAAGAGAAATGTTGGTACATACACACCTCATTTAGCTGGAAATTCGGTTTATATGGATTTTCTCTTTTTAAAGGTAATAAGCAATTCATATCACTCTCAGTTTAGCATACTTGGTTTCTATCAAAAATGAAACAAACACCAGATACTTGTTCCTTTAACCTGGTCTTACAGAGTTGAGTTTGGGGGGCTTAGATGATAATTGGGCCATTAAATAATCTATAGAATAGAAAAAGGTAAGATCTTATTATCTGTTTTCTGTTTCAGTACTATTTCGAATGGGTAAGCTGTCTCTGGTTCTTCATAAACTTCCCCTTATACTTTCTTTGATAATTTTCTAGTCAGTTCTGAAAAGGGCAATTGCATGTATTAGAAGATGAATGTGGTGTTGTTTTTCTTTTGTGGCAATTGATTATCCAAATCAAATTTATTGTTGATATTCTTGTGATCTGTTGGTGCTTTTTCTTGAAGTAGTGTCATTAATTATGAAATGTGCCCCAGTCTAGGAAGCTTCTTTTATTTTCAATAGACTGAGAGGCCTTGGTTCTTTTAGCATTTTCTTTTTTTTAAGTTCCTTGTATAACTTTTGTCCTTCGTTATTGTTGGCAATATTTGGCCTCCTAACCAGCTTTTTTTTTCTTTTGAAGAAATATATGCCAGATTTGGCTAGTCTTTTCTCTCATGTAATTGTTGATGTGAGCAGTGTAAGGGCTCTTTGTATTCGCTGGTTTCCAAGAGGTAAATCCAGCTCTTTGCTGTAAAATTTCTATATGATTTTGAAAGTTATGAGTAAACAAATTTCATTGAATTGTTAGATGAATCAAACTGTTGGCCTGATATATTGCCGAGTTTATTATGTGTGTGCTTCTTATCACACCTTATCATTCTTTTTTTTTATATTTGGCAAGTGCATGCACATGAAAGCCCAACAGTGGATAGTTCTTGGATAATAATGGTGTATCCTATCATTTATTGCTGAATCATATGCTAATCTCATCATACATGTCTACGGCCTTTGCTCATGCAGATCAAAAGAAAGCCCCTTCGAAAGAAAAGAAACACAGAGCCATGGATGATATCAGAGAGAGCATATCGGAACTCAAGTACTTCAAGGAGACGATATTTAAAGCAAAGTCCAATAAGTAAATGCCAATTGCTATTGGAGACAAATTCACACAACTGCTAGCTACTCTTTCTTGAGAACAATTAGGTATTGAACTAGTTGTTTATAAGTTTGGTACAAGTATTCTCATATGTTTATTTGATAATCCGCCTCAACATATGATGATCATTGCCACATAGCCATGTGGTTTGTATGTTGATGCAAATGTGCAATGGTTACAAGTTTGTCAAGGAGATCACTTGAGGTTCTTAACTGTAAGCAACATAATCTGTATGTGGTTTCATCGGTATAAGTATGCAGGGTTAAAGCAATGATTTCTTTTATATGATTTCAATTGCCAATTGGTACTTCCACTATTGGATAGTTTCTCTTTCATTTTCAGTTCTTCCTCATTCAACAGAACATTTGACAGTAAAGCATGATCTAATTCAAAAGCTATATGGTAAATGCTTTCATTTCTAGGGATTGTTATCATCTCTAAATTAGTTTTCTTATAACAAAACCAATTCATGCATCTCAATGCTTGCACTAACATTTTTTTTTCACTTTTATGATCACAAACATCTTGGCAACCTAGTGGTTCAAGCCTAGTTCAAGGTAAATGTAAGCTCACTGTAAGCAGAGCAGAGTACATCCGCAGATGTGTAAGTCTTGCTTAATGAGATGTATATGTTATATTGTCCAATTCCAGGACAACTTTCTTTTTGCTCTTCTCCTTGAGTAGTTGGATCAAAAGCCAGTCTAATAAAGCTTTTCCTAATTGCTTTTACACATCAACTACCACTGCAGTTTATAAAGCTGTAGAAAAACCACACATGGCAAGCATTTGAAGGCAAGCAAACGTGTAAAGTATAACAAAACAAACAAAGGGCATGTTAAAGTGTCAAAGCAGATCTACAAAACAGGGGTACCTTAACAAACAAGTGTGAAAGTCACTTTCAATTCTTTACAGGGTGAAGCAATGGAAAAGTACATGTTACCTTTTGAGTGGCTTATGGAGTACAACAGTAACGTATTTGGACTCAAACCTATGGGTCAATCCCAGGGCGACAACAGACTGTGATGCCCGTCCTTTCTCTATGAAAAGGTGGTTAAGTACAACGTGTTCAGGCTTTGAAGATGATGCTCCATCTTGGTTATCTGTACTGAGGACAGTTACATGCAGCTGGGATGGAACTACAACAGGCTCCTTTGCAAAATCTTCCTCCGATGGAAATGCCTGACCATAACTGGAATTTGGGGATCCTGGAGCCTCAAACTCAGTTACACTATCCAGATTTTCAGGTACATTGTCCTGCAAGAAACAGTGAGTCGTAATGAAGCAAATAAAGGCAGCAAAAATGTGACAAGTATCATTTAGATCATGGTTACGGCCAAGATAAGGTGGTAAAAGTCATAAAACCATTATAGAGATGCTTTAAACATGACACAACGTATGTAACATTCATCTTCCCTGTTCATCCTTGTTTGCTCAATACAATGCCTGGTTGGTGCTAGGGCTCACAACTGCCCCAGGCTGGTGCCTTGGATGCAAAGCACCATGAGAGCTCTCAAGGGCCAGGCAACTGCCAAGGCTGTGCAAGGCATCGGTGCGCACCAAGGCCTGGCTGGTGCCGAGGCTTGGGGAGTCAGGTGCCTGTGTCACAGGTCGAGACTTAAGCTTCGAATCCGTGCGGTTCCAGGACCCGGACATTCATCCTTATGGCGTCCCAGATCAGTCTTCTTGTCACGGTTCACACCCTTGTGAGGTATTATTCGCTCTGACCTCTCTGATCTCACGGTTTTGTCTTACAAAAGGCGCTTCATAAGGCGGAGGTGGTGTGAATTCTTATATTCTCTAGTGACTCTCTTATTATGTTCGATGTGGGATTCAAGAGTCTTCCTTAGGTCCGTGACATTCTCTCGCACTCAACCTCGTGACGCCTTCGTCATGGAGGTTGATCACCCTGCCTGCCTCTCTTGAGGTGTTTGGCGTAGATCGAACAGTTTAGGACTGACTCTGATACCACTTATCACAGGTCGACACTTAAGCTCCGAACTCGCGCCACTCCGAGATCCGGGCATTCACCATTCCGGCGTCTCAGATCAGCCTTTCTGTCACGGTTCATACCCTTGTGAGGTATTGTCTGCTCTGGCTCCACTGATCTCACGGTTTTGTCTTACAAAAGGCGTCTCACAAGACGGAGGTGGTGTGAACCTTTATATATTTCAGTGACCTTTCTATTATATTCGATGTGAGATTCAAGACTTCTCTTTAGCTCCGTAACACCTGAGCTGAAAGGGCCCGTAATGTTTGCACAGCTGCCTTTGGTTATATACTTGGCGCTCAAGAGGGAAATTTTTTCCCCGAGCTTCGTTGTATAAACGGGTGTATCAAAATTCAAAAGGCCCAAGCTTGAGCCACTGTTGCAATCCACATCGATCATGCCCCAAGCTGATCAACGGACCAACTCTTGCCATTCCACATTTGACTTAGACACATCACCAGTTCCCAATCCGTTTTCCTCCTGACAATTCCGAGCACTCTTATACTTTATTTTCAAAGTCCTTTTTATCTTTCACTTGTGATACTTGTTTGCTATTAGTTTCTCACTTGTATTTAGCCTTGAACAGATTTTACCACCCAAATTTACCTTAAACCTCTCTTTTTATGCAACAACAATATGCTAAAATTGCAGAGGTCCAGTTCTGCTGGCCAGCCATTTATACTACACCAGCCTAGACAACATTACATGAAGTAAAAATGAAAGTCACATGATTCAAGTTGGAGCAAGTGGGCATATACGAAGATACATACATGAACATCAAGAAGATTACAAACATTGCCCATTTCATCAGCTACAAACGGTAGATCATGCATATATCTCCATTCACCATCGACAATAAACTTGTAATGGTAAATGCCAGATGGAAGGACCAAAAGAATTGAGTGGTCCTTACCAGATCTTTGCAGTCTCTTCCTGCAAGCAGAAAATAACACTCGTCCATGCTTGGGTTTCAGACAAAAAGATGAACCACAGGATTTTTCCTACATGAAAATGGCAGTGTCTATGACACAAGGAACTGAAAACCTACCTTGATCTCCAATTATCCCAAGAACCTTCCACAGCCACATCATTACCACCATAATTTCATGTAATGATGACAGGGATTCCTTTCTCAGATGGACTATCAGCAACCCCGGGAGAATAATTCCGCCAAATTTGGTTGAAAAAGGAATGGCCAGCACCTCTTGGTTAAGGAGCTGCAGTAACCTAAAAATGCACCAAAAACAACCAACCTATCAGTTGAAAGGTCACTGCCCAGATAGACAAAACTCTTTAGTTCATAAGTAAATCAGCAGCAGCACACTACTCCGACCTCTCCTCACTTCTTGGCAATCCCAATAACAGACCATAAACTGATGAATAGATGTCAAAAGATAAAACAATTTTGTTTAAAAAAGAAAAGAAAAGAAAAATTACTATCTGATCAGGATGAAGATCAACGAATCAAAAGAAACTAACTAAAGTAACACAATCAAATACTTGAAAGCATTGTGTATACTCACCCCTCCAAATTAAGCATCTAGAGCTCCACAAGAATCCATATGTGAAATCAACACCATACATATGTAAAGGGGCAAAAATTCTCACGGACAAAAACCAATCTAAGGACCAAAGAGATTGGGGATTCCAACAGTAAAGAAGATTCCGTTCCATGTTTCCAAAAGTTGAACACTTTGGGGTATTGGCATTGGTTAAGTTTTATCAAACACTCTTCCCCCTTCCCCCATGTGTTCAGGTATGTGTTTAGTTCTCATTATTCATCGGCTCAAAATATGTTAATAAAGATTTAAACATCTAAGCGTCCCCTCTTAAGCATTACAACATGTGCAAATAAGCTTTTTAAAACAAATTTAAAAAAAAAAAGCCAATTAACTGTAACAAATCAATGCATGTTCTATATATTACATTTAAGGAGCCAACAAAAGTATCCATTTTCAATCACTCCTTTTTACTTCCTAGTCAGTTTTCTTTGCAAACTCTTAACAAATTTCTCAAAAGCAACAAAGTTGCACTGATATGCAAAAAACATAGTCATCCATTACTAATTAGAGGTCTAATCAAACCGAGCCAAGTTGATACAGTAAGACACTCGAGCTTGACTCAAAATTCGCTGTTTGAAATTTAATTCGAACACAATCGAGTTTTAATTTTTAAGTTTGAATTCGATTTAAGATAAAAATTAAGTTACTCGAGGTTGCTCACTTGATTAGGCTTAATTAATAAAAATGAGCTCGATTCTCATACTTGATTTCAAACTAAATTACGTGGATTACCTCATAGTCAGTTTTCTTCGCAAACTTCTAATAAATTTCTCAAAAGCAACAAACTTACACTGCTATGCAAAAAACATTGTCTTCCTCTTCTCATTATTGTGTAATCAAGCCGAACCAAGGTGAGAAGCTCAAGCTTGACTTGAAATTCACTGCTTGAAACTCAGCTCGAACTCAATCAAATTTTAATTTTTAAGTTCGAATTCGACTCGAGATAAAAATTAAATTACTTGAACTCGTTCGATTAAACTCATTTAATAAAAATGAACTTGATCCTCATACTCGATTTCAAATTTGATTATGCATGTTTGAACTTGAGTTTGAACTTACTCGCTCGATAAGGAGCAATGACCGAACCGAATCCTGAGTTTTAGCCGAGCCGACCCGAGTAATTTGTGAGCATTAACATATCATTTACACCCCTGCTTCTCATTCCAAGAAACAATTCAAAATTTTTAATTTACTTATCTGGCACGCAACACACATATTTTTCTTCAGCTAATTTTTCAAATATATAATCAAAACTCAGATTTGTTCTAATTCAAATGAATTTTGAAACCAAATATCTCTTTTATTTTTGGATATTTAGAGTAATTTATATTATTAAAAATACAATAAGTTCAAAGTCCTGGAAAGATCATTGAAATTTCGAAGATGCGAACCTGAGGAGCGCATACAAGAGGGGATCGAGACCAGTGAGGGCTCTGCGGCGGAGTGTTCGCCATTGAATCAGACGACCGCACGCGAACTGCAACTGCAGCAGCTCCACGAACGACCGGCTTGCCGCCGTTAGACCTTACAAAGAGATGGTCGACGCCTCCGTTGGCTCCGTCTTCTCTTCCGTTTGCATTTCCCATATCTTAAGCTTTTAATTTATTTTTCAGAGAGATCCACAGAAAAAACAAAAAATTGTGAGAAGAAAAAAAAAGAAACCCGTTTTGGTTATCGAATAAAGAAAGGGTCTTAAAGGGTACTGGTTTTCGGTTTATTTACGGAGATTGACACTGGGAACGTGATCAAACTGCCATTGCCGGGAAACGGTTGCTCTGAATCAAAAGCTTTTTTCATTTGTCGTCCTTTCGCAGACAAACTAAAAGTTACTGCATGTCAATTGATAAAATAAAAGGGGAAAAGTTAATTTGAAGCCGTTAATATTTTGATTTTGTGAGTCCTCTTTTATATATATATATATATATATATATATATATATATATATTAAGAGTTCCTTAGTAACGTTTTCGTATTTTCAATTTTTTTTTAAATTGAAAACAAAAATATGTTTGATAAGTTTTTTTATTTTTTATTTTTGAAAATTAAAATCAAAGTTTTAAAAAATTTTGAAAATTATATGTTTAATTTTTTAAAATAATTTGACACTTATCGTATGAGTTCTATTCACAAAAATTATAATTAAATGATGTTATCATTATTATATTAATAAAAAAATATTTTTATTATATAAATTATTATATTCAAAATAATATATTAATATATTAACATCATTATATTATTAATAATAAATAGAGTCTAAAAATTTTAATCATTTTCTTTTCATGTTTTTATAACAAAAACATTCTATTCAAATATATTTTTAAATTCAATAAATTAAAAATAAAATAAAACAAAATTTCAAAAACCTAAAATATAAAACACACGGCAACAGCAGCCAACCTCTAATTTTTCCAATGTCGAGCTAATCTTCGGCTCTCTAAAGGATTCTGACGGTTGTCCAAAGAGTAATTGGGCTTGTGGTGATTTTGGTTTGGATCATGGCAACAACCAAAAGCTCAAGATCACACCATAAAATGAAACATTACGCCCTAAAATTGCGAATTAATATATTTATGTTTAGATTTGTTAGATGTTTATATAGGAATGAGAAAAAAATTTGAAAAAATCGATTTGAAATTGTATTATTTGATTTGGTGTAAATTAATATTTATTATATTTTTATTTGATTTAAAATAAATTATTAAATATATATTTAATTTAAGTCAAATTTTAAATTAAAAATTAACAATTTTAAAAAATTATAATTAAATATATTAAAATTTAATTCAATTAGGATAGAATTTTAAAATTTTATATATTATTTTTTAAAAAAAATTCAATTCAATCACCCATAATATTATATAAAAACCAGGCTTTTTTTTTTTTTTTTGAGGGAAGAGAAGAAAAAAAATATGAGGCCGATTTTCATTGACGTGTCTGAAGTACAACAGAGATGGCGATCTTTTGTTTGCACATGCAGCTCGTCCCAACAAGAAGGGTATTTATGGCAAGGAGCTTCCTGTTTAATTTTGTTGAGAGCGAGGGTGATGCAGTAAACCATATTCGGTATTTGTAGAAGATCCAATTTGCATGCACATAACCAGCTTTCTTGTTGTCCTCCATTAATGAAATGTAGCAATTTTGAGAATTTGCAGTCCCTTTATGAAACTTGATAATATAAACTTAAAGAACTAAGTGGTTCAGTTCAGTACAAGAATGACTCTGGTCATGTTTGTGTTATTACTTTCGCTTGGTATTTCCTTCAGATGATCATGAACGAGGTTCGGCAAGAAATGGCTTGAAAGTCAGCAGCAATCCGACAAACTGAACAACGTTTAGTACGAAGAACACCATCTGATCACCTGTTTCCAAACATCAAAGCATGTAATGCAGTAAATCGATCTGAGCACATGTAAATCTGCATGAACCATGATGATTGATTAGGATTCAACTACAAACCTGGAAGAAAAGCTGCGGCTTGTCTCTTTTGTGCCCAAGAAAAGCTATAGATATTATGAAAATAAACATGAGAAAGTGATTCTTGGACATGAAGTGACAGGAAACTAGGTTGATGCATGTAAGCTAAATTATATACAGAAAATGAAAGGCTGAAATAGTTGGCATCACTTACAGGACTCCTCCTCCTGCTGGACCAAATGCTTTGAAAACAGACATTGCTGTCATTGAAAGGCCATTGGCGGCTCCCCTCTGACTTTGTGGCTGAAATAAGAACAAGCAATAATATTAAAACCAGAATAAGGAAATTACAGTGAAAATATTTTCGAAAATATGGGCAGAAAATGTACCACTGCATTGTTCTGCAATATGAACAATCCGGTAACAAGAGAAACCTACACAATACCAAAGAATTTGCTTCATAAATCAGATGACCTTAAACCAAAAATAAAAAATCTTGAAAGAAACATGTCTGATTCATTTCAGGGTATTCATTGGCTTCAGAATTTGAAGTTCAAGACCCAAAAGCTTCTCCATGTATTTGTGTACATTTTCGATGCAAATTCACTTACAGATAGAGTATTCCTTAATAGGGCTGCACAATTTATCACCACATGTAGGATTACACCCGAAAGCATAGTTATATAGGGGAAACATGACAGCAACGGAATTGATATTGCCTGACGATAAAGAAGCATAATTAAAAAAAAAAATTAACTAGCTATTTTACTGAAAAAGAATAAAAAAAAGGGGGAAAAGGTCTAGAAATACAGTATCTGCAGGTAAGATTTTACCGCTGAAAGCCGTGTAACCGTGAGAGGCCCAAGGACCTTTTCCACTGGTGGATACAACAGAAGTTGGAATAGTAAAAGACCTAATCCTGGCAATGATAGAAGTCAAGTTATTAGATTATGTGTTCTAAAAGAAAACATCAAATTTCAAATAGTTTATAAAAAATTATTGCAACATGGAAGGGTATGAATATACCAGAGATAGCAAGAACTTCACCAACATCTTGGGATGAAAAGCTCAATCCTCCATATTTTTTATCACTAACTGTCCAAAGTGAAAATATCTGCAAAGACAAGCTAAGCGTCTTACGTGAAATATGAACAACCATATCAAGATATCAAGAATATGCAAAGATCAATCATTATAAATCTTATCGAACATGGGAGCAGAAGATTACATTTTATGGCATGATCTATACTTCTGTTAGATAGGCATAGGTGATAGTACATTTTATGGCAACTTACTTCAGCGTAAGCTATTTCTTGAAGTGAGAAAACGCAATAGACAATGATCGTAGACATTAGTGGCCAATTTTTTAAGAGACTTGGTTTATGAGCCTGTCTGATCTCTTCAGGTTCTACGATGTTGTCCTTCTCACCAGATTCGATTGAAGATGTTTCTGACATATCATGTGGATCATATCTCTCATTTCCCTTTCCAACATGCTTGTGTAATGTCTCCTGCATAAATGTTTGCCAAGAGAGGGAAATAAACAATAGAAATGCTACTAGCAAGTTTTGTGATAAAACACCTATATACAAAGCATACGCCACAAAAAGAATAAAATTGTCTAGATTCAAAATGCAATAAATAAATTTGAAAGAATCAATCATTATACGGAAACTGGAGGCAGATGCATGCATATAAGCTAGTAAACAACTTAATCTTATTGCTTTTAAAGTAAGATTTAAGATTTCTTTTTTTCATTTTTCTAACATCAAAGTGACCGTGGTATGCCATGATGTGGAGAATTTTGAGCAGAAGCTCCTTGATTCTACTGCATAAAACATATATCATAAATCTACAGTATAACATTCTAGCAGAGTTTTAAATTATCTCTATCAAGTCTTGTTTTACGAGTTCAATTAATATCTGGATCTAATCTTATTGAACCTGCTTATGTGATATCCGAATATCCACAGTTCAAAACTACAGAACAATTTCTTAATTGATCATGATGAATTTTTATTGCAACTCATGCCCCAAGCCAGAGTAGACAAAAAGGAAAAAGATGACAAAATGAGTTTGAGACTTACAGGAAGCCATCTGCAGGCAATAAGAACTCCAATAGCGTAAACTGATATTATGAGGCATGGTAAGAAGTAGGGAAATCTGCAATCATGTGCACATCAAAATATCACCACAAAAGGGAAAATATGACATACTGATAAAAAAAAAAAACAATGCAACACAGACTACCTTCCGAAAATGGAACCTTCGGAAAATACATTTGGATATTTCTCTGCTGGCTATAAGGCATACATGAATTAATAAACAATATGGTTATCAGGAAAGATAAACTTCTTTAATAACCGTGCAAAGAGTAGAACAATGGAACGTCTCCACCTGTGCAAAGAAGCCTCCGATAGCAGGGCCAATAATCAGTCCTATGCCTCGTGACGTACTAACCTGAAATGCAAAGTCTAATATAAATATGGTACTCCAGACGATGCACCTAGAACCCATATTAGACTACAAAATTGATTATCTTACAACAGAAAGTGCCAAAGCCCGATACTCCTCTCTACACACTTCGGAAGCATATGCCTAGAAAATAAGGTCAAGGCGGTGAAAGTAGTTGAAAAGTTGAACCATTAGCCCTCTTGAGTAAAGTAATAATGAACCCAAATTTGCATACACAGCTCACATACCCTTATTGTGCCCAGCACACTATTCAAGCAGCCAAGAAGAAATCTCATGGACAGTGCCATCCAGAAGCTTGTGCTAAGGCCAAAGAGAGCGTTGAATACCACCCTGAAACCCAAAACTTGTGATGATAAAGTTACCAATAACAATTACTCTTGCTAAATGACTTCATTTTATCAATTATAATAAGTTTGCAATGTAGTGAATGAGAAATTTCTGACACTGAAAATGTCCCTATCAATATAATAGGTTTACGACCAAATCGATCAGCCACCACTCCCCAGAAAAGAGATGTCAAAGCTCTTCCAACCATAAATGAAGAGCCTGGTAGGGGAAAAAGTTACTGTAATTTAACACTAGTTCATTCTGAAATCTAATTTGATTAACATATAAAAGCTACTGAATATTAGCATTAGATATTACCCACAAATCCTGCATAGAAACCAATGTCTTCCTCTCTTTTTGCAATATGAAAGTCTCTGATCTGCCAAAAAAAAAAAAACATATTCAAACATAAAATGACATTATTGGCTTCCATAGTAGAATCATCAATATTGCAAACTGACTATAAAAACGATTTTCTCAGCCTAGGTAATAAGTCATAGGATGTGATAGGTTTCTCAGGGGCAGAAAACATACCATGAAGTAAACAAAGGGGAATAGTGAAGTTGTTGGCAAAGCTGAAAAATGTAACAATAATAAGATATGACTGTTAAAACTCATTTTAGAGAGACAGCAAAAGGAGAAGAAAAACCATAGACATTCCTTTTCTGCAAACAACAAATTTTCCATTAAAAGTGATGTCTCCCTTCAAAGAAGAGCCAACATGATTTGATTATTGCCCTTCAATGACAACCCAAAAGCAAATATAATTAACTAATGCTAAAAGAAAAACTTTTATCTTTTTCCTTTTTACAGTTTATGGGATAATTCTGAAGTACTGACTAGAACACAGGGAGACAATCCAGATAAAAGACAAGTGCTTGTATGGGACTCCAACTTCTTCTTGTTTGAGACGATCCATCTTACAACCTGGACAGTTTTCATAGTACTCCACGCCACTCTCCAACAAAGAAGTTCTGTTCTCTTCCATTTCACTCGCAAAAAAATTTCTCTCCCAGAAGAAAGAAAAGGCAAAACTGGATTGTGTTGTCGTCTTGGGTCCAAACTTTAAGCAATTTCCACTTCATTTTCTACTTTTTGGACCAAAACGCAGAGTTCAACGCTTTCAAGGTGAAGCTACTTTACTCTTTACTTCGTGATATGAGAATCCGGTGTGAGTGAGAAGCATGTTCTTACTGATTGACGACATGATTAGCTTTGTGCTACATGAAGTCTAATCTTTCTGGCCAAAAGAAAAAGTTTAGTCTAGATCCATATGCAGATGATTGTCGCTCAAGTTACGTTCCTTGACCAAAGAACAAAAGTAAAGACAAAGAATAATTGAAAGTGACCCTTTTTTCTATGGTGACGGCTTGGATTTTTGAGCATGTGAATTATTGCCGTTTAAAAGACCGTCATGTCATTTTCTGCTCCAAATGATGTATGCACTAAGTGACTTCTATTTTCAGACAAAGATTTCCGGGGCAATCGGCAATTGCAAGTGAACCCCTAACATATACATATATATATCGTAGTTTCAAACTCATTAGCTCACTTCGATTTCCAACAGTAAAATTTTTATTACAACTTTGGTTTCTCACTTTGAAGGGATAGAATCTTCATTGTTATCACAAGTAACATTTTTCATTTTTTGTTTCAAGAATAGGAACCAATTGCATTTGTTCCTTAGCTAACCCGAGACAATATGCAGTAAAACTACACTTGGAAAGTAGATAAATTTGTGCCCTTCGAATCTTTTTTATATTTAAAATTATCAAGATTCGAATATTATTATTAAAATTAAAAATTCAATACTATATGAAACATGCAGCATGATCTAACCGAGAAAGTATTCAGTTGTCTTTCAGCCAAATAAAACAGAGCCTAGCTTAGGATAGTTTTCGGAAGCTGTTGAGTACCAACATAAAATCATAAATGAACAAAACTCCAAACCCTTGGATGAATTCCCATAGCAGCTCCATCAACAAACCAAGGGGATGGCCCTAACATAAGCAACTATAAAACTCGTAACACCGGAAGACACATGTCAGAAAAAGGTTGAACTCGTTCTTCTAAGCTGATATTTAGGTTCAGATGTGTCACACTGAAGCTCTTTCTCAAATTCCTGTAAGAATGTTCGAAATAAATAAGGGCTCCTATTTATTCGGGTTGTCTGGGAATTGAGGCTCTCTAGTTCGGGGGCTTCTTTGGATTTCTTTAGGCCTTTTCTGCTGATTTGTGATGGATGGGCCGGATCCAATGGGTCATATGACGTCTACCTTATAAATTACAATAGCCATTTTTTATTATATGTTCTATTGTTTTCCTTCGATTTAAACATTATAATTACAACATGGATTGAAAAGTTTCTTACATCTATAAATCAATCTCCCCAACTTAGGCATACCAAACTTAACGTTTTTCTCATTTCTATTTATCCATTTTCACATGCATGCCTAATATACATTTTTTGAACTTAAAATTTAATCAAATTAATTCATATAAATACCCTTAAAAAGTAACATATAGTAGATCTCGAGTTTAAATTTCAATATTTTCAATGTTTTCATCTATCTTCATAATATCATTTTATTTGTTTAAAAAATATGTATTTTTTGAATATATGAAAAAAGGAACAAGTTCCAAAAAATAATTTAAACCTTAAATTTTATTCCTAAAACAATTGTTAGATTAAATAGTAATTATTTCAAATGCCAAATAATTGAAGCTATCATAGATAGGTAAAAAAAAGAATTTATGTACAAATTCTATCCTTCATTACCAATCATTCTTCATTCATCCAAAACTCCAAAATCATTTTGCAAAATAATAATAATAATAATAATAAACAATTCTCTTAACATTATTTTACAAAATTTCAATTAATTATTAATATTAAAAAGTTCAAAAGAGAAATATACATCAATTTTAAATATATAAAAATATTTTTAAAATTAAAAGTGACTCGTTTAAAAAAAATCAACATTGATAATTCAATTTCTTAACAAAAATTGATAATTCAAAAGAAAAAACATAGGAAAAATTTTTTTTTCTAATAAAGCAGGCTGGTAAAAAATAGAGCCTAGCCCAAGTTTGGTTGGGCCCTACAAAACCATGGGCCGAAGATCCAACCCGATAAAATGAAAGCCTAGCCAGATCAAGGAATTATTGGTGAGTACCGTGCTTTACCTGGAAACCCTAGCTTCCCAATTCTTTCCCCAATCAGAAACCCCCAAGAAACCCGAATTATTATTTTTGTTACTTTCAAATCTTTTTTTTACTCCATGGCGAGAAAGCGAAAGCAACGATTCTCCGAGCCCGAACCAACCAAAACAAAGCCAGATCATCAACCAATCCAAGAAGAAGAGCAACAGAAACGACCCGAGTACATAACCGAAGAAGATCCGAATCCGAAAGCAGAAGAAGAGGAGCAACTACAAGAAGTGGAAGAGGAAGTAGAAGAAGAAGTAGAAGAGGAAGTTGAAGAGGAAGAAGAGGAGGACGAGGAAGACGATGAAGAAGAAGTTGAAAACCAAACCCTAGTTGGTTCCTCCAACGCCGCCGTTCAAAATGGAGAACAAGAAAAGGAATTGGACGACGAGCCAGTCGAGAAACTTCTAGAACCATTTGGGAAAGATCAGTTGATTATCCTTATTAAGAAAGTGGTCGACAAGCACCCGGAATTTATCTCGTCGGTTCGGGAGTTCGCGGATGCGGACCCTGCCCATCGGAAGATCTTCGTTCATGGGCTCAGTTGGGATGCCACTGCTGAAACTATCACTGCTGAGTTTTCTAAATATGGGGAAATAGAAGAATGCAAAGCAGTTACCGATAGGGTTTCTGGTAAATCCAAAGGTTATGCTTTTATTCTATTTAAGCATCGGAGTGGGGCACGGCGGGCTCTGAAACAGCCCCAGAAGAAGATTGGGAATAGAACTACTTCTTGCCAGTTGGCTTCGCAAGGACCGGTTCCGGCACCGCCTCCAACTGCTCCGCCTGTTTCTGAGTATACCCAGAGGAAGATTTTTGTTAGTAATGTGTCAGCTGAATTAGAACCGGAGAAGTTGCTTGAGTTTTTTGAACAGTACGGGGAAATTGAGGAAGGTCCGTTGGGGCTTGATAAGCTGACTGGGAAGCCCAAAGGGTTCGCCCTTTTTCTATACGGGTCGACTGAGAGTGCAAAAAGGGCCCTAGAGGAGCCTCATAAGAATTTTGAAGGTCATATTTTGCATTGCCAAAAGGCCATTGATGGGCCGAAACCGAGCAAAAGTGGTTATGGAGGAGGTGCTTCTGCTGGGCATCATCAACTGTACCAGCAGCATCCGCAAGGACAACATCAGATTCAGTCTCATTACCATCATGCTAAGAAGGGAAAGTATTCGTCTGGTGGATCAGAGACTGGTCATTTGATGGCTCCATCTGGGCCTGCCGCAGTGGTGTTCAACCCTGGAGTTGCTGCTGCTGGGTTTAACCCTGGGGTGGCCGCTGCTGCACCGGCTTTAAACCCAGCTCTTGGACAGGCTTTGACTGCATTACTGGCTAGTCAGGGAGCTGGTTTGGGGCTTGGTAATCTGCTTGGAGGGCTTGGTGGTGCCCCTGTGAACCAGGGAGCACCTGCTGCAGGGTATGGGAATCAAGTTTCAGGAGGCTATGGAAGCCAGATTGGAGTGCAGAGTGGGTATCAGAACCCACAGATGGGGCAGGGCAGCGCCAGTAGGAATCAACCTGGTGGCGGTGCACCTTACATGGGGCACTAGGTAAGCCCTAAGGTAAATAGATATAATATATTGTGTTTATTGTTACATTTACTTGATCTTTATGCATAATAGACCTACCAGATGAGAAGTCAAATCTAATTGAGTGAAATGTTGTGCTTCATGCTGCCAAACATGATCTCCCACTGGGTGAGACGGGTAGTGTTTAGGATCAGATTTGTTATTGCAAAGCTGAAAAGAATTGCATAAGATTGAGTAGTTCGGGTTTCTTTTCATTTCTGAAGTGCATGGGCAGTTGTTGTCTAAGTGTCGATGACTTGTAATTTAGCCATAAGCCCTGATGCTTTTTCTCTTTTTTGGTTGATATTTACATGCAGCATACTCTAAAGACAACAGTTCTTGGTATGTTTTAACATTTAAGTTAATTGTTTAATACTACTAGTTTTACAAACTAAGTTTTGTTGTTTGAGGAAGATTGATCTTGTTAAGATGGTTAATGTTTCTGAGTCTTATCTATTTTTTGCTGATATGAAGGCTTACTATCAAAATATAATTATCAATATTTCTTTAAAATTTATTCATATATTTAGTTGCCCCCTTTCTAACATTATTATGAAACGTTATTCTTTCTTTTATCTCACATTGTGTTGTTTTTTGAATTACATTTTGTATTCTTTCATTTGCTGTACTTTTCTTTTTGAACTACCTTTTGTATTATTAAACTTTTCTTTTTATGCTTTATTATCCATTTGCAGATTCTCTCATAGATGCATCATTCATTTTGTTTTCAACTCTGGTGATTCTGAAGTTCCAGCACTCATGCAAATGTGGTCTTTAAATTTGTAACCAAAAGTTGTTACTGTTTGCCTACTACAAAGATCAGAAATCTGAAACCTGTATTTTCATTTCTATTTTAATACTCTTTCCCCTTCACATGTTTTCAAAATGTAGTGTTTCAGCTTGAAGATTTGTTTCTTGAAAAGTGTTGGGAAACAGGTAGAATGTCCAGGCAGAGGACATGATATGCCTTTCAGGTTTTCATGTGTGTTACTCAAACAATGCCTTTTTTGTACTTTTTCTTAAATTGACTGATGCACTTGTTTTATGATGACTATTTCTTATGTGAATCAAAATGTTCTTAATTTAGTTTTATGTGAGACAAAACATTTTTTGGGTATTGTTACATTTTCTTGATTTCTTGTGGTTTTGTAAACTATTTTTACCTTATTATAAATTGCCTGGAATCTTTTTCTGCTTGTACAGTGCCGCCCTTGGTTTGACTTCATATATAAATTGCTGTGTCCATGGATTTGATGATAGGTTCTGTAGCATTACAGATTATGAAGTCATTAACACCAATATTGGATGAGATGAGATTTTAAACTGCAGGTACAATGGCTTTGTAGTCCTGACCGCTGCTTTAATGCTTAGTGTATTCTTAACAGTAGGTATTTGCACCTCCAGCTCCAACCAACATCCAACCCCCTTCTGCGATTCCCTCCCCCATGTATTTGTCTCATTGGTTGAGAACCTTTGCCATAGAAATGGAAAAAAAAAAAGGAAGTTGCCGGTGTTCTTTCTGGCAATGACTTGTGAAATAGCTTCTTTGTTGTTGATGAGAAATTTTTGTTCATGTAAAATTAGAAAACAAGTTCTGAACTATGATTTGTGACCTTTAGAGGAATCAGCTAACTTAATGTTCTGAGATGCCCACCGATTGTGTTGTTTTCGACATGGAAGTTCTTAGATATGGTTATGCATGACCTGTTATTTATTGCAAAAATTTGTGAAGTAACTCGTCAAAGCCTTCTTGACAATATGTGCCCAACATGTCTGAAAATTGTACCTTCGTCTTCTTTGAGGGACTTGGATTCATGGGGAAAGAATTTGTTTCTAGGTGAGTTGATGGAACAGGCAAAGCATCTTTTCGTCAAAGGTACGAAGCTTCAAGCTGGTCTTGGTTGCACCTGTCTGAACCTCTCCTAATGCCTGCCTGCCTGCCTGCCTTGATCTTAAAATTGTAGCGTGATTGATGCCAATTGGTTCTTAAAAAGAAACAATTTGAAAAGGTTCAAGTGTCCGAAACGAATTTTTAGATCTGTGAATTTCGCAATATCAATTTTGCAAAAAAAGAACAAATTTTTCATGGCAATTAGGTTAGGTACGATGAAAAAAGCCGCATTGTGAAGTGGATTATTCATCTGTTTGAAATGAAATAAAAAAAGTATGAAACATGTTTGAATCACATGGAAGTCAAGGTTGTAATTGACGGAGAGTATTAATATTAAAACTAGGAGTACAATGTCATGTACTTTTTAAAATTAAAACTTACATAATAAACTTTTTATACAAAAAAAAAATTTAACAGTCCTTAATCCTTATTAATTTCTTGTTTAGTTGAAAATAAAACATAAATGTCTTATTTTGCATAAAATTGAATATTTTATTTATTTATGGAGTATAAACTTAATTTTTTGTCAATAATTTTTTTATTAATCTATTTATAAATTAATATTTAATTGAAATTTATAATATATAATATTTTGGGTTTGTTTTTTAAATCTTTTTTAAAAATTTGGGCCATTTATGAGTATGGACAGGCTTATTATAAGAAGGTGGATCCGGCCCGATTAAGAAACTTCTAATCTAGGGTTTTTGACGTGACAGATCCAACTCACGAACCCATCCTCGAAAACCACTCTTTCCAAACCACGTCTTTCCTACTTCCACTCCTACCCCTCTTAGTTTCTCGTGTTCATTGCGCATTTATTTATATTTACTACCTGGAAATAGTAAAAAATTGCCCTTACAATAGTTCTTTCTGTCTCCCTTGATGTAAAAGAAGCAAAACTAACGCAGGCAAATACGCCTTTTCGCTGGCTTTAGCCCACTTTTGCAAACTTCATTGGCCTCTGTCTGCAACTGCCAATCTTTCTCAAAGTTCCCAACGCTCTGTCAACCAACTTCACTTCACTTCACTCTTAAAACCCACTAAGACCCTGATATTGAAACCCCAAATTCATTTACTGAATAAAAGAGCCCTTTTCATTTTGTTATCACGAATTGAATTTTGAGGTGATTTTTTAACTGGGTTTTGGTTCTTTATTCTGGGTTGTTTTTGATTTGTTGAATTTTTTGGTTGCTGGTGGGTGGTGGTGGGGATTATGGTGATGGCTGAGAATGAGGCAGGGGATGATCACAAGGAGGTCATGTCACCATGGAAGACTTCGGTGAATGATGGTGAGAAAGCGGCTGACGCTCCTGTTATGGGGACCCAATCTTGGCCTGATCTTGGTGGAACCCAACAAACACCCGACAATCCTCAGGCTGCTGCTGATGGGTCTGCTCCAGCTCCATCAGTAGAGCAGGTTAGTACTCATTGCCATTTTTGGTATTGGGTTTTTCTTTAATTTTTGATCAATCACTTTTATAAGTGTAAAATTTGGATAAAATTGAAAATGTTTGGGTGTAATTTGAGTTGATTTTGGTAAACTATGTGGTACAAAGTCTAATTATAAGTTGTAATGTGGTTTTGCTAAAAATCATTTCAAATGGACAACTTGAAAGACCAGTTTTTAGCCTTTTTTTATATATAAACTTGATTTGAATATTACTTGTTCATCTCACAAGCAATGGTTTTATTTCTCTCAACAATATGCTGAGAACCCATGGTCTGTTACATTTCTGGTTTCGTAATGTTCTTTGATCATTTTATGCCAATTAAAAATCTGAGAGACTAAGCTATGACCAATGACATCACTTTCATGACCCTCCCCCTTTTTTCCTCCCCCTCTCGGACATGTTAAAAAGATGCAAGTTGAGTTGTTTCCAAATAACTGGAAGAATTGAAATATAATCTCAGATGAAAATTTTTTAATGAACCATTATGGAAAATAATTTCTCTATGAAGAAATCCCACATCATTTAACCATCTCTGACTCTTAGGGAGTCTGGTTGTCTATGTTTCCTTCTTGGTGCATTTGCCGTGTATGATTCTATTCTGGGTCGTCATATTAAGATGGGGCATGATTTATTTGGCTGTTGGTATACGTTTCTTTTTTTTTTTTTCTCCAGCAATTAAGAAAGAAAAAATGAATAAATGGTTATCTCAGTGTAGCTTTTGGTTCTTCCAGGGAGCAGCTGGGCAGCAGAATTCAAATGTTTCTGGAAACTCCAATGCTTCTCATAAGCATTCATCAGCACGTTATCAGAAGTCAGGCTCTAAGCGCAACCCTAATAATGGGCCTCGTTTTCCTGTACCCTTATCTTATTATCAACCACCAATGCCACCTGTTTTTCATGCTATGGTACCTCCACCGCACTTTGCAGTTCCTTGGTATGCTTACCAGTCTGTCCCTGGACCTTTTCCTGGTATTGAAACTCAGTTGGTAAAATCTGGATCTGAGACAACAATGCAAGCCTTTGGTCCCCCAGTTCAAGGTATTGATGCCTGCAGAAATATGCAGCCTCCTTCCCGAGGAAATCCCAATGCATATCCTACCAACTTCTCTAATAGAAGACCCCACATGCAAGAACCCGGGAGCCATTTGAATCCTGGCTGGAATCATCAACAGGCATTTAATTCTAGGGAACCCATTCCAATGCAGCAGGGTATCGGGCCAAGACCTTTTGCTAGACCTCCGTTCTTTGGTCCAGCTCCAGGGTTTATGGTTGGTCCAAGTTTCCCCGGTAATAACACAATCCCTATGAAAAAGTGCCTTCATTTAAAACACAACATGTTTTATTACTTGTTAAGCTTCCTTGACAATTAACAATCCTTTTCTAAGGCCTGCTTTTGAGCCACTTAGGTGATTCTTCCTTTTGCTGTTGTTTGAGCGCTTGATTTATATTTTGCATTTCCTAAAATGAATTCTCTTTAAAATGATTGATTTCTACTTTCTAGGAGCTGTATGCTATGTGCCTATTGCTTCCCCAGGCTCTGTAAGGGGACCTCATCCTCCACGCTTTGTTCCATACCATATAAATCCTGGGACCGCCATGTTCTCTCCAGAGACAGTAACTTTGAGGGCCAATATAGTGAAACAAATTGAGTATTATTTCAGGTAAGGAAAGGACTCTCTTTGTCTCCTTTTATTTATTTATTAATTTTTTTGTCTGTATGGTTTGTTTTTGTTTTCTTTGTAATAGCTTGGTGCCATTATCTAGAATTGTTGCTAAATTATATCCCTTCCCAGACTATAGATGCCAATACCAGTGTCATTTTTGGGTATTTGGATTTGTCACTTTGCTGGTGAAAATAGTTGATGCATTCCTTATGTATTTATGTTTCTTAGTGCTTGTGTACACGTTATTTGTGGAGCCATTGAAGAACTAGAGTTCTTACCAAAAACTGATGGCGTGGTTTATATGCTTCAGACTTTGTCAACCTACAACCTCATATCAAATGCCATAAATTTATTTGTTTTTTCAATGATATAATGTGTGTGTGTGTGTGTGTATGTTTGTATTACTTGTTGACCCCTTTTTTTTTTGCAGCGATGAAAATCTTCAAAACGACCATTACCTGATTTCCTTGATGGATGATCAAGGATTGGTTCCAATCTCCGCAATTGCGGACTTTAAAAGGGTATGTTTAACACACTACCTCTTAATGCTTATATTAGTATAGCACCGATTATTTGCTGCTGCTGTATTTTGTGCTTGTAGGAGTTTGCTGTTGTATTCATGTTTGCTGCAACATTAACCAATTCAATTAAATCTTTTGTAACGTCTTCCTTGTTCCATAGCTTGAAAACTATTTGCTTTTAAAGCTTTTGCATGGTTTTAACATTCTGAGTCACAGGTTAAGAGAATGAGTACAGACATACAATTTATCCTCAATGCGCTGCTGAGTTCTAGTACTATCGAAGTGCAGGTTAGACTTTTCTCTCTTTTGGGTGTTACTGTTTTTGAAATGTGATTCTTAATGTATGCAAGCTGATTGAGCCTGATGTTTAATTTTGAGAATAGAATCAATCTATTTTTATCTTTTCCACATGACTGGCTTTAATTTACCCATTTTACCAAAATCATAATAGTTTTGACCAAAGAGTTTCATTTCAACAATTCTCTTCTTTCAAAAAACTGAAAGATAATTTATGGTGCAAGTAAAATAATAACTTTTTTCTTAATCCAGGTATTTTATATAATCTATATTTTTCATAAATTATCATAAATTGCTTTTGTCAATTAACAAATGTTAATGTAGTTGCTAGGGAGCTATAATTATGAACTATTGGTGTGTATAAAATAAATTTGTTATTTGACATGTGTTCTGTCATGTGTATAAAATAAATTTGAGAGGGCAGCTTTCTTTGGTTTGGGGGTAGACTCATGTTGACAATCTGTAATTGTTGTGGGGTATGTTGGCAAGGGATAGTGCCTCCTGATGCGGTTCTTTGCTTTGATGCCCTTGTCTTTATTTGGTAATTGATATTGCAGGGTGACAAGATACGGAGGTGTGATACGTGGTCCAAGTGGATTCCAGCTGGTTCAAAGACAACATTGTCATCAGAAGCTCAGGCTACTGAGAATCAAATTGTAGAGAATGTTATCAATTCCTGTGAGAACAGTGAAGTGAATGAAGTTAATGCAAGGGACAACTCTGAAGAAAATGATAATTTTCCGTTGGATAGTGGGAGCTTGGAGCATGTATCACCTGAGGGCAATCCTGCAGAAGTAACACGTAAAAGTAACAGCAAACATGCATCTGTGCCAGTTCTATTAAACGGTAAGAAACATGCATTTACTGGTAGAAATGGTGACTGAAGACAAAATTAATTGCTGATTCCCACATTAAATTCTCAGATGCAGATCAGTCACATGGAGTTGAGCCTACAAGTTTTACTGACCACAGAACTCAAAGTGTAGAAATATTGTCAGATGTAACAATAAAAAATGTTGCTGACCTGTCAAATGATTTCACACACACATTTATGCTTGATGAAGAGCTAGAGCTTGAGCAAAAATCAATAAAAACTCTTTCAACACTTAACAGGTACTAGATTGTGTTTGTATTTAATTGGCTCAACATCTCATTTATTGTTGAGCTAGGGAAATTTCTAATTTCTGTATAAAGGCATATTTAAACTCTTCTAGATGTTAATAATGTTCCCTTGAATATCTGAATGGCATTTTTGTTCAGAATGGATGATGAAGATGATGATATGGTTGTCAATGATCAGGATGTTCAGAGACTTGTGATTGTTACCCAGGTAATCTGGTACCACTTTGTATGAATTCTTTTTTGGTCTTGTTATTGTTATATTCAATGTTTAAAGAATGGAACATTGTAAGACCCTCATTGAATCTTCTAAGTTTATGTGTTTACTTAGCAATTTATGATAGTTGGTTTGATATCATGACATTTCAATGGTATCATATTGATTCTTTGATTCAAGAGAAAATGATAAGAATGTCAGATTTTACATTGAAATCAATGAAATACAATTCAAAAAGAATATTTATAGTAACAATGACCCCATCTAAATCGGTTATTTCACAGGCATTGCTTTTATGAACATGTACATGAATAATGTAATGCTTCCATTTTATGAAGTTGGAGCATTGTAAACTTGATTCAAGAGGGGCAGTGTTCTTTCTCAAATGCAAATTGAGAGATAACCATTTTTTTCACGTCATCAATAATTTAGGATGTAGGGACTTTAAGAGGGGACATTCTACTCCACTCCTCTTCTCTTGCATCTCCTTTCTCCCAATTTCTTCCAATTTTCTTAATACTTAATTGAGACTGCTATGTTCTTTCTTTTATTTTTTTGGTATGCCCGTGAGCATGCATTTTGTTTGGATCATATTTTGCTCATATTGGACAGTCAAATGTTTTGTTATCCTTTTGATGACATGTGCTCCTTTCTTCTGATGTGCAGAATAGTGGGATAGGCGAAGGATCAAAAGCTGGTGTGAAAGATTCAAAGTCCATATCAAGTGAGCATGCTGCTGTGATAAGTGATGGTCTTTACTTCTTTGAACAAGTTGAGACACTAGCTTTTCGTATTTATTTTCTTTACTGTTATGGCACATATTTATAAATTTCTCCCTTTTGTGTTTATTTTTCTTTAATCAAATTCTTTGAACATGATCATTACAAGCAGCAGCTGGAAACTAAACGATTTAGTCGTAGAAAGAATAACTCTTTTTATGAGAATAGAGATGGAAATCCAAGGTCTCCAAGGGGTGGAGGAGTATCAAATATGAAGACAGGTGAAAATGCTGCTGGGAATAGTAGTCTTGAAGAGTCTGGAGGAACAAGTTCCCGAAGGAAGCAAAATAAAGGTTTATCCAAGCAACAGTCATTCCATAAGCAGAGATTTTTCTCCGGCAACTTAAAGAATCATGGAACTAGTCGTAATTCAATTGCAATAATATCAGAAAGTCCACCAAGTAATTCGGTTGGGTATTTCTTTGGTTCTACTCCTCCAGATAGTCATGGGTTAGCTCCAAGTGACCATTTCTTCATTTTAAATATCATGACTAACTGCACTTCTTTTGGCTTGCTCTTTCTTGCTTTTGAGTGCAAGGATATGGGTTACTACGGGTTTCAAATATTAATGAAACCTAACTTATTTGAGTAGACTTTTAGGTCTTCCTGAGCTAATGGATGTCTAATTTTCAATTTTTTACAGCCCCAGGCCGCCTTCAAAGTTGAGCTGTTCACCTCGTGGAACTCTTTCTAGCAGTCCACCAGTAGGTTCCTTGCCAAAGTCATTTCCACCTTTCCAGCATCCAAGTCATCAGCTGTTAGAAGAAAATGGTTTTAAGCAACAGAAGTAAGGGATGGTGGATTTTTTCTCTAATATATGTATGTATTTGTGTATACTTTTGCACAGTTCCACATATAATATCATGACTATGTGAGATTTTTGTTGTACCAAAGAGAGAAAGAGCTCTTGCAAAGAAAAGTTGGCTAATTCAGTTGTTGTTACATTCAGGTACCTAAAGTTTCACAAGCGCTGCCTGCATGACAGGAAGAAGTTGGGAATTGGTTGCAGTGAGGTGGACTTTATATCTGAACTTTCTAAGCTCTTAATTAACTGTTTTACATGAAATGAAAGAACAACTATTGCACAATTTCTATTGTTTAAATAATTAACATTTCTAAGTAACTTCTACTCAAAATATTTACTCTTATACTTCTTGTTGAAATTTCTCTTTGTTTCATATTGGTAATCAGTTGTCTGAGTCACAAAAACTGGGTTGTCTGGTATGTTTTCATTTTTTTACCTCCTTATTATGACCATTTGTAATGGAAGAAAATTGAATACAGCGTGCCTGAATGGAGGATGAAGCCCTGAATTTGGTACTGTCATTTTGTTTTGTCCTCTTAGATCACTGTTTGTAGTTTAAAAAACTGAATGGTCTTCCTTTTCCTTCATATATGTTTATGCATATTTCTTCATTTTTATTGCATTTATAGACCCATCCAGTCTACGGCACCTGAGCTTTTGCATTTTTTCAATATCTTAAGTTTCCTTCTCATGCATTTCTCTAGATGTACAGAAATGAAACTTTTTTTTTATGGTGTCGCTTGGTTTTGCATGCAGGAAATGAATTCACTGTACAGGTTTTGGTCATATTTCCTTAGGGACATGTTTGTCCCTTCTATGTATAATGAGTTCCGAAAACTCGCTCTTGAAGATGCATCTGCTAATTACAATTATGGGATAGAGTGCCTTTTCAGGTTTTATAGGTAACATTGATTATTATGCATGCTTTTATGTCTCTTTGAATGACCTCTGAAGTTTTGACTCTGCTTTTGTTTCAACCCTTACAAGTTTGTTTCATTTATAGCAAACTATTTTCTCCTTAGTAGACAGAAGGTTTTGCATCTTATTTCTTATCTATGTATATATTAATTAAGTTCTTCCTTTTTCAGTTATGGCTTAGAGAAGAAATATCGAGATGATCTTTATAAGGATTTTGAGCAACTTACCCTTGATTTCTATCATAGACGCAATCTTTATGGCCTTGAAAAATACTGGTAATTTCCTTTTTCCTCTATTATCATGGAACATTTAATTGGCTGCTTTCAGAATGGGCACTGCATGCTTATGTTTATCATTATTAATTTTTTAGTTTATTATTTTCTGTGTAGAATTAACTTTTATTGAAGGAAAACAACATTGATATAAACTAAGTGATGACTGATATGCAGATAGATATATGGAAATAAAGACTCTTGAATCTTGAGACGAAAGAAAATTAGGATTAATTATATTTAATAGATTTGGTTTCAGGGATTATACTTGAAATCCTTTAATATAGTTCTCCAAAAACTTATGAAGTCATATATCCAAAGAGAAAAGGAAAACAACAGATAGTGGAAATTGCTGCTGATAGTTTGCACCTAGCACAATTAAGAAGGAAACTATACACCTGTAAGCAACAAATATAGAGTTGTTCTGAATCTATTTTGCATTATTTGTTATTAAAAGCTTAAGAAAGTGGATTCCTTAAAATTTTCTGAAAGGAAAAAACTATCATGCCAAGATGCATGTTTAAGATTTAAGGCTCTTTTGGTCAAAATATTTTCCCCTCATCCGGGAACAGAGACAAACATCACCCATCTGAAATCTAGGATATTGGTTTATGGTGACTAAATGATCTTCATGGTAGATCTTTTCTTGTCTCATATTTAGACATTTTCTTCAATCCAAGACCACCAAAAAGAGAAGATTGTTGTTAGAATTCTCTATATGAAACACAAGGATTAATCTAAAAATCTAAGGCTGCTGTACGAACTAGTCTTTCCACTTCATCTTCCTCTAAATTTAGAATTCTCGTGTCTGGCAGGGCATTCCATCACTTCAGAGACCAGAAAGAGCCCTTAAAGAAACATCCAGAATTGGATAGGTTACTAAGGGAAGAATACCAGCACTTGGAGGATTTCCGAGCCAAAGAGAGGAATACTAGCACAAGAGAGGACAGCCATTAACTACAAGTGATGTCCTTCATTCCTAGTGGCTTTGAATCCCAATTTTGAAGATCAACCCTGATGACTGGACCAGAGAGTAGGAGTTCATGGTCTATATATCATTTGGCTTGAATACCAAGGAAAGATGGTTTTGTACATTGTACATTGAGGGGTTCTACACCTCTGTGCGGCTGCTGACTACCTAGGCTTTGCATTTTTGTTTCCTAATTTTCTTAGGCTTTCTGACTCGAGGGTATATCCTTTTTTCTTGAGTTGCCTGCAAGCTTGTAGAGGTGGGTGGCGCCTGTGCTTTTCTTTGATCATTTTCATTTCACTTCCCCACGGCATTGTTGTACATAAGGGAAACTGAAAAACATTAAAAAAAAAAAAAAAAAAAGTTGTAGAAACTGTGAAAAATGAACAATAAGAGATTAATTTTTAATCTTACACTTAATGCTTTATCTCATGTTTGACCTTTTACAAGCAATATCTATCTGCTTTTGGTCTGTTTGCTGATGCTTATACTTCTTGATGAATGGAATTTTAATTATAAATGGCTATTAGCTGTATTTAGACAGCTTGAGTTGAGTCCATGGCCTACTTCTGGAATTGTTTACATTGGCTGCTCGGTATGTTCAACGTAGCTTTTCTGAGATGAAACGAAGATTATGGGAGGTCCATCCCTCCTTAATAGATTTCTTGGTCTCTCTTTTCTTTCTTTCTAGACAAATATTACCTATGACAGATACAATCTCAGCATATGTTTTCATGTTAATATATGTTGACGTGACAATTTAAATGGACGTAGGATACGTCGTGACAGCATAAAACACAATTTAAATGAAAATGACGTGATAGCATGGAATAACCTGTGTTAACGTGAAGTAATCCTTCATTTAATCTTTTTTTTCTTTTTTCTAACATGGTAATCTAACAGAGATTCTTTTACCAAACTATGGGTTTCTAGAAGATGTCTATCAGAATCAACCAGCAGATTTGGCTAACTCCTTATATTTTTGCACCTGTCATGCAATCTACAAATTAATTTTATCTCTAATAAATAAATAAATTTCATCAGGTCATTCAAGTCAACAAGTTCTTAATAACTCCGAAATCGTATCCTAATCTGATACACTATTGTCCCACAACATCCATTGATCATGTCCATTAGCACATGAAAATTTACAAAAAGTAGGAAGGGAAAAATGCTAACCAGTAATAAGAAAATGTGTTTTTACAGTACTTTTACTTGAAGAAGAATTTAGTGAGAATACGTTTAGCAAATTTTGATTTGACAAGAACCTCTATGGTGTTCTGGAAGTGAACAAAACCAGCTAATAGAAATGTAATGAGAAAATTTTCATGACAAATATAACATGAGGTGGGCGAGATGTGCTTGAACTGAAAGAAGAAAGGCGATGTTACTTCATCACGGGCAGAGGCTTCTGCTTACATGGAATGAAAGTTGCTGGCAATGTTGAAGATATCTCACCATCTCCGGCACCCTCTCCAGGGAAAAGTAGTCCTCCATCAAATTCTTGGAGCCAAAGTTTTCAGCCTCTGCTGGCCACCGTGGTGTTCTTGATTTTCTTTCCAAAAACTATTATTAGTCAGATGAAATGGAATTACATTTAGAGGAATATATACATATACATATACATATACATATATATATATAAGCAGTTGTTTACATTTATTTTGATGGTTTAACTACAATAACACCTGAAACTTAAAGGTCTTCCATTAGGGATATCAATCTGAAATGCAGGTGCTGGAGTGGTAGTAGTTCATTAGCCTTATTATCAAGGAATAGCCTCTAATTTTCATACTGAAACGGACTTCAAACTGTTGTGGGAGAAAGAGTGGAATAACATCCCATCCATGTTCTTCTATATCAGCTAAATTCTTCACATGTTTTCTAACATTCTTTAAATCTTTGATTAGTATCCACAGCAGATGTTCTAGAATCAGAATAAACACTAATCACACATAATTCACCGTAAGTATCTGTTTGAAAACAATAGTAAGGGTGATTATTGACCATGGAAATTTTGTGAATATAAGAGGCACCAAGTTTCTTCCTACAAACTCTTAAAGAGTTCTATGATTATAGATATGAATGTGAATTGCATGTGTTGGTAGCTCATTAGCCTTGTTAGCAAGAAATAGCCATTAAGAGAGACAAAGTTTTGGTTGGAGAAAGAATGGCGAAAATCAAAGGTTTGAAGATAATACTTGCCTGTCTGGTGCTGCTGATGATAACAGTTCTGAACACACAGAGCAGTCAGCCAATTCTACACAGAGTTGGAGGAATTTGTACTTGGAAACCAAATGTAACTTCACTGATTAGCTCTGTAAATTCTCTTTGTTGCTCAACATTTATCTTCCTGGAAAGTCTTTTATTGTTCTCTACTTCTGCAGCTTAGCATTCTTGGTCTAAAGTTGAGTTACATCGACAGTTCTGAATTTCATTTTGTTGAGTTCAGATTTCGGATTCAACAAGCAGCTATACACTGTTCTACTAGTTAACAAGACAAGCTAAACTTGCATTGGCGAAAACTTCATCAAGAACATCACTTCATATAAGCGGCCGAGGCTACTGCTTCGAAGGGATGAGAGTAGCCATCATTGTCCAAGATTTTTCCCACCTTTTCTGCTGAAAAATGATTCCTTGCCTACTACCATCAAAGCTCTGCATCACCATAACCATTCTGATTATTCAAGTTTTTTTCCTACCAAAACCGACAAACTCCTCCCTCAACATATACACTCAAAAGCAAGAAAATCTCGAAGTTTTTTTTTTTTTTTTTGGCTATTATCTAACTCTTCAGCTGAATTTTGAAGGAACTGCTTCATATTGGGTAAGTGAATTAAGACACCACGGTAATCCACCTCGTACAAACTGCTGAAGTTGCTGCTACCCGAACCTATGCACTGGTTTTCGCCAGAGTGAACAAGAGAGTAAAGGTAACCATTTCAATCACATGAAATCCAAACCAAACAGACAAAAGCCACTGGACGTTAGCTAGTCTCAAACCATTGATATGTTTAGATATATTAGGGGCCCTAGCACCCTATAAGTTATAATCAAAATGGATGATGATTCAGAGAACAGCACATCATCAGAAAAGGCTGGGATAGGCCTACATCTAAACTTTAAAATTAAAATATACTTTAAAGAGTTTCAGTTGGTAAAAATCCAAAAGCCTAGACAAAACATGGCTTAAAGGTCTCAGCAGAAGAACATGGAATTGCAGACATTCTCCCTCAATCTGGGGAGCTGAGGGACAGGAACAGCTCCATGAGCAGTTACCCCACCATGACTTGAGGATGTCTCCGAAGCCTCTTCAAACTTCATAAACGTTCCCATCTGTGAAGCTGCCAAATGTGCATAGCAGATAGGAGCAACTGCAACAAAAAGGATATTGTGATATTTTGCAATCCAAAGCACGATTTGAAACAAACACCTTTAAGAAATGGAATTGCGAAATCATGCAAATAACTGACAAACTATTATATGGAGCAGCATACAAGTCAAAGGACAAGTCTTCTAACCAAATTAACATGGCATTTGAGAAAAAGCATATCACAAACACGAGGGCTGCAGCTCAACCAGAATACTTACCTACTGATATAGCAGTGGTGCTCTTTTGATACCTGCAATAGACCGAGATTATAAGGAATGCAACAGTGGTTACAACTTAATCCATTTGTGAAGCAATTACAACACATGATTCTATACTTACACATATGACAGAGAATGGACAAGTTCCTGCAGATCATCAGCTGAAACCCCTATCTGATCTAACAGAACATGATAATGAGTAGGCCTTGTGGTTCCCTGAATAGCAAACACAAATTATATAAAGAAATGAACATTACAATAAGCAAATGGAGGGCTACAAACGTTTAGAACACATCAAAAGTCAATAATAGCAATTCTTTTTGTCATGAATTATTATCAAAGATATTTAGCACAAACATTTTAATAAAATCAGCCGATCAAATAAATAAGGAAAAAGACTTTGATCCGCAATTGAGCATGACCAGCATATCAACAAGAAGCCACAGGTCAGAAGTCAGCCTTGATTCACATTTAAGAGGAGAAAAAGAACAATAAAGTTCACACAGAAAGACCTAACACTTACAAATATTACTGCTTTTAACTACAAACTAAAAGTTAACATGGTATAAATTAAATATCATTTTAATCCTAAAATTGGGTTCTGTGGACCTTCACTTTTTAACAGCTTTTGGCTCTTGCATACATAGACATACACAGCCATAAGATATAGCAAAAGCATTAAGGAAAACTTGGATAAAGAAGCCAACCATAGGAGTAAATCTAATCTCAATTGCGTTTTCTTTCACGATAAAACATATATGATAGCTTTAAATACAAACATTGAATTCTGGATAGAGAAGGCAAGCACAACAATATAGTTGGCAATATCTTGATCAATTAAGTATTTTCGATGTGTTGGTGTCAAACTTTATCTCCCTTTAATTACTGGCATTTTATTAAATTTCATTGAACTTCCCTATTTACTCTCCCATCCACACCCCAAACACAAAAACTTTGAAAAACTACCATTTCAAACTACTACTTTCCACTTCCCTACCTATCTCTATCTCTATTTAATAGAGTATGAAACAGAGACTATATTTATTCATGTACGTGTGTCCCCCGAAAACAAATTTTCTCTAAATTCAGATGTCAATGTCAGTAGATATTTATAAAACAATAAGCAAAGCAAGTTACTACTAAAAATATGGAATCATTAATGCAAAAGATTCACTACAGATCCAGAAAGAAAATTAACCAAACTACTAGAAATTTAAACCAACATAACACAGTCAAAAATTCCTATGCTGAACAAGTGAGACAAAAGAATTCCAAAACCAATAGTCACTAATAAACACAAACAAAATTCTGGAAATACTTACAATCATTCCAGCATGTGCACAAAGATAAAAGTCATTGTTCTTCGGATGACAGATTTTGTTGTCTATCACAGTTCCTGCATAATAAAAAAAAAGGATCAATTTTGACAACCATAACAGATTTACCAAATGACACAACAAATAATGAGTGAGCCTCACCTGGTGGTACATTGTCAGGAGATCCCTCCTGGAAAAACTTTGTATGATGGTTTTTCTGTGCTACAATGACCGCAAACTTGGGGTTCCAGTTCTCATCAAGAAACTTGCAAGCCTATGAAGTAGAAACATTAACAAGAGGGGCTTTATCCCAAGCACTATCATCTTAAGACAATGTTTTATCGCTATCACTATTGTCTTCTTTATTTTGCACAAATAATTTAAAAAGAAATGTACAACTTTCAGATCCATTATAGAAAGGCACTACGGCATACCTCAATAACTTGATCCAGTTCAACATTCAAAACTTGATTGAACTGTGACTCACTAACCCCATCCCTGAGTTGAATCAAGAACAATGAGCAAAAAAGCAACATTGCATGAGCATCTCAATAAAATGTAACAGAATCATCAGCACAATAACTACAAACTAGCTTACAAGAAATACGTACAAGATACATGATTATTCATAAGAAGATAAAATAAAATTTGCAGTAGAAAGATATCAGAAACGGGACATGTATAAGGCCACAGCAGTCTAACATAGAAGAAAGTTTTGCATAGCAGGTATTATACTCACAGAACCTTAACTATGTGACAAAGATGTGAAAATGTTAGTGGGATTATTACAACATCCTAAATCACATAGCCAGAACAGAAAATAAGGACAATGGCAGATGCTAAAAAATGAGAAAGGTCCGAACCATTTCATATGGCAAGCAGAAAGAAACCTGGTAGGTTGGTTAAAAGTATAAGGCCATCAACTTGTACAATATATAAGCAGCAAGAAGACACCACACAGATAATCAATACCTGAAGATCAATGCAATATTACCCAAATAATGGTTACACATTTTACAAGTAAAAGATGATTTGAGGGAATAAATACACCGTTGCTTAGATGTCAACAAAAATAGAGTTTGCAATGCAAAGAAGAAGCCATGGCAATTAAGAACGAGGAAAAACAAATTTGTAATCTTGTAATCTGTATATTTATATTTATATCTCTAGAATTAAGTATTTGTAACCCTAAAATTAAGGACAAAAAATTAGGATAGACAATCCCTTAATTATAGGATTAGTTTTTTAAGAAGATTTAGTTTCTTAGTTTAACCCCTAGTTAGTTGTATATAAACCTAAGGTTCTTGTATAATTATATATGAGCAGTTTTTCAATATACATTCAGTTTTCACACTGATTTATTTCTTAATTTTTTCACATGGTATCAAAGCTTTAGGCTCTTCTTGGGAAGCAAAATTTTTAGCTTTCATTGCTGACTTCTATTTTAGGCCTTCATTGCCGAACCCTTTCAAAAAAAGATATCACTACCACCCAATTTGAGGAAATATCAACTGAGAAAATCACTGGAGTACTACAGATGTCTCCAAAACAACGAGAGTTCGACAGGGAAGAGATTGAAAAGCTGAGAAACTTATTGCAAATCCTTGAAAAACCTACTATGGTATGTTCCTTGGGTAAGGGCTCTAGTTCAGGTAAAGCTTCCGGTTCTCATAGATTAAATATCTCGGTTAAGCCTATTACGAGTTCTTGGGTCATTGACTCTGGAGCCACAAACTACATGACACATTCCTCATAGAAGTTTAGTACATATACCTTGTGTCCTAGTAATAAGAAAATTGATTGCAGATGGTTCACTTATTACAGTGGCAGGATTAGGAAATATTCAAGTTAATCCCTCGTTTGTTCTCAAAAATGTTCTTCATGTTCCTGGATTGTCTACTAATCTGATATCTATACAAAAACTTACCAGAGATATGAATTGCAAAATGACTTTTTATCCCGCTTATTGTGAATTTCAAGACCAGAGTTCGGGGAAGATGATTGGACTTGCTAAGGAGAAGGATGGACTATACTATCTTGAGACATCAAATAACACAAGTAATATCAAGAATAGTTTACCTTTGTCATTTCTTTCTGAAAAATCTTCCAATAAAGACAAAATCTGGCTTTATCATTTTTGTCTTGGACATCCTTTTTTTGGAACCTTGAGAAACATGTTTCCTTCTTTGTTCAAAGGATTAAATGTCGAAAATTTTCATTGTGATGTTTGCAAACTTGCAAAGCATAAACGTGTCTTTTCCAATTAATAACAAAAGAAGTTCTATTCCCTTTTACTTGATTCATAGTGACATTTGGGGTCCTTCTACAAGTTTGTTTGGTGCAAGATGGTTTGTTTCATTCATAAAGGATTGTACCAAGCTCTCTTGGGTTTTTTTTACTTAAAATCCAAATCAAATGTGAATAGGGTGTTTTTAAGCTTCCAAAACATGATCCAAAATCAATTTGGAGTGAGAATCAAGAGATTTAGGTCTGATAATGCAAGAGACTACTTCAACCAAAGTCTATCCACCTATTCCAAAATGAGGGGATTATCCATGAGTCATCTTGTGTTAATACTCCACAGCAGAATTGAGTGGCAGAGAGAAAAAACAGCCATTTACTAGCCACAACCCGAGCCTTTCTTTTTCAAGTAAATGTACCTAAATCTTATTAGGAGGAAGCTATTCTCATTCCCACACACATTATAAATAGGTTACCTTCAAGGGTTTTGGGATTTAAAACTCCTATGGAACTACTCTCACAATTTTATCCCAACCTTAATACTACAAACAATCTCACACTTAGAATATTTGGTTGTACATCATTTGTTCATGTTCACAATCATAACAGGGGAAAGTTGGATCCAAGAGCGATTAAGTGTATTTTTGTGGGGTATTCTTCAACTCAAAAAGGATAAAAGTGCTATCATCCTCCTATCAAAAAATTTTATGTGTCTACAAATGTCACTTTTGAATAAAGTAAACCATTTTTTACTCAACTTTATCTTCAGAGGGAGACTTCATTCATGGAAGATAAGGATAAAGACTTCTTTTTGCTTGATTTGTCCCCTTCTTCAACATTTATACCCATTAATTCTTCTGAGTCGAAACCTATTTCTGCTGAGCCCAAGTCAAACACTGAATTCGAGTCTGAACCCATTCCAAATACAAAAGATATGACAAAGGATAATATTGTTCTTGATTCTATGAAGGAATTACGGGTGTACTCAAGAAGGAAAGTTCCAGATCCTAAACCAATGCCAGTCCAAGAACCTGATCCTAACTCTGGAAATGAAGTGACTACAGTTTTTAAGTCTGTTTCTCAAAATGAGCATGAATCTCCTAAAACTATAACTAGTAATTATGATCTGTCTATTGCCATTAGGAAAAGAACCAGAGAATGTACTAAGCATCTACTATACCCAATCTCTAATTTTGTATCATTTGAAAAATTCTCACCATCCTACAAAAGTTTTCTTGTGAGCTTAAACACTATTTCTGTTCCAACTACATTATCCGAGACATTATCCGTGAAAAATGGAGGCAAGCCATGAAAATAGAAATGGAGGGTTTAGAGAAAAATCAGACATAAGAACTGGTAAAGTTGCCTAAAGAAAAAAATTCAGTGGGGTGTAAATGGGTTTTCACTGTAAAATACAAGGCAGATGGTACTGTTGAAAGGTATAAAGCCAGGTTAGTGGCTAAGGGCTACACTCAAACCTATGGAATGGATTATCAGGAAACCTTTGCTCCAGTTGCCAAGATGAATACAGTTAGGATTTTGTTATCATTGGCTGCAAATTACAATTGGCAGCTTCAACAATTTGATGTAAAGAATGCTTTTCTACATGGCTATTTGGAAGAAGAAATATATATGAAAATTCCACCGGGATTTGGAGGTCATCTAGAAGCAAACAAAGTATACAGGCTAAAAAAGGCTTTATATGGCCTTAAACAGTCTCCTAGGGCTTGGTTCGGGAGATTTGTCAAAGTGATGCTAGCAATGGGATATAAACAGAGTCAAGGAGATCACACATTGTTTATCAAGCACTCTAATTCAGGGAGAGTCACAGTTCTATTAGTGTATGTTGATGATATAATTGTAACTGGAGATGATGAAAAAGAAAGAGAATCTCTAAAACAGTGTTTGGCTAGAGAATTTAAGATAAAAGAGCTAGGGAGATTGAAGTACTTCCTAGGAATTGAAGTAGCTCACTCACGGCATGGTATCTTCATCTCACAACAAAAATATGTGATGGATCTTTTGAAGGAAACTGGGAAGCTCACATGTAAACTTACAAATACCCCTATAGATTCTAATCACAAAATTGGAGAAGCTAATGAAGATGTTGCTGTAAATAGAGAGATGTACCAAAGATTAGTTGGAAGACTTATTTATCTCTCACATACTAGACCTGATATAGCATATGTTGTGAGTGTGGTAAATCAATTTATGCATAGTCCTAAAGAAGTGCACTTACAGGCTGTCTACTGTATATTGCACTATTTGAAGGCTAATCCTGGAAGAGGTATCTTATTCAAAAGAAATTCGGGGCTAGTTCTAAAAGCCTATACAGATGCTGATTATGCAAGTTCAGTCACTGATAGAAGATCCACCTCAGGCTACTGCACTTTCTTAGGTGGTAATCTTGTGACTTGGAGGAATAAAAAACAAAATGTGGTGGCAAGATCAAGTGCTGAAGCGGAGTTCAAAGCAATGGCTCAAGGAATTTGTGAACTACTATGGTTAAAGATTATCTTAGAAGACTTGAAGATCAAGTGGGATGCACCAATGAGACTCTACTATGATAACAAGTCTGCAATAAGCATTGCACACAATCCTGTGCAACATGACAGAACAAAACAAATTGAAGTAGACCGGCATTTTATAAAGGAGAAACTAGACAATAGGTTGATTTGTACACCTTATGTATCAACCAAGGGTTAACTTGCTGATGTATTGACTAAAGGTCTCAGCAGTGCAACATTTCAAGAAATTATTTCCAAACTGGGAATGAAAAACACTTATTCACAAGCTTGAGGGGGAGTGTGAGAAAACACTTATTTACAGCTGGTTGTAATCTTGTAATCTGTATATTTATATTTGTATCTCTAGAATTAAGTATTTGTATCCTTAGAATTAAGGACAAAAAATTAGGATAGACAATCCCTCAATTATAGGATTAGTTTTTTAGGAAGATTTAGTTTCCTAGTTTAACCCCTAGTTAGTTGTATATAAACCTAAGGTTCTTGTATAATTATATATGAGCAGTTTTTCAATATACATTCAGTTTCCACACTGATTTATTCTTAGTTTTTCCACAGTATTCACAAGTACCCAAAAAATGTACTCTTCCATCTATGTATGAATTAGAATATTTTTATTTTATTATACAGATTGAACATAAGAAACAGCAAAATGCAAAATGAAAAGAAACCTGAATATGATGATTTGATCAGGCTTTCTCTTTCCTGAACTTGTATAAAAGTCCAAGAGCACCTCCCTGAGATCAAAGAAAATGTAAGGTTAGGTTACACAAACTATAAACGTTACTAGACCCAAAAGTTACAATCCTATAGATATAAATCATTACCAGCATAATAACATATCAAACAACTTTCTTACTAAAGCAGCCCCATACCCACCCCCCTTGGCATACCAAATAAGAAGAGAGAAAGGAAAAGGATATAACAAATAAATTTTCAACAAAAACACTAGTCTTTATTTTTTTTTTTTGCCAATACTTGTCCCTTGTTTAGTCAAATAATGATTGAAACGCACCTCATGATACCTTCATCCTCTTTGTCAGACACTCGTTTGAATAGTGAATCTATCATTTCAAGCTTAGGTGACTGTGTACGCACAGATGCCCTATAGCGGGAAATCAAAGGCCACTGCCTGGAGCTGACCACCTACAAATTCAACACAATAAAGAAACTCTCAAAATTTGAAGTACAGCTCAAGAAAATTCGTTGGAGGCAATAATTATTTAACAAGGTACAGACAGAGTACAGACAGACTATTGAATCACATCTCCATAAATGCCATTACAAACTACTTGGAATTGATGGAAACTCGAAAAGGAAAAAAACAAAAAAAAAACCAATGATAAGGAATAAGATCATCCCTACCGCAGCAATTGACGGGACATCAGACTGCCCAGGAGAGCCATGTGACACATCCATGCCAAGGATCATAGTTGGAACCTTTGAAACAATAGGGATTGAAGGAGTCCGTTCAATTGCTAACATTGAATTCAAACCTCCAAGCTGTGAGCAGGTTATGATATTAGCAGGTTTAATTACAAAGAGAACAATAACCCTACTAATTTAACTACTGAAGATTAGAAATGCAATCATGGGAACAGGTTAAAGCAAAAAAGAACACATTTCATAGGAGCAGACCTTTGCATTGATCTTGAGAAGCACATTTGTAAGGTACTGATCATTGACCCTAGTTGGAGCCATGCACTGAGTAACAATGCCAAACTCAGCAAGATTCTTTCGCTTCCAAGGACCTTAGAAAATTCAATGAAATTTATATGTAAGAAAAAGATTCAAGAAAACATGCATAGCCAATGCATGAACAGATGAAATTGTGCACACCATAAAGATCAGAATTTTTCCTGTCAGGCAGCAGACAAAGAAGGAATTGTGGAGCTCCAGGAAGTTTAGATTGGATCTCCTCGAACATGTTCTCCACTCTAGCCAAAGGAGGGGAACGTCTGTTTTGATTCCTCTCTTCAAACACGTCAAATGGAGGATCTATATGCTAAAAGAGAGAAATGGAAAAGAGCTTAAGTCAACAAGTTGAATTCTATAATTTTGTATATGCTAACTAACAAAAACCTTACAACCAAAACAAAAATTGGATGCCAAACTTACAATCCCTTTCATCTCTCCACATCTAATCAGATCCCGCACAAGGCTATTTATATCACAACGTGTCGAGAAGTTTACAACAGCCCATCGTTCAATCCTAGCTGGCTCCACTAATTTCTATGAAAGCATATACTGAACTATTGACAAACAAGAGTTGAAACGTATGTAACAGATGGCTGAAAAAGCAAAGAGAGCAAAGACCTTATTGTTAAAATTCCATCGCCCATTTCGTGGAAAGAAATCTTCACCATTGCCCACTTTTAACTGTCATCAAAAGATAACTTACTTAGAATGTGGATCTAAAAGAAAGACCATTAGAATAACCCTCAACAACCAACATAAATGTTCAATATATCACGGAAACAAACAAAATTTCTGAAAGAAAAATATCATTCATCTACCCGTGGAGTTGGCAGAACTCGACCTTCCACTTGGGTGAAATTAGAGCTGATAGAAACACCACATGAACGCAGCATTGGTTCAGCACCATAATTACTGCTCTGTAAAGCCTGCACAAAAAATTGAAACGGTCATGACACATAAGTTATGGTACAAATGAAATGATGTGAGTCAAAAGCTTAGAGAAACGACCTACATTAGACAAGACACTCATTCTTTCTTGAGGCTTCTGCCTTGATTTTTCAACCAGTGAAGCTCTTTGGAAAGTGGATAGTGCTTTTGTGTAACGTTGCAAGGACACCAAAGAACAGAGCTATGGTATTGCAACAGGGGCACAACAAACCATAGACAAGAATTAGAGGCTAAACATATATCATTTAGAAAACATAACCAAAGTGCATCAATTCACCTCCATAGGAATATATGTTGGCCGCTTTGGCTTGCCAACATTAATGCATGGCATCTTAGCAGAATAACGCAACTGTATGTTACGATGGTTGACAAAATAGTCATAAACAGTAATCTCCAGAGTCTCAGCTTCACCATTCTCATTCTTCATACTTTTCTGCTTCAATGAAAACCTACATCAAGGACAAAAGTACACATCAAATAAACAAATAATTACTTGAAACTGAAGCATTACAAAAAAAAAATGCTAGCAGGATAAGCTCAAAGAAAAATAATAGCCAATTTAGCAAAAAATCAAAGATAAAGCACTGTTGTCAAATCAAGGAAACAATACAACTGATCTTTGCAGAATTGGTCGCTCAATCCAGTAATCTTGTACTCCTGATTGGATGGACTGACCTTTATCCTCAGATTCTTAAGCAGTCGTTTAGCCTATTCAGGGAATCAAGCAATAACAGTTTAATAATTGATGCAAGGGAACTCAAATTCACTAGGCAAAGGAAGCAGTTATTGATTACCTTGTTCCAGTCCAGGGAACCAGGCTCTCTCACATTCTGATTGGCAAGTAAAAAATCCACTACCGGACCAGGTCGGATTATCAAAGTAGTTGATACATCTGAAATTGAAAGAAAAAGAGTATTAAAGAAATAATAGAAAGCGTACAAATGCATAAGAGCTGAGAGATAAGATTCCAACCAATATTCAGTGAAAGCCCTCCTTGAGTGGTTCTGAAACTCGAATGGAAACCCCTGCAGCCTAGGACACCACCTCCAATGTCTGTAAAATTGTTTGGATTATTTTGGAAGAAAGACTGGCGAACAAGTAGGCATCCCCTATGAAATTCAAGGTAATGTCAGAGTAAATAAAATATCCCGGACCAAAACCTAAAAGTGGAGAAAAAAAATATGCAGACACATAATTTAACTGTTTTGCAGCATGCTGCCGTAAAATAATATCCAACACCCTCAGGGCCTCTTGTGAGTTTTCAGATTCCTGTCCACGCAGAGCATTTTGAATGGCTTGCATGGGAATCTTTGCGGCAAAGCTAATCTCCACTTTAAACGTCTTTGACTGATACGGCCGTCTTAATCTCTTCCTGTCATGCTCATTTGGGCTATCATGGCCATCAGGGCTTGCATTCCCGTTGTTTCCACACATAAAAAGGTCCACAGTTAGAGCTGAAGTAACAATGAATGAGACCAATATATATACTAAAAATCAATCTAAAGTGCATGTCTACCGGTTAGAAGTAACATCCTCAAGTACAACAGTAAACTCAAGCTTGTTATTTGGAAGAGGACCAACAGTAAATAAACTCTTCTCCCCATCATATGCAAAGTCCTTTCCAGCCAGCTCACTGCGGTAGGTCTCATGCACCCTGTCAATCACTTTTCTTCCAACACCCTTGCCATCAACTGGGCGGCCATCTTCATAAGAAAGTGAAACCTGTTGAACCAATAGCAAAAGAAGAAACTTGCATAAACAAGTAGTGTTTACCAAATATCAAATTAAAAAAAAAAAAAATGGAGCCAAGGAATCAAATTACATACACTGTAATGGAAGAAGTGTCCATCAACATTTCCAACATTCACTTTGAAGTGATTGGTGAGAATAGATATCTTCGGCCCTTTAGATCCAAGACCATGCCTGGCCATTGGGACTATTGCAACCTTCTTCTTTGCAGGTTCAAATTCTGCTTTGATTGGTTTCACATCTGGAGGCACAGGCAGGGGAGGATGCAACAAGTCTTGTGCTGCCCCATTTCCATCTGGCTCAAACGAGTCCATATCCTAACCAAGAAGAAAACCACATATTACATGAAGAAGAAAACTAGCAAGCATGTAAGATTAGCAACAACACAAACTCCCGAAAAGTACGTCATAGCATCGATATAACCATTTCCATGCAGAAAATGATAATTCCTATTTTTAAGTTAACAAATGAGCTATTATTAAAAAAAGAGAGAAAAAGAGAAGCAATTACTCTTGACATATCACAATCCTAAAACTAATCCATCTATAGCATTTAGTATTTATTTCACCTATTCAAGTAGATAGTTTTTATCCATATGTATCCCCATGATAAAATCATATTTGTTTTACTTTAAATATTGTAAGAGAAATCAACAATCATATGTCCAATTCATTTAAGAGAAACATAGACATAGACATTCAGGGAGCTCAATGAACCAAATAATAGCATAATGATCTTACTCTCTTAGCAGAGTGGAATATATAGGAAAAGCCATAGACATTCAAACACCCAAAAAGAGGAACAAAGTCAATACACCAAAACTACATACTATCTAAAAATGAGATTTTTTTTTCTAACAATATGCTAAAAAAACAAACATGCAAGCATAAAAACAAGTGTTCACAGAAGATAACGAGTAAAAATAGAGAAATAAGCGCAAATGGTAAAACACAAATAAAACCCTTCAGAGTACACAATAAATGAACCTCCTTTAAGAATATAAGCTTGAACCCAGGGTACTAATGCAGCATTTTAATGTTATCCAAAAAATGAAGCTAACATTGAGTGGCAAAAAAAGCTGTAATTAAATTAAACTAAAAAATTTAACCAAATACATAGGCATCATTTAAAGGTTTGAACGCAAAAATAGCAAAAAGCAATCACCTTTATCACAACAAGAAACAGTGAAGACTTGAAATTGCAAAGGAAGAGCAAGTGAAGTGACAAAAAACTCGTAAGAGGAAGCAAAAATTTCACAGCTTTTTTAAATGGTTTGCTGTCAAGTATGACAAAAGAAAATAATTTTTAACCATAAAAAACTAAATAATAATAAAATAAAATAACAAGGCCAAGAAAAGCCTACTGAAGTGACAAAAAGTGCTCTACACTGCCGAAAATCTAAAGTCTGTCACAGTTTTTAAAAATGAAAAAAAAAAAAAAAAGTTGCTTGAGAAAAACAGGTATATAAGCCAAAAAGGTGTAAACTTGACGGAAAAAATAAAAACAAAAAGGGGGGAAAAAACCCAGATCATACTTCAAAGTAAGAAAACCATTGAAAAAAACCCACCCAAAGAAGCAGCATTGCAAGGAACAAAGCTCAAAAAATTACAAAAAAAAAAAATCAAAAATACTTTAAAAAATTTAAAAAAAACAAAATTGTGACAAAAACCCAAGCCAAAGGTAAAACTAAATTGGCTTTAAAGATAAATACCTGAAATTTGAGAGATCAATAAAACCCTAAAATTCAAAGAGTTTTCAGAGAGAAGTGTCAAATTCAATGCTCCTTTCCCTCTCTTAATCTCTCCCTCTCACACTAAAAAAATTGAAAGAGACTGAAACAGAACTATTCTGCCTCTCCCAAGTACTGTGTATTTTGACCGTAACTGTCTCCTCTGCATCGCGTCTTACGCAATTACTCTACTTTGCCACATCTCCACACGGCTTTGATTTGATCATGGTGCAGATGAGATCGCACGCATTTTGGATGCAACGACAGTTATCCCACTACTACCTCGGTTACGTAAATTTTTTTTTTCACAGAGGATATTCATTTACGATTTGACGGTTCTAGGTTCGTACCGAGTGATGGGATTTGGTGTAGAAGAGGGTAATTTGGGTAAATGGAAAAGAGCAAAAAATGGTAACTAATGTGGGGACCACGTAGTTACGGTGAAGAATCTATGGATTGATGCAAACGAGATTTTGATGACACGTGCGGGTCAGATTTGGAATTTGCTTGGTAAAAAATTCCCGGGATTTCCGGAGTTACGGAAGAGTAATTCCTGTACGGTAGCTTTGATAGGAGTAGAAAATTTAATTATTCGTGTATTTATATTATTTAAAATATTAAAAATTTATATATTTATATTATATTTTATATGAAAATTATATATTATAATTTATGTTAATATAAATATATTTTTTATTTTATTAAATTTATTCATTATTTTTTTATATTTTTTATATCATATTATCTTATTATTTGAAATTATCAATTTTAAAATAAATTAATCACTTTGAATTTAATAATTTCACTTATTTATTATAAAATGTTGAAAGAGTTTACATTTATCCTTTTATGATTTTATCCTAATTGTTTTAATAGTAGTAGTAATTTTGATAAATTTTCTTTTGATGTTATGCATTTTTTTCAGTTATCTTGTTACATGGTACAATTATAAAAATTATTTTAATTTTCAACTTTTTTGGCTAAAATAAATTTCAACTGTTAATTGCCTTTTCTTGTCGTGTTAGATTTGTAATAGATGTTACATTTTCAAATTAAATTAAAAAATAAGTGGTATATTTTATAATACAAATAAGTGAAAAGTTAATATATATATATAAATCTATTATTGAATTATACATATAACTCTTACCCTTAACACATTAAAATTTACAAACAGGTTTAAATGTTATCTATTTTCAAAGCTTGAATTTTCAATGCCATTGATGCTCATTTTATAAACATATGAGAAATTATTTGTTGATATAATTTATAAATTTTTTTATTTGAAATTATAAAATTTAAATTTATAATTAATTTTTAATCTTTCTTAAATATAGAATAAATATTAAAATTTTCACACGCCTTTTCTTGAGGCGCTTATTGGCTAACCAAGTGAGAAAGAGAGTTAAAAACAGCAATTTCCCAAGAGAAGTTACTTCCATTATTTTCTCACATGCTATTTATACCGCTATTTCTCATGGTAAATCGGTTTTAACTTAACTCGTTTAAAAAATAAAAGGTTTAATTAAACCATATTAAAAGCTCAAATATAGTCATATTAAACCATATGACTTCAAGATTTAATCAGTCGGTAAAAAGAGGAACATGGTTCGATTTTATAAAAAATATTTAAAAATAAAATTTTAAATGTATCAAATAAATTTGAAAACAGAATTTGATCCAAGTGAATTTGAAATTAAAAATTAAATTTGATAATTTATAATACGATACAGTAACATAACATAAATATGATCTGAAAATAAGATATGAAAGTGACACGACTTAAAATTATAATAATAATTATATATAAATTTAATAAAATAAAAAAAATATTTTATATTTTTATATTTACATAATTTATAATATATAATTTTTATATAAAATATAATATTAATATATAAATTTTAATATTTTATCTAATACAAATATATAAATTATCAAATCAATTTAAAAATTCATAAGTAAAACTTTGCCTTAGGCCCGAAGATTATGCAATATATTATAACATTGGGTTTCGACGCATAAACTTTTCAAGCTTAGGCTATTGGCCCACTTAAAGTTGGGTTTTGTTGCGAAGGCGATAGTATTGTGAAACAAAATGGCATTCAGGTTGAATTATGGGATCAAGCAAAATGAGCTCACAACTTGGGCAGAATTTATTAGGGCGATAACGGCTCGAATGATATCAAATTTAATTATATTTTTATTATATTATATTTTATTATAAATTTTTAAATTTTGATTCAAATTAAAATTGATTTTTAATACAATTTTATCCTTATTTAATGATTAATTAATTTTTATTTAATTATTTATTTTATTGAATAAAAATAAATATTTAAACATATTATTAAAATTTTATAAACATCCCAAATCCCAACTCATTGTTATAAGCCTAAGACCTTTTTTTTATATTTCCATTTGTTGAGAAGATATATATTTTTTAATTCTTAATTTACCTTTAAAATTTTTTAATTTTATTATTTATTTAGTTAAAAAAATATTACATACTGAAATTTTTTGCTAACTAATTAAAAAACAATCGACAATTTAAAAAAAAAAAAAAACAAACCCATAAAAAATAATCAAATATTTGATCCACCTTAATCATCGTGAGGATTAAAAAAGCAAAAATACCTTTTTCTTCACTGTAATGAGATTTCAATTTACAATACGCGAATTTTCTGCATCATTCCATCCATCCGTCAAACTCAAACATGCCATTTTCCTTAATTGACGCACAAAATTTGTTTTCTAATTCCTTTTTTAATATAAATCAAAACTTTTATAGTGATTAAAGGCTTTTTTTTTAGCAAAAGTACAAATTATTACTACTATGATTTGTTGATTTTCATTCTGGTCCAAGATTCCAGTCAAACCAGGGCACTTACCATTTGATTACAGATGTTTCCATGTCTCTGGAAATGAGCAAATCATCCCATTAAAATCTATGATTTTCTCACGAGTTTGAAACCAATTTGATCCTTGTTGTCTTCATTTTTCTTTCTTAAATTCTTCTCCTAATTATGAATTGGCTACCATTCCAACCCATTATTCTTATATCAGGGAAGACCTTATAAGAAATTTTTATGTGAAGTATATAAAAAAATTATTAAAAATAATTTAATAAAATTTTTAAACAGATAGATTAATATAATTTAATGAAAAAATAAATAATATGTAAAAAAATATTATTGAAAATATTGTATGTAATTAAATTTGATCAGCGCTTATTTAACCGTAAACATTTTGATAAAATTTTTATTAAAAATACCTATCTAATAAAAGTATAAAATTTTTTAAAATTTTATGTACTTAATTTATGTAATAAAAAATTTTAATTTAACGATTTTAATTTTTAATTTTATTTTTATTTAATCGGTTTTAATTGAGAAATTTATGACTTTTCACCTAACAAATATTATGTAAGTCGTTCCCTCTTATACTATACCTAAAATAGTAATAAACTTTGTTTTATATTTTTTACGATAAACTTTTTTATTCATAGAAGTTTAAGCAAAAAATATTATTTCATTTTCGAATCAAAACATATTATAGATATCAACAAAAATTTATATTGAATTTACATATCACTCATTAAAAAACATTAATAAATAATCGAATTTAAATTTTATAAGCAAAATATTTAATTCTTAACAATTCAGATATTTTCAAATTTTTATTTGAAATTAATCCACTCTTCAAACTATCCTAAGTGCTGTTTTAGATTATATAAAAATTTGAAGTGGTTGTCCCATTTAAAATTTTCTAAGTGAAAATAAGGTCAACTTCATCGTCATTGATTTAAATAAGTAGTGGAAAAAGAGTGGAACATATTCAAAGGTAAGGTCCACCTAAAACATAAATAAAAATCAATGTGGTGGAGCTGGTCAGATTCCTCTATAAACCCATTCAACCAACAAATCATGTTTTCTTTTAATGATAATAAATTATGATCGAATATAATATAAACAGTATTTTATTTCTTTTATATATCAAATATGAAATCTCAAAATTATAATCTTAAAATTTTAGAGGTGACTTTTATTTACTTATATTTAGCACAAAAGAAATAACAAAATAGTAATTTGAAGATAATAAAAATAATTATAAATATTAAAATTAAAATTTATTAAATATTATTTAAAAAAATTGCATGGAATATATTTTTATATGAAAATAGTTAATGTAATTGAATTTTAATTCACGAGTTTTATTTGTACTCTTATGTTTTGTTAGGTATAAAGGTAACAAAGTTCTTTAAATCAATTGAACTTTTAAATATCTATTTTTACTCAATTAAATCATCAATTTGACAAAAACAATTAATTATTTTTTTAATGATAATTCAAAATTTATTTGGATGAATGATAAGATTAGTTTCGATAATATTAAAAATAGTAATAAAAGTTATTGTCATTATAATTAAAAAAATTATAATAATTACGATTGAAAAAAATTTATACTAAATAAATTTTATTGAAATTAACATTTAAATTTAATTGGTGGTGCAATAAGTTTAATGTGAAATCCAAATCTAATATTAATCGATGACAATAAATGTTTTAAAATTGAATTGATTAAAATAATAAATGTTTTAAAATTAAATTGATTAAAATAATTAAAATAATTATTAAATTATAATTCATAAACTTTTTTTTGTCTTATTTAAAGGTAATAATATTTTGATTCGAATCAAAATTAGTTTGATTTTTTAGATATTACATAATATTATAAAAATTTAAAATTCGATTCAAATTCGAATTGAATTTTATTAATTCAATTGAGTTTTATTATTTTTTAATTTTTATATATTATTTTAATATAAAAATTATTATATTTAAGTAAAATTTGATATAAAATTATTATTTTTATTTTATAAAAATTTTAAATATATATAAACTAAAAAATATATAATTAAGTTATAATTCATTTTTTTTTAATTTTTTACATCTCAATTTGAAATTTGATTTAAATTTAATATATATTTAATATTTAAAATTGATTAAAATAAAATAAAAATTTGATTCAAATCAAAACAAATATTATAATTTTAAATTAATATTATAATTTTTAATTTTTTTCTCACCATCTTATTATATAGAATTTGTAGATTTGAAAATTGAGATGGCAACTTGAGAGTCCCGTTAAGAACTTAAGACAAAAAGGCTTCAAGACCTATTCAAAATGCAAATGAGGTGCTTTTTTACTAAAGAAGCAAATGGGGTTGTCCAAGTCAACATGACTGTAGTAGTTGCGCATTTTGTACGCAACCTCACGAGGACTAAATTAATTCAGTCAAAACCAAAGACCAAGTCGATTGGACCACCAAACCAAACTTTTCCTTTTCGACCGTCACTAAAGTCACATGAAATTTGCGTTTCTTTAATTAATTTTAAATAATTAATTTCTATCATAACTGATCACTACTGGTATTTTAATGGTGATTGAAACATTATTTTAATGGTACCCTCATTTCATTTGCAAAATAAAAGTTTAAATGAACCTTCGTTCTCTAATTACAAAGTATAATATATGATATTTACATAATTGAAATAACTTGTGTTCGTTCATTTGAAATTGATTTCATCAATTTCAAATTAAATTATTTAAAATTAAATTAAATTAAAAATTTTTATTAATTAAATTAAATTTATTAATTTAAATTAATTGAATAATAAAAATATTTAAATTAAATTAAAATTAAAATTTTTATATTTAAAACAAATTAAATAAAATTATGTAACGAAATACTTAAATACTAAAGTATTAAAATTAAAATTTCTTATAATTTATAAAATGAAATGATTTATTTCATTTATTTTAGTTTTATAATTGAATTAATTGAAAATTATTTTTTTAAAAATTATTTTAATTAATTAATTAATTTGATTAAAATCAAATTTTAAACACCCATAATCAAAACCTTAAAACTTCGGTTATCAATAATAATGTGATTTATTAAAATTTTAATCATCAAAATTTAATTTTTTATAAAAGTTTACAAATATAGAATGTTCAAATGTAAGAAGACCATCTAAATATATATATAAAAAAATCAATTAAAAGTATTATTCGCTAAAAAAAAAAAGTGATTACTGCTAATATTTCACAAATTTACATATTGAAGTTAAACGTAGTAAAAGGGGGAAAATCATAGAAAGGAATCCGTCCTTTTTGAGTTTCTTTTTCTTTTTTCAAAAGCACTTTGCGTGATGGAAATGGAACAAACAAACCACCCACTAGCAAGATCACCTTTCACAAATTAATCAAAAAGAAAAAAATTTAAAAAAAATAAAGAAAACCATAAAAAGAAAGCCCATGTTTTACTCTGCCATTCCCAAAGCCGATACTCTTTAAAAATTTGGTGGAAGCAGTAGAATCTTTAAAAGCTCTCTTTTTTCCCTTCTTTTTCCATTGTTTTCAAACCATAAAAACCTAACCCTAACAGAGCAGCTGAAACTAACATCACCCATGGCGGCACCGATCTGGCTATGGGCTTTCTGTGTATCCCTGACTCTGATTCCGTCTGTTTTCGGGAACTCAGAAGGCGATGCTCTTTACACTTTGAGAAGAAGCTTAACGGATCGGGATAACGTGCTCCAGAGCTGGGATCCGACCCTTGTTAATCCTTGTACTTGGTTCCACATCACTTGTAACCAAGATAATCGAGTCACCCGAGTGTATGTCGATTGCTCTCTCTCTCTCTCTCTCTCTCTCTCTCTTTTTCTTTTGGGCAAGAAGATCTGCTAGGATTTGATTTTGGGTTCATTTTTTTTCTGGGTTTTTAGTTTTAATAGAAATGGAGACGGGTTAGTTCCTTCTTTGATATTTTGTGAGAAAGTGGTTGTTTAAATTGGGTTTTGGTTTGTTTAATTGAATTTATTGTTTATCTTTCATAAGGGTTTGTTTTGGAGGGAAAAATGGTAGTTATAATTCACTGAGAAACTGTTGTATTACCTGAGCTTGTAGTTTTTTGGGGGGTAATATTTGCTTGGTTTAAATTGTGTTTGGGCTCATTTAATTGAATTTTTTGGTTTTTTTTTTTTTTAATTTTCCTTATGGGTATGTTTTGGAGGGAAAAGACCGGGTAAATCCACTGAAAAACTGTTGGATTAGATGAACTTTTAATTTGCTTATCATTAGCAGTTATTAGAAAAAGGCAAATAGGCTGTTATAAGTAGAATTAGTTTAAAATTCTGTTGACATGGGTGTTTGAATCAATGGATGCTGCAGAATTGCCTCCATGAATAAGAAATATTTATGTACTGTGATCTCCTTTTCTCTCTTTATGACAGAACAAATGATTGCTTATTTTTGTCTGGTTGTTTTATTTTGTCTATTTGGGCGTTGGATCACATTTGAGTGTACGCTTTTGTGGAAGTTTGGGGCTTTACTAGATGTGCTTAGAGGCTGTGTGTCCCTTTGAGAAGAATATGTTAATAATTTATGACCTAAAACTGATAGAATTCGGTGCTTGATGAATTTGAGGAAACAATTTTAGTTTTGGTTTCCAAATTGGTAAGAGGGGTTATATTGGCAGTCTTATAAAGCATTTTCTTTTTTTTTACCTCTCTCTAGAATTATGGAATGCTTCCATGCCAATCTCTAATGGTATATTTTTTCTTTCTACAGGGATTTAGGTAATTCAAACCTATCTGGACATTTGGTTTCTGAGCTTGGGAAACTTGAGCACCTGCAGTATCTGTATGTTCTTTCCCCTTTAGCTTTTTTCCTTTCCCGCCCCTAATATCCAGATTCTGGAGTTCCCAACGTCTTGGGTGTTTTTTATTTTTTTTTCCATTAATTAATACTTGTTGGATATTTACTGCTATGTGTTAAAATAGTGTTGGATACAACAGCTGATACTTGTTGTTATTCACTTTGGACTCTTTGCGCTGCCATGCAGGGAACTTTACAAAAATAACATTCAAGGAACCATCCCTACTGAACTTGGGAACTTGAAGAACCTCATCAGTTTGGACCTATATAACAACAACATCTCTGGGACCATTCCTCCTTCACTAGGAAATTTGAAGTCTCTTGTATTCTTGTAAGTGTTCAAGTCCAATGTTGGTCTTATCATGCATGATGAGACTATGTTCAAGCTTTTGTTTCTTTTAGTTGCTTTCCTATATCAACTTGACTTGACAAATCAATAATGGATTAGATAATAATTGCCTGGGGCCTTAAGTAATTATGAGCATCAGATAATGGTTGGTTATCTGCAAGTGTTCTGAGTTTCTTTGGGTGCCTCCATGATTATTCCATGTCTAGTTATTGTCATGTCCCAAACTTGAATACTAGTAATTTCTCATTTTTTATTTAATTTTGGTGATTGGTTTATGTATCTTTGTAGCCTCCAATCGCTAGTCTCTTACTGATTGTTTCATTTTACAGGCGGCTTAATGACAACAGGTTAACTGGACCTATCCCTAGGGAATTTGTCAGTATTTCAAGCCTCAAAGTTGTGTAAGTATTGTAATTTTTCAAATTTTTTATTTCCATAAACTACTATTCTCTGGTATTGTTTTGTGAAGCATTAGACTTATGGTTATTGAAACCTTACGTCTTTTCTTCTAGTGATGTCTCAAACAATGATTTGTGTGGAACAATTCCTACCAGTGGACCATTTGAGCATATTCCTCTGAACAAGTAAGCTTGCCCTATTTTTCTTCTGTAACAAGTTTTTATTTGTTTATTTTATTACTTTTATCTAGTTATAATTCAAGATATGTTACAAGGAAGTTAGTGTTATGTGCATGTTATGCTGCAATTATTTACCTTGGAGGCAACTTGTTTGCTAGTCTTGATAACTTATTCTGTGTTATGGAAATATCTTCTCAAATCATGCACTATTTTCCCTTACTCAAAATCTTTTTATAACTAACCTGATGAAAGCCTTTTTATTCTTGGGTTTTGATTTGGTGGAAGTAATCGTTCTGAAAAGTTCTATGCCATGCTAACTTCTCTCCTACAACTTCTTCCTGGATTTTTTGAACCTGAATGATGAATAAAAGAGGGGATTTTATCATACAGGAAAAGTTAGTCGAACTTCATTGTGAATTGTGATTCCCTTCCAACCTTTTTTCTTTTTTCATGCATGCATCTGTTCATAGTGTTAATTTTAATGTTTGTACAAAGACTTTTACAGTCAGACTACTTGAGAAATATTTAAATAACAAATGAATGCATCATATCCCTTCAAGCCTTTGGTGTCAAAAGATTAAGCTGGATTTTATAACTTCTTCTGAATTCAACGAGGCATAGGCCTTGTTTGTGGCCTTTTCTCTGATTTTGTTATCAGTGTCAGTTATTCATGGACATTCTTGGACGACTGCTGTTAATTGTCTGATATGCTTTACACTATATGCATGTTCAGAGTCTAGGACAAGCACAGCTTCAGTTTGGTTTACCTGTTTGCTTATCGTCAATCAGAAGCCTCCATTTAAATATGCTATGATTCAATAATCTGCCTATGCGCTTCAAGTTTATCTTAGCTTGAATCGGTTGCTCTGATGGAACCATTTTTTTTAGTTGCTGGGCTTCATTATTTGTGCTTGTCTCTGTGTTTCTTACTTTTGTATTCCATTTAAGTTTAGCTATTTATATCTTTTGTTTTCCCTGTGTGCCAAGTCACTCATCTTAACATTATTCCAATTTACGTAGCTTTGAGAAAAACCCTCGACTCGAAGGTCCAGAGTTGCTGGGGCTTGCAAGTTATGACACAAACTGCTCATGAATGACCGAGTGACGCTGCAAAAGCTTTGGATTAGATATGCACTCACAAAATTTTAAGTGTATTGTTACACAGTATAATGGGGTTTGTGAAAGTGTCTGTAAATCTGAATACCAACTTAACTGTATTAGCATTTGTAACCGAATTATCCTGCTCTTTGTATGTTGTTCAAGACAACTAGTATCGATGTAATGGCAGTGACAAGTTTTCTTCTGGCGTGCATCCTTAATTTGGCTTGCTTGCCTTCTGGTTTCATGTCAACTGTAGAAAAAAGGTGTTCATGAGTCAGGGTATTAGCAGTTTATATTCTGTTTCAGGTCTAGCCAATCTTTTTTTTTTTTTGTTTCAAAATTCTTTGATCCGATTCAAATTGAAAAAATAAATATCAAGTTCATCCATAAAATTTAATTAATAATAAAAACTTAAAAAAAATCTTTTTTAAATAAAATATAAAAATAAAATTTCATATATATTTATATAATTTTAATATTTTAATTATATATTTTAGATATTGGATCGAATTTGATTTTAATTTAAAATTTAAATGAACTTAAAAATTATGTTGAAATTTATTTAATGAATTTTAATTTTTTATTTAAATTTAGTCGAATTTTCAAACTTGAACAGATGGTGCAACAAAATCAACAAGAATTTTTTTTTTCTTATGCATTCCTTCTGACAAGCATTATTTTCTTGTATGTAATACATATGACAAGCATTATATTTCAAGTTAGAATGTTTTGTTCTTGGGAATAGTTAAGATAACGAAGAATATAATATATATGATTCTTATATTTTATTTGTACATGGAATGGAACCAAGGAAATGATCTGCCAAGATATTTTGCAAATACTTCACTGGTCAAACATGTTCTGCAGACATAACATAGATTCTTTGGAGGGCTAGAATGCTGGTTGAATGGCGTGAACTAAAGTACAATTTTCTTATAAAATCAAATCAAAATCTTGCACCAGTAAATTATAAAAGAGAAGGGTGGCCTTAAAATCTTGTAGGAATCAGATGCTTATTACCGCGTTTGAATATTTATGTAGTTTAATCATATTTATTTGTATGACAGTATTAAGTATTTAATTCAATAAGTAATGCATATATTCTTATCAAAAACATAGAGAATGATTTTTTTTTTCAAATAAAAAATTCATCATATTGGAAATTGTCATATTGACATCCTAGTTAGATTTCTTAAAGTCCTTGGGATATACAGAAGTTGGAGTCATTTCTTTTTTTTTTTTCCCTTAATTTATTTCTTTTAGGTGGAATTATTGGAATGTTGACTAATAATTTTACTAAAGAAATGTCCAAGAATATTTATAATGCAAGGAACCCGACTCCTGTTGAGCAATTGAAAATTATATCCCAGTCCACAAAAGGACAAGACTTTGAGTTGGGAAATGTTGGAATAGCAATTAGTTGGAACTTGAGGTTAGGGGTAAGAATAAAAATTGAGAAATTTGAAAATTGATTTAATATTGTAATATTCAGTTTGGATGGGATTGATTTTTTTTTTTTATCAAGTTTAAATATTATATGTATATATTAAATTCAAATAGAATTTTAAATTGAGAAGTGAAAAATTAAAAAAGATTAAATCAAATTGATTTTTTTTTTAGTTTTTATATATTTTTAAAATTTTTATAAAATAAAAATAATAATTTTATATCAAAATTTACTTAAATATATTAAAATAATATATAAAATTTAAAAATTGATAAATTAAATCAAATCAAACTAAAAATTCGATTTGATTCGAATCAAATCAAATGAAACTTTGGATTCAAATTCAAATTCTGATTAAATTTTAAATTTTGATAATATTATATAATTTATAAAAAAAATTGAACTGAATTTGATCTGAATTAAATTATTATCACTCCTATTTAGGGTCATCAATGTAGCATTTTGCGTAATGAAAGTTTCATATATATATATATATACATATATAAAATTGCAACTTAAAATTAATAAAAAAATTGTAAATATTAAAATTTAAAATTATTAAATATTATATTTTAGAAATTGATTGTATAAATCATACGAGATATATATTGTATCTGATTTGGGCCAGAAAAATAATAAGTTTGCTGCCTTGAGTTGGTGTTGTGTTAGGAAAAAGGCTAGCCTGACTGGCATGGGCTAGCAATGGAGAATAGACTTAACCATTGGGCATTTGATTTCAGCAATAGTTTTTGGAGGGGATTGATCTTGGGCAATGGCTGAAGTCTCCAAGCCTAAAAATCTTAAACATATATATAGGGACTTAGATCAATAATTAAGTAGAATTTTAATTTGTCGATTATTTTTTAGATTAATTGATATATTATTAAAATTAATATCTGAAAGTCACAAATTTAAGATAATTTTATGCATTATATTTTTTTCAATTAAATAAATAATAAATAGAAAATTTAAGGATAAATTAAAAATTTTAAAAAAAATAATTTAGGCTCATGAAATATGACATGAACAATGCTTTTGATCAAAATTTAATGGATTTTTATATTTATTATGTTTTTTAATACTTAAAACTATTAAAATTAAAAATATAACACTTTACTATTAGACTATGCAAGTCTTAATTTTGGTTAAAATATTTTTCACAAATTTATTTATAATAAATAAAAGAGAGATATATGGTTTGCGTGTCCAAATATTTGTCCATAAAATCATTATTTTTATATAAGCAAAAATAGAATAACACTATGAATCACAAATAAAAAAATATATGTGTGCTAATATGTTTGTTGTCCCATCCGTTCATTCTCTTTCTTTTTTTTTTTTTTAAACTATTTTATTTTAGGCTCACTACAAAAAAAATTTTAAAATGAAATTTTTATTATTTCTCCTAATGGGGAGAGAATTATTTATAATTAATAATTTAAATTACATCGATGGTTATTTATTGAATTTATTTTAAATATATGATTTATAATTATTTATTTTATATTATGATGTATTTTATTTAATTTAAAGAATTAAAGAATTTATTTATTTTAAAAAATTTTATAAAAAATTATTTATAATTAATAAGTCAAGTTATACCAATTAATTATTTAAATATATATTAATTTATATTCATGGCTAATATAAAATAGAAGGTACTCCTTGAATAAAGGAAGGTAACATTGGATGAAGACAAATGCCTTCCAACTAGAATTGGTCCTAAAATAATTGGTGACTGATCAGTTCATGCCTGCCTTATAAAACACTCCCCCAACTCTGCAATTTTTTTTATTGATTAATTATTAGTTTAAAAAAAATCCTGTCAGAGTGAATTAATCTGACCTTCATCTGACTTTCCTCTCTTTTTCACTCTTCTTTCCCTGTTTTTTTTCTTATTTTTATTTGAATGAATATAATTTCTATTTTCCTTAGTATTTAATTCAAAGTCTCTGTTCCCAAAACATTGATTTTATTGAACTCTTTTTTGGTTTTTCCAATTCACCAATAGTTTCTTCCACTTTCTCTCTCTTTCTTGCTTTAACCTTTCGCAATCACCAACAGCGAGGCCGGTAGCCACCTCCGCTGCCTTGTCTACAATAATTCACTCTTAATAGGGGCAGTAGAAAAGTTGCAAATTACAATACGAAACTCAAAGGATAATATTCTCTCTCTTTCTTCCCCTCTCTCTCTCTCTCTTTTTTCTTCTTTTTCTTTCTCCTGTCAAAGCCTTCTGTGTTGCAGAATTGACTTATTTGAGCTTTGTGGAGTAGGCCAAAATCTGGGTTTTCCTCGTAAGTCTTTCGTGGACTTGTTTTTGAGTGGATCTCTATGTGGCTGACTTGGTTTTAGTACTTTCTTTGGGTTTTTTACTACTTTTCTGATATGGGTTTTTGATTGATCATAAATTTGAGGTTTTGATTGTCTTTTTTGGGGCCTTCTGATAGTTTTCCGAGTTGGGTTTTGCTTATTGATTGATAAAGTTGAGGTTTTGATTGCAAGGTTTTGGATTTTTTGTTATTTTCCTGAATTGGTTTTTGATTATTGATTTGTGAAGTTGAGGCTTTGATTGCCTGGTATGGGGTTTTTTGCTACTTCTTTGATTTTTTTTTTTTTTTTGATTATTGATTGAGAAGGTTGAAGTTTTGGTCATTTATTTGGGTTAATTTTCTGATTTGGATTTTGATTATCCGAAGATCTGACTGGTATCTGATAGTGATTTGTTTTTTGTTTTCTAAATATGATTGTTCTGGAACTTAAGGTTTAGGAATCGGAATTGATTTTGTTCATTTTATCTCTCTTTGATCATGATAACTAAAGAGTCCAGATATGCAGATGTACAGATGAAATTACTAGTAGGCTAGTTTGATCTGTTCAATTTGCTTAGATTCTTTTGTTTTTGTGAAATCTATATATTTTTGGATTACTTAACCTATGTGTGCCGGGCTTGTTAGAAATTGAGAATCTTTGTTGATGCTTTTCTGGTTTTGGCTGTACTTAATTGTCTGGTGGTCCAATATTATTTGCATCAGTTAAGCTGTAGATTTTAAATTGTTGGAGCCAGGTCTTCTATATTTTTACTTTTTTTTTTGTGTTTTAAATTTATATTTAGATTGTGTATATCAGTTCAGTTGTTAGATGCTGCAATTTTATCAGGAAACTTTATAGCCTTTGCTGGATTTTTGTTAACCAATTTAAATTTTTTGTTAAATACAGATTAAGGAAGGCCTCCTTTTGGGTTATTTGAAGTTTTATCAGTACTAACAGATACTAGAGAAAGAAAGTTGAAGCTTATTGGTTGATTCTGAGATTCCCTCAAGTTTCAGACTTATTTGGGGTCCTAGTTGGAATAATGATGATGTTTGATGAGATGGGAATTTGTGGGGATATGGATCTCTTCAGTGCTCCTCTTGGGGAAAAAGATGTGGCAGCCTCACAAACTGAACAGGAGGCCACAGTGGAGGATGATTATACTGATGAGGAGATAGAAGTGGATGAACTTGAGAGGAGGATGTGGAGGGACAAAATCCTTCTCAAACGGCTTAAAGAACAGAATAGGGGAAAGGACGGGATTGATATTGCGAAACAGCGCCAGTCCCAAGAACAGGCAAGGAGAAAGAAGATGTCAAGGGCACATGATGGAATTTTGAAGTACATGTTGAAGATGATGGAAGTTTGCAAAGCGCAAGGATTTGTTTATGGGATTATTCCAGAAAAGGGAAAGCCAGTAACCGGGGCATCTGACAATCTTCGGGAATGGTGGAAGGATAAAGTCAGGTTTGATCGTAATGGTCCTGCTGCTATCTCAAAGTACCAGGCAGATAATTCGATTCCTGGCAAGAATGATGGCTCTAACTCAATCGGCCCAACTCCACACACCTTGCAAGAACTTCAAGATACAACTCTTGGTTCTCTTTTGTCTGCGTTGATGCAGCACTGTGATCCTCCTCAGAGGCGATTTCCTTTAGAGAAAGGTGTTCACCCACCATGGTGGCCTAATGGAAATGAGGAATGGTGGCCTCAACTGGGATTGCCCAAAGATCAAGGCCCCCCTCCTTATAAGAAACCTCATGACTTGAAGAAGGCTTGGAAAGTGGGGGTTCTGACAGCAGTAATCAAGCATATGTCCCCTGATATTGCCAAGATTCGTAAGCTTGTAAGGCAGTCCAAGTGCTTGCAGGACAAGATGACAGCAAAGGAGAGTGCAACTTGGCTTGCCATCATTAACCAGGAGGAGACCTTGGCCCGAGAGCTTTACCCTGATTCCTGCCCTCCTTTGTCCTCAGATGGAGGAAGTGGGTCTTTGGTTATAAATGACTGCAGTGAGTATGATGTTGAAGGGGCTGAAGATGAGCTGAACTTTGATGTTACAGACTGCAAACCTGGAAATCTCAATTCATCTAATTTGGACACGGAGAGAATGAGGACTCTCCAACAACCACCTTATTCTATCAAGGGAGAAGTTGTCAATAATTTGGATTTCATGCGAAAGAGGAAGAAACCATCCAACGATTTAAACGTGATGGAACACAGAATTTACACTTGTGAGTTCCTCCAGTGTCCTTACAGTGAACTTCGCATGGGTTTTCATGACAGGACTGTCAGGGACAATCATCAGTTCACTTGTCCATATAGAAACTCTGCACAATTCGGTGTTTCGAATTTTAATATTAATGAAGTAAAACCAGTCATTTTCCCTCAATCTTTCGGACAATCTAAGCTAGCTGCACCATCGGTTACTTCTGTCCCAACATCCTTTGATCTATCAGGAATAGGAATTCCAGAAGAGGGGCAGAAAATGATCAGTGAGCTCATGTCAATATATGATAACGACATTCAAGGCAACAAGAACATGAATCCCGGTAACAGTCCAGTTACAGAAGGCCAAAATCTTCTTCAACCGAAAATCCAACCGCAACAGAATGAATTCTTCCGTGGTCAAGGGGTCATGGTGGAAGGAAACTTCTACGAGTCCAGCATGCCCCATAATCATCAGATATTTTCACAAGGGGAAGGTCAATGTGACCGGTTTAAGGGCTTGAATTCTCCGTTCGAGACCACCCACAATAACAACAGCTTCCAATTGATGTTTGGGTCTCCATTCGATTTGGCTTCTTTTGATTACAAGGAAGATCTACAATCTGTTGGGATGGAAACCATGCCAAAGCAGGATGCTCCAATCTGGTTCTAGTAACAAGTTCAAGGTCAGAGTGTATTCTATCCACATAGTGCTACTGCACAGTTTGTTCCTGCAGGGAGAGATCTCCTTTTTTCCCCAGGTTAAAGCCTAAGGCCTGGCGACACATGCACTAGCTAAAAACTTCTTTTTACTTGTTATTTTATTTTTCCTCCTGTCTGTAGCTGTAGAAGTTAGCCAGTTAAGCAGGTCTTCATCTGGGCTTCAATAAAAACGTGGAAAGTCGCATGATCCTGCCACAACTGATTTACAATAGAATGTGACTGTCTCATAAATAAGCTAGGTTGTATTGTATCTGTGGTCCTTTTTTTTTTTTGGTCTTTTTTCACTCTTTGTTTTTAATATTTAATCAGTTTTCTACCATTATCATGTTCGGTTGGAATCTGATTGTGTGTTTTGTACTGTAATGGGTACATAGGGGCCGGGTTGTGATGAATGGAAACTGTTGTCTTTTAATGCATCTTGTTGATAATCCCATGTGAACTTTAGACCCACAGCAGTTAATGGAAGAGAATGCCTTAGTTGACCAGGATCTCTCTTTCATGGAAGATGGTAATGGCACTGCTGTATTTTCGTGTGCGCGTGTGTGGTAGGGTCTGTTCAAGGACGGCTGCGCTCTCTAAGGTTCATCCACCTGTCTTTGCTTGTTCAAAGGTTTGGAACTTATCATTTCCATGGCCCCATTTCAGGACCAAAAAAAAAAAAAACAATTTTATTGGAAAGGGTATTGGAAGGATAATGATCGAAACCCTGTTGGCACAATGTTGTGATGTTGCTTTCATTGCAGGTGAGGTTAGATCACAAAGAGAATACGTTACTTTGAATTTTTTTTTTGTCCATTTCCTTTCCTTCCTAACTAAGAAAATATGTAATTAGATCACATGGGTTATTGACTTGTAATGATAAAATTTATTTATTATTATTCATAATCTGCTTTAGCGGGCATGATTGGAAGCAGCCAAGCTGTTTCATTTTAATATTAGTTTGATATTTTCATGTAGAGAGCTTTAATCTTTCAAATATAAAATTGTAGGATGGAAAAGTAGATTGTGCTGATGAAGTTAGCTACTTTGAAGTTTTAATTATAATTTTTTCCCCTTCGACACTTTTGAGTTCAACCAAAGTAATTCAATAATTGAAATTAAATGTGTTGCAGTCTCCTTTTCAGTTTAAATGTGTTGCCACTATAGTGTCAAAGCAGGCAAATTGCAGCAATATTGGATTGCAATTCAAACCAGGTTATGGATGTTTTACAGGTCAATTTCAGCAGCTATGCCCTCTTAAATTGGAATTAGACTGTCAAATTGGATATGCCATTTTCTTCCGCATATATGGTAAAATATCAAAGTTCTAATCATAAATATTCCTTTTTTTTTTCTTTTGGTGATTAATAGTTTTTGCTGTCCTAATTATTAATTTCTCAGAGCTTCTTCTGAGAATTTATCATGTTTATTGTCTGTAACATATTGATCCTTTTGTCATGGTGTAGCCAAGGTAATAATTCTAAAAGACAAGAGGAAGAGGAAAAAAACAAAAGAACGGAAATGTGACCCTCATTTTATGATTTATCCTTGGAAACAAATGTGAACAGATCAAGAAAATTATGACACATAATTAGCAGTTTCTGACAGGAACAAGAAGGATTTGGTAGTAGCTGCAAAATTCCAAATTGGCAATAAGAAAAACATGGAATTAAGCATAGCCATATAATTTTCTTGGGCATATAGGGCCACCCCCCCAATGGTTTTCCAGTTGTTCTAACGGGCAAACTTCCTTCTGGCCACAAGTCACACAATTGCACTTGAAGCAGCATTTCTGGCAGAAGAACATACAGGATTTTCTGTAGGCTATTTTTGTGCATCTGTAATTGCAGGCTCCATGGCACTCTGCAACCAAAATTTCCCATTTACCAGAGCAAAGCAATCATATCAGTGTACACATAAACTCAGGCAACTTATAAAATGGGGTTGAGAAAAAAGTAATAATGGATCCAATCGACTTTTAGAAACACGTGTTTCAGGTTTCTTGGAGATGTGATCTCATGACCTGGTTTACAAGAATTTCATGAGCTCATTGAGTACTGATTTGGACTTTCTTTCTTTTAGCTATTTGTTGACAGCAAACCTACCATCATAGATCAATGTTCTACCAAATAATACTAATTATGTTTTCTTTTTTTTTTTCTGAACAAATATTATTAATTAAAAATTATAATTGCAAATTGCATGAGAAACAAATTTACACAAATGTGTTCATTTCAGGGATGACTAAAACTTAAACAGCTGTAAGCTTTCATGATTATTCTTCTGACAGGTTTGAGTTTACATATGATCATGATCATGAGTACTTGAAATTTCATGAAGACGCATTGATTTTTATAATAATTACAAATATTATGATAATATATCGTGAATGTATGTATGTATGTATGTACATATATCACTATTGTCACAGAGATTGGCACTGTTATCAATCATTTACCACTGTTGAAAGTTCAAAGGTTTCACCATCACTTCATTAACCAGGAATTCAACCATATTATCACTACCGCCATGATCGTTATTGATATATACAAACCCTAGCTACCTATAAAATTACTATTAACAACAACAGCAGCAACAACCAAGATAATAGATCGATAAAGCTAAATTTATACATATCCATCACTCTTCACCTAACTTTGCTCTAAATTTCCTTGCATTCTCGAATAAAAAAACAAAAAACAAATTGCCAAACCAGGAATATTGTACCGATTAGCCAAGTGAATCAAATTCCAACCTTGGGTTATTTTTCTCTCGATCAATATATGATCAGGTTCAGGACTAATCTTTGTTTTAAAATTTTCCTAATGATGAAACTAGCTATATCTTTTGTCCTCTGGGTGAAATAATCTTTTCCATCTCCTCTATATTAACTTTTCCAAGGTAAAAAATAGCTGCAAATTTTCCTTATATGATGAAAGTGATCATGATCTCGTATTGTCCTTGAGATTTGAATATCAAGAAGGGTTAAAATACATAGCTTTAGAGACATGTTGATAATCCATCCTGTCGGTGAAATTATGTTCTTTTTTTACTGTAATTGTCATCAGTTATGGCTGCTGGTCCCTTTGGACACTTGTCTTTGTTTAGTCAATTTATAGCTCTAGAGAGGCTGTAACAAGTTCACAACGGATGCTGATAGATGACAAGGAATTTACAGCGTTTTTTGTCCTACTTTAAAGTAAAAAATAGTTATGATCAGCTTTACACTGTTAACAGCTCCTTAACATTAATTAGATTTGCTATTAATTTCATTTGAATCCAAATCTCAGTTGAAATTTGAGAGAGTGAAAAAGAGAGGGAAGTTAAAGATATACCTGATGCATCCCAATGCTTGTGCTTGTGCAGGCAACATAAATATCTTATTAAAGTTAATACAGTACCAGACAGCATCATTTTCTTAACAAAATTCTTTCTTTCTCTCTTTCATGCTTTTTGGGCAAAATTTGATCTTCCATTGTTGATTTATCATATTATATGTATGAAACAGACTAAGAAATGTTCTCTGTTTGAGTTGAAGCTATGAGAAGCAAGAGAAATGCTTCTAGTGACAGTGTAGATCTCTCCTCCATTGGGACCAACAGCATATTATATAAGGATCTATATCTAGGAAATGTTAAAGCAAAATCTTGGTTTGCAGAAGTGTGCACAAAAGGTGAACTTAGTTGCCCTTTCTTGGACTTAAAATTTAATCTAAGGTATTGCTTAAATCACTTAAAATTAAAGTATTAAACCCATAAAGTGACATGGGTTCTGCTCATCACCTTTGTTGTGAAGTGCAGCCATGGCATCCAATGAAAACACACCCTCCCTCTAAGCGTAAATACTCATTTGGAAACAAAATTTTATTTTATTTTATTTTAAGAAAAATCTAAGACAGATAGAATGTTTAATTCCTTAAATCAAAAAAAGATATACCGTACCCGATACTCTAAAAAATAATAGTTATAAATTTTGCTTGAATTATCAAAATAAAAAATCATTAATTGGACTAGAATTTAAAATTATTTATGTAAAAAAAAAAAAACTCTACCAATTGAGTCAACCTCTTGTTGATCAAAATTTTACTTTTGGATCAAGAAGCTAGTAGCCCACATGACAAGAAGAAGAAGACGGAAGAAAAGTTTGTTTGTCTCATAACATGACATTTTTTTTTTATGTTTCATAGTTTTTGTACATTTACTTCTTCAAATTTCTAGCTTTCTTTCCATTAGCCCACACATTTGGGCCTGCAATTTAAATTTCTTTCAAGTAATTGGCTATTTGATAAAATTTAAAAGCGTTTTCGGGGGCAGATTACCTGAACATGGCCTGTGGGATATGGCTACCCTAGAATGGGCTAGAGTTTTCTGGCCCATACCAATTAGGACTCAACCAAGTACTACTTCATTGCATGTTACTATGTTTTTATCTGCTTTAATTATTTGATTTATTTCTTCTGTCTTTTTTTTTTATTCATTTGTTTTAAGATAATCCAAAATTATATTTTATTTTTGTCGAATATCTAAAACTCTTATTTTTATATTTTAAAATTATTTTTTATGATTTTTTTAACTTTTTTATATTAAAAATCATGAAACTTTAATTTTATAAAAAAAATTTAAAATTTAATATTAAATATATTAAAGTCAAAGTTTTTTCCTTTAATTTCATAAAAACCAATACATGACAAATATTTTGGGACGAAAGGAGTAACAGATATTCAACACCAAAACACAAATAAGTTCTTCTGTTATAATGTTCTTAACAAAAATTGTTATAGAAAGACATGAAATCAGTTCATTAAGATCTCTCAGTAATGGTGTTATATACAGAAAGGTAACCCCCATTTTTTGGTTCTTTGCTCTCATGAGTTGGACTTCATGCCTCAAATTGCTCAAAATTGGTAGTGTAAATATCAATTGGATAGGGTTAAGAGGAAAGTAAGGAAGGAATAAGTTGATTGTAGGTGGTGGGTTAACCTTTTTTTTTTTTTAAACCTTATCTGGGAATGTAACTTTCGGTACAGATTTATGGACTCATTTCATGGATTATGAGCCTTTGTTCTATGGTTGTTTTGCATTAAAATAGTGGTATATTGTGTATTATTGCATTTGGTTTTTAAGGTTTCAATTAAAGGTGTAATTAAATCGAATCAAATCAAGATAGTTTAAATGTGAATTAAATTTGAAATATGCAATTTAAAATTTGATTTAAATTTGACCAAGTCTTAATTTTTAAGTTTAAATTTAAATCGAGCTAAAAATTAAGCTATTTAAATTTATTTAATAAAAAATAAAATAAACTTTCATATTCGATTTTAAAATTGATTATATGTTTAAATTCAAATTTGACTCGAATTTATATATATAAATGTAAAATATTTTCTAATTAAAATAATAAACATATTAAAATTTAAAATTTAATTAAGCTCATAAACTATTTAAATTGAATATTATAATATTTAAATTTATTTTATTTAATAAATTAAGATATTTAAATTTAAATTTAATTTGATAATAATTAAACCGAATTAAAACTTTATTTAAACTAAATTTAAATAACTTACAAATATTAAATTATCTTCTATTTATCTATTAGTTTCAACATCTGATGGGAGGTGGAAATGAGGAGATCATTATCCACCAAAAGGAAAGAGAAAAGAAAAAAAGGGAAAAGGAAAGGTAAGGGCCCATTGCCAACTGGCCCACATTCAATTTCTCCACACGTAAAAAATGAAAAGCAACAGATTTCTAACACAACGAAGAAACACGGTACGTGAAGAGAACCGAAGAGGCAGTTTCTTGACTCTTTCGCCTTCTTAAACAAAAGCTTCTCAGCTCAACTTAGTCCTCCTTTCTTGACATCAATGTCTGAGCTGTACTCCATTTTTTTACTAATTCCATACCTTACATAATCCATTTCACACACACACACACATATATATATATGACAAAACCCATTGCTTTAGTCATTCTTTCCCTCTATCTCCAGACAGCTATAGCCAGCCAGCATTGAGAAGAAAAGCAAAAGATTGGTTTGATTTCTTTTTGATTCTTGAAGAACCCATTTTCTTGTTTTCTGAGATTTTGCTTTAGTTTCAGCTTTTCAGGTATGTTCTTCCTTCCAATGTTATAGCCTTTTCTTTTCTATTGCTATGTTTCTTTCATTTTGTTTTACTTGCTTTTTCCTATATGCGATCAGGTCTTGACTTGACTTCTATCAGTACGATGGCCGACCGAATCCACCCGGACGACTCTCCACCCGCTACCAGCAAACACTCGAAGGCTACACAGCCACCTATGTCGCCGGAGAAACCTATTCCGCAACCTGGAACTTATGTCATCCAAATCCCCAAGGACCAAATCTACCACGTCCCTCCGCCAGAGAACGCACCCCGCTACGCGCATCTATCGAAACGTAAGGCTGGCAGAAGCACTTGTTGCCGTTGCTGTTGCTGCTTGTTGATCACCATCCTCTTTCTCCTCCTCGCCGCCGCCATTGCCTCCGCCGTGCTGTACTTCGTTTTCAAGCCTGATTCTCCAAATTACTCCCTGGATAATGTGGCCATCAAGGGATTCAACCTTACGTCATCTTCACCGCTCTCGCCAGAATTCGACGTCACCGTCCGAGCACACAACCCCAACGATAAAATCGGTCTTTACTACGAGAAAGGCAGCTCCGTTAAAGTTTACTACGAAGACATTAACGTCTGTAGCGGCGCGTTGCCGGTTTTTTACCAGCCGACTAATAACGTAACGGTGTTTAAAACGGCTTTAAAGGGCTCCGGTCTTGAACTAACCAACGCCACCCTTAAGGCGCTTTCCGATGAACAAAACAAAGGAACGGTGCCCTTCACCTTGAAGCTGAGAGCGCCAGTTAAGATTAAAGTGGGGTCCATTAAGACGTGGAAGATTACCGTTAAGGTGACGTGTAAGATAACGGTGGACAAGTTAACCGCGGCGTCTAAAATTGCGTCAAAGGATTGTGATTACGGAGTTATTCTTTGGTAGTCGGAGTGCAGTTGGTACAGTCGGGGTGTTTGGTTGCCGGGATAGTGCTTCTTGGAAATTTTTTGAAATATTTTTATTCATTATATTATACCATAGTTGTGGTATACATGATAGAGATTTTTAATTAAAATTGCATAAAATTATATGATATGGTTTATTTAATTATTTTTTATGAATTTTTTATTGACTTATTTGAGTGGTGTAATTTTTAAATTTAAAATTTTAAACTTTACGAATAAGATTAAAATATTCATGTCTTATTATTTATTAAATCATTATATTAATACAATTCTCTAATTACGTCAATTAATAGTAGCTAAGGCAATCAAAATTTTTATCAGTTAAATTAAAATTCAGCATTTTATAAATTGTAAACTCATGTTTAGAAGAATCATTTCAAGAAAGTGAAATATTTTGGAAATAGAATTTCGTTTTTATAAGCTCAAGTGTTGGTCATGGTCTCATGGATGTCACGACTTGAATCAGTTCATGCAGTAAGGGAAAAAAAAAAATGTATGATTATAATGTACTCCATTACATATTGTAATATTGGTTTTTTTAATTGATAAACTGATCATGGACAGGGAATAAGTTTCCATGGAAATTATCGATTGATGTAAGAAACAGAAAGAGATTCCAAATAAAAAATTGATGAAGTCAGCTTATAATGACCAATCAGAAATGGCCAAATGATAAAATAATGTCCTTAACATAATCTGAATCCAAATAGAACTGATATGAATGGTATGTGAAGTGCCTGGGGAACATCCATATATTTAAAACTCAAAAGCAGGTAATATTTAGAATAGAAGCAATACCCAATATTACAAGTCAACTGGAATATACCTCTTCTCAAAAACATCTGATTTTACGCCATATCTTGTTGAATAATCAGAACCAATCCCCAATACAACATGAACATAAGTTAGTTTTACAGAAAAAGATACAGTAATCATCATCTAGTTTCCCCTTCTACATAAAATCATTTACCTTAGATGTGTAGAACTCCGAGTTACTCTTCTCATATCAGAACTAGGTTGTGAAGCCTGAGAACTACATCCGACAGTTTCTGCATCATCATTTTGGCTGACTCTTTGCCTCTTTCTCCTGGATCTTAGAGATGGCTGGTTCTGAGTTAATTTGGTAGGTGGCTGGCTTTGCATGGGCCCCGTTGCTTCATCCTCTAGTTCAAGGGGTTCTGCCTTGGGTGGTTGATATTGCCACTGAGTATCACAACTTGGACAAACTATCACACCCTGCAACTTATCAAGCCAAACTAGTGACCAAAGGAAACATGTTGACAATAGGAAACAAGAAAGAAGAAAATGTGAAAAACTAGCGTACCCTCTGAGAAAATCTCTTGTTTAGGCAGTACTGATGAATTCGAACTATACAACCTTCATTTGGGCACAATTTGGCCTGTCAAAGATTGCCAAAATATTAATATGCATATGTAAACAAACATTACATTTTCAAAACTCTAATAAATCGACCTGTCTAAAAAAATATTTCCCATTATTTGTTGTCATTATCTCTCAAAAACTTATTTATGTTTGTCAGAAGACAAAAGACAATGCAATTGTCAAATTTATCAAACTGGGAAACTGAAAAATAACCCAAATATCAATCAGGCTTAAAAAATTTTAGGCAGGATCCACTAGAATGACACAGAAAGCATTGAACACAACCTTCAATCCAGCTTCATTGCACACTTCGCATGAAGGAACCTCGGCATTATGGAACCAACTGCGCAGATCAAGAATGGACCTGACACCAACTCCAATATTATCATCTTCAGTGTAACAAAGCCACTTGTCCTGCACAAGTTGATCAAGAGTTTTTTCCTTCTGAGACATTGTGAAATTCCTAAACGCAGCAGGGATGGTAGGTGAACCATCCTGAGATTGTGACCCTAAACTGTTTAGAACCTACAAAAACAAAACAAGATTTGTCAAGTTCCGATGCGAAAATTGAGTAACATAAACCACCATTCTACTATTGAAAATGGAGCACAGACAGAGGTATTTCTTAAAACAAAGGCTTAAGGGTCAACAAAGCCCTCGATCAAAAAATAATTTATCAACTAAGCCCCTTACATTTTATTGCAATCAATCAAGCCCTAAACCTTCTATTTCAAATCAATTGAACCCTCAAACAATTATTTTCACCCAATTGAACCCTTATACATCTATTTTCACTCAATTAAGCCCTTGATCGGACAGAAATGATTAACCATTTTTCCCCTAATAAGGGCTCAATTGATGAAAATAAATGTTTGAGGGTTTAATTGATTACAAAAAAAAATAAGAGCTTAGATGATTATTGAATTTTAGTTCAAGGGCCTTTTTGACCCTTTTGCCTAAAGCAAAAGAGTAGCAAACTGACAGACGTCATACTTGTTTAATACCAATCATCGAATAAACATTTAGCCTACACACTAAGCAACATCCAAAAATCTTAAGAATAATTCTCTCACAACAACCACTACAGTCAAACAGTTAAACAAACTCTGATCAATCATCAAGGATATGAATGCAATCAGTATAGCATAAATGCTTATGTGATGTGTAACTGAGCTGAAATGCATCTGCAATTCGAAGAACTAACAACAGTTAACCCATATAAATGTTTAATATTGTCAGACCTGGTTCTCCAATTTAATATTGAGAGCATCAATGTTGGAGATGCTACCCTGTGCTGTAACATCTTGTGCTATTGCCTCAACCTAGATTCCCCACCAAAAACAATGATTTTCAAAACAACGTATAAAAACATAGATCAAACTTATCAATCTGCATAAAAATTTACATAGAAAGTGCAAAGAGAATAATCAGTGTAGATATAAATAAAAAGGGAAACTTAACTTACAATGGCCTTAAAGAAAGCAATTTGTGGGACAGAATATTTGGTTCCAAGCTTCGATTGTTCATCGGAGACATTATTAACAACCCCATAATAAACTTGGCCATCATATTGATCTCTACAAGCCCTTAAATCCAATTGAACATAAGAAAGTTCCCTGTTTATCTTGAGAAGATAATCATTAAATTTCCCTTGATGGGTACCTAAAATTGACAAACAATTTAAAATAAAATAAGGAACAAAATTAAAAATTGAGAAATTAAATAAGGATAAAAATGGGAAAGATCAAACTATTTTGAAAGAAGAAGAAGAAAGAGAACCTGGGTTATGACCAGTGATGCCAGTGAAGATGGTGTGGAACTCCTTTTCAGTTAGAGGGCCACGTTCTAGCAACGATTGAATGAGCACGTGGTGCTTCCAATTTAGCACTGCCATTATCAGATTGGTTATGAAGAAACTGTAGATTTTCCTAATGAACGGAATTGAGCGTTTGGATGCTGGGAAAATGCGATATTTACCGGGAAAGGGAAAAATAAGCGGGGATGGAAATCCCAGAGAATCACACGAATTAGGGTTTTATAGGGCGGGAAATATTGAGAGGGTTTGCCCGATGTGGGGGGAGATGAGAAAGCTTTTTACTTCGCCTTTTTCTTTTCACAAAAAAAAAAAAGAAATTATTTCACTTTTTTTTTTTATTTAAGTGCCGCTGAAAAGAAAAAAAAATTTCGGATACGCGTACATTTTTCATAATTTTTTTCAATGCTAAGCTAGTTGTATGAATTAATAAGATTTATATATATTGATAATGACCAAATTATGCAAAAAAATTCTATGTATAAAATAGGTACATAAATTTGTAAAGTGACATCAATTTGATACCAAGTGCTTTGACCACCATTGAAATTTGATAGAAATTTAGATATATGCAACACTATATTGTATTGAGCTTCTAAAATACACGATTTGAAAATAATATAAAATATAAAAATAATATATTTTAAAATTTTAATAAAAATCATATATAAATTTAAAAAAATAAAAATATATATAATAACATATAATTTTTATGTAAAACAAGACATGAATACATAAATTATTAATATTTTACACTATATAAATATACAAATCACTAGATTTACATGCTACATGCATGGAGGGCGGATGCCATGTCCGGAAGAGAAAAAGGGTAGATTAATGCTTCATTTGATGATGAAGGAAAGAGATTCTCACCGCACCATTATGTTGTTTTATGTTTGGATTTCTTTTTTATCGGCTATTCAAATGAAGCAAAAAAATTCAAAACAAGCAATTCGGAGTCCAGCACAGTATCAATTATCAGTTTGCATACGTTTAGAGATTACATAGATCATCTGAGAAACAGTAGCCAAGCTTAGAGCTCAACTCCTCCTCTCCCGTCTTGACCAAAAACCAATGAGGATAATTCATTGCATGAGCAGAGACCATTCAAGACAAATAGCATTTTTTGATGGCTATGTAAAGGACCAGCCTAGAGATGAAACCGGTGAGAATAAACAAACATGGCAAAGTGACCATAACATATGCAGACACAGAGACTACCTAACAAGAACAAAACAATCTTGTAATCCACTTATGGCACAATGAACAGTTTACACCTAGTAGTATTTAAATTGTTTGATGGCATCCTCTAGCCAAAACATACGCTTGCAAGATGTTGCAGTCCTCAAAGACTAATGATTTTCCTGTGCACGTGTTGTCCATGCAAACCTTCATCTCCATCATGATCATGAAAAATGAGTGTTAAGATCCCTACCAAGCATAGCACCGAACCCACAAGAGCTTTGTCATATCGCTCCACCCAATGAAACTTGAGCTGGCTAGCACCATAGAAAGATAAAGCCACCAGCGAGGTCATCACCGTTATAGTGCTGCAAATGCAATGTCAGCTTAATTAAGCCATGCATGGTAAAATATGACCAGGTTTTAGCTTTCAAATACATGAGAAGAACAGACTAGGCCATCTCTATGTTATCTTGTCTGATTAACCAGAACTTGAGTATACCTGCAGATTAGTAAAATCCAAAATATCTCATGCAAAACACAGGACTTGCGAACTCTTACATACACACAGAACAACTTTTCATGTTTGTTTTTCCTCACTTAAATCAGTTCATCGTAACATTAAACTCCAAAACAAACAATGCTGCCCATTAATGTTATGAACTTCAGCATAGATTATGGGTTGAAGCTGGCTGCAAGGACTGAGTTATTGCAGCCACAGACAAGTATAGTGCAAATATAATATTAAGAATCACCTCAACTCCAAAAAAAATGGTAGGTGCTAGTAAATGGAAAATTCATGCAATTTGTTTCCAGGAATCAGAGTAACTGGCTTAGCAACAAAAGCAGAAGGTGATTCATGTCTAAAAGGAGTTCAATAGTTTTCTATATTCCATTTTCTATAATAGCACAGGTCAGGCTCTATGCTCTATCCCCATGCCCTTCCTTAGGTATTCTAAGTTTCTTCCAGACATATAAGTATATAATAGTAGGAGTAAAACTCTCTCATTTGCTTATTTCACCAAAGGAGAAAATGCTACATTAAAGTGACATTGATGATCAGGATACTTCAAAGTTGATTGTATGGTACATTGTTACTAACACCAGTCTATAGTTAATACCAATTGGAAACACATAGAAATTAAGACAAATTAACCATACAGATCAAGGGAACAACACAAGCAACACGATCTCTCCTTCGATTACCATCATTAAAAAAGAAAAACAACTGCCATCGAACTAGTTATATACAAAAACCAAATTAATTAAACAATTTTCAAAACTCAGAGCCCTTTGTTATTTATACCTGAATAGCAGCACTATAATGGCAAGTACCATCATGGAAGACGAATTTCCAACAGCTAGAAACACAGGAAGAGTGGTTGCACAAGGAGACAATGCCGGAACAAGGACAAGGCCGGCGACAGCCATTTTCTCCATAGGTTGGTTATGAGAATGACTATGTCCACCCTTTCCAGACAAAAACAACAATATATAGCCACCACCAAGAACAATGAGCAAAAGTGAAGCAAGTTTATGCACAGTTTCTTCCCCAGCAATCGTGTTCGCCATAGTGATTGCTGTTATACCAAGCAGTGAAGTAGATATCACATGCAAAACTGCTCCGAATGCGGCTGCACATGGGAAATAACACAAAGATAAAGAAGATTGATAAAAGCTTTGATTCCCTAATCTTTATTAGTTTGACTAAATGATAGAAACCCAAATAGTAAATCAACTGGAATTGACAAAAGAACTATAAAAATTCAGGTAATATCAAGATCCCAAAAACAAAAGAGATAAATAACGTTTTAAAACCATCTGGGTAAATGAAAATTAGAGATCTAAAAGCGTAAGGGGACTTACTGACGAAAAGGGTACGAGAAAGGGTCCATTTTTGGGCACGTCCGACGATGGAGAAGGGAAGCCAATGGGTAGGAATGAAGGAATGAAGAATGGAAACAGTGGCTATGCCGCCTATTGTTGACAGATCTTCGGCGCTGAAGCTCTCCATTTTCGCTTCTGTTAAGAGTGAAGGAGATTCAAGAATTGGGGATTCCTTGGGTCTTCGTTAGATTCAAAGAATACTTTTCAACATTACATTGAAGCTTTGAGAAATGGTGAAAGAGGATATCGGTTGGTGTTAGTTGAAGCTTTGAGAAAGAGATCTGAGAAACAAATGAAGTTCGAGACAAAGAAAATCGGAAATACGATGGTTTTGATTGATGTAGGCTTTTCGCAACAATTTCTATTTTTACGTTAAAATATGCCCAGATTTCACTTTTAATAGTAAGAAATTCTCCTTTACGGCTTCTTTTCTTATTAGGCTTTTTCTTATAAAACAAAATATTATTTTTTTCTTGTACAAATAAACGTACCAAACAAAAGACACCATGATTTATGCAGGGTTATATCGGCTTCGATCATTTCGGATTAGAGTTGATTTTTTTAAATAATATATAATATCATAAAATTTTAAATTTTGATTTAAATTAAAATATTTTTTTAAATTGATACGAATCAAATTAAATTGATATAATTTTGTTTTTTATTAATTTAATTTTGTTATTTTTTATATATTATTTTAATAAAAATTTTAATATATTTAAATAAATTTATGTATAAAATAATTATTTTTATTTTATAAAAATTAAAAATATATATAAAAATTAATAAAAATACATAATTTGATTAAATTTGATTTTTTCTGATTTTTTATATCTTAATTTGAAATTCAATATAAATTTCATATATATATATATATAATATTTAAATTTAATCAAAACCAAATTAAAAAACATCGATTTGAATCAAATCAAACATTACGATTTTATATTAATTTTTTAGTTTCTTGATTTTTTTTCTCACCCTTATATTTACATATTCATATTTATTTATTTCATGGTAAATTTATATAAATCATAAATATTTTCAGTGTCAATATATTAAATATAAAACATAACTGTATATTTTTCGTTTTTCTTTTATTATATTACCTCATCACATTTAAAATTATCAAATCTAATTTCTTTATCAACCTTTTTTTTTTTCCTAAAGCAGCATTATTTGAGAATCTTTGATTGGTCATAGTTAGTAGGTATTGGATCTTCAGAAACCCTTTAAAATGTTGGTATTGGCAGAAACAAATTGCCTTTACCAACACAAAAAGTGAGCAAATTGATGGCAAGATAGATCACACATCCAGATGAGAAATAGAACTGCAAGAAAATATAGTAAAAGATAGAGCTTAAAAGAAATCCACTCAGAAAAATCCATAGTACAAAGGCCAATAACATCACCGGCCCACATCAAACATCTGAAGGGGCTACAAAGAAAGTTCTGAATTCCAGAATAAATTTCTTCAACATCATCAATGTTTAACAAAACCTAGGAAAATATGTTATCCTCCATAGCTTAGTGATCACCGGGCATGCTCTTAATAATGTCAGAGTCACCTGAAAAACACAAGATATTACCACAATCACGAGAGGATACACTATGATATAGGGTATGTAAACATGTTCAGGCATGCTCTTATATGTACCAGGGTCAATAATACTCAGGCAGCACACTCTGAAGTATTTGCCGCAGGCGGTGCCCAAGTCTACATTGTCTGCAAAAACAGAACACCCACATTTTTAAGGGAATAGTCCCCTAAAAAATGTTGAATTACTAGAAAACTTTAAACAACAAAGTTTTCATCCATCGATGAACCAACCAGTATTACATATGAAAAGCTGGAATGACAAGGAAGGTAGTTTCCATCAGGAAACCATATCAATCAAGTCGCTAAACGCCTTTTACAGACGGATTAGTTGTTCGTTCTACCATTTCCATTCACCAGCACTAGTAAATGAAATTCCATCCGGCTTTTCCCAACATTTTCAATAACAAGCTTTATTACTAATAACAAAAGATTCAAAGGCGGAGGGAGGGGGATGAACTGATCTTATTGATAATCTTTGAACTGAACATAAAATGGATTTACTTAAATGTGGTGCGATGCCTACAATCAGTCTGAGATACCAAGTACTCAAATCATGACAAAAGTATTTAAGTATGTAACAAGGACATAATAGGTTAAGGGACATACTTCCATTGTAGTGATGAACTCCAACCTTGCACAACATGGCATAATACTCAATCTCTGACTTCCTGAGAGGAGGGCAGTTGTTGGCAATGATAATCAACTTACCTACAAAACACAGAAATAAGAATCATTGTCTTCCAAAGCTCAACCAACGCTAGATTAGCACCACAAATAGAACAATCAATATCAAATATCAAACAAAATCTACCAAAAACCCTCATGCCCTTGTCCAAGTTAAACACTATTTTAACCAAAATGAAGTTCATTTAATTTTAGTTTACCATCCAAAGTATATATTTTCCTTCTAAAGCCATGATTATTCAAATCAAAGATCAGGTAGCTCAAAATTCAGCAATGGGAGGCAAATAAGCAGAATTAAAAAAATAAATAAATAAAACCTTTGGAGCTTCTGAGAGATTTGAGAACAGTTTTGTAACCCAAAGTGTATTTCCCACTCTTCATAACGAGAGCCAATCTGTTGTTAATGCTCTCATGGGTCTTCTTCTGCATTTCATCAAATGCCTCGTTATCAACATAACCATTACTTAGCATATTTTCAGAAAATTAGGAAAAAAAAGGGGTAAAATTTTTTTTTTAAAAGTAAAGAAATAGGAGATGGGATTTTACGGTCTTCTTGGTGGCAACCATTGTCGTCGGAGGATGGGATAGTTTCGTGGGGGGGGAGGCGGGGAGTAATTGCGGAAGCTACGAACGGTTCACCACAGACGAAACCCTAAAACATCTAACAAAAAATATATTGATTATCGTGAGATTAGGATTTCTACACGTGGCTTTCAATTTTAGGGTTGCATTTTGGGTTTGTGGGTTTAGGCTAAAAAACAAAGGAAAATTAAGAGGAAAATAATAGATTGTTGGCTTCTTGCCTTGATCCCACCCAAAATCAACTTTCAGAGCCCAATTATTATTGGACAGATCCATGTATAAAAGCCTTTTAAAGACCCAAAACCAATTACTATGTAATTTTATATAAATTTAATAATTTGTATATACATATCATAAAAAAATATTAATAATTTATATATTTATATTATATTTTTTATGAAAACTACGTATCTTAATTTAATTTATATAAAAACATAAAATATTTTTTGTTAAACCTATATATAATTTTTACTAAAATTTTAAAACTTTTTTTTTTAGCTTTTATTCATATAATTTTCATATAATGTTTTAGATTGTAAATATAAATTTACACAAATTTTTTGCTATTTTCTTCCTTAAATTGCTTACTTTACATAAATTATAGTGAATCAAATATTTAAAGGACCCATAATAGAAAATTGTGAAATGTTTTAAGTATTGTATTTTTTATTATTTTTGTTTTTCCTTTTTATTAGGTATTAAATTTTTGAAAGAGAAAAAATAATGTTGGAGCCAAATGTTATAATTTTACAATAATACTTTTATTTTCACTAAACATTAAATAATATTTTTGGAATAAGTTTTGCTTTTGATAGAGAATTGTGATTCAATCCTCATAATTTCCTCAAATATAAATATATAAAAAAAAAAACATTGGTAAAAGTCATTTATTATTGTGGTCTTATGTAACATCTCAATATAAAATATAAAAGGAGTAAGTCTTTAATAAACTTGGCCTTAAAACTCTTTTTAATTGAAATGCTATTTATGCATTTGTTGTTGTTTTTTTTATTAGTTTTAATACTTCTTCCGTTCCATTTTATTTGTCTTTTTTTTGTTTTGAAATGTTTCAAAACTTTTTTATGAATATTTAAATTTCTTATTTTTTATATTTTAAAAATATATTTTATGATTTTTTTAACTTTTTTATTAAAAAACATATAACTTTAATTTTATAAAAAATTTAAAATTTAATTTTAAATACTTTAGAGTTATTTTTTAATTTCGTGAAAATCGTTAACACTAAAATAAATTGAAACGAAAAAAATAATATATATCACATGGTTTAACGTAAATTGTTTGAATTTATAAAAATATAATATTTATTTGTAAGTTTTAAATTCTATTTTTTCTGCAACATTATCTTTTGATTGATTATTTGTAAATTAAATATAAAATTTTCAAATATCTCAAACACAACCTTCAATGCTTTAATTTTTTCTCCATACAAAAAAAAAAAAATGAACTAATCAAATTTTTTCTAATAATCAATCAAACTTGCTAACTGATTTATTATTATTTAATTATAGATCAAAATATAAAAAGTTATATTTCTTCTGTTTCAAAATATTTGTTATGAATTAGATTTTCACGAAATAAAAAATAATAATAATTTTAACGTACTTAATATTCAAATTTTAATTTTAAGATGTTTTTGGGTACGAAACATCTTAAATAATTTATTAAAAAAATTATAAGATTATTTAAGATATTTTTTAATAAAAAATACATTCAATAATCATCGTGTAATTTTTTGTATTATTTAATATTTTTTTATTAAAAAACGCCTTAAACAGTCATTTAAAAAAATTAAATAGGATTATTCAAGGGATTTTTCGGTTAAAAACACTTTAAATTATTTTTGATTAAATTTTTTAGGGGATTATTCAAAATATTTTCTGACAAAAATGTCTTAAATAATTTAAGTATAAATTTTTGTAAATGATTATTTAATGTGCTTTTTGCTAAAAAAACTCTTTAGATAATCCCCTAAAAATTTGAATGGGATTATTCAATATATTTGTTAGTAAGAAATGCCTTAAATAATCATTTTTAATATTATTAATGAATTATTTAAGTTATTTTTAGGTATAAAACGACTTAAATAATATATATTTTTTGGATCATTCATAGTGTCTTTCTACTAAAAAATATCTTAAATAATCATTTACAAAAAAATTTATGGGATTATTTAAGACATTTTATGGTAAAAAATATCTTAAATAATCCCGTAAAAAAATTTGATCAGTATTATTTATGGCATTTCTATCGCCTTAGATAAACTCTCTTTAATTTTTTTAAAGAGATTATTTAAAGTATTTTTGACCAAAAAAAACCCTTAAATAACCTTTATTAATAATATAAGAGATTAGTTAAAGCCTTTTTTTTAGGAAAACGTCATAAAATGATCATTTTTAAAAATTTATGCCCTGTTCTCGAATTTTGAAAAATCAAACAACTAATATAATGAACAATAAAAAGCTACATTGCAATCAATTCTTAAACCATCAACTCATTTAATTTGTCTATTAGTTTCTTCCTATCTATCATCGCCACAGATCATAACAACTCAACGCCATTGTATATTTTTAACAAAAAATATCTTAAATAATCTTCAAAAAAATTAAACAAAATTATTTTAAAGGTTTTTCATGCCAAACGCCATTAATTATAATATATAAAAAAAATTAGCAATAAAAATCTATAATTGATTTGTAGTCATTTTTAGACATACTTTTCAAAATAGTAACAATTATTTCATAATTTTTAATTCAATTTAATTTTGAAAATAACACAAAATTTTCTCCTAAAATCATAAAATACCATAGGAAGATGTGAATTTTTTATTTCAGAAGTTTGGGTACTATTGAGAATTTATCACTTTCTCTCATAATTAAATTAGTTTGAAAAAAAAAATGTTTGAATAAAATATTTAACAATCAAATTTCAAGGGAAAATACATGGATTCTCCCGAACCAAATGCTCAATTTGGTTTGCAAAATATTGGATTCCAAAAGAAAGTGTGATATTTGGGAAAGTATGATATTCGATATATTTTTTAAATTTTAAAGGTATCTTATATTCAAATTCACTTGTTTTGTTCGAAGGAATTCACATATATTAATTCATAAATTTACTAATAAAAATACTAAAATTAAACATTATAATTCCTTTCATCATTTATCCTTTATTATTTCAACGCATAGTATATGCTTTTTCAATATATTAGCTTAAAAAATACAACTAGATGTGATAACGGTTCAATTATGTTCATATCGAATTTGATTTAATTTTTTCAGATATTATATAATATTATGAAATTTTAAAATCCGAATTCAAATCGATTTTATCAGTTCGGTTCAATTTATTAATTTTTTATATTTAAAATTTTTTATATTTTTTTAATATAAAATTTTAACATATTTAAGTAGATTTTGATATAAAATTATTATTTTATTTTATAAAAATTTAAAAATATATAAAAATAAAAAAATATAATTTAGTTCGATTTATTTTTTTTTATTTTTTACCTATCAACGTAAAATCTGATTCAAATATAATATATATATTTAATATATAAATTTGATCCGAACAAAATAAAAAAAAAACCAATCCAATCCGAATCGAATATTATAATTTCAAATAAAATTTTTGAGTTTCTTGATTTTTTTTTTCTCTTTTAAATATAACTATATCTAGGTGAAAATTCCGCACAAAACTGTATAAAAAAAAAAAAAAAAGAGATTCTAAATGACATAAACCTAGTTAAATGGTTTCAAATATCTAAAATATAACATTCAATGCTTTAAATTTTCTCCATATATATATATATATATAAACCTTAACTAATCAAATATTTTTCCAACAATCATTCAAACTTGCTAACCGAGTTATTATTATTATTTAATTATAGATCAAAATATGAAAAGTTATATGTCCTCTCTCTCAAAACATTTGATACATATTAAGTTTTCACGAAATAAAAAAAAGGTTTTAGTTTTAACGTATTTAATATTAAAATTTAAAATTTAAAAATTTTTAATTTTTAATGTTAAAAAATAAAAAATTATAAAAAATAAATTTAAAATATAAAAATAAGAAAATTTTATATTAAAAAAATTAATTTTAAAAAATCCTTAAAAATAACATGAAAAAAAAAAAAGGAATAATAAATATAAAATTTCGTTAAAAAATAATAAGCAATAGGTTTTGCTGCTAATTACTGTAGTAATATATAAATATAAAAATGAAAAAACCTTAAAAAGAAAAAAAAAAAAAACTATTAGCAGTATAAAATAAGCGCATTTTTTTCTTTGGATTTTATTTATTATTTCTCTCTGAAGCTGCTTGTTGCTCTTTCTTTTTGCTCTCGATCCTCAGTCCCTGCAAAAAAAAAAAAAAATTCAATTTATTATCTCTATTTTCTCCTTCTAGGGTTACGTATTCCGCCCCCAATGGCCGAAGTCATAAACATGCCGGTCGATTCGTTCAACCGCCGTCGCGGCGGCGACCGTAAAGACAACAATAACAACAACAACAGACAGCCTCCGTCATCTGACGGTCCCAACTCCTCTCCCCCACCGCTGCCTCTGCCTCGACGCCGCGACCGAGACTCGCGTGAGCGGCGGGACCGTGACTATTACGATCGCAATCGCTCTCCTCCACCTCCACCTCTCAGGGAGAGAGATCACAAGCGGCGCGGTAGCATTAGCCCTCCACCACCACCACCATTGAATTACAGGGATAGGAGACACTCGCCCCCGCCTCGGAGGTCGCCGCCTTATAAGAGGTCTAGGCGGGACGATGGAGCCTACGAAGGGAGGAGAGGGAGCCCTAGAGGAGGATTTGGACCTGGAGATAGAAGGTAATAGTTTATTTTTTAAATTTATTTTTGTAATTACAATTAAAATGTAAATTGATGCAGCTTAATTTAGCTACATGTATTTGAACTATTGATTTTTTATGGTCTTAGGTTTTTTGGTGTGCTATATGTTATGAACTTATTTCTGATTTGTTAAACTTAAAGTATTTTAGTTGTTTGATTTAATCTTCAAAGTTCGTTAACCGAAAGATTAAGACACGGGTTACATTAAGA